GGGGGGGGGGGAAGGAATTGTAACCGTCTTTATCCGCCTGGTTTAGACCTCCTAAAACGGTAAAACCCACCGTGCTATTCCTGTAGGTACGTTTCCGGTTTGCCTCGTCTATGATTTGTTTACAAAATGAGAAATCAACCAGAATGTCAAATGATAACAATAACTGTATCAAAACAGTCACTGAGAGGAAACAAAGTCGTATACGACATACCGCCTGCTCAGCCTCTTTTCTTCCCGTCCGGGCGGTATCTTTTTGGGTTGCCCGTTGCTTCACTCCAGAGCTTCCGCAGCCACAACCAGCGCCCGACCTGATTAAATGAGGTTATATTGACGATGATACCGTCATCTTTCTTCACTGACTTGAGGGATTTGCGAGATTTGCAGGATTTAATGTGATGCATTGCTATCGGCACCGCTGCGCCACGTTTCGGTTCCTTGTTGCAACTCCCGGGATTTTTCACCCTGGCTAGGGCTAATCAGCGTCCACGGAGCTGGGACGAGCAATAAGCTTTAACTCCCCGGGTGATGGCTGGTGTTGCTGCTGATACTGTCGTAGTTGGTGAGCGATTTTAGTCCGATCTCCATCACGGTAGCTAGCACAAGGTACACTAGTTCCCTAGCACAAAGGGTACAGTGAGAGTGCCCGGTACGGTAAGGCCCGGATTTCGAGAGCAGTCATTCGTTCTGATGTCTATGTTCCTGTCTCTCCAGTAAGCCTCTCCGGTAGTTAAAGCATCTTATTTGATGTCATCGCTGACTGTGCCTGCACACTGCGGACCGTGTTGCAAGCCACCAAGTCGCATTTCCAGGTCGAGCATCGGAAACTGTCGTGCGATTCCGGGGAAGACAGGCCAGGGCCGTCTTTGCCGGAGTTCCTGCGGGCCAATCACGGCGGGAGCCTCAGGCCACCGTACAAGGCGGCTAACCCTAACAGTGGGTACAGGAGCCAGGCAACGACAGCGCAAGTAGACGCCTAGGCGCATTTGCTATGAGAACTGCTTTCCTCCTAGAGAGGCCGTTTGTGATTGGCCCATGTACTATTCTGCCTTAGATGCCTAGTGTTTTCCTGATGCGCCTTAAATTCAACGTAGTCATTTGGGATTGAAGCCACATACATGTCTAGATCCTCGCATTTCTGCTGTTTCTGCCTGGTTATTCGACCACTTCCCTGTGGAACCCGGTCAGGCGATGTCCTCTACTATGAAGCAGTCACGGCGTTTCCGGCTTGGTCATTGGAAGACAGAGCTTGAACAGGCCTGGAGCGCAGGATATATAAGATCGGTGCTTCCTCTGCCTTTCTCCTCTCCTCTCCTTTTCTTCCCGACATCAACAGCAACAGCAACAACAATCTGAGACAACACCAAAGTGTCCAGTGTTAAAAGCATCAGAAATACTGTTATATATCCCTCCTTCCCCAAGCACCATCAAACATAACCGAAACACTTTCTCCCATACATCCGCCATGCCATCGACTACAGTTTGGTATTGTTGCAAATGCAACTACGGTCCACTGAATATCGCCCTCGACGATAGTTGTCCTGACTGCCATATGCGCCGCTGTGATAAATGCGACGTATCAACAATCTCACAGCGCTACTCCTGTCATCACAGAAGTCGAGAAACAGCAACAATCAATCCTTACCCAGAAGCCCTAACGTACGCTTCCAACACATACAGTCTTGACCCCGCAACAAGACTATCCGGCATGTCATTAGAGGGGCATCACCGAGCATGCCTTTTATTATCATTGGCCCCTGCGTCAATGCCCCCAACCTTAATTGAACCCGTGTTAGGAGGAGGAGCATCTTCTACCGGTGCTCCCCCGGGTCATGACATTCTCCGACATGGCGGCCTCATTAGACAGAATCCGCATATGTATTACTGCTGTCAATGCAATGATGGACCGAAGCTATATGATAACCAACCTGTTTGTGTAGCCTGCAACCATAAGGCCTGCCAAGGGTGCCGTGCTGCATAGTAACGGCAATCTGACATGTTCTGCTCGATACATACATTGCAGGAGTTCCTTTTTATTTCTTTTTCCCTTCGAGACCAATAGACATTGATAGCGTTCGTGAAAATGTGTTCCTCGAGCGATGATTAGCTGCATACTTATGATGGGATTGTCTGTTTTCTTTTCCTTTTTTTTTTTTTCTTTTCTTTTTTCTTTACCATATTTCGGGGCTTTTTTTTTTTTTTTTTTTTTTTTTTTTTCTTTTTTGGTTTATAAGTCTAGCATTTGATTGCATTATTCCAAAGTTCTGTATTGTCTGAACTGATCTTATGATGATTTTGAAATGAGCTTTAGCGTTCATGTTTTGTCTTGCTGCTGCTGCTGTTGTTGACTCATGATGACTCGAACCATGCATAGCATACATTACATATGCATTTTGCATGCACGCACATTGTCGTTATTTCATTGTATAATACTGATCTTTATAAGAAAAAAACCAATAATCACTACAGCTCTCTTTCCTGTCTGACGTGTGACTCAGGCCATTGCGTAGAAGGCGTACTTAGCCAGTGAGTCAACGTTGGTTGTAGTTAGTTAGTTGAATGAGCCTTAGGAGTTAGGGTTGACTCTCCAAGGGTCCCCGCAAAGGATGCCTTGAGAGTCAGCCAATAAGCTGCGGAACTCGCTGCCCCTTAGTAAGCGACTAGTAGTACCCTGATATTGCAAGCTACGCTAGTGGAGCAAAGTCACTGGAGAGATATAAGCATTAAGTTATTAGAGTGATTAATTGTATTGCTGACTTGACTGACTTTAGTCGCTTGAGGCTTCAAAGTTCAACTCTCGAAATGAAGGCCTTGGTAGTTCTGTCCTTTCCTACGCTGTGCAGAACAGGTAGCAAACCAACTGAGAGGCAGTCGGATCCCATTAAGCGCTGTATGTCAAACTTCAGGAAAAGCCAGCAATTCCAATGAGAAAAGATAAATAAAAGACGAAAAATGCACCCTCCGATGCTACGCTCAATAGCAAAGCACGCCAAAATCCATGCAAGAATAATGATTATGACAGTGAAGACGGACGCGGGGCTGAAGGGAGAAATAGACAAAAACAAAACAAAACAGAAAACGACGACAAAGAAAAAGAAAATTGCGTAGTTTAGACACTGCATGGGCTTGGCATCTGCTCAATGTCCTGTTTCTTCTTTTCTTTTCTCTTTTTCTTTCTTTCTTTCTTTGTAATCAAAATAATAGAGCGAGAGCCTGCCACTGTGCTGTCCATACGGGTTGAATAAGAAAATGGGAGAGGCGGTCATACCGAGGACAGGCTACAGAGGGAGAATGCGTGAAGGATCCGAGAGGAAACGTCTACGGTACGCAGCAATCTCGCCAGCAACAGTGAAGAAATCTTTCACTTGATCGCGCCGCATGTTATTGATGAGTTCCTTCAATCCTTCGATATAGGCTTCTTGTTCTTCTGGTGTTTTGCCTTCTTTTTGATTACCCATCTCAACAAGAATCTTGTCATCTGCAACGATCAAGCCCACTAGAAGTCAGTGTCTACCCAAGGGTGAAGATTATAAATGAAATTGGGACCAAAAAGACATCGAAAAAGGGGAGGAGGGGAGTTATCAAAAACTGGGTAATGAAGTTCGAGCCATCAACGCACCGGGCATCACCATGTCTCGCCAATGCTGAAACTCGCATGTCGTATCGTTACAGACTCCTCCGGCTGCCTCATAGGGACAGACCGCCTGAAATGGATCAATATTATGGCTATATGTTAGAGACCGATAGCTATCTCCAACATCCTCAATGATATTAGGATGATAACGATAGGCTCTAAAGTATTTCAAAGGGCTTTGATAAGGAGAAAACTTCGATACTGTGTTCCTTGCGTTCGGCGTGTTCTAAAGCCGCGTCAGTAAGTGACTGCATTCGATCATGACCAACGTACGTCAAGGGCATCTCCCTTAAATGCAATGACAACTGACTCCTGAGACTTGCGGGTTAGTGCCATATCAGCGTCATTTTGAGCTGAAAAATTCGGAACTGTCTCCATCTCTGAATCTTCAACACCGCTCGGGCTGAGTTTCGGAGAATATGCTTCATCTGGACTCTCTTCCGGTTCAGGGGGCTCATAATTATCCGACAAGACTGATGATTCCCGTGAGACATCAGACCTAACCGCAGGTGTATCTATAGAAACTGTGGTCGTGAAATCTGGTTTCGGCGGGAGAACGATGGGGGCTTGCGGGGTTTCAATAGACATATCATCATTCGATGGAGCCGAGACAGGGAGAATGATGGGTTGCTGCTCCGATTCCGATTTCTGATCGACCGAGATGGATTCAGAGTCGCTGGTGGATTCATCCATTGAGGACCCAGAAGATTCGGAGCTTGAATCCTCAACTTCGGCGACATCATTTACTCCATCATTCTCGAAAGAAATAGGCCCAGGAACTGGAGACTTTTGTTCCATGGGTTGAGTAGGTTCAGCCGTCGTGGGCGCGGCTTGTAAATCTTTGGAGAGGGGCGTAGCCTCTGCATTAACGATGGCATGCGGTTCGGGCTCACCTAGAATAGAGAATTAGCCAAATGCACAACTAAAAGTTATTCCATCCGCCGATAAAACCAAGGAAGTATCCTACCACGTGCAGCTGCAGTGCGCTCCATATCCTCTTTGGCAGCCTTCAGTTCTTCGAGAGAGAGGCCTTCTGTTTCCATACCAAGGCTCTGCAGCTCGTCATCGAGCTGTTTACGTTCCGCTTGACTCTTGGCCATTTCATTCAAGAGCTTTTCTTCCTCACGTTTAAACTCGGCAAGTTTGGCTTTGAATTTAAGCATCTCCGCATCCAAAGCAGGAAGGCCCGACTCAATCTCACGTTTGCGCAATAGCTTTTGCCGAATTCGATCTAAGTCGGAAGTGTCCATAGACGCCAATGATTGCACCGATGGACTTCTTTGTAGGCCTAGGAAACTTGGCTTGTCTGATGCTGTTGGCATAGAGTTTACCTTCTCAGTCATAGACTGAGTTTCCCCAACTTGAGGTGACGGCTCAGAGTCGGCATTTGTCACAGCCGCTAAAGGTAGCGTGGGATTTGCCTTTTTGGAGTTTTTCTTTTCCCATTCTGCTATTCGACGGCGCATGGCTTGAATTTCAAGGTTCTTCAATCGGAGATTCTCTGAATCACTGGGTCGACTTTGAGGAGTAGCCGATGCTGATGAGGCATTGCGAGATAGAGTATTTCGGAGCATAGTGCTATTAATTTTCGACGTTTGGGGATTCGCGCCAGAGTCACTGGCCTCAGACATCACGATATCCTCATCATCATCACCATCATCATCATCATTCGAGGATTCGTCTTCACTGATGTCAATTACTAGTCTACTTTCAGTCAGTAACGGCTTTCCTGTTTCCGGAATAGGCTCGTCGAAGTCTGAAGCTCGAGGACGTTTCCCAAGTGAGTTTTTGAATGGCGTAGAAGTACTAATAGGCCTGGTTTCAATAGTCGAAGGACTGCCAATCTTTACAGGCTCAGAAGAGACCGAAAGTCCTGGTATTTGTGGCGTTGAAGGCTTGGGAGATCCTAGCATTTGGTTTGTGGCAGGCGGCCTCTCAGGAAGAGGATGGTGCAGAGTAACCGGTGTTTCCGGTTTCAAATTTGAAGTCGCAAGTTCAATGGCTGATGATGATGATGATGCCCGAGGTAGACTGATACCTTCGGCCTGAGACTGCTGTCTCTTGAGACCCATCTTCTTGAGTTGCTCAATGCGTTGTCTGGCTAGTTCGGTTTGAGCTTTATTCTTTTCTTTCGGTTGCGAGACTGCTTGAGTTTTTAAAGGTAATAGATCTGGTGCAGCCTTCTCTGTATTTTGCGTTGTGATAGAATCGGATGAAACTGCTTGACTTGGAACCGAATCAGTAACAGTAATGGGGGCTTTCTTCTTAGCCTTCTCTGCCAACATTCTAGCAATGACGTCCTTTCGCTCTAGTGGCTTATCGGAAGCCGAAATAGATGCCTCTTTTGCTTTTCCATTTGGCATCGATGTTGGTGGAGTCTCACCGACCAACGATTCCTGGGCTTTAGATAGTTGACCGCTTATGGGAGCTGTGGTTTGTTCTTGAGTAGCATCTGACCCAGTGATGACCTTTTCAGACGGTTGAGTTTCTGTTACAGCGACCTTAATACCGATATCATCATAGAGTCGCTTGAGAATTGCAGGGTCGATATCTTCCTTGATGAGCTCATTGAATCGAATATTATGCGGAGCTAACCTCAGGAGTGCCCCTTGGGCCATAATGCGGATTTGTGTAGGAGATTTGCCAGTGGAGTGAGAGGCATGGTTCGTCTGGTCCCCGGACTGACCGTTTTGCATTTGAACTGTAGTGGGTTTTTGGGTCACTTCTTGAGATGGCTCATTCATAGCGATGGTGAGTGGTGGGCTGTATGTAGTTTGATCTATAGATATAGGACCTTCCGGAGAAGCTTGAGAAGTAGTGCTTGGTTTGGGTTGATATTGATTTTTTTGAGCAGACAGGTCAAATCCTGACCCATCACTCACTTCTCCCTCTTCCGGATCGGTATTATCCCTTGGTGAAAGTAAGGAATCCTTAGGCTGTTTATTCAATGGTTGAATTGGCAAGGACTCAACTTTCCCAGCAGGGTGGGCAAAGGAAAGTTGTTGGGGTGGATGCAAGGAATTCGTTAAAGCACTGACGGAGGAGTTGAATCCGCTATAAAAAGGAGTCGAAATCTGGCTATTCGGGATTTGCTGCGACAGCAAAGGTGGCGGTGGTATGGTGCTGTTTTGCATCCCGAGACCCGGTAGTTGAGCTGGCGCGTTCATGCCGAACGGCATAGAAGGAAAATTCCCAATACCATATGAACCGGCGTTCATCGCAAAAGAACTAGGAACATGTTGGCTTGGGGTACTCAAACTGGCAGGAGTTTGCAATGGCCACTGGAGAGCGTAGTTGTAATTTTGTTGTCCATCGAACGACGGCGGAGGATATTGCGACATGATGCGACGCCGAGTAATTTATATGCAAGTTGAAATAAAAACAGTATATACTAGATTCACCCATGCAGATATCGGGGTCTGTATGGGCTTCCTTTTCAGAAGAGAAGACACGGTAACCAACACCGAGAGTGTTGGTGACAAGCCATAAAAGATTTATCGCATGAGATGGGAGTCCATTAGTCGCATGGAAATGGAACTGTGCGAAATTTCTGGGCCACGGTAAGGGTTGCATATCAAGCCATTTCGAAAAGAAGAAACCGCGATTTGTTTTGATGAGAGTAGACGAGGAAGGTGAGCGATGAGTGACTGAGAGAGTGAGTGCGCAAACGAGAAACTTGGATTTCGCTACTCATCACGTGATCACGCGCCTCCGTTTTGCCGCTTCCAGTCGCCGAGTGGGCCTGCGCCAAGCTAGCAACCCCGGCGGGCTGTGATCGCTCCCGGTAAAATGTAAACAAACAGGCAGGCAAGCTCAGGCAGGACGCTTGAACGTCACTCCCTCATTCTCGCGCATCAACGCCGTCAGCACCCATTTTCAAACATCGAGTCTACAAGAACAACATCTACTTTTGAAGAAATATTTGAATGTGATTTCTATCCTTATTACTATTTGCTTCACGGTCAACTGTGTTGTCGTATACTCTGTGTTTTGACGACGCATGAGATCTACCGGTTGACACAGCGTGCAGTGAGTTAGGGTAATCGAAATGCATTGAAAGGATAAAACAGCAGAACAAAAACATGCAGCCCACATCGATTAACAACTCGCCTAGGCGAGCCAATCCCTTCAGTCGTCATTCACCCTCGCCTTCACCAAGCCCCCAGCTACCTCCATCGAGACCGAAGTCGGCCGTATTTCCTCCCACATATGGCGAATCTGAAAAGAAATCTCATACACGGAACTCCGCATCATTGACGCAGTTTACAGCGGTGACCCCTGGGTTGGTTAACCGGCAGCGTTCTGGTTCCTTAAGGCAGAACGTTCGCAGCTCGGGAACATTTGCACCTCAGTTTATCAAATCGGAGGAACTGCAGAGAGCGAACAACTCAATTAATAGCTTTGAAGGAGATAATGATTTTTCCGGCAAGCGATATGTTTGGCTGAAAGATGCTGAAAAGGCATTTGTTCGAGGGGAGGTTATCGAGGAGAGAAGTGACGGCAACTTATTGGTGCGATGCGAGGATGGCAATGTAAGCGAGATCTATCAGCCTTCCGAGACGAGATGTCTAATGTTTTCTATTAGCAACGAGAAGTGGGTTCAGAACATGTGGATAAAGTCAACCCTGCAAAATTCGACAAAGCCGACGACATGGCTGAACTAACACATCTGAACGAGGCGTCAGTCGTACATAATCTACACCTACGCTATCAATCAGATCTCATTTATGTATGTCATTAATAACAGATTTCCCCAGGTCCATGCTGACGAAATTGAGCAGACATACTCTGGGCTGTTCTTGGTCACAGTGAATCCATATTGTCCACTTCCTATTTACACAAACGAGTATGTGAGGATGTATAAAGGCCAAAACCGGGAGGATACACGACCACATATCTTTGCAATGGCAGATGAAGCATTTCGTAATCTTGTCGAAGAAGGCCAGAATCAAAGTATACTCGTGACGTACGTCTCCCTTTCCTCAAATGTCCGCAAGGTATTAACGAGCGTTCTAGCGGCGAATCAGGTGCCGGAAAGACAGAAAATACAAAGAAAGTCATTCAGTATTTGGCCGCCGTAGCTACCCCCGAACAGTCTGGATCGCGATCAACTGGGAAGGCTTTCTCCAACCTCTCGCAACAGATACTTCGCGCCAATCCTATTTTAGAAGCTTTCGGAAATGCCCAGACTGTGAGGAACAACAATTCCTCAAGATTTGGAAAATTCATTCGTATTGAATTTACTCGCTCTGGTCAAATTTCTGGGGCTTATATTGATTGGTACCTGCTTGAGAAATCAAGGGTGGTCAAGCCTGGCAGTCGCGAACGCAATTATCACATCTTTTACCAGCTCCTCCAAGGTTCAGACAAAAGTTTGAGAAATAAGCTTCTCCTTTCAGATCTGCAAATGGAAGATTTTGCATATACTAGAGACGGCAACGACTCGATTACCGGAGTTTCGGATGCAGATGAGTGGAAAGCGCTCATCGAGGCCTTTCAGGTCATGAATTTCTCTGAAAACGATCGCATGTGTATCTTGCGTACAATCGCTGCTGTCCTTCATCTTGGAAACATCACGGTCACGAAAGAGCGCATTCGCGGTGATCAAGCCGCCTTGGCTCCAGATGCTTATGAAAGTGTAGAGAAGGCATGCAAACTTCTCGGCGTCGATTCCGAGTTATTCGTGAAGGGGCTTTTACACCCTAGAGTGAAGGCTGGTCGAGAATGGGTAGAGAAAGTGCAGACGCCTGAACAAGTTAGGCTGGCACTCGATGCTCTAGCCAAAGGTATCTATGAGCGAGGCTTTGGTGACTTGGTGAACCGTATCAACAATCAACTAGACGTTAGCAGCTCCTCGAGTGACGACACTTACTTTATTGGGGTGTTGGATATAGCAGGGTTCGAAATATTTGAGAGTAACAGCTTTGAGCAACTCTGCATCAATTATACCAACGAGAAACTTCAGCAGTTCTTTAACCACCACATGTTTGTTCTCGAACAAGAAGAATATGCCCGAGAACAGATTGAATGGCAGTTTATCGATTTTGGCAAAGACCTCCAGCCAACTATCGATCTTATCGAGTTAACGAACCCTATTGGCATTTTCTCATGTCTAGACGAGGATTGCGTGATGCCAAAGGCCACAGATAAAACCTTTATCGAAAAGCTGAATTCGCTTTGGGACCGAAATTCTCCAAAGTATCGCGCCTCTCGTTTGAGCCAAGGTTTTGTTCTTACACATTACGCCGCCGAAGTAGAATATACGACCGAGGGCTGGTTGGAGAAGAACAAAGATCCCCTGAATGACAACATAACTCGTTTGTTATCAACCTCTACCGATAAGCATGTTTGCAATTTGTTTTCAGACTACGTCGATGTTGATGATGACCAAGGCTTTTCCCGAAGTCGGGTAAAGAAAGGTCTATTCCGTACGGTGGCTCAGAGACACAAAGATCACCTGTCAATTCTGATGAATCAGCTCCATTCGACACACCCTCACTTTGTTCGCTGTATACTGCCGAATCATAAGAAGAAGCCGAAGCAGTTTAATGCGCCTCTCGTTTTAGACCAATTACGATGCAATGGCGTTCTTGAAGGCATACGAATTGCTCGAACTGGATTCCCAAACCGGCTGTCATTCAATGAATTCCGTCAGCGATATGAAGTTCTGTGTCGTGATATGCCCAAAGGCTACCTTGAGGGACAAAATGCGGCTCAGATTATGTTAAATAAATTGGGTCTTGATAAGTCTTGGTATCGCGTTGGCTTGACAAAGGTCTTCTTTAGAGCCGGAGTACTCGCAGAGCTGGAAGAGAAGCGTGACGCTCTTATTCGCGAGATCATGACTTTGTTTCAGTCTGTTGCCCGAGGATTCGTTCAAAGGCGCATTGCAAACAAGCGATTATACAGAGCTGAGGCCACTCGCATTATCCAGAAAAATTTCCACGTTTATTTGGACTTACAGGCAAATCCCTGGTGGCGACTGTACACCGGAATGAAGCCGCTGCTCGGAGCTACACGAACTGCCGCTGAGGTAAAAAAGCGAGACGAGAAAATCCAAACTCTCGAAGCCAAGGCACAGCAAGACCTCCTAGATCGCCATAAACTAGAAGAGGAAAGACGACGAGCAGAAGTGGAAATAAATCGCGTCAAGAAGACGTTAGAAAGTGAACGGGCTCTTGCATTAGACAAAGAAGAAATTTTCAAGCGTCTTCAGTTAAGAGAAGTGGAATTGAGCGAAAAATTAGCGGAGGCTATTACCGACCAGGAAAAACTCGAGGAGCAACTTGATGAACTCATTGAAGCAAAGAGGAAAGCCGAAGAACAGGTTGATGCTAGGAATGTTCAGTTAGAGCAGGCTGGGCAGATTATCATGAAATTGGAATCCGATAAAAAACAGTTACAAGATCGTCTGTCAGAAATGGACTCTGAATTAAAAGAGATGGAAAATACTCATTCCGAAAGAGGCTCTCAAGTGCAGGGCTTGACCCAGGAAATCAAGATGCTACAGAGTCAAGTCAGTCTGAAGGATCGAAAGTTGCAGGACCTGGAGGCAAGATTGATAAAGTCTGATCAAGATCTTGATGTGAAACTGGCAAAAACTTCCAAAGAACTTGAAGCCTCTCGAAGACAAGTGAAGGATCTTTTTGATGAGAATAAGTCGATTAGACAGGAAATTGCCGAACTTTCGAGAACCTCCACAGGTTACGAGGAGATGATTCGACGGAAGGAAGGTGAACTTACAATACTTCGCAATGATGCAAAAAGACACGAAGAAGCCAGAAGGAGTCTTGAATCAGAGAAGCAGTCTCTTGCTGGCCGACATGACGGCATGCAGAAACGACTACGTGAGCTCCAGGCAGAGATGGATGCGACAAAATCAGAAAAGTTGACCTTAGAGCGCGAGGCCGCAGACGTGAGAAGACTGCTCGAGGCGAAAATGACCGAGGATGCCGAAGCCGGCCATAGTCGACGACTTCTTGACCAACAAATTCAGGACTTAAAGACCCAACTGTTTCAATTGCAAGCAGACCTCAGCCGAGAGAGACAATCGCGCGATGATGTTCAAATGCTTGGAGAACACAAGCTAGCGGAGTTAAAAGATAAATACGAATCTTTGAACGAGGCCAAGATCACAATAGAAAAGGAGATGTATATCCAGCAAGACACTTTACGTCGCGCTACGGAGGCTCGTACAACTGCTGAGCAGGCTCGAAAGGACCTGCAAGCCGAGTTGATTAAACTGCGCGAACGCTATGCCAATGCTGAAAAGGCACGTTTAGATGCTGAGAGCCATGTTGAGCGAAGCATCATGCGACAAGCCAATGAGAAGCAAGCCGTCCTCCGTAGGGAACTAGACGCCTCCTCTAAACAGTTACAAGAAGCGGAGGCGGACAAGTCTCGACTATTGGTTCAAGTCCAGGAATTTACGCAGATGCTTGCGGATTCTGAGAATTTCCGTGAACGCCATGACCAGCAAAAGGAACGTTTGGAACGTGAACTCGTCACAGTTAAAGGAAGATTAACTGCATCCGAAAATGACAACAGAGCACTTTTGAATAAGATACAACAGAAGAATCTCGAGATTTCTCGGTCGAATTCAAAAGCCAGCGACAGCCAACGATCTCGATTGGTCCAGCTACAAAACGAGAAGGCAAAGTTGGAAGAGGAACATAAGAGAATACAACGACAACTGGGTGATGCCCAAGTCATCATAACGTCACTCGAAAAGCAAAAAGAGAAGCTGGCCTTAACCGTCGAAGACTTGAATCATGAAGTGGCTCGGGAGCATAAGGCTAGTCGTAAAGCTGAGGCTGCCTCATCTGCAACAACCCTCCAGCTAGCGGAAGCCAATAGAAATCTGGACACAGAGAGGCAACTGCGTACTCAGGCACAAGCCAACACGAGACAGCTTCAGGTGGCATTGGACCAATCTCACAAGGAAGTCGAAGATTGCCATCAGCAGTTGATGCTTCTCCACAAAGTTTTTGATCCTGAGATTGACGAAAGCCAGAAGACTTGGGAGGCTGTACAGCCAGATCTCTCCAAGAAAGTAGACCTTGCTCAACTTCTGGAAATGGCTCACAGTGAATTACGCATTGCCGAAGAAAAGTACGCCAGAGCCGAAAGTCAGCTAGCCGAAATGCGCCGACGGCATGAAGGTGAGATGAAGGAGATGGATGCCCGCTATGCATCGTCGAAAAGAGCTCTTCTAGAAGAGATTGACAATAACCAAGTGGCCTCTTCTCGGTCTCCAAATCATATTCGAAATCATTCGGAAACTGCAAAGAAATACTCCAATCCTTCTACTCCTAATCGACGATTCAATCTCGGTGAAGTGAGCCAGGATTCTGGCCGTTCAGACCGGACTGTTGATACCACAACGTATCAAAAGCGAATGGACATGGCGACAGAGCTTGAAGAGTTGCAGAACAAGCTTCAGATGACAGAAATGCAAAACAGACACCTGCAAAACCAGCTTGGACTTGTAAACCCTAACACAGATATGTGGCAAGACGACAGTCCGTCGGTCCGCCGCGTTCATCTTCTAGAACGAGAGAATGGCAGGCTTCATGAGAAGTTGGACGACTCGGCTAAGAAGGTATCCGCCTTGGAGCGCACAATTCAGACAGGAGAATTATCTTTGCGCGATGTTCAGGCCAAGTCTCACGAGGAGCTTTTCGATCTTCTCAATTCCCAGGAGCAGTCCAGGAGGTCACTTCTCAGTGTCCACAAGAATGCTATTGCAGAGCTTACCGATGCTAAATCACAATTCGAAAAGCTGAAGAGAGGCAAGGCTACAATTGAGGTCGAATTGCGTGATGCTCGGTCTGACCTTCAAGAGGCTCAATTTGCCAGGGAGCAGGATGTTGCGAGTAGAAACCAGCTGTTACAGGAATTTTCTGATTTGCAGATTCGTCTCGATGCTGAAGAGTCGAAGGTTATTGACCTAACGTCAACTCTCAGTTTGTATAAGAGCCGTGCCGATGAGTATTTCAGCAAACTTGAACAGGCAGAGATTGCTGTTCTCAAAGCTGCTCGAGCTGAACAGTTTGCGAAGTCACAAGCCAAGGAAGCAGAAGAGACTTGCGCGACAATTATGGCGGAACGACAGCGCATGGATTCACTTGTTGAAGACCTTCAACGACAGGTTCAATCATATGACGAAAAAGTTGAGGATCTCTCTGCAGACCTTGAAGGTGCACTCCAGAGCAAGCGACGATTGCAAAATGAGCTAGAAGACTATAGAAACCACAGAGCATCGGAAATCGAGGACAAGGAAGCTTCTCTAGAGCAAACGAGGAAGAAATACCAGAGAGAATTTGCAACGCTCACAAATGAACTCGAGATTGAGCGTGAAAACTTGCTTCACGTCCGTGACGAGAATTCCAGGTTACGCGAGGAATTGGAGGACCTTCGCAGTAAATGGGACAATGAAGTGCTCAATAGTTCTACCTGGGCGAAGGAAAAGTCACGTTTGGAAATGACATTACAAGATCTTTCTTCTTCACGAGATGAAGCAGTCAAGGCACACAATGACGCTCAAAGCAAGGTTGTCTCATTATTGTCTCAAGTACGGAACCTGCGTACTTCTGTCGATGACATTGCCTCAGAGCGTGATCTGCTGGCCAAAGACAAGAAACAGCTAGAGTCCCGATTGCAAGAGGCCACAGATCGACTAGAAGACCTGGCAAATGGAGATAGTCCTTCGATGAGAGATGCTGCAGGTATGGATCGCGAACTTCTTGATCTTAAATCGAAACTCGCGCAGCTCGAAGACGTCTCTGCTGCTGCAGTAGGTAAGATGCGCCGAGCAGAGGTTCTTTCAATGGAAATGCAGAAGGAACTGGTTGCCGAGAGAGAATCAAACGCTTCTCTTTTCAAAGACAAGGCTTCGCTGGAGAAGCAACTCAAGGAGGTTCAGCTTCGATGTGTAGACCTGGAGACTAAAGGTTATTCATCGGCTACTCAGGATATCAAATTCCTTCATAAACGTGTTAAAGAGGTAAGCATTTGATTGCTGGTATATGTGGTATAATTTCTAACATTGATATAGCTCGAGACTCAGTTGGAGGATCAGGAATCCAAATACAGCGCTGAGCAGCGTTCTTCTCGCAACATTGACCGTACCGTGAAGGATTTGCAGTCTCAGATTGAACGGAGAGATAAGATGAATTCACAGCTGACTGATGACATCAACAAATCTCGCGACAAAATTGAACGCCTTCTCCAAACCATCGAAGAGCTTCAATCCTCTGATTCTCAAAGTCAACTACAAGCTAAGAGGGCAGAGCGAGAATTACGGGAAGAGCGGGAGAAAGCTCTTCGACTCGAAAGAGAACTAGAAGGGTGGAAACAGTTACGAGTTGAGAGAGGCAGTATTGTTGGAAGGGCGAACGGACTAAGTGATGCTGCCAGTCGCCGTGGTAGCGGTGTGTTTGTTGCTAACGGCACAGTCGAAGTGCCTCAGCGAAAAACCAGCAACACGAAAGGATTTCTTTGAGCTACCTGTATAGGATTAACGGTATATTGCACGATTTTGGAGCACTTTTACTTTCTACATTCATGATGCGGTATCTGCTAGGGAATCCATGAAGCATTCGTGTTTTTTTGTTTTTCGTTTTCTTTCATTCTTTATTTTTTTTATTTTTATTTTTATTTTTTTTTTTCATGGCAAACAAGAGGACGAGTAATTATGACGGTTTATGATCTCATATTATGTTTACATGTGCATTTATATGTACTGCGATTTTTATTGGGGTGCGAATTGGTTGGTGTCTGTAATTTTTCAGCCAGTTATTTTGTCAATGAACATACAATTTTTCCCCCATTCACACTATTTTAGATTTCTGGATACATATTCTAAAAGACTAAGCGATGCCAGTGGCCTGGGTTGTATCCAATTGTACCTGATATCGTAATTGAAGAGGGAGATGAAGTGCATAATCTTGATGTTCACATGGACAAATATCGAGGTGCATAAACTGTTACCTTGAAAGACTATCAGAATAAAAGCTGCCAGCATAACATTGCTTGACATGGATTTCTAGTTGTTGCTTAAGTACTTCTGTCAAAAGTCGATCACCTGAATCACCTGAAGACTGAAATTAGGGCATGGTATCTCATCCGAAAGTGGCTTAGCGTGAAACCAAGACTTGCCGATGCCGACGTCAAGTGCTAAAGAACGACAAGCCTTTCTTTTGCCTCAAAAGACAGCAGTCAATCGTGCAATCTGGTGTCATTGGCACCATTGTAACGCGCTCAAGCGTGAACTTTACAATAATACGTCAATTCTTCTCTTCACAAACATGGTAGGTTACTCAGTTCGTACCATCAACCCTTTTTTTTCCCCGTCAAGCTCACCATTTACACTTAATCTAGGCACGAAATAGCGAGAAAGCGCAGTCAATGCTCTTTCGCTTTCGAGCGGCACAGGCAGCTGATCTCGGTATTCTTGACATCGCACGTACGCGTCGACCAAAGGGGATTACACAGATCGACTCAATCCCCACGGCTGAAAAATGGCGAGGTCAAGTCCTGAAGGAGATTTCGCGAAAAGTTTCTAGAATCCAAGACCCAAGTCTGACCGATTACCAAATTCGAGATCTCAATGATGAGATCAATAAGCTTATGAGAGAGAAGTGGATGTGGGAAACGCAGATTCGGAATCTTGGCGGGCCAAATTACATGCGCGGTGGTGGAAGGGTATATGACGACGAAGGCCGAGAGATCCCCGGTGGTGGGAAGGGCTACAAATATTTTGGCCGAGCACGTGAACTACCGGGAGTGAAAGAAATGTTTGAAGCGGCTGCGAGAAAGAATCGACCAGAGGAAGATGATACTGATAGCGCGAAAAAAGCCGCAGACATACTCCGCAAACATGTCGACGCTGCATATTTCGGTTATGGACGAGACGAAGAAGACGGCGTATTACTTGCCTATGAGGAGAAGCGTGAAAAGGAAGCAATTGAAAATATGATTAAAGATGGCGAAGACGACGTTGAGGATGGCTGGGAACCATTGCCAGGCGACGCTGGTGACGGAACGGAATGGAGGCTCCCAACACTCGAGGAAGTACAAGAAGAACTTGTCGAAAGAAGGCGTCGAAGACTTTTGGACAAGATTTCCTAACTGTGAAAACTCTCTTAACACGTTCTGAATGCATCGCTATTTGCGCGGTTTTAAGCGGTTGCCCATGCAAATTTAAAGTAGATGAGCCACACCAAAGCACGGTGAACCTGTCTTATGTGAATTTCTTTCCAATTTTCATTAGTGACGCTAATGTACATGATAATATACAAATTTATACATGGTATGATGGGCTATCTTCGCTCCGAGCTTGAAATGGTCCGCAATTCAGCGTCCTCGGACGCTTGTAGTCGACCTTTCTGCTTATTCAATCGTTCACGAGCGATCGTTTTTCGCATCTGTGTTGGACTAGGACCGACAATCCTTGCGCCCTCATCTCTCAGTGTCCTCAATTCTGCTTGTAAGTCATCAAGAATGAATTTTCCTAGGTCGCCCGACCGCCATTTTTGGACAAAGTTGATGGCAGCTTGTTCAATATTAGGTATGGCACCTTTCTTGAGCAATCCTACTTGGTGAGCAAAGCGAGTAAGAAGTGGCATGACCTCGTTTGTCGGCTCGGACCACTTCTCATATATGTGTGGGTCATGTAAGTTGATAAAGTATAGGAGACAATCTGCCAACGTGACAGGTGGAATGATTGTGTCCTTGACGCAGCCGCAAAGAGCCAGCTTCAGCATCCTTTCTGCATCAGGCATATAAGGTACAAACACCCCAGGTGTGTCGAGAACATAAACAGAGGATTCGTCGGCTCTTTCGATTATCTTAATCGGGGTACCGATCTTGCGTGTCACGCCAGGGTGTTCGCCCGTCCGCAGCGCTTTGGCTTTGTGAACACCTTGATTTCTCAAGGTGTTGATTAAAGAAGATTTCCCAATGTTCGGCATTCCAACAACCATCACTCGACAAGCTGCTACTCGATGGGAGGCAGATTTGTCTGTTTTCAAATGTCTTAATATAGGACTGACGGACTCTGCGGAGGTAGAAGTCGTGAAGAAGGCGGATGTCTTATGATCCAACTTGCGTATTAATTCTTTGTTCTATACCAAAATCTCTCATTTAGCATCCCAGCCGACATCAAGGTAGCGTCTCTCCTTACCTTTCGTGTCACAGCATCAGCACCCCCTCCCAGGTCTCTCTTTGTATACACAATAAGGCGTTGTTTGTCACCCAGAGCTTCCTCAAACATGGGATTGATCGAAGTAACGGGAACCCGAAAGTCTCGACATTCAATGACATAGTCTATTCGAGACAACATGCTTTTCATTTTTTCCAGGCCAGCTCTGTGGTGGCCCAAGAAGTAGGACCGCGGAATCGAGTCATAGTGGGGGAAGACGCTGCGCGGTATGAATTTGATGGTCATCGTTGTTGATGCGATAGCAGCATTATCAGCGCGGGCTCTCGATAAATGGGCATTATATCAAATCACCCGAAATCGAGTTCATTGCTTACTGAGAGTATCGTCACGAAGTGAGTACGTACAAGAGTGGCAGAAAAAGAAAAGGCGGTGTGAAGGAAGAGAGAAAGAGTTATCCCTGCTGCCCAATGACGTTATGGTTTAGCTACGTACTTTTGATGGGGAAATCTGACCACGACTCTGTTCTCCTGCATTCTTGGACTTTGGCTCAGCCATCTCGAGGAGACGTGATATGATAGTTGGCATAGAAATGTGCGGGGTATCCTGGAACCGTTTCCCGTACGTCAGCAAGTATTCGGTCTGAGGTCTGTTAGAGAAGAAGTTGAGCATTAGGCGAAGAACAACGATCAAATTGATGAATTACGTTTACGAAAGGTCTAACTACCAGCATCAATAATTGATTTGAACTGTCGTCGATGTCTTTGATAACAGCCTTTCGGCCTCGGTCCACCAGGACTTCTTCACTGCGACCCCGGTCAGAAAGAGCACGCCGGCGTCTTCAAACACGCTCGCTGGAAAACAGTGTGAACGTTCCTGAAGAAGAAGACCCAGACGCGCATTCCATTATCACGCCATCGAAGCACACTCCCAAATCATGGCGGACTTTCAAGGACTCCGTAGCTAAAGGGGGCCCCCTACATCCGTTCCGCCTTTTGAGACAAGATATCGTGAACCTTCGCAGGCGCTATATTTCTGACTGGACGAACTTTAATCAGCAAATCTTTGCTAGCGCTGTCTATGTATTCTTCACCAATCTTCTGCCTGGCATCACATTTGCGAGTGACCTCTTCGTTTTGACCGGGGCTAATTGGGGAACAATCGAAGTTGTCTTCAGTACTGGCCTCTGCGGTGTCATATTTTCTCTTGCTTCAATACAACCATTGACCATACTTGGAGTGACTGGACCATTCTCGGTGCTCGCAGAAAATATCTATGCCTTATGCAACGACTCTTTCAATGTTAGAAGGTCTCCCTTTCCCTTCTTGACCCATGTCGACCTGCTAATCACCTCTAGATCCCCTTTCTGCCATTCATGGCTTGGTCACTCATTCATGCGGCTTGGATGCATTATGTGCTAGCTGTTATCAACGCGCATGACTGGACGATGCGATATGTCACCACATTTTCGACTGAGATATTTTCCTTGTTGAACAGTGTGATATATTTCCACAAGGCCATTCAGGAATTGCAAAGAGCTCACGATACTCTCTCGTTCGCCGCATTCCTTTATGCTATTATTGGCGCTGTTGGAACCATGCTCCTCGCGATCTTTCTGTCGACAGCGGAAACTTGGCGCCCGCTATTCCACAGATATATTCGTCTGGGTCTTGCGGAGTACGCTGCTGCGATCTCAATCATTATTTTCATTGGAATTCCTCATATCGGCGAACTGGCGCACTTAGACAAAATGACCCTCAATGTAAGCCATTCGTTTCGGCCAACCTCTCCAGATCGTAATACCTTCTTTGTCGAGTTTTGGAATTTGCCAGCAGGCTGGGCACTGGCCGCTATATTGCCTGGTGCCATAATCACAGTACTGTTTTTCTTCGACCATGAGGTGAGCTCAATCATCTGCACTATTGACAGATACGGAACCCGGAAGCCTGGTGGGTTCGCATGGGACATTGTTCTCTTAGGAACCACGACCGCGATGTGCGGAATTTTAGGTATCCCCCCGGCAAATGGACTGCTTCCACAGGCCCCTCTTCACTCTGAGTCGTTGATGCATGCAGAACAAGAGCAGCATACTGTCATTCTGAATGGGGAAGAAACGGTTGAGTCTCGCGAAGTTCGACGTGTCTATGAACAGCGTTGGTCTGCATTCACAGCTTCCGGGGGCATCATGCTTTTCCTCAGCCCACCGTTCATGAGAGTGTTGGGCTTGACCCCAACAAGCGTCTTGGCTGGTTTATTCCTATTCATGGGAGAACAAAGCTTATCAGTAAAGTGTGTATAAACAACCTCACCAGCAATGGCACTGTCTAATAGCCCACCATAGTCCCATATTATACCGATTTTTCTATATCCTGACGCCGCCTTCGGAGCTTCCTCTTCTCCCCGCCTCTCTTCACAATGAAAAGGCACCTTCTTCTCAAAGACCGTCTTATCTTCCCATCCATTGTTATACCATTCTTCAGATTGTGCTCACTGCCGCAGTATTCATCCTAACCCTTACAAAGGCTGCACCTGCTTTCCCTGTGCTCATAATTGCCCTTGTGCCATTTCGCCTGCTTGTTATGAAGAGGTGGTGGAACCGCGAAGTACTTCGATTTGTTGATGCATGGGCATGTCGCGAGGGTACTCCCGAGGATGACGAGGATCGAAAGCGTATATTTATGGACACCGCGGATGAGGCAATCTTTACTGCTGATGCTTATCCACTGAATAATGGGCGAAACACGAATGGCGAGACGTGTGTTACCTCTCATGTGCAGGATGATATGCGTAACACTTCGGAAACACATGACTGGATAGAGTTGAATTTGCGTGAGGTTGAAAATATCAGGGACGAAGAAACCGGTGCCGAACCATCACAAACAAAGTGAAGACTCCACCACTTTCGGGAAATAATTAAATAAATGCCGATATATAATTACCGGAAAATTCTGCTCAGTAAACTTTCTCCGTATCTGGCTGTAAATGAACGTGACAATGAGTTTATCGGTTGGTGCGTTGTAGGAAGACAGCCACATGTGGTAGTCAATTACGCGATTGAAGATGAATTGAAAACCCATGTTACTAATCATTTCTATACATAGGGTTATTTTGAGAGCGTCGATATAGGGTATTAGGTCCTCCACCCTTGCACGAAGTCGTGCAGCCGATCAATAACAACACCAAAAATAGCGTTTACACTGTCAGAGATCAATTGCTCAAAATGTCTTATGGCCTCTTCTTCACTGAGTTCCAAGTGGAATCGTTCCTTCACCTTGAGCACGGCTTTATCCGGCTCAACTCTAATATCTGGAATGTTGGCATCAACCATAAGGCTGAACAGATTGAGGATGAGGTTTGCCGACTTGCGAAGAGTGGTATAAGCCGTAAAGCAGTGATGTTTGAATTGTAGGTAGTGTGGGGAATTAGCTCCCCCCATACCCTCAACCATCTCTTTACAGAGTTTCATCATGGGCGCAAAGGGTTTAGGGTCTCGGCCGAGGATGAAACCAAAGTCGACATGGAAAAAATGGCCATCTGGTGCCAAAAGGAGATTCTCAAGGTGGCGGTCTCCCACACCAAGGAGGTACGTGACAACACAATAGCCGGCACAAGATTTGATATAGATGTCCATTGTTTCTTTACGAACACCAAGTGGTTCCGACTCGTCAGGGTTGTTGGCCCTGAGATACGCGAGTATAGAACCTTTATATTTTGCTGATGCTGCTGAAAGAGAAGTGGAAGGCACGAACTGTGCGGCTCCAGCAGTTGAGCCCGTTGCCAGGATACGATATGGAGTAAGCTTCAGATCCAAATTCTCTTTTTGTAGCAATTGATCCATCAACGTAATGATTTGGATGACTAGTTGGTCTTGACGGAGATCATCGCCAACTTTGAAATGAATAGGGTATTTGCGGCCGTCCGAGGTTTTGAAGTTGATGAGCAGTGGAGAGAGTGAGGATTTGAAGACGTTGGAATCTTCAGGAAAGCAACCCGTTATGGTAACATTTGGGTCTAAGGGTAGAGGCAAAGGCGGGTCTATATTGATGATCTCGTTTTTGGGGTCCTTGAGGTATTTCTTCAACTTCTCGATCTTCACCTCACGATTCTCCCGCGATAAACGTGTTTCTTTTGCAATGCGAGTCAAGACAGTAATCAGTTCGCCCTGCCGCAGCAAAGTCTTTCGATGCTCGAGGTGGACCCTTTCCAACTCTGACATAAAGTAAAACTCCACGCGAGCGAACAGGCGTCGATGGGATGCTACATTTGTGATACCTGTGTCGTCACATTCAACCATGAGGTACCAATGAAGGTAGTTTCCCAATACAAAATTGTTCGCAGCTCTAGCGATTAGGAAATTTGCGAGAGACGAGTCGTGTGCAACATCTTCTGCGCTCTCCTCGGGTGCATTCTCGAACTTTAAGGCTTGGACGAGTTGCAAAAGATATAGGAGAAGCTCATCGTCCCCTGCCTTCCGTAAACGCTCCACGGCGTAGGCACGAACTGTAGCATTGTCGAAGGTGGGTCCCAGTAATTCCAATGCGTCGTCCACATCAATCTCGGTCCACTTAGGTAAAATTTCCATTGCTTGTCGAGTCTCCCCAGAATCCCTCCAATTTACAGATTTTATGAATTTTGTCAGAGCTTTCTTGTCGCGGGTTAGATAGTATCTGAACCGCCAGATAAGATCCTTCTCCTCTGCCGTCAATTCATGCGTGGGTCCATAGGACATAATCAGATTCAGTTCATCGCGAATCTTGGGGTTTGGTTTGAGATCGCGGTCCATGATTCCGGTTCGATGACTGCGGACAAGTCTTCTGTGCTTGTCTTCGCAAGGGTTCCCGGTCTGCCCAACTTCCGGGTCATATATTCTGATGATTCGATAATCTCCTGCATCATCAGCGCCTTCAATCCCTGGCCCTAGACGCACCTCTGGTGGTGATTTGAGGGTGGCGGAATGACTATTATGTGCATGCTGAGGATATGATGAAACAGGTGGAGGAGGATACTCGTAATCGGCCCAAACAATGGGGTGATCAAACCGCGGAAAATCGATATACAATACAAAGTTTTCTTCATCAAACTCTTCTGTATCAGATTCATCTTCATTTCCGCCCTTTGACTTCCTGCGGTCTGTTTTCTTGGCAGCTTGTAGTATGGTAGCTCTTTTTCTGGCTGCTTCTTCCGCACTAATTTTTATTTTCTCCAGTTGACGAAACACAAGCTGGTCCAGCCAGTCTATACGTGCGATATCCCCCATCTCATGTTTTTTTATCAGGCCTTCAATACGCTCAAGCTCGGCTTCTTCAAATGTTTGATTAAGTTGAAGAGTGCCGTTCGTCCTGCGCCGTTGAGCGGGGGGCGTTGACGGAGTTGTGGTCGAAGAAAAGCCATCCGCAGCTTTATTCCTATAGATCTTGCACTTTTGTCTTCCCATCCGCAGCTTTTGATCGTTGTCAAAAAGCGATATTGTAGTGCCGCCGAAGGGAACGCCATGGCCGTTCGAGGCATCCTTATCCAGCGGCGAAAGATCCCATACTGTGATGGCCAACTGAGATCGTAACGGGGCATCCTTTATACAAAGAGGCATCTGTAGCCATTCGTTCCATGTGCGAGTTGTCTTGAAGGATTTGTAAGATGTTTGCATAGGAACGCCGAGAGGCTTCGAATCGGACCATAGCTGAACTGTTACGAAGAGATCGGACACGGGGCTTTGGTTGGATCCCAGATGTCGCAACTCCGGGTCTTTAAGGAGAGTAGAGAACGGTACAGGTTTTTGTTTCCCTTCCAGAGCACCGCTTTACAATGGTTAGTATCGTGTTTGACATCCTCAAGGATTGGCGTCTTACATCTTGACGTGCACGGGAAAGTCGACCTGAGTGGAGGTCGCAAACGTGAAGGCTTCCATTTCATCGAACGCCTGAGCTTTCTCTAGGGACTCCGTCCATCACAAAAGATGTGTCGATGAGTGTAGAGGTAACTGTATGTCATGGCCTGCGCATCAAATGCGCTGATTGTTGTTGGAGGTTCCAATATAGCCTAAAACAGAAAGCGGTACACTATGTATAGCCTGCCAGCTAACCACGACAGTCTAATCACATGATCCGTAGTCCTCAATTAGGAAGAAATCGCGTCGAAACGCGCTTCAATTCTTACTGACGTCTGTTTTTCACGTTTATTCCCCCGTACTTTGTTTTGCTTGGGACTACGCCGTACTTCACTGTTCCTGGTCATCGCTTTTTATTCCCTCATCCATTCTCGCTAGCCCAGCAAGGTTTCATAATGACTACATAGGACGACGCAAGTGCAGCGCCGCATTTTAGAGTGAATTTCTTCCGCTTCAGAGAACATTGCGCAAACATGGCTCCTATCAGACATTCTCAAAATTATCCTGACAACGAGCAGCCTCATTCATCATCCTCCGAAGACAGTCTATCTGCAACCTCGTCTGATAAGGAGAATTATAATCACGGTCGTCGAAAAGTCGCGAAGAGGAAAAGCGACTACGCAATGTCTTCCGCCGCAAATAATCCCGCCTCGAATGCGTCAGCATCAAACAGCAAGCGAAGACGACTCGCTGACCTGCAAACAAATGCAGAATCCACCCAGTCCTCGCAATACCAGCCGCGCACCTCTCAACGTCCCGTTACCGACTACTACGACCCTGATCAAGATGTTGGCGAGCGTCGGGAGATCCGGAAAAGCCTTAGAGATCTGACCCGTGATTTGAATGGTAAGGCGGTGCTTCTCCGCGATGGTTACTTTTGGGGTGCTTACCCTTGAGCGAAGATTATAGAAACGAGTATCTTCAAGCGGGAAACAAGGGTATTATCAATACCATTCAGAAAGCAAACGAACTTTTCACTCGTGTGAAACAAACATCGGACGCGACTGTCGATTCTCAGCTTTTGGTTAATGCGGCTGATTTATCTTACAAAAAATCGGCACAGCTTGCCTTGGGTGGTGCAACCACTGGTATAGATGTGGATGAGTTTGTTTCGAAATGCATGTCATTCATGTCCCGTGGCCCGGTGAATGACTCGTCAACCATTCCATCTAGTACACAACGCCGCGCGCAAAACCGAAACAATGGTAATGAGAGTGATGGAGATGATGTCGACGATACGTTAAACTGGGATTGGCTGGGTCGGGCTGCCTGCTTTCCACACAATGCACGCCCTTCACTGTCTGGGTTTCTCCTAGGTCCATTGTCTATCGAGAAACGAACGCGACAACTCACGCAGCATAGGGCGGCGAACCGGATTGACACGTCACGGGTAATACAACCGCAAGATCTAAGAGAGGAAGACCTAGATACACAGGAGACATCAAACCTGACTGCTATGTGCTCTAGCATCAACAAACTCTTGAGAGATAAGCAGGAAGAGAGTATGGCTGCTGTTAATAACGAATTGAGTACATCCGCAGAAGATCCACCCCAAGAGGAGATTCAGCGGGTTATGGACAAGCACAGTATTGCTGACGATGGAGGCATCCCGCTTTTCCGGTTTTGCATCAACCCCAGATCTTTTGGACAGAGCGTTGAGAACCTATTCTATATAAGTTTCCTTATAAGGGATGGCAATATTGGGGTTTCGCAAGATAGCCGGGGGCTTCCCACACTGCGTAAGATTATGGCCTCTGTTGTTATTTTTTGCTCCTTTAATTTTGAAAGAAGCTATCTCACATGTTAATTACTGTAGAATCAGCGAGACCATACCCCCCAAGCGAGGCGCAGGGAAGGGGCATTGAGAAACATCAGATTATCTTTAGTCTCGATTTCGAACTGTGGCAAGATCTGATCGACAGTTTTAACATCAAGGAGTCTATTATACCGCACCGTGACGACGAGGTTTACCAAAGGCAAAATCAACACGGTTGGTACAACTGAGTGAATCTGTTTTGTGCATACTCTACTTGACTCGGATTTGCAGGAAGTGGATTTGGACACGGAGGAGGAAATGGCTTTGTAATTTCAATTGATACCCCCATTCAAATTTTTGATGGCATTGCACTGCTCTTAATTGATTATATCACTATTCATGGAAGTTAGAGAAGGCAATCAAAGAGCATGTCGTCGAACTACTTCTCACCAGAGGCCTTGAGTCAGAGGACAAAGATGGCAATGGCGAGACAGCATTGTCGTTGGCTGCACGCAATGGACATCAAGTTATTGCTGATATGCGACAAAGAGCCAGTCCAGGTCTTAGGAGCTTCAGCCATGCCAAAGCCAACACAACTGAAGCATAGACCAGGGCCTGTCAGAATGCCAATATTATAAATCTGCTGAGCGATACTCAGTGTGTGGGTGTCTATACTTCCAACATGGTGCTAGTATCTGCTCAACACCAGCCTGCACTACCGATTTTAGTGACTCTACGTATATAATATTCCAAGTACAATCAGCAGAAAATAGTAGTAGGTGCTAATTGTTGCGATGGTTACAAAGAAGCATCTCGTCTCATGTGTCTGGCTATAACTAACGGCAGGCCAAGAATGCTGGCATTGCCTAACAAAGAGAGGCCTTCCGTTCGTTAACTAGTTATAGTCGGGTTCTACTGTAATACCCCGGAAACGGGGTGACGCAGATGATTGGCTAGATAAAGGAGATGTGGGTCTGGAAGGGGTCCTCTAGGATCGCATGGTCAACGTGAACGACACGAACAACTCCAAATAATCTCCGTCTCTTCTTCGAAGGGCATGTGCTCATATAAGCGGACTAGACGATGTGACCTATGAACAGCATAGGGATCCAGAAGCCTTACCGTTTGATCCGCAATTATGACTGGCGACAGAACCCGAGCAGGCGTCTGGTCTTCTAAACCCCCACGCAGCCTTGACTTGAACATGGACAACATCAGCGTGTCGAGTAGCAATGATGACGAGACACTGCATAGCCCCTCTCAAAACGCGTTTTTCCAAAGCTTCCCACGGGGCATTTCCCCCAAATATCCATTGATCAATTACGTCACGAACAAATGGGATACCTCCCGCTCATCAAGAGGCCGCTCGCTTTCCACTACGTCGAATACTTCATTTGACCGGCATCGATATTCGTGGATGGCATTTATCCTGTCCATCGTAACGGCGCCGCGGTTTCGACGGTATATGGTCGTATACGCTGTCCTGGTGGTGTTCGCTTACGTAGGATGGGACTTTTTCCTGCAACCAATGCTAGAAGAACGCAAAGTTATAATCGAATCGCTGGATGTTGCGGCTATGGATAAAGTTGGTGGCTGGTATGGGACAAACTTGCGACCGGAATTTGCCGATATCGTGACAATGAGAACTCTTAGTCCAGACTTCCTGCCACGCCTTGAGAAAAGTAGTCGCCGCCAGTCTGGACGGCGGCGCCTACTCATTGTTGGCGATGTACATGGCTGCCAATATGAGTGTAAGTTATTACCTGGCTAAAGCAGTATTGAACGAGTTGAACGAGAAAGCATAGAGAGACCATCGGCTGACTTATATGCCTTAGTGGAACGACTATTGAAGAAAGTTTCGTTCGATCAGACCGCCGGAGATCATCTAATATTCACTGGCGATATGATCAGCAAAGGTCCTGCGAGTGCTGGTGTCGTGGACATCGCTCGTGAATTGGGAGCTTCATGCGTCCGAGGTAATCATGAAGACCGTATCTTGCTTTTGCGATCAGAGATGAAACTTCGCAATATCTTATCACCAGAATCCGTCGATAGGAATGAAACTGCCCAGTCCGATGTGGCTGAGCGAAAAATAGCCAGAGAATTGAGTGACGAACAGGCAGCGTGGCTGCAAGAATGCCCAGTGATGTTGAAGCTTGGATCGGTCACCGGTATGGGTGACGTCGTTGTTGTTCACGGCGGACTGGTCCCTGGCGTGCCGCTTGAGAGGCAAGAATTGACGAGTGTTATGTCCATGCGAACTATTGATTTGGAGACTCATGTTCCAAGCTCGGGCAAAGAAGGCATGCCGTGGTTCAAAGTAAGCCCCTTTCCTATCGTTATTAACCTCCTGGAAAAGAATGTAGAAGAAGGGTCAGAGAAATTCATACTAAGCCATCTCGCTAGCTATTCAACCAATACCACAAGCTTCTAGTAACAGGACAAGAGCGAATCGACTCTTCACCCGTCCCCACTATGACTGTAGTATATGGACATGATGCCTCTACATCGCTCAACATACGCCAGTATACCAAAGGTCTGGACTCCGGATGCGTTTACGGCCGTAAACTGAGTGCGCTTGTCATCGAGGACGGTGGAAAGAATGAAGTTGTGCAAGTGAAATGCAACGAATATGTGAAATCGTGATTATGGTGTTGTCATGACCTGTTTCGGTATCTCTTTTTTCTCTCCTCTTGGAATGATTCGTCTCGCCTTTTTTTTTAAAAAAAATCGTTTTCGTCCACGCGTTTATTTTGCCGGTTTGGGTTTAGGATTGGGGTTTATGGGCTTATATGTGGAAAGCCCTATTGAGGCTGTTGAAGCCATTTCGTGAGTGCATGTCACATAACATGATGATACCCAAGTAATCGGTGATAATGCAGCATGAATATACCAAGTAACGCAACTTGTAATTCAATTATTTTCTGACTAAGGATTTTGATTCTCAATTGCCTTGCAAAGTACAACATTGTGTATCATAACGAATCTCTCATATTTTTTTTCCGAATAATAGCGATAGGTTTTGGTAATAAAGATGAACACAACAAGTCTCTAACAATGATCAAGTCCCCAATTTTCATCGAGGACAAACTATCAACGGCTCGGCCCCGGAGGCATATGAACCCAATCCCCATCTTCTTTCCAGACACCGGCCTTTGTAAAGTCATCGTACCACACGCCCCCCAGTGCACCGGTCTTGATATACGCAAATCTAAAATACTCTGTGTGTCTTGGACTTAAGCGCGTCCATTCGAAGGACAAATCTGTTGTTTCTTCTATATTGGCACTTTTTTGTGCGGGGGAAGCACGGTATAAATGCGTGCGTAGAACATCGTTGACTAACACGGCGATACCGGAGACATCGGTTGGGAGGGCTGATAGCAGAAATGTAAGGCTGTCTCCTGCAGCTTCAACAATAGGAGGAGTGACGTTTGGTAGGGGACTGCCTAGCTGGGCATCTCCAAGTAGAGCAGTCGGAGTTTGTAAAATGCTATCAAACCCCCAGCGAGCGATGCCGTTAATAAAAAGGCCCACAAGCAAGCCTTGATAGACGAGACTCGGCCGAGTTTGCAGTGCAGTCCCAGGAAGGAATAGAAGCGCGAGGATATAATGATGAATACGGAGGTTAAGCTGAGGTATGACAACCATGACCAATAACGCGCCTACCATACTGCCATATATTACCAGGTACCGAGGCAGCTTTCCTGCAGACCAGATAGCCCAGGCCTGTGAGACCACGATAAACACAATGACGGACACAATGATAATCAATGCAGGTATAGCGCCCGGTTGTTGCTGAATGTCGTGCGGAGTCAACCGCGATATTGGGATCCGGTCAAAAGTATCGGTATTCAAAGCGCCAACCCAGAATGGGCCGAGCCATAGAACGGTCTTTTCACATTGAGCAGTGAGACCCCGCAGAGTATCCTGAACACAGAAATAGAATATGGCCCAGCCGACAAAAGCGGCCGGTAGTAAACGGCCCATACCAGTCGAAACGACCTCGAGGTAATCTGAGGAGAAAGGGGGATCGGATGCCAGTGCGACTTGGAACCATGATATGAACCAAACAGAGACGTAGAACACAGCCGGCGAGGTAGTGCACAGTGAGACGATGGATGTGAAGAAGACAGACATGGCAAAGAGCAGCCATCGCGGATCACGGCACACAGCAGCCATCTCCTTCTCGAGAACATACGAGAGTGGGAAAGAAGAATTGAAGGAAATGCTAGAGATGCCGTTTCTCTCTACAGAATTAAATTCGTTTCTCTCGCCTGTGCGTCGAAGAATCCCGCATCCTCCGGCAGCAGTGTTGATGATACCAGCATGGATTGCGGCGGAACAGATGAAGGAATCACCTCGATAATAAGCAGTCGTATCTTCGGAACCCGGTGCGCCACCAACCACCAGGGGCTTATAATTTATTTCCTGGTCGCCCACAGTATATGGCTCCAGGAGGATGGTGTCAAGGCACCCGGCGGGACATCTGAAGGCAAACGCCTGGTCGTCAAAAGGACGGCATGCGTCACCATTGATACCACAGAGGGTACCATTATGCCTAGATTTGTCCACGTTAGTTTCAGAAATATTAGTAGAAGGTACCATGACACTACCACGTACCACAGCCTCGACCCGCATGAAAGTCGATTCGGCATTCCGTATCCAGGGATCTCGGGGCCAACGACCGACCAGTTCAGAACCGTCAAAAATATCAACGCCCACAGGGCATGTAACGCGATCAAAGCCAGAATCTTTGATTTGACAGTCGGAAGTAGTCGTCTGACTATGCGGATCGGCGCAGTTTGAAAGCCCTCAAAGAATGGCGTGATGCGATGTTTGCGCGGAGGCTCCGGGCCCCTAAGAAAAGCGCCCGCCCATCCAAGCCAACCTGAAGCTGTGCTCCGTTGTGTATGATTTCCTGGGTATGGGCTTCGACTGCTGCGACCACCTAGGAGACCATGGTCGACGTCGTGTTCAGAAAAGTCTAGAGAATCCTCGGAACGACCTGGTTCGTGGCCGTCAACATCAACATTCACTGGGCTGTCCCTGCCAGATTCGAGGTCTTCTAATGGCACTGATTCCGTCTCGGCGAGCACCTTATCGTCGCTGGAGCCTGGATGATTGGCAACTCTATCGATGGCGGTCATATTTTTTATATCCACCTAGACATACATCCTGTGATAATAATACATACACGCGCTTCCATAGTTTATGAAGTAGCCAAAAAGGGCCGGCGCCCGCGGAGACTGAAAATGCCGGGCTAAAGATTTAGCCCAATCAGGATGCTTGTATACTTGGTCTGCAACGACCAGCTATAGTGGAAGTTGTAGTTTACCTCGAAAATATTATATGCGCATGCAAGGTGACCAAGCAAATTACTTGAGGGCTTCTCCAATATTTTAGTCCACTGCAGAGAGATGAGGTTGTTTTAGAGTTGAAGGCGTAAAGCACATACTCCATCAGCTGGCTTGTGATTGGATGAGTCTATAGTCCTGCTTGTAGCCAATCAAAGACAAGCATCCAACATGGCAGCACGCTTATATGGCTTCATCAGCAGCTTTCGTACGTAGCATTCTTGTCAATTTCGTTATATTGATTTGGTCTTTTACGTGCTCAGAGCAGTTGTTAGCCGACTGACGTCACTGTGGTACACCATGACAGTCGGGTTCGTAGGTGCGACGGAAAATACAGATATAAGATACAGACGTAGCTTATATTTCCCAATGCCAGTATTCCGGGGTGTGCCATACATTGTACACTTATTATAAATCCGACGCGGTGGTCTATACTCCAGCTGAATGCTTAACATCCTCCACATCACTATCGCTTCCATTTGCAGCGTTGAAACCAATTTCTTGTCTCGCTGAGCTACTGCTGGCCTCGCTGCCTCCATTGTTGCCATGATAAGCTCCCGTGCGCAACGTAACTCGATTTTCAATTTCCGCGATTCTGTTTTTGCATCAATTAACAATTATCATATCCATGCATAGAGAAATTCCCCTTGGCATACAATGACATATAATATATCTGCATGACAGGGGCTGTGAAACATACACTCTACCAGCTCCATGGGTTTGGGTGCTTGCGAATTTTCCGATTCTGTGGATAGAGAAGAAACCTTGATTAATGGCCGTAGTTAAGAAATAGAGCTCCTTTCACTGTGCAAAAACTCACCTCGAATAATTAGTCTAGTTCCTCGAGCCTGATTCTACGAGTAGCGAGGTCAATACCTCAGCAAGTATATTGAACAGGAAAGTTAATTGAGTGTAGGTACTCACCTTAACTTCGGGAACACAAAAATAAGAATAAATAGCAGCAATAAAACTGAGGGCGCCAAAGACCCAGCCGATATTAGCCTCGATGCCATCGAGTAGATAAGGTACACAAAATGCAACTATGAAGGCCGCGACCACGCTATAATGATGTTCCCTAGTCAGAAAAGAAGTCGGGAATCCCAACCAGAAATACGGAGCCATACTTTACTGTGCTAGTGAAAGCCATTGTCTTCTCTCCAAGGCGTGCTGTTCCAATTTCAGATGCAACCTGCCACGAAAAATTTGAAATGAGCAGGAAAGGTTCATTGTATTATTTAGTGGCAAATGCAAGATGAACTCACGACGTAGGCAATTGGAGCCCAAGTCCTGAATAAGTCGCTTTGTTAGTGACATCAATCAATGATGGGAATTCGTAGATCAATTGAAACCCGCACATGGCGAAAAAAAAATTGAACAACATGACCGATGCAACGAGGCCGTTGGCGTCAGGGGTCGTATAGTTACTCTTTGTACCGACTCCAGCCATAGCGAAAAGAAATATTCCTTGCAAAACGGCTCCCCAGATGAGAAGATCACGGCGTCCGGCTAGATCGCTTAGAGGCATTCCGATGAGAACTCCAACCCATGCTACAACAGCAGATATGATGTTGTACTCGAAAGCGTGAGCCGAAAGCCCAACCGCTTTGTAGAAGCGAGGGGAGTCTTTTCGAGTTTGTTAGCTGTTCTGTGCAACACAGGTACGAATATGTCAAATGACTCACATTGAGAAACAAATATCTGTCCCGTGAATTGCTGAAAGACGAAAACCATTATAGCAATAGATGTTCGACGAAGATTTGTGCCTTTCTGGAGTTGAAGAAAAAGTGAAAAGATATTAATGATTGCAGATAAGGGGTATTTGAGGTCCGAGTTTCGGATGGAGAATTGAAAAGATGACGAAAAGATCTATCCAAGGACCCTGCTCCTTCCTTGTCTCGAGAGCCTCTTGTATGGCATCTGCCTCCTCTTTACAACTGCCAGGAGCTATTAGACGCTTAGTTAGCTCTCTCTCCACTTCAACTGAGGAATAAGATGTGGTGAAAGGAATGCGGAAAGGAATCAAGAGTGAATTACGAACCTCCATCTTCCTTTGGACGAACATTCTCTAAAGTGCGAATAGCATCTTCTTTGCGCCCTTTGCTGATAAGCCATCGGGGAGCGCTAGCTAAAGATCGGGCAGGGCAGAGTCTGGATCTACGCACCGTAATCCCGTGGCTAGAACAATGAGTAGAAGACAGCGAGGGATGAGATCATTGTCGAGCATCTGCATAAAAGTGGGAGGATGAACGAATGTATAGAGACAGAAATGATGCGGTCCATTGAAGTACGCCCGGAGAATACGGAGTATCTCCGGTCGAGAAGGGAGCCCAGCAAAGGAAGTAAAATAGCTCGGATCTCTTCTTCTGGATGATGCAGGCAATGGTCGATGAGGCTCTGCAGGGTCACGCTTGATACATTCAGCTCTGGCGAGCGCACAGTTATTACACTGCTGGACTCCATCCGTCATGCCACATTTCAGCTATGACATTTGTTAGTAGCCTGTTATCCAGCTCGTGTAGCCATGGTCACCAATAGAAGTAGAAGCTTCACCTTTTTATGACGCCAACGCTCGCAAGCCTTCCTGTATTTCTTCCGGTCTTGAAAAGACGAAACAGTGGGCCAGGAACACTCCAGGTTCAGACGAAGGCAATTCTGGCAGCGGTCTGCGTGCTCGTCACATTTAACCTAGTGAGTGTAAGCCATGTTTTGAAGCGTGGTAAGGATCGAATGCAATAACATGGCAGTGTTTACCTTTCTCGGCCGACATGTTAGACAGCCTTTCCTGCTGCGAGCCCTGGGGGTTGCGTGTAGCATCGTGGCTGGAGTTCAACTGAGTTGGAGTTAAAAGGGGCTACCTTTTTGCGAATTGAATAAGAGATGAATACATTGCTTTATTTAGGGTCGCAATGCTCGAGAAGAGAAGGATGGATGTTCAAGAGGAGTGGTGGTGCGCTAAAGAATTGCGTTATATACCGCCACAGTCAGATTTCCACCACCAAAACCTTCTTCAATACTTGCACTGATATGAACACCAACACATACATTCTTCTATACCTAACTACAACGACCTGCCTATCCTCGTTTGAACCCAGCCTTATACTACAGTGTCAATGTACCTAGGTACCACTTCCTGCTCGGAGCTCGGAGCAACTCAGGCGTGCAACTCCGACAAAGAATAATGGCAAAAGACCAGCTGCAAAGAAGAAAGCAGCCCCCATTCGAGGCTTCTCCGCCTTTCAGTATTTAATCATTGAAGTCCTGGGCCAGTGTCTACTGTGGTTTGGAACATCATCATCATCATCATCCAAACAGCGATTGACCCACAGCAAACATGTCCTCTCTTCTGAGCCAGCCTCTGGCCATCTCATCCTTCGTCCCGCCTCTCCCACTGCTTGGCCTCATCACCTCCACAAGCGCACTCGTTGTTGCCTATTGCGAGACCATCTTTCTCGGCCCTCTCGCCGACCCCAGTGTCTCGCCAGCTGCGGTTCGCACTGTCTGGCGCAAATGTTTCTTCCCTGGCTTTCTCGCTGTGGCGTCCTCGCGCATTGGAAGTGTCGTTAGCGGAATTGCGGGATATAAAGCTTCGCCGCCGGATTCACCTGCTGCCGTACTGTACACTGCTGGTATTGCATTTACGGTGGCGCATTTTGCTTTCTTGCCTTGGGTATGCTTTCTTTTTTCTCCCCGTGTCATTTACGATGCCATTTTTCTACCACAAACACACTTGTCAAGTCACAACTGACAGGGGGAAAAAAAGGCCTCTGCCGCTCTCGACCCGATTTTGAACGATAAAGCTGAAGCAGATACCAAAGTCCATGAGGGCAATAAGAAATTCATCCGTATCGACAAGGTCCGCACTTTCCTCAGCGAGGCACCTGCGTTCTTGTGTTTCTTGGGAGCGAGCCTGGCCTATCTCCAGATTTGATTGAGCGGGGCCAATGCCCAACCCAGCTTATTTGGGCCAGAATACCCGATTGAGGAGAAACTGGACTGATAGGAAGGGAGTTTGTTTGGAGTTTTAATGCTTAGATTTCAATGGGACATGTCTTATATACGATGGAATGAATATAGTAGAAACTGACTAGTCGAATTGAATGATTGAATGAGACTAAGAGTAGTATAGGTAAAGTTCCCCTTGGTAGTGTCATAAAAAGGTCAATCAACATCAAATGCTTGAAAGAGCGAGTCATCGCGTAATTTCAAAACAAGAATAAGGGGTATTCAGCATCATCAAGGCGGAGAGAATAGAAACTAGAAGGGTATCGAGAAATCGTAATCATGAAGCGTCCACTTTATGTCCATACTTTGTGAAGTCCGGTTAAGGCTTTTGATCGGTATTCGGCTTGCTTCCATCTGTGTTTCACTTATCAAGTGCAGTCAGGATGTGGTTAGACCTGGTACCGTCCATAGACGTAGTTTCCGCGACGAGCACTGCGGCGATCCACACGCCAGACAAAGTAAATGCCCTAGGAAAGGGGATGTTAATGTTAGTTTGAATATGGCACTAGGCGCATTCACGACATACCAGAATACCAGACACAAGCCAGAAAATGGCAGACAAGAAGCTGAAAGCCTCGGCTGCTCTCCAGCGACCACAGATGTCATTGTGAGTGATTCCACCCCAGCTGAAAGCGCCACCGCAATTGATGTCGCCCAAGGCATTGACTAAAAGGCCGAATGAGGCGAACCAAGCGAGCGAGAGAATTATATCAACTAAGATGGGGAGAGAGATGGAAGGTTAGAACTAAAGAGAAGGGAAGAAAGGGGGCATTTCATATTCAGCAAACGTACTGGGCCAGATGAAAAAGGTATGCGCAAATGGTATCAACCAGAGTAGGCCCAGTAGAAGAGATAGGCCCGCTACCACTTCGGTGTAAATCCAGCGGCCTTCCGCCCAGGCGTCGAGGTGGTCGTTGGTCCATTCGTGAAGATAGTATCCGATGATACCGGCAACGACCTGTGAGAGACTTAGAGACTGCACGTAGGGCAGTGGCAGAGGACAGTACTGACGGTAGCACAAGCTAGTTCTGCGACACGCAGGATAACAGAAAAGAGTCGTGAGATGACAGGCATTTTGTTCGGTTACAAGTAGTATTGTGATCTGCTGGGAGCTTTCGGTCACTCGGCTCTTATGGTTGAGGGAAATCCCATGGGGAGGGGATGGGATTTAAGCATGCGTCAGGCAACTTTGGCCTCATTCTCGTTCCGGAACTTGCTCTTGGCATGACGCGAAAAGGCTTCTTGTGGACCAGTCAGGCAGGAGATTTTGATCGCAGACATTGTCGGTGGTGATGGGCGCAAGGGCGTTTGCTTTGAGTAGTTTGGCAGTGGTCGATCATATGCACTCCGCTCCCGACCTACGTCATATTTTATTTATCCTCCGTGTCCAACCAAAGAAATAAAAACACATATGCAATAGTAATATTTAAAATAACAACAATAACTAACGCTTCTTTTTCCCCTGTAGGAACCACTCAAACACATTTTGGAACACCGCCTTACCCCCAGTCTCAATTACGTCACCATGGCAAGGAATAACCCGGTCAAAATCCCACGTGTTGATGCGCGCCACCGACTCGGAGACGCTCTTGCGGTCGTTGGCCGTGATATACCACACAAAGCGCTTGTGCCATGTCGCAGGGGGTGGATTGGCCGAAATCAACGGTGTGAAAAGCTTGGTGAAGATACCCGAGGTAGGCGATTCGCCACTTTGAGAGTATTGTTCGTTTGAGGGAAGATTGAAAATCAGGTCTGCTTGGATCATGGTCTTGCTGGGTTTGTGCAGGAAGACAATCTCCTTGTTGCCATGCCCATCGACGTATTCAATGTCAAACTCCTGGTCGAACTCCTCCGATATATGGATGTCGCGTTTGTTCGCCTTGGTGAGAATATGTTTGAATTCAGTGTTCTTGTGGTCGGGGTGGCCCTGTCGCTTCTCGTACAAACCCTCGGGCGCGATAACCTCGGCGTCAGGGAATGCTTTCTTCCAGGCAGAGAGGTGAATATGATGCTCCATGTCCGGTGCCGCAATGTATTTAATCGTCCCATGCTGCGAAGCAATGGTCTGCTGCACATCGGCGGTAAGCGCCACAGGAGAGACAACGAGCATGTTGCCCGTGGCAAGCCTTACTGCGCCATATTAGTTGCAGGCTTTGAATGTGGGCAGTATGGTAGTTACCAAGAGTAGCTCTTCCGCCGAACTTGATGAGCCCAAACCGCGAAAATGGGACGCTGAAGGTAGTGATCTCGGGGGTGAGCTGCCGGATCACCATGACCTTGTTTGGGTCACCTGGGAATAGTCTAGAGCCCATGGTAGCGAGTTGTAGTGAGTGAATGTGAGTTGTAGTGAAATTTCATTCGGAGTATGACTATGACTATGATGCAACCGCGATGAAGCTTTTCGCCGATTTGGGAAGGCGCAGGCGGACTAGCCCCAATTAGACTTTAGAGCCTGCCTCGGCCCGCCCGCTAGTTCCTCAGGCACCAATCATTCCAATGACGGTTAGCCTCATATAGTACATTATGAGCATATGTCTACTATTCGATTATCCTGAACTACTAGGTGAAGAAACACGATTCAGCTATCTGTACCGTTCATAAATCTCTGCCTCTTTCAACCGTGCTGCAATCAGCTGCAGCACTCTTTCATCATACAGCTCGTCCACAGGCTTGCCGCCTTGAAGGACTTCTCTTTCGTGTCGCACAGCTTCTTCCTTCGTCATACACACTAAATTCCTCCAGTCTAGCGCAATGAACCGTTGACCTTCTTGTTCCCATTGCGGATTGAGCTTGAATCCCGCGGCAGGTGGAAGCCATGGTACGAGGGCTAAGCGTGTTGGCATGCCGCTTATCACGCTCCGTCCGCGCCAAATCTCATCGACCACGAATCCAACCTCTTCTTTGCTAAGGGGAATGCGGATTCCATCGATAGTTTTGTTACCCTCTGCTGCTCTGACCAATCTCTCTATTGTAACTTGGAGCTGTGCAAAAATGTTGTCGATGAGCTTGTTGTTTTTGGCTGCTAGGCTGTAGTCAATGGGATAGCCAGTAACGTCGCATATAACATGGTTAGCTATGGTATAGCCAAAAACAGCAGGCATTGTTCCTAGCACGGGGAGTATGCGAACTCGAAAGTCAGGTAAAACTCCTAGTTCGCCAACCTTCCCCTTCGCAAATTCTTCCTCAGACAAGGGCAACAAAGACGCTTTTCCTGCTCCTGGCTTCTCGGTGGAGAATACTACTGGAATGCCTGAGTTCACTCCTAGTAGACGCAGACGTCGGCGTGTGCTGCGAGACAGCGGATCTTCCATGCTTGCAGAGATATCAGCCACCCCGATGCGTGTCGGGTCGGATTTGCATCCGGCTCCCATGGATGAGATAACTGGTATAGAATGTTGATGGCAATAATGTAACAGCTCAACTTTCGAATCAATATTGTCGATACAATCTATGACATAGTCAGGTTTGTGCACGTCCGGCCCTTCACTAGTCCAAGGTGCCAGCAGTTTGTCCGCAGCACTCGCACCAAAGAGTTCGTTTCGACAATCAAAGTGCACCCATGGTACAATCTGTTCCAATCGCCGTCGGATGCACTGGACCTTAGGTGTACCAACATCTGCCAATGTGGCGAGGGCATGTCTATTCAAGGAGGATAATGTGACTTGATCGAAGTCAATGAGCCGTATTTTAGCCACGCCTGAGCGAGCCAAAGCTGTCGTAGCATGTGAACCTACACCACCACAGCCAACAACAATTACAAAAGACGAGCGAAGTTTTTTCAGACCTTCATCAGTCAAAAAAACACGGTTTCGTGCAAGCTGTTCGAGTATAAGGTCATCATCATAGTCTCCTTGTTGTGCCCGTCGAGCGAGAGCCGCACTGCGCAGATCTTCCTTGCTAAGCGCTGGTACAGAGCCAGCGGTCCCAAATTCTGTAAGGACTTCTGCATGGTGGCGATCATCGATCTCTGGAATCGATGCTTTTAGTTGCTCAACAGCTTCATGTCTTTTCAACGCCTGAAAGCCGAATATGCCTGCGGCAACAGCAACTCCAGATACGACTGCCGCGGCAGCGAGCTGCACATTGTGAGAGCCAGCCTGTCTCTGAAGCCACGAGCTCATGCTCTCTTTATTCTTTCCTTTTTCCAAGCGTTGTTCGTTCGAGTTTTTGCCATAAAATTCCGAATCCGAGGAAGTGTGACGCCTAGGACCTTGATAAGCCATGACAAGAGACATTAGCAAGTTTGTTCATCGTGAAGCAGAACAGACGAACGGTTCTAGTGATGATTTCGAAAGAGAATTACCTGCTCAATGCACTCAATCGCTGCAAGTCATTCTATAGGACCACGACAGCAAATTTGATCACGTGCTGATATGACGCTGGCGGCTTTCAAATAGATCAACTTAGCACAATAAACTCACATGATCTGGTCCCATAGCTCGGTCCGACAATAATCCAGCTCGGCTAGCCTTTTTCTCGACTTCCCATCGTTTGTGTTCCTTTCTCTTCTTCTCTTGTCGACAACACGAGCACACAACCTTTTCAAAAAGACTGTGCACGTCTCAGTGATGAAAATCTTCACATGAGCCTTTGACACTTTGGTCCGGGAAAAGTGACCACATGGACTTTATCCCCAGTCTCGTACACGGCCGGTGGAAGAAGACGTGTCAAAATGTGGTTGATGCAGGTGAACAGAAATCTGAGAGCCACATACAGTCTAAATATTTTCTTTTGTCCTCGCTTCTTCTATATATCTTGTCGACCACTCCAACCGCCTATTTATCGACATGAACCTTGCAGATGCGTTGGTTGGCGTGACCATTTAATGCTGGTGGTCCAGTTTCAACCTTCGACTTTTGCTTAGTCTCATGAACTGCGTACTCTTTTTTTGTTACACTACTCAGCCACTCTCACAGCGTCGAAACAATCCCAGTGATGCCTTATATGATGACCTATATTCTTAGGACACCTCGGAGACAAGGTACTGCGGTACTTGATGCTCCGCGTGTTGCCTCATTCGAGGTAGCCGCGTGCAGCAGGTCTTTGACGAGCCTTTACCCAAAGGTAGTTTTCAATCTGAACAGGCTAGGGAAAGTTTTATGTCTACATTATCCTCTAGTTTCCCTGATTTTGTTGAAATAGAAAATACTAACTCGATGACTTGTGGCGATTGCAAGAATAATACCATGGGGCCATCGGCGACTCATCATTTACAGATATAATTGCTCGGCTTTAGCATCCTCTTCATGTTGTTAATGGATTCAGTCGATGTCTATAACTAATCACTATCTACTTTGATTTTCCAATCTTACGACATAATCTTCCCTACTATTTTCTATTCCTTATATCATTATCCCTTTCACACATCCACTTACATGTTACCCAGTGATGACGACTTAGTATCCAAAAGCCAAAGTCGAGGTATCCGGCATCTCAAAGTATTGCTTCATATTAATAACCATGCCTGGAAGCCAATGCGAACCAGAGAGCTAATCTGAGGGTAACATTGATCAAATGTATATCATCTATTCCTTGTGTATTTGCTCAGAAACGTCGCTTTGTAGTGTGCAATCGCCTTGCTAGATTTATCAATACATTGAGGAGAAAAGAGATATACATCAAGGGAAAGAAAAACGCCTTCGATGCGATGCTAGAATACAACTATGTTATATATACAAACGATTAATATGATCAGGACACTTCTGCGGAGAATTCCTATAGATCTGGTACTGGCATCCTTCAACCCAGAAACTTGCCAACTCTCCCTCCGATATTGTTGAGATCTAGCAAAAACGTATCGTGCCCAAAAAGTGAGATGTCTTCGCCAAGTTCCACATGCTCAACTTTCTGATTTCCAGCCGCCCGCAAGGTTTCTGCAATCTCTCGCTGCTGCCACGCTGGGAAGAGAATGTCACTCGCAACGCCCATCACAAGGACGGGGTGGTCTTTTAATGGAGACATGCCTAGAACAAGATCTTGCGGCGGTCCTACCGTCAAGTCACCGGTTGCTCGCTCATTCATTGGTGTCACAGATGCGACCGCAGAGGGTTGCTCTTCATATGGTTTCTCTGGCAGGGTTAAGCTGCAGGACGCATCATTTCGCTCGATATTCCCGCTGGCAATGCTATTTTTACTGCTTTCTCTTCTTTCTCGAGTCATTTCTTGGTTGGAGCGACCAAGATCAAAAAGATCCATGGCCTTTGAGACGTATAGCAAGCTGTTTGCATCATATTCAAGACAAAATTTCTCCCCTGCATGATCTAGATAGGTCTCAATCAGGAAGTCTGGGCAAAGAGCTGGCTGTTTGCTGGGATCAGCGCGTTTCCTCCCAAATCGCTTCTCCCATTCAGGCCCACTTCGGTAGGTGACAGTAGCAATCTCTCGGGCCAGTTTCATCCCCGAGTGAGGAGGAATCGAATCGTAGTAGAAGCCTCGTTGCCAGTTGGGATCCATCATGAGAACTTGCCGCTGGGTATGACGCATGGCAATACTGTATGGATGGCTGCGTGCGCATCCACTGATGCTGACTATCTTTCCAATTCTCCCTGGGAAGAGTATGCCCGCCGCCAAACTCTGCATTCCTCCCATACTGGAACCAACTGACGCGTGCAGCTTTTCGATTCCCAGTGAGTCCAGCAGTCTAAACTGTGCCCGTACCATGTCCTCGATTGTCAAGATAGGAAATCGCGTTGCGTATCGTTTGGAATCTGACGGGTCGGTGGATGAAGGACCTGTGCTCCCGTAGCAGCCACCGATCACGTTTGTGCAGATAACATAGAATTTGTTCGTATCTAACGGACCTCCGGGGCCAATAAACCTTTCCCACCAGCCATTCTTTGGGTTGGAAGGTGTACTGTGAGCATGACTCGACGCAGAGAGACCGGTATGAAGAAGAATTGCATTGCTCTTATCGGCATTTAGGGTGCCCCAAGTCTCATAAGCAATGTCAAATTCAGGAAGCACACCGCCCCAATCAAGCAAGAGGGGCTTTTTACAGTGAAAGTTCTCGTGATTCCCGGTAGTGTATGAGGGTTCCGGGCCGGAACTCAGCGACCGTGCTGATAATGACGCAGATTTAGCTTCTTGGGCATCAAGACAAGGAAATGACATGGCAGGATTCGACGAGTCTGTTTGCTGATCGCGGACTGCAATCGATTGGGTCCAGCGACGTGATTTATAGTTGCCGATTATACCGCATTGCTTCGGTGACAATATCTGCGGTCTGTGTTTGATGAGAGATGCGATATCAGTATGCTGCGCAAGCCTTGACGTCCGCAAGCTCGAGGATGCTGCACGCGCGGCGCCTCCGAGAGAGTTCATCCTTCGCAACCGAGGGGATTCAGATGGTGATTGCTATGATGCATGTTCAAACTTCCTGACGCCCGAAAAAAGCCTCCGCAGACTCCCCGCACATCGCGGCTTCTCCAAAGCACGCCATGCCGCGGCTCTCTGATTGGTCTATGCAGCTCACCGCTTCCATTACACCACCTGCAAGCCTCAGGCAACGAACGCCTTTTTCTCCTTGCAACGCTCTCTTCATTTGCTTCACTTTGATTCTGTATTTATTTCTATCGCTTCTCTGGGAGGCCCGTGGAAGGCGACTGCGAGGGTCGTGACACGCCTGCATCCGCACGTGCACTCCGGCTAACAGTGGCCTGAAACGCTCATTTTTATGGATGACGCGGCTTTCACATAGGATGGCAGACTCCCGCATGCGGCCACCGTTGTATACGTACTCCAACGAGAAAATTCGATGTTACCTTAATTACTCGCTAGAGCGCGCCGGTCAACGTTGACGAAACGAATACGCGAGCATCATAACTGATACCTGTGACAGTTGGTCGCTATTAAGCGCGCAAAGACTCGGCTCCACCCGAACTACCGGACACCAAATCAATCTTCCCAAACCTCCAGACGACATCCGTGGTAGCAATCCTGCCAGACGCTGCCATTTTCATCGCCCTATCTTCTATATCCTCTATATTCTTTTCTGCTGCTATCGCTATCGTCATCATTTCTGACATGACTATGCACTCATTGTGAAGGTCTGAGTGCGACGACGACTCCCGCCGTTCGTATTCTTGAACAAATAAGGTCGGAGCGAGTTCGTTGATTTCATTATTGCAAGCCTTCAGATAACGAACAGATACTATCCGGCGAAGAATTCTAAAATGGCTGCCGTTCCCGTCCGTCGCGCCGCTATTGTCTTCGTGCTGCTCGTGAGCGTCATCTTACTTCTCCGGTCCTTCTCAACCTCGGCGCAAGACGCACATTACCAAGATGAGAGGCCACTGCGCATTCCACCCCAGGCAAGGGGCCAAGCGAGGTCCTCATCATCACAGGTCGCAGTTGGAGACGCCGCAGGCCTCTCACTTCTGGAACGCCTACGGTTCCAGTATCCGTATGATCTCGACAGCAAGTTCCCCGCATACATATGGCAGACATGGAAATATTCGCCCGACTCCCGTTCATTCCCAAGCCATCTTCGCTCATTAGAAGAATCATGGACCTCGCTAAACCCAGACTTCGCCCACGAAGTAGTCTCGGACCAGTCGGCGGAACATCTGGTCCAATACCTCTATGGCGCCATTCCTGAAGTCGTCGAGGCATACAATTCCATGCCTGTACCGGTTTTGAAGGCTGATCTATTTCGCTACCTGATTTTGTTGGCGCGTGGAGGAATATATTCAGATATGGACACGCAGGCGCTGAAGTCGGCTATTGACTGGCTTCCAGATGATATGGACCCATTGTCGGTTGGCCTCGTGGTTGGAATTGAAGCTGATCCTGACCGGCCTGATTGGCATAAATGGTACTCGAGAAGAATTCAGTTCTGCCAGTGGACTATCCAAGCCAAGCCGGGCCATCCTGTTCTTCGCGATATAGTGGCCACTATCGTCGAGGACACTCTGCGAATGAAGCGAAAGGGCATCCTGACCATGTCTAAGATGGACAAGTCAATAGTGGAATTCACCGGTCCTGCAGTTTGGACTGATGCTGTGTTCCGCTACTTCAATAATGCCGAATACTTTCAGAGCGAAGAGCCCCGCAATGTCACATATGCAGACTTCACGCATCTGACTGTACAGAAGAAAGTTGGTGATGTCGCAGTTCTTCCAATTACCAGCTTTAGCCCAGGAGTCAATCAGATGGGTGCTGGGGGCCTGGAACACCCTCTAGCCTTTGTCAGCCATCAGTTCGAAGGTAATTTGTACTCCTTAATCTCCGCTACTGTCATGTTTGAGCAAGACTAAATATTTCTTCTCAGGATCCTGGAAACCTGCGAACGAGCGCATTTTTTAAACCAAAAAGAAACCTCTCTATAATAACTTAAAATATACAGGCTTGCATATATATGCACATGTAATTGACATGTATATATATACATTTCGGTGTGGACGTTTATTGTATATCGCTCTCCCTGTTTTGTCTTCAACCATCCGTGTAGAAAGATCTAATACCTCTTTTTTTTTTTTTTTTTTTTTTTTTTGATCGGCGATTTATTCTCAGCAGCGCATTATCATGGTGTTCTTTTTGGGTGTGATATACTATCTTTTTTCCCCCTTTCTTTCTTGACTTCTCCCTAAGGTGGTGGGATGGTCAAGATCTTGTTGATTGATTGGTCCTGGATGTTTGATGTATCAGAAAATGGACAAACATCTATGTGCTGCATGTGGACGTTTGAACGAAATTTGTCTATATAGACTCATGTAGAAATGTCTTATGTGTTACAATATACTAATTGCATTGAATTTCCTCTTCGACTCATCGGCATTATCTGGTTTGAATTATATAGCATTGGAACACACGGAGCTAGTTAGGCATGAAGATAGGGAATTTCGTATTCATATGAACGCCTTTCTTTGTGAGAATCAATAGCATCCGGATATGGGTATAGTAACGGTCTTATATAGTTTTCAGATAATGATGGTCCACTGAGAGCAAGACACATCTTCCTAGAAATCAAGAAAAACAACAGACGGAGAATGAGAATCATTAAAAGAGTACATATGTGTTAAAGATGAAAAAAAAAATATTATGTTCAGCTCATTTTTTCATGGGTATAATTCGCTCATGGTAGGTGAGTAATAATCGGACAAGGAAGAGGTCGATGATCATACCTCAAAGAAAAAAAAGAGGATATCCATAAACGAAAGTCAAAGTTTGTTGAAGAGGTAGGGAGAATCAAAAATCACCAAAAAGTGGCTCGTACTTCTCCCTCATGTCAGTAGTATAGACTTCTAGTTGGTGAGGATCTGGCGGAGGAGGATATTCCTCAAAGTTAGCTGCATCAGCTGCATGTTGCACACGTGGGAGGATGGGTCCCTGCACACGCCGATGGTAGAGGTCGTCCCATTTAATGCCATCAAACCAAGGATGAGACTTGACTCGTTTTGAGCCTCCCTGGATATAGCCTAGGCGCTGCGTCACATCGGTTTTGCACAGTTGTGAGATGATATCTCTCGCGGCGATGCTCATACCGTGTGGAAAGCGAAGACGGCCTTGGACAATCTGTTCGTACAGCCGCATGACATTCTGATCCCAGAATGGAGGCTGTCCGACCAAGAACTCATATATCAAAACCCCAAGCGCCCACCAGTCCACAGCAAGGCCATGTCCACTGTTGTGAATGACCTCTGGCGCTAAATAATCTGGAGTTCCGCAAAGGGTATACGTTTCACGGTTACCCACTTGCTTTGCAAATCCAAAGTCAACCAACTTGATGTGCCCGTTAGTATCGAGAAGTATATTCTCGGGCTTTAGGTCGCGGTATGCAACGCCCTGCGCATTGTGTAGATACTCTATGGTCATCGTGATTTCTGCAGCATAGAATCTAGCCGTCGCCTCACTGAACGTCCGTGCACGTCGTAAATAACTGAAGATCTCGCCGCCAGGGCAGTAATCCAACTTTGAATGATGTTAGCTTTTCTTTTTATGAATATTTTGTCAAATGGGAAGAGAAAAGAAAGATGTATTCTTAAATTCACGGCATTTGCGAACATACCAGCATGTACAGAGACTGATCGTCTGCAAATGTAGTGACCAAGGTTGTGATAAAAGGATATCCAGCCACTGCAGCTAATGTTTTTCGTTCATTACGAACATGCTCAACTTGTTTGAGTTTGATGACTAGATCCATTCATAGCGTCAGCCGGTTGCTTTGGTGCGTAGAGAGATTCATACCATCTGCTTTGCGGAGCACCTTCAATGCGTAGACATTGTCATTTTTGGGTTCATTCTTGAAACGTGTAAGCCAGACACGCGCAAAGGTACCTAGATCATCGGATTAGTTCCGCATTCGAACTTTTCGTTCGCGAGTTGACATACCTGTCCCCAGTGTCTTGACCAGCTCGAAATCATCCACCTGCAGATTGCGGCTTGACCGGCCCAGGGATGCAATGGGAAATTCGGCAGAGTCCCTAGTTGACTCGCTTTTGATCTTAGAGGGAGGAACAACATGGTGTTTCTCTTGTGTCTCGGGCTCGTGAATGTCTTCCGGCTTTACCGGCTGCCGTTGAGGTACGATTATCTGAGATTTTGTCGGCTCGGATTTACGTATCGTGGGTTCGACTGTATCCGTAGTCATCTTGATAACTGCAGATCATCGCTTAGTCCCAAGCACGTATACCACAGTTCGTAGAAAGACAAGAGAATGCACGCAGGTAAAACGGCCAGTTCGTCGTTGCCGCAAGATCTACACGGTCTCCGAGATGTTGGGCGGGAGAATCGGAAGCATGTGGTACTAAACGAGTGCGCATTCAATTCACTAAGGACGTCCGGTGTATATCCACGAGATCGCGGTCGAATGCCGAATGAATATTCTGAACAGTTGTCCTCGACAGGCAGTTCTGCTGAGGGGGTCGTCCATGGTCCCCCGCAGATACTAGGTTAAGGTCCGCGCTCTCTGACGTTATCTTAGCGGGGCCCCGTCTTCGATTGGCTGGTTACTCCCAACGCTGTGCTATAACTACGGAAAGGATGGAATTACAATCAACGCGACAAATAGCTTGACCGTTGGATTCGGTGGTACATATAACTAGCAGTGTACAGCCATTTTGCAGGTGCGCTGTCGGCAAACGAGCCGCAACCGGAAAGGCAGATAGTTCATGAAGATCAGGAAGATATATCTCGCATCTCCCAGCGCGCAATAAAACCAAGAGTTTTCAGACAGACCACACGTAGCTGTTCAGGATTATAGACTAGCAGGCTCTTGTGGACGTGGGTTCTCCTATAAGGTATACGGGTTTGTAGAGCGAGTAGTCTAGCCGCCGCTGCGCGAGTTGAGGATAAGGCCGACAATTAGACTTTGCTCGTGTTAGTCTCAATGCTCCAGTGACCCTTTGCTGGGGCTCGACATACCCATAAAGTCCGAGAACCTCTCCGAAAATCAAAATCAAGATCATTCCAACGTATACTCGTGACTGCTGCATATAAGAGCGAACACCCTACAGAGTAATTATTAGTCGACCAAATCGAACTCGCAGCTCAGGTCATTCTCACAGCGTCTCCCACGATTCCAATAGCATAGCCAGCGGCTATCCCAGCCAGACCAACCGACAGCCCAGACGCAAGGTGCATGAAGCTTCTATAGTTGCGCAGAGATTATTAGTAACAGGGATCATTCAATCAAGGATACAATGAGACCAGACAAACGCACGTGTAAAGACTGATATTCTGGGAAGGAGGAGGGTTCATCGCCCCGGATATGAGCACTGCGATGACCAAACCGTAGACTGCAATGATACCGGACATGACAACGGGGATCAACGACTATCCTCGATTAGCCTAAGCACGCTTTCCTCGAGGGGAACATATAATGAATATATACCCTCATGATTAAGTCGGGCCTATATTGTCCAACTCCCGCAATACCAATGCCCGACTTTGCAGTCCCGTACGCCGCGCCCATTGCTGTGATTTGTAAGTGAATTGCGACTTTGAATGAAGAGGCTTGGTGGGTTTTTGTTTTACGTACACCCGAAGATCATCTGCGAGAACGTGAATGTGAGCAAATTGTCAAAATTGATATTCTTGGAGAAGGGGGACTCACTGCGGCTGCCACTCCTGCCTTTGGGTTATGGTTAGCACGCCAGATCTCAGATAGGCCATGACAGTAGACGTACGAAGGAGAAGAACGGCGCAAACTTGGGCGAGTATTCGCTATCCGTCATCTTGACAGGCTAGATTGGGCAGAGGCAGGTTCACGGCTACCTTGCCAGGCAGCGTTTCGGAGGAGCAATCGGCCACCCGGCTGCTTCCAAAAAAGTCGAAGAAAGAGAGAGAGAGAAAGAATGGAAGAAAGACGGCGCGACTAGTGATTATAATATGCTCAATGGCACAGCGACTCACAGCTGGTGTTGCGTGGTGCGTTCAAGTGGACGGAGGTGCGACGTTTGGTTTGGTTTGGTTTGGTTTGGCAGAACTTCCAAATTGCTTGTTGCGGCCTGCCGTAGTCGCCGTTGCGCGATGAGTGGGCGGTGGCGGTCTTTCCGGCTCGCCCAGGCGGTCCAAGAGTTGGTAACCCAACACAACCACCTCCGTTCCGTGCCTGCTTCATCCACGACCACCCACAGAAACCTCGCATCCTTGGTCTCTCGCGCCTCTTGTCCCCCTGAGACTCCCGGCTGGTGTTTCCATTGAGCCTCCTATCCCCGGTGGCGAAGGATGCGGAGGGTATGACTGCAGGGGCCCTGTTCCACGCCCAAGTCTCCTTGCACCCTCGTCGGTTAGCCGATTCGGTACTCCCATCACCAGAAATCACCATACAGTATAGTACCTAATCAAGACTTGCGGCAACTCGGGGCCTTGTGCTCAAGCGAATCTACGGCCGGGTCATCCATCAATACAAAATAAGGAAGAAAAAAAGAAAAAAAAAAAAAAAAAAAAAAAAAAGAGGAGAAAGAGTTGCTCATCGGTGCCAGGAAGACACCATCGTGTTAGTGGCCTTCTTACTCCTGGCTCACTCGTGACCTTATTAGGGCCCTGCATGTGATCTCCTCCTTGGAAAACCCGAGCCATTGTTTGATTTTGAGAGTACCTTCCAAGTCTTCGTCCACATTGCGATAATCATTCAATTATCATCCAAGTCAGTCTCCATTGCCCACCATGGCGAACTTAAGACACCAGCAAGGCCAGAATTACCGGCCTAATCCATATGAACCTGCATCAAATGTCAAGCGCAATGCGGCTGCTTTCTCCGATATATTCAGTTCAACCTCCCATGCCGGTCGATCACAGACGATGACTTCGCAAACCCCTCCTTTTCCGACCGACCGAGCACGAACCATGACTTCTCATATCCCACCACCTCAAATGCAAAGGCAGCCAGTGCCGGCTGTTCGCCATATGTCTGGCGGCTATGAATCGAATGCTCTGAACGGCTATGGAGCGAGTGCTGTCAATGGCTACGGAAATCATGCAATCCCCAACGGTAGCGTTGCCCCGTCACAGCAGGCACCCCGGAATTTTCATCAACAATACTCACAGCCACATCCACGGGGCTCTCCATATCCTCCACCATCGCGAGTGACACAGACCCCAATACCTCCATACTCTAATCCTAATGTGCCAGTTCCTCATGGTCGCCCAGTCCAACCGCCAGCGTTGAATTCAGACACATTTCGCTCGCGCTCGATGGCTACCGTTCCAACGAGGGGCCCTCCGGGATATCCAACACATCCCAATAACTACCAGAATCCTAACAATGTCTTGCGCCACCAACAACCTTACAATGCCGTCACGAGAACACCCCAAGGTCGCCTTGTGCCTGAAAAGAAAGATCCGCATACAATGTCTTTGACTTCCTTTTCATCCTCTCATGATCATGCCCACACAGCTTCCGGCCGAACGGTACCTATAAAACGACCTCCTTCTGGTCCTGAAAATATACCGTCACAACTGCTTCCTGCACAGACATATGCACCTACGTTTTCAGAACAGACAAATCATCTTGAAGACAATTATCGTCCACGTCGCCCTAGTGAAGCATCCATAAATTCCACCGCCATGTCTATGGCCTCTACACTTCTTCCCGACCGAACCATGAGCCTACAAAGTCAACCTATTCAAAAGATGAATAGTCAATCTACTGCTACCACAGCGGCATCCCAGCCTCGCAAGGCAAAACCTTTGGTCTATCCAGCCCTGCTCTCTCGCGTCGCCGGCGTTTTCCGAGAAGGAATGCCACTTGCAGAATATCAAAAGAATGGCCTGTCATACCAAAATGCATTTCCGGGATCGAAAGCGGTAGATTTGATCGCCCATATCATTCGAACTCAAGATCGGAATCTCGCGTTACTACTGGGTCGAGCCCTAGATGCACAAAAGTTTTTTCATGATGTAACGTATGACCATCGCCTGCGAGACTCTACCGTTGAGATATATCAGTTCAAGGAGACCATGACTGAAGATTCACCTACCTCGGACGTCAATGGAGTGTTTACTCTTCTCACCGAATGCTACTCTCCAACCTGCACTCGTGATAATCTTTGCTATTCTATCGCTTGTCCTAGACGGCTCGAACAACAAGCTCGCTTGAATCTCAAGCCCCAGCCTGGTCTGCGCCATTCTTCGTCCAAGGGCAGCCTGCACGCAGATGATGATAACGACGACCAGAAGCTGTGGATTAACATGGTTCCCAAAGAGGTCTCTGATGCCCTTGAGGATCGCGAGAAAAAGCGCCAGGAAATCATCTTTGAAATCATGTATACTGAACGGGACTTCGTCAAGGACTTGGAATATTTGCGAGACTTTTGGATGAGGCCACTTCGTTCCGCTGGCAATACTAGCTTATCTCCCATTCCTGAGCATCGACGCGAGAAGTTCATTCGAACTGTCTTTGGGAACTGTTTGGATGTGCTGAAGGTCAATTCTGGCCTTTGTGAAGCACTCAATGCGAGACAGAAGGAAAACCACGTTGTGCGCACTGTTGGTGATTTATTTTTGCAGCACGTCCCGCGTTTTGATCCTTTCATTAAGTACGGCGCCAATCAGCTTTACGGGAAGTATGAATTTGAGAAAGAGAAAGCTTCCAACCCAGCGTTCGCCCGCTTCGTAGAAGAAACAGAGCGGTTGAAGGAGTCCCGAAAGTTAGAACTGAACGGCTATCTGACGAAACCAACAACTCGTCTTGCCAGATATCCATTACTTCTCGAGCAGGTGGCTAAATACACAGCCGATGACAATCCAGACAAGCAAGACATTCCAAGAGCTGTCGGCCTAATCAAGGATTTTCTTTCTAGGGTCAATACCGAAAGTGGAAAAGCTGAAAACCACTTTAATTTGGTTCAGCTTAATGCTGCGCTAAAATTCAATCCTGCTGATTATGTCGATCTGAAACTTACCGAGGAGAACCGACAAATGCTTTCGAAAATGGCGTTTAAAAAAGGGCCAACTGACAGTTCTGAGGTTACTGCCTATCTTTTCGATCATGCTGTGCTGCTCGTGCGCATCAAGGTGGTGAATAAGAGAGAAGAATATCGAGTATATAAGAAGCCGATACCACTTGAATTATTGGTCATTACCCAAATGGATGAGATCATTCCCAGGCTTGGATTAGCAAAGCGTTCATCATCGAGCCTTATCCCTGGGAAGGTATCCGTCAATAACGCTCCTGCGCCGAAAGAAGGCCTTCCCATCACTTTCAGACATCTCGGGAAAGGTGGTTATGACCTGACACTTTTCGCTACTTCTCCAACACAAAGGAAAAAATTCATCGAGATGGTTGAGGAACAGCAGAGGAAGCTTCGGGAGCGCAACAGCAATTTCTATTCCAAGACTATTATATGCGAAAATTTCTTCACGGCGAACAGCCGGGTTACCTGTTTAGTGCCCACTGGTGAGTTTTGCATGGCGCTGATTGTTTCCATTGTAATACTGACTTATTCTCGCAGACGGTGGAAGGAAGTTGGTCATTGGTACTGAAAATGGCATTTTCTTAGCCGAGCGGTGGCCCAAAGATAAAAACGCAAAACCACGACGAATTTTGGATGCCACTGCGGTCACCCAGATCGATACGCTAGAAGAATATCAATTGGTGCTGGTGCTAGCCAATAAAACCCTTAGCTCATATCCGATGGAGGCCTTGGAAGTAAACGAAGGCCAAAATCCTCTTGCTCGCCGGCCAAAAAAGATTCAAGGTCATGCAAATTTCTTCAAAGTCGGTATTGGACTAGGGCGACATCTTGTGTGCTCTGTCAAGACATCGGCGCTCTCAACTACAATCAAAGTGTTTGAGCCCATGGAAAGTTTGACGAGAGGAGGCAGGAAACCAGCTTTGGGCAAGATGTTCAGGGGAGGTCAAGATGCCCTGAAGCCTTTCAAGGTGAGTTCAGATGGTGCTGCTGTTTTTCATGACTCATTACTAAACAGAGTTCTGTTCAGGAATACTACATACCTGCCGAGTCCTCTTCCGTACATTTTCTCCGATCAACCCTGTGTGTTGGATGTGCTAGAGGTTTTGAAGTCGTCAGTCTTGAAACAACAGAGAGTCAGTCACTCCTCGACCAAGCAGACACTTCTCTGGACTTCGTGGCCCGAAAGGAAAACGTTAAGCCAATTTATATTGAGAGATTGAACGGGGAATTTCTTTTGAATTACAGTGATTTTTCTTTCTTCGTTAATCGAAACGGATGGCGAGCACGACCGGACTGGAGGATTTCTTGGGAAGGTACACCAAACGCCTTTGCACTATCTTATCCATACATACTAGCTTTCGAGCCGAATTTTATCGAAATACGACACATTGAGACGAGTGAACTTATTCACATCATGACCGGAAAGAACATTCGAATGTTGCATTCTTCGACAAGAGAGGTAAGTCGACATCAACTGCATCAAGGTCTTGATGCTATCTTCAATGAACATGAGGCTAATGTAATCTCAGATCCTATATGCCTATGAAGACGAAGATGGGGAAGATGTGGTGGCCAGTTTGGACTTCTGGAAACGATGAACCAAGTCAAGAAAATGAAGACAATCAGTCAACCAATTTATTTTCCAATCCTGTTTCTATGTCTTTCTTGGTATTCTTCTTTCTCCGCCCCTTGCCCCCTTCCTCTTCGCATTTCCCATTTCAGTTTACTCTTTTTTCCCCCTTATTACATTGTCTTCTTTTATGGTAGATGATCGAACGACCCACTGTCATGTTTGTAAGTGTAAGAAACTGGCTTTGTGTCATGAATTCAGAACTGCAAATATGACAAGTTGTATCTTGCGCTTGTCTGTTTTTCTTTTTTTTTCGATTTCACGTTATCTAACAATTTTTGTCTGTTGGTTAACTCTTTTCCCACCATTTTTTCACATTTGTTTTTTTATATTTATTTATCATTGTTCCCTGTTTTCATTGTCTGCTTGATCTTGGCGTGCTACTCCATTTTATTCTCTATTTATCTACCCATGAGCTGGATGTATCTGATTTATGTACAACTCTGTTGAACGCGTCTGACAATTTGAGTTGTTATTGCTAAAATTATTCTTTGTATATATCTTGATATAGTACTACAGCTCGTTATCTTACTCATCTATCTGTAATTAACTAGTTAAGTTAAATAAAACTTGCTTAGGTAAAACTTGACTAGCTTGGAATAGTTAATACCTCTGTATTTAAGAAGGTTTACAACACTGACTGTATCTGATTCCATCCATTTCCCCTTGCCCTTTATCTTGTGCGGTGAAGTTTTAGATGAGGATATGTGGCTGTTACAATAGGATTAAGCCGCTGTCTTTCTCCGTATAGAAAGAAGATTAAATTGCTTGAGATTACGTAGAGTATAATGGCCAGGGAAAAAAAATCATGCCATAAAAACGAGACAATTATTGAGATAACTTGAAAAACTAGAAAATAAAAGGGCAAATATGAAAACCAGAAAAAAGAAATTCAAAGGTGATTGGGAATCTTTTTTGTGCCGCAAGCTCAAAACCAGAGAAAGGAACAGGAGAAGACAAAAAGAAAAAGAAAGGAGCGGATCTTGACTAAGATATCAACACGAAAGCCTCATTCCGAAGGCAATTTAAGGCCATTAAAAGGGTGTTATTTCCAATCGGATGTTTTAAACCACCTAGACAACCGCAGTCGAAAGATCTCCGAGCGGTAATAAGCAAGACACGTAAGAAAGGAGGAAAAAAAGAGTCAAGGGGGAGAGAAGCTTCGAGAACGAGCGCCCATAGTCCATCATCACACCTGCTCAAGGTTTCGTTCAGCCCAACTATCAGTTCACCAAGCCCCGAAGTTCTCTTTTAAGCCGCCATTTCTCGAATCATAGATCAGAGGGTGCCATATTGCCACGACCAACACAAACCTAGACCTATCGTGGCGCTAGACACCCTAACACATGAATTCGTGTACAAAAATAATTATAGTTAAGCCTCCCCATTGGTCTCTTCACTTGTAGTAAGTTGAGAGCTGGCCTCTCGTTGCATTCGGGCCTCGATCTCTCGGAGCTGGCTTTCACGAGCCAGCAGTTCTTGGCGCTTCTCATTGATCTCGCGTTGTACTTTGAGTTCAATCTCACGCAGTTTCTCCTCCTCGCGGCGAAGCTGCTCCTCCTTCAAGCGCACAGACTGAGATGCGAGATCCTCTGGGTTCATGGAAGAATCTTGGTTACTATTTACACACTGTTAGCATATTACTATCACAAGCCAGGGCGCTTCCGCATCACTTACGTTCCAGCACCGCCATCAACACTCTTGCTGAGTTTCTCAGTACGGTAGTTTTCGTAGAGGAAGTCATGAGTAATCTCCTTTAGGTCGGCAAGATGACTATGTAGAAGCGCGCTTCGGATGGCAAGAAAGTCTGAGTGACGAGGGTTCTCAACTTCAACAATGCCCCAAGGGTACTGTCTGGCTCGCACCTTCTTGCCACCGATCTCCAAAACTTCTTCGGAGCCAACAATGGCAAATGGCATCAGGCCACGCAGTTCAGCGTTCTCCTCAACTGTATCTTCGTCATCTTCCTCAATATCGTATGGGAAGTTGTAGACGGGAATGCGGTAATGTTCAATATCTTCCATAACCAACTTCTTTGATTCCGCCAGCTCGGCTGGGGTCAGAGAGTCTGCCTTGCCGATTACGGGGATAACGTTGACACGTGGGGACAAGCGCTTCATCAATTCGATGTCGAGCTCTCGCAAACCGTGGCCAGTAGGGGTGATAAAGTAGAGGAGGGCATGGACTCGGTTGTCTCTGAAACGGGGGTTACGCTTAATTCGTGACTCTTCGGCAAGGATATCATCATATTGGCGCTCGAGATATCCCACAATCTCTGAGAAGCTATCCAGATGTGTTAGCTGATGGGCTGAACATTGTTGAAGATTCGAGACACGCTGTGTCCCGGCGGATCATACCTGGCCTCATTGTCAATCTGGTCACCAAATCCAGGGGTATCGACAATCGTTAGCGAGATGCGAGTTCCTTCCTCGTCGAGTTCCAGTTCTGATAATTGCAGTGATTAGTCGCCAGTATTTGTCTGCAATATAGCCAATTCCACGTACCAACTGTCACGGGCTTGATCCGCACGCCTTCCTCGATGTGTGCGTTGGCAGCATCGTCTGCATCTTTGTGCTCGAGAACTTTCTTTCCGCAGAGAGTGTTGACAAATGTCGTGCGTCCTGGTGGATTTCCATCAAGTCATTAAATGATAGTCCCGGAGTTGACTGATTTGTGCGAAACTCACCAGTTCCACTAGCACCGCATACCATCAAGCAGAATTGGATACCCTTCTTGACATTCTTCTTGCGACGGATCTATTAGAGGTAAAGCGTGTTAGTTCAAGGGCTGTTGAAGGTGGTGGTATCCGTAGGGAATCCGGGGAAGATGGATTGAGAGAGCTATACCGCGTTGAGAGGGGAAGACATAGCGAGCAGAGAGAATTCTATATGCTGATTGAGAATTGCACCTGGGATGTCAAAGAATGGCCGAGTGGAGGACGTGGGAAGCTCTGGGAAAGAAAAGACGGTCTCCTGAACGGGGCTTTTTGGGGCAGGCAGGGAGGGAGGTCTGTTTAGGGGGGAAAGCAAGCTGTCAGGCCAGCTAACCTCATTGGATGCTAGCGCTGCCTCTTTAGTGCCTGGTCGCGGCTGCGTGCCTCAGGCGGCAGTTCCCCTTTTCCCAGGTCACGTGGATATCCTTCGTTTGGCTGCGCTCGTCCTTGTACGACCGTATCTGTGTTATGTTGTTCGAATTCCGCGAGGCTGTTTTACTAAAAACCCAGCATTTATTATCGGTGCATGCACCGCACAACAAACCAAACTAGCTCATTTATCCTGGCTTACTGGAGAAATCCAATGTGAATAAGGACAGCTACAGAGATCTAAGTTTCTTGGAGATTCATGCATGACACATACCAGGCCATCACGGTATATTTTTGACGAGCAAGCTACATAGATTGCACTGAGGGACGTTGACCAACGGTATTCTAATGCGAATCAGAACCATCATATCACGTGATCTTGATCACGTGATATGAAGATTGATTACCAAAACCTTTAGCCAATACGATAGCAGAGGTCACGCTCTGTGTGGATTTTCAAGGAGTCGGGTGGAGCCTCAAGGACCAATCAGACTTTTGGGGGAGTTCCCGACTCACATTGTCCAAGCTTGTATTAAGCTCTTGCTCGACAACGCGACATCTAGGAAGCGTCAGCTCCAATTTATGCGTGGTGTAGTTGAATCAATACCTTACTTAAAGGTGTAACATTAGAAACAACAGGTAAGTCGATGAATGAGGTCAAATTAGGGTGTATGTGTAAGTGGGTCGCTAATGTCCGACCCGCTTTTATTATAAACCCTGACAACTGAACCTCGATCAAGATTTCTTTGCTTTCCAGGGGCAGGTGAAATAGATCGTTCTCGTCTTTGTTTACAACACGTCAGTTTGCTTTCTCTATTCCAAGTATGACTCAATTTTCATCGTTCTCATCTCCGATACCTCTCTTCTGCTTTTCGTGCCACTACATTGGTCATTCAATTTCACGGCTCATACCAAGAACGTCCTTTAATCATGATCGAGGGGAAATGTATGAGTGTAGGAAGAGGCTTGATTGAGGCTATTCTGGAGGAGAGCAGCGGGTGCCGGTATTCCAAAAGGGCACCGCCGGGGTGCTGGCCTGGGAAGCGAGATGAGAATGTCTAAGAGATTTCATCGGATCAGCTATTTAAGGAAAGAACGTTAACTGGCTCCTTCTTCTTCTCCTTTTTTCCCATCCCACTGTAGCCAACAACTCATCCTTTACTATCCATTGCCAACTTCTCCTGTGAGCGCTCCTTGCATATTGAAGGCAAGAAACCGACTAGCATTGAGTACTAGTTTAACACCATGTCCGCTGAGCGCACCACACATCTCAAGTCACAAGTCAACACAGTGAATCAAATATGCCTCACCGAAGACAACAAGCAATGTTGAATCTCCTGAGAAGTACATGTCACTGGATACGTTATGTCTTTGATGACCTGCCTGAGTCGGCAAAAAATTCTGCGTACAATAATGTTTATCACCAGAGCGTAGAGCACTACGCAGAAGGGAGACTTTGGGCTCTTCGGAAAAGTGCCCGGGAAAGGTTGGGCATTCATTGAAGGGATCTTTGCTTGTGGGAAAACCTTGGTCCAAGCTACAATAGCCGATTTCCGTTCGTTGGTTGTGGCACCCACCAATGCAGCTGTTCAGGTCATTTTCAAAGAACGTCTTTGAAAAGATACCACAGCCGGATGCTCTTAGTGTTCTGTATGCCGGTGCAAAATATGCGGCAAGACCGAGAAGGGCAAGAAGTCAATTGGGACTACATCGTCAAAGAATAGCCTGGATATGAGCGTTGAAGACGTAATCCCGCTGACGGCGAGAATGAAAGAGCAGAGATCGGGAGTGAGGAATGTGATGAATGCATAAGACGTTAGAAGTGGACAGGGAACTGATTACGAGAGCGAAATATATGGCATATTTTTACACATGAATGAGCACCTCCATTAAGAGGTCCCTTTGTAGTGGCTTACTGGTCAATATTCCGTTACCGTATTAGATTAACAAGGCTCACGACATACTCCCGGCAACTGGTGAAGACAGAGAAGCGCAGGGGAAAAAGAAATCAACCCAGTCCAACTCAACTGTGTATGTAGGACGTTTAGCTTGGGGGACGTTAGTCTGTTAATCACGTCCATAAGGTATCTAATATCGGAACATCTTTTCCCCCCGCCTGACGTCTTCCCGACCACATCAAACTTGCAGCCAAAAAAAGAAAAGAGAAAGCATCACGACGCTGCACAATAATGAATACACGACAAGTGATCGATGACTCGACAGGGCCTGTCTCCCTGTCTGCTGCCTTTAACAGCGACAGTAGTTGCTTCTCTGTCGGTTTAGATACGGGCTTTTGCGGTACGCTGCGTCGCGCAAGGTAAACAAACAGAATAAAATAGCTTATGGTTGTTTTGTCCCCAACAGTCTTTAATTCAGACCCATGTGAGCTCAAAGTCTCTCGAGGTGCGCAATATTTATCACATGCTTGATTAGAGATGAGTTCTCCTAACTGTTTTACTCCCGAAAGACTTCAACGCAGGCATAGGCGTCGCGGAAATGCTAGGGCAGTCCAACTACCTAGCAATCGTCGGCGGAGGCAGACAGCCAAAGCTACCACAAAACAAAGTATGCTATGAATCATACTGTGACCATCCGGCAGCGTCCATCTATATGTTCATCCAGACTAAATCCTTCTCGCCTGGTAGATGGTTATCTGGGACGACGTTAAACAGAAACCCGTTATTACGCTGGAATTCCGTACCTCCGTCCTCCGAGTACGTTTGTCGAAGTCGCGCATTGTAGTTGCGCTACTCAATAGTGTCCACGTTTTTGCCTTCTCCACGCCGCCGGAGAAGCTGTCGGTTTTCGAGACGACAGACAACCCATTAGGTTTGATATGCCTGGGCAAGAAGCTCCTGGCGTTTCCTGGCCGATCTCCAGGGCAAGTTCAATTGGTAGAGTTGGAAACCGGGAATGTCAGTATTATTCCAGCACATAGTACAGTTCTTAGAGCCATTGTGCTTAGTCCGGATGGCGAGGTATTGGCTACAGCAAGTGAAGCGGTTTGTCTACCATGTTCATGTTGGCTATTTGTCTCTGACACTAAGACTAGGGGACTTTGATACGGGTTTTCTCTACGGGAAACTGTGCCAAAATCGCCGAATTGCGACGGGGCGTTGATCATGCCATGATATTCTCCCTTGCCATTTCCCCCTCAAACACATACTTAGCAGTCACATCGGACAAGTCGACATTGCACGTCTTCGACCTTCCGCATCCACGAACATTATCACGACGGAGCCAATCTCCGTCTTCATACTCAGAGGACGGAATCAACCAAAAATGGGGGATTTTGGGCAAGATACCTTTGCTTCCTAGAGTGTTCTCTGACATATACTCCTTTGCGAGCGCCCATTTTGAAATCGGAGACGACTCTCTGAGCAGTGCACCTTATATTCCTCCACTGGGGACATCCGTTGGACGACCATCCAAAGGCGTCCTTGGCTGGCTAGACGATCAAACCGTTTTGATCATAGGTGCTGGCCGAGAAGGTCGTTGGGAAAAATTCGTTATTCGTGAAGGTGAAGATGGCAAACGATTCTGCACAAGGGAAGGCTGGAAGCGCTATTTGGGGGGTTGATGATATGTTTCAGGCCGATAACAGAGACAGTGATCCATACTCTTGCACGTACTCAGCTACCATCGCAAAATATCAAGCTCCGCCTATTCCATCCAGATCCAACGGATAATTGTTCTCAGCAAGGACTCCCGGACAATGAAGGCATATCAAGTCGCTCACCGAGCATGAACCCGGAGGTAGGTTGAACTCGACCGATCGATGCATGCCGTTCACGTAACAAATGACTCGGACAATTTCCGTATACCGTGTTTAGGGTCTGCTATTGCGACATAGTTCTCCCGAGATGTTGATATGTAGACAGATGCCCATAGAGTCATAGTGGATATGTATAATGTATATTTATAAATGCACCGAATAACTTTTAGTCTCGTTCGCGCCGTCGTCTTTCTCGCCTTCGATCCGGAGACTCTGATCGGTCGCGATAGGTTCGCTTTTTGTAATCGACCTCGTCCCGATCCCTGTGAGATCTCTCCCGGGAACGTGGCGCTTCATCACTTCCCCTGCGACGGTGACGATGGCGGTGTCCATGAGCATGTTCGCGGCTAGCGTGTCGTCGACTGGATTTCCTCTTTTCGCTAGATTTCAGGCTTTGTAGAGCCCGAGCGACTTCCTCCTTCTTCTCCTGGATTAGATATTCCTTCATGGGATCCTCCTCGTCGTGATCTCGCATCAGCTCCGCCAATTCCTTCTCTTCCTTGAGAAGAGGGCGCGGTTTCTCTTCTATATCACTGTCATCGTCATCTCTCCTTCCACCTCGACTTCTCCGTTGCCTATGCTCGGTATCCGTGTCGCCATCTCCCTGTCTGGATCGTTCGGCAGCCTCACCCATGATCGTTGCGACATTGTCTTCCTCAGCCTCATCATCTCGCCGCTTGTATCGCGTATGATCGACCCGAAGAACACGACCCATAACGGTTGCGCCTCCGAGGTTGTCCACGGCAAGGTCAGTACTGCGCTGATCCTCGTACTTGAGAAATGCAAAGCCTTTGCTTCTGCCCGTATCCTTGTCGCGCACTAGATTTACGTGGACCGGCTCGCCATACTGGGAGAAGATCGTTACAATGTCACCTTCGGACAGATCAAAGGGCAGGCCACCGATGTAGATATACGCCGTATCACGATAGTCGGCGTGCCAGGAAGCTTCGGGCGGGCTGATAAAAAAAACAGCAGCATTAGCAAAAATACCTCGACAGAAGATGAAAAACACAGGCTTACACTGCATTTTCGAGCTCACGCTTGTTGAGCGCTTGAATTTGACGCACCGAGTTCATCGCTACGAAGTCTTGAACCGAGAATATACTTCGAGGAAGTTGTCCTGGAAGAGCATTTTCTTGTGAAGCTGCAAGAACGGCCAGTCAGAAGCGCGTTGGCGCTAGTGCGGGTGCCCACCCGTTTGGGACTAGTAATGTATTAAGTGGTCGGTTGGAGGCACCATTGTTTACCAGGAGCACCTTCTATCTATTTATTTCATCCTAACTGCGTAGCACCCCTCCCCTGGCTTTTGTGCTCCTGCGCCTATTTTGCGCCACATCATTGGGGTTACTCTCAGTTTGTCCTCGGGCGTGTTGCGTATACACTCTGTCGCCGCCGCTCCTGAACGCCTGGATTGCTCTCCCCTGAACGCGGACCTGTGCCTGTTTGCGGCGTGGCCCTTGAATATTGGGATTTCAAAGAATCGATCTCGAACGTCGTCGACTTTGAAATCTATATAACTCCGGTACATTTGGATATGGTCTAACTGTCTACGAAATGGTTGCAATCGGGTCGCGTATGTCTACTGGGACTCAGAACTCTGGCGGCCCGGGCAGCCGGCCGTCCAGTAAAGATGGCAACAAGAATATATGGTCTTCTATGCTGGACAGTGTGGCCAGTGGAAAACGGTTACCAGAGAAAAATATGATAGTTTTGGGTATGCGGCCACTCCACGGTGTCGTCTCTCTTGCTGGAAATTGATTGCTGATTCTAAGCTTTAGGAGGCACTCCGGAAAGTCAAAGAGAGTTCCTAGACACACTTTCTTCAGATCCATCAGATCCGCAACTACCAGACGAAAGGAGAAAGGGGAAAGTGGCGCCTATTGCAAATGAGTTTGCCTTGGGTTACACATATCAAGATGTCCTTGATGCTGACCACGAAGGTTTGTACCTACAGAAACCCCCAAAAATTTCCGCAAAGATTGTGGCTGAAGCTGACTCTGAATAAATGCGAACAGATATCCTTGCACGCGTCTCAATATACCTTCTTTCCGACCCGTCGCCCTCATTTGCACCTCTTTTACGCCCTCTCCTAACACCGCAATCCGTTCCCGAAACGCTCATCGTGATATTACTTGATTGGTCTTCTCCCTGGACCTGGGTCCGGCAATTGCGAGAATGGGTTCGCCTCCTTCGGTCTGTTCTTATATCGTTGGATGACCCAACTAAAATAGTCATGGAAGAAGTCATGACAGAATGGAAAGACAAAAAAAGGGGCCTAGATCTTAACTCGACAACGGGTGTTACGAACTCTGGAGGCCCAGTGACAATACCTCTGGGCCCAGGCGAGTGGGATGAGGGTCTGGGAGTTCCTTTATGTGTTGTTTGTCATGGGGTCGGTTGAACAATCCTTCCCTGACCGTAAACAAAATAGCTAACAATCGGTCTAGGCAAACAAGATAGAACAGCTAGAAAAAGAAAATGGCTGGCGAGAGGAAGAATTCGACTTTATCCTTCAATTTATGAGGACTATCCTTCTCAAACGTGAGTGTTCCTTTTAGGGGATGTGTTATTGTTGATCGCATAACTGAATTTCATCATGGTCTAGACGGCGCTTCATTGATTTACACAACACCTTTCCTCGCGAATTCTCTACAAAGCCTAATTCATTCGACCTTGGGTATACATTCATTATTAAGAAGGCAGTCTCTCAAACACAATGTCATTGACCGTGACAAGGTTGTTGTACCAGCAAACTGGGATTCTTGGGGTAAAATTCGTATCATCCGGGAAGGATTTGACATTGAGGGCGTAGGCGACGCTTGGTCTATCGAAATTCAGGAACCATTGGGCTTTTTGGTCAACGGCTCTGGAAGAGGCGAACTTACCGAAACATCAGATCAAGCCGCAAGCTCACCGGGTGAAGATGGCACAAGTGCTGTCGCCATATATGAGCAAGCGATCAAAGACCCTAGGCAAGATTCTGCAGTCCCGGGAAGCAGCACGCATACGAATAGAAGCAAAATCGAAATTGATACGGAAGACATGCAGAAGTTTTTGGGCCAACAGCTTACAATATTGGATCAGCTCAAGGCGGAAGACGAGAAGGATAGGGAGGCTAAGAAAGTGCCGAAGGCTCTCGAGATGTCTCCAAACCTTGACGAATCTGGACATGTCAATGAACACATTGGACCTGTACAATTTAACATGGGTGGTATTCAGGTTGATGCTGACGACATGCTAAGAAAACTCAAGGTTAGACGATTCGCGTTTCCACCCCCCGCCCACCCCCAATCCTTCCCCCGGGTCTTTACATTCGATACTAACAGCCTGTTATATAGGAGCGAGAGGCCAGTCGTATGCCAAGGAAGGAGGTTAATGCATCCAGTGCACCAACAGATGAAAAAGCCCAGAATCAGGCATTGGCTAGCTTCTTTGCTGGACTGGTCAAAAAGCCGGGTGGCAGTCCTCGCAGCAGCCCAGCACCTGGCTCGTCTAATTAATCTACACATATTACTTGTATTCTGTTTATACCTCCAAAAATCGTCAACGGCTAGTATTTAAGGCAATATCGTCGGGAAGCGCGGTGTTGTCTATTTTGTTCTCCCCCTCTCTTTTAGTCTATTCCGATGAGAGACTTGGCTTCCTATATCCTATTTTGTCCAAATTGCTGGGGGAACGCATGATCTCCGTATCATACATGGTGCCCGCACTTCTTTTCTATTTTCTTTTATCTTGTACCTATACATACCAATATGATACCCTTCTGATGGAGTGTTCCCTCCTTTGTACGGTACTTGTTATGCATTAATTTGTGATTTTTGGACAAGGAACGGACCGCGGTAGAGCCTAAACATAGCAACAGTCGTACTCCCCCACCATGCCACCATCTATTTATCATTCAGCAAAGTTTCATCCTAGTTGACCCCGAGCAAGCACTCAGGTTAGCGCGATATGACTTCTTCATCCGTGGCCGAAGCAGCAGCATCTACAGCCCCTTCAGCTCCCCTCTGTCAATGTTGACGGAGTCCTTCACTTCCGCGATATAGGCGCTATCCCATCGCCAACAGTTCATCTACTCGCCGACACATCACGGCCAATGGACTCAAGTCTCTCACTCAGGACTTGTGCGTCTCCACCGATTATGATCTACGCTCGCATGACGAGCTACGCAAGGAATCTGTGTCATCGAGCCTGCTCGTCTCAACGGACAGTCAGACTCAAGAGTCAGGTAAAGGGTAAAAATTGAAAAACAGGTTTGGGACGCAATGGATGAACGGTGTAAATACACGAGGAGCTTTATATAGGTATCTAGAAATTTTCCCATACTCGAGCCGGCAGTACACTCCTCATGATATTCCAGTGGCCGATGGCGCTTTGAGTATGATAGGTCTCCAAGATACTGGTTTTGCCAACCTCTAGAATCTGCTGGCCTACCGTCGGATAATTGGCCATATCAAAGGTTTCGGGGCCAATTTCGCGTCGTGGATACATGTATAACTCCCTCAGTTGACTACCAAGATAGTCATTTTCATCCGACGGTCGAAATTTCAGTGGAGTTCCTTGCTTTTTCTTGCAAAATATCACCATATTTGTAAAGTCTAGAGGCTCGTTTTCTGTAGATTCTTCCGAGTCGCCATTCTCGCGAAATATGCGGCACTCAGGAAACACCCATCGAATTGTGCGAACGACTAGTCCTGCCGCTGGCAAGGAAAGATCTCCGGCGTAATTCTTTTTTATAGTCAGCAGCAATATGCAAAGATTAAAAAGGTTATAAAAGGGGGAAAGACAAACAATTGCTATAACACCGTCATCTTTGAGGAGTGCATCGAGCCCCTGCATGAACTCCCAGGTAAATAGCTTGACTGGCTCAACCCCTCCTGTGAACACATCGTGAATGATATAATCGTATTGTTTGGCTTCTCGCCGTGCTGTCTCGACAAATGTAATTGCGTCGTCGATGACTGCTGTATGATTTCTTGGGAAGTTAAAGTGCTGTAACGCAAACTTATATACTACTGGATCCACCTCCACAACAGTCGTTTCTATGCCGTGTTGAATCAGGGAAGCCGGTGTAGTGCCTATTCCAAGCCCGCTGCAGAAGAAGATTCCGTTAGCTAAATCTTACGATTCAATCGAAGTGGGTGGTTGTCCTCATACATGACCAGCGCATTGCTATCTCTGTCCTCTCTCCTTGTTAGACCAGACCCTGGCTCAACTAGTCGCACCGCTTCCAGCATAGTGAATACCGCGTATATCGGATCTGATACCTTGGGATTGTAATTGGGTGGGCGGCGCGTCCACTCTCCTCCTAGTAAACTATGATCACACCTCATAGCACGGAATCCAAGTTGAGTGTTATCCAGTACAGATATGTACCCAGTTAGTGACTCTTGCCGTTCTACCAAGCTATAGTTCACCTCTTGCAACGTCAAGTTGAGTTGCGTCGTTGAACGCGCAAACGGCATGTGTACACTCGTCGTTGACAAGAGATAAGCGGCCGGTAGTGAGAAAAAGAATAGTGACATATACGAAGGAAAGATGATTGCGTAAACAGATGCAACAACGAGCTGTAGCCCAAAAGTAGTCATAAACATTGTCGAGCCGATGTATAAAGGTAAGAAAGATAGGGTTGCTGCCTGTGCTAGTTTGAAGAGGGCGACCCCTCCCAGCAGGGGAATTGGCCTTGCAATAACTGAGTTGGACTGGCCAAAATCTATGGTGTTAACCAGGCTCAAATAAGTCGCCGTCGAGAGTAATAATAGTGGGAATATCGTTATCATTTCAGTCAACACCGGTCCAGCCGGGTTGCCAAATAGAGAGCTCCACGGGAAGAGAAACCCCTGAATGATTGGAATCGACAGTGCAGCCCCTGAAATGACCCTGCGCTTCTGGCTGAGGCTCCTAGGGACAAAAGTCTCGAGTGAATAACCTGCAAATATAGCTAGAGTACATAAGGCATCGTGATATGTGCGCACAGGGGTCGACCCGTAAACAGGTGACAGAGCCAACAGAGATAACACCGAGCAGGCTGCAGCGAGCAAGAGTACAATCACAGCTCGAAAAATGTCTCTCCAAACGCGCGCGGTACGGCTCACCACGGTCCCTGGGGCCTGGTTAGGCTCAACCATCTTCAGTTGCTTCTTGGTGAGAGGCAGTGGCAGGGAACGAGCGTGTATTTAGACCGTCCGAGTTTCGCCGAAAAGATACCAGACGCGATTCATGATACTGTCCAGTACAACATTCGCACTCCCTGTGTGTTGTTGACGGCTAACTAGAATCTCGGTCAGCACAGTAGACCGCACGCACTCTATATGCGAGTTCGGCAAGGCAACATTGGAGAATGGCCCCTTTAAATAAGAACAGGAACGAAGACACTGCTAGTCCACAGGTGAAACTGCAGTTTGCAAGTTGCATCTCGAACACGCCTCAAACAGCCAAGCGGAGGTCTGGTGGGGCCCGGGAAGCGGATGGCGGGCCTCGCAAATCAGGCATCCACCCACCGCCGGCTTCACCGCGCGGTGCGATGGCGATAAATAATTCACTGTTCTTCCAGTTTTAACACATCGCAAACTCATCGATACGGCCATAGGCATTGTTTTGACCCCTGGATTAGTCAATGTAGAGAGCACCGTTTTCTCCCCAATGTCGACACGGGAGCCTTACAGCAGCACGGGTGATGTCACCGAGCGTTTGAAGCCCCCAGCTTCCGTGCAGGCAAAAAACCGTCGCAAACGTTATCTCGACCAGCACCCGGAGTACTTCTCTGCTGATCTCGAAATGGCTGGTCTGCGCTCTATATTTCTTGCCTGCGCTAGTCACTTCCTAGCAGTATCTGGATTGCTGCAGAACTAACATGTGCTACGTTTTTAGATCCATTACTCTACGATCGCCTCATCCGGCGCTTTCAGACGCCCGCGGAGAGAGAGGCAGAGGGGCGTGCCAAAGGGTTCTCCGGCATACTGCAAACTGACCTCTTGCGGTCTGAAGCGAAAATAGATGCGCTGGCTCACCCCGATCCGAATGCAATGTTGAGTTACAAACGGGGTCCCAACGGTGAAATCATAGCCGAAGACAAGGATGACATACCGGCCACGAAAGAAGAAGGACAGAAACGTTGGCAGTGGGAAATGGAAATGCGCTTTCTCAAAGGTGCCGATTACGATTTTGACTACAGCGCAGTAGACGAAAATGACGAGTATGACGACTGGAACGAAGAGCAGGAACGTTATTTCGACGAAGAAGAGCCTGAGTGGATATTGGAGGACCAATGCAAACTCGCAGGAGAGACTGGCATACAAGATTATTGATCTGGCGCCCCTCTTGTTTTGTTTGGCTTGACTATGCCTGCAACGTCACCTAGAGCAAATATTCCGATCCGGATCCGGCAATTCAGATGATATGCCCGCATCGTCAGTGCAGCAACGATCAGGAAGCGGGGTAGATATTAAAGAGGAAAAAAGAGGAAGCGAACTGATCAGTTTTACAGAATCAGCCCAGCTGTCTTGATTGGCCCCAAGAAAACAGACGTTTTAGTTGTCGAGGCATAATTACCGCGTCATCTTTACCGAACTTCAAGACTCATTTTCGCCAAAAGATGTTCCATCGCCGCCCTGTTCTATTCGCTTTTTATTTTTTTATTTTTTTTATTTTCTGAACACGAAATCTTGATCGCCAGACAACATGCTGTTCGACAAGACTCGGAATCATCTGAATAGTCTCGAATCATCGGCGCCCGGCCGCAATCATGGGAAGCCTCTTGCCTGCATCATTTTTTTCTTCGCGTCCCAAATGTCCTGTAACCTGCAACGACCGGCCACATCGTCAGATGCGACGGACGGGGCAGCCATGCAGCAACCTCGGATTCATCGGCTGGACGTCCTCCTGGCACAAGTAGGGGAACATGCACATCGCAGCCCTTACGTTACACGCTTTGAACCAATCCCGGTTGAGATGGCACCTCCTGGGAGACCCGCGGGGACATCTCGTGCCGAGATGCATGACACTCTGCTGCTGGCCAGCTTCAAGGACAAAGCCGCTTGGCAGAAATGGATTGTAACTCCGGCGTGGCAACAGTTTATGGCGAGCACAGAGAACGAAGCGGTCTTCCGGCGTATCCCACATGTTCGATGTGCTCACAGCCTCAAGGGATTGAGAAATGCACTGGAGATCCTGATGGCTTGAACCTTATGCGATGGCATGGGCATGACGCGTCTTTTTTTCTTTCCTGCTTGCCTTTTTTTTTTCTTTTTGTTGTTGTTGTTCGTATTCTCTGTACGGAGTAGTTCCCAAAAAAGAAACATTTCGACTGACGTGGATGGAGTCCGCCCATTTCCGCCTCTTGGCAGACGAAAGCTCTCGCCCATCATGCCAAGGCCCCAAGGGCTAGGGGAGGAATGCTCGGCGGAGCGTCTTGGCAGTGACACCCCATTGTTGGGCGTGAATTGTCAATCATTACGGAGTACCTGCTTCTTGATATTTGACCGACTATTGTCTTGGGGGAGACGGTCGTACACGGGCGTCTGCTGTGAGGCTATGCTGAGAGCCCCTGATCTGCAAATAGCGGCATCACTGAGCTTGGCACGCTCCGCATTGAGCGCGTACTACCAAGTCCTTTCTCTGCACACTCCCTCCGGCCAGCAACAGGCGGCCTTTGGGGCTTTTGGGCTTTTGGGCTTTTGGCGGCATTCTTCTGCTCGCTCTTGGCTGCCTCTTGGCAGCGCGGAAAACATGCAACTGCGACTGGCTCGGTTGCGCCTGCTGCGTGAGTCGTCCGCCGTCTTTCGTTCGGATGGCCCTCCCAACTCTCGCTTTCTCTCTCTGTCTCTCTCTTCTTTTTAACCCATTCCTCGCCATTCACCGTCGTCGTTCCTTTGCCAGGCTTATTTCTCATATGTTGTTTCTGCTCATTGCAAAATACATCCATCCTTGACCGGACCCGGTTCGCTATGAACCGCTGATTGTCCACAACACACATCGATCGTTCCTTTCCATATCTATTTGTATATACTGCAGCCTCGCTTTTCGATCATTATATCAAGACCTTTTTCTTACCCTCTTCATATCTTAAGCCGTGACTTAAAATGATCGTCACGTGTCTGCATGAGCCTTGTTCCATGGCCCCGGCCCTGGCCCCCCAAAAGAGGCGTCTTTCGGCATCGAGGAACGATTTCAATCCGGCCTTCAACTACCCTTGTGCAGGCTTCCCTTCCGGTTCGATTGGTTTTGGCGCGCTTCACACTTCACACATGCTGGCGGTGCCTTCGTTCCCTACACTGGCCCCGGAGGTCACAAAAGTAGCTCGGCTCACATTCAGCAAGTCTCCTCGGCCACTTGGTGCCGGTCTCTCATCAACTCCCCCATTAGCATCCCCTAAGAACAACTCAAATCGCTCCGTTCCAACATCGACATCACGGATGTCTGGATCTTCGTCAATGCGGAACCTTTTCCGCCGCACAACGACTCATAGGCAAACTGCTAGGGGGAAACTGAGCCGCGAATTTCGAGAATCGGACTGCACCGCATCGCCAACCGTCCGAAGTATTTCTCCTTCGACATCACAGGCGGTAGCCCGCCACGACCATGGGGGCTCAGTGCCTGCAAGAAAGACATCACGCCTCCGAAAGGTTACGTCACGTCTATCCCTCAAGGAACGAATAAGTTTCTCGACCGTTCCACATCAAAGGCTATCGCTCAAGAGACTCTTTCAGTCGCCATCTGCAGGCCATAGCTTGCGACAGAGGGATGTCCCAGATATTGCGATCCCTGCCAAGACTGGTGCTGGGCTAAAGTCTCGCCAGCTAGGCACCGATATGTCAGAGAGTTTCAAGGTTGACTGGTGTGAGCTCAACGACGAGTTCGCTAGTGGAAGAAAGATTCCTGGAAAGGGCGGCAAACCGATAGGGAGAGGTGCTACAGCTATAGTACGAACCATGTACCGTAAAGGCAGGTCACGAGAGGTCCTCTATGCTGTCAAGGAGTTTCGCAAGTGTGGACGAAACGAAGACAAAGTGCAATACGAGAACATGGTCAAATCAGAATTCAGCATCGCCCAAAGCCTTCATCATCCGAACATTGTGGAAACTGTTCGGCTTTGCAAGCACTCGGGGAGGTGGAACCATGTCATGGAATATTGCGAGTATGGCGAACTCTACCTATTGATCAAACAGGGCTATCTTCGCGACATAGATAATCTTTGCTTTTTCAAGCAGCTTCTACGCGGCGTGGCACATTTACACCAGAATGGTATTGCACATCGTGATATCAAACCAGAAAACCTCCTAGTCACAGCGGAGGGGCAGCTCAAGATCACCGACTTTGGTGTTTCTGAGGTTTTCTCGGGCACGCATCCAGGACTCAAAAGCTCCAATGGTGGAGATAGCAATGAGAATTCCCGAGACATTCGAAAATGCTCTCCTGGAATATGTGGTAGTATACCTTACGTGTCTCCTGAAGTTCTTGCTGAGCACGGTACGTTTCTCTCTTTCCCTTTATTGGAATAAGACCTCGACTGACGTATACAGGCGACTATGATCCGCGTGCGCTCGATGTATGGTCGTGTGCGATTGTGTGCTTCACGCTATTTGTTCGTGGTAGCCCATGGAAGGCTGCAAAGCCTGAAGATCCTCACTATAGCAAGTTTCTTGCCGGATGGCACAAATTCTTACTTCGAAACCCAGACGGTGTGATCAGCGACGAAGAATCACCGTTTTGTGGTCGAATTTTTACGACATTCCCCAAGAAAGGAATGAACCAACTTATTCTTAAGATGCTGCATCCAGATCCCGAAGTGCGCATTTCAATCGAAGAGGCCTTGAATGATCGTTGTATCAAAACGATCGATTGCTGTAGTCCAGATATCGATCATGAGACTGATACAGATACTATATTTAATGCTGTTTACAAAGACAGTCTGAGAGCGGCTCGGAAGAAGATGCAAAAAATGCACCGTCACCTTCCTCCGGGGGAAAAGCGGTTATGACTGAGAAGCCAGTGTCCTACAGAAGCCGTTCTGGTTTGAAAGGCTGAAAAGGAAACTGTATATATTTAGGCTTTTATAGACTTGATTCCTCGGGCTCTTCTCTGCCACAATGTCATCGTGACAAACATTGGCATCCGTATCATGATGCGCACCCTCGAAACGATAAGTAGAAGATGCCTATGTAAGATAAATTTTGTATGGTACACATTAACTTGTTAAAGTTGATTGAGAAAGGATTTCCCTTCTGGCTGCTCACCCCATTTTCGCACCCTTCTGTTGCTTCTCCAACAACTGAATCGCAAGCTCTTTGAGCTTAAACTTTTGAATCTTACCACTAGCAGTCTTTGGAAAGGCATCTGAGCTAGGAAGAAAGAACACAAACTTTGGCACTAATCAAACAAGATTACGTACGTACCAGTAAACATTAGCGGTTTCTCTTCTAGCTTATATTTGATCGTGAACAGAACCCACCTAGGTGACTACTCAGGGTTTCCCTAACCCACGCCCTCAGTTCATCCTCGAACCGATCCTGCTCCTCATCATGTTGGCGACGTTCTGAATTTATGCTGCTATTCGATAGTGAGAAGGACGAAGAAAGAACCACAAATACAGCCACGACTTCTCCATATTTCTCGTCTGGAACCCCTACAACCGAAGCCTCCGCAACAGCGGGATGTGCCAGAAGGCAATTCTCAATCTCGAGAGGATGTATGTTTTCTCCTCCTCGGATGATAAGGTCTTTGATTCGGCCTGTGATCGTTATGTAGCCGTCGGAAGACATGCTTGCCTCGTCACCGGTCTGCGTGCAGGTATTCAGAAGAGGTCCTATTTGTTTGTTTGTTTGTTTTTTTTGGGGTTCTTTTTTACACCCGAGTTTCAGTTCGACAAAGCCCGGGTTGATGGATAGCTTACATGCATCCAAACCTTGCCATCCTCATCTGCAAGCATTACCTCTGCTGTCTTTTCGGGAGCGCCCCAATACTCCTTCATCAACAGATATCCGCTCACGGCCAGCTCGCCCTTGACGTTAATCGGTAGGACTTTGTTATGGTTTGCTGGATCCACGACCTTGGCCTCGACATGCGGCATCAGTCGTCCCACGGTAGTGATTCTCTTCTCCAGAGGGTCATCAGTAGTCGTCATCGCAGACACTGGACTTGTCTCCGTCATGCCGTAGCAGATAGTCAACTCAGTCAGGTTTAGAGTCTTGTGCAACTTTCGCATCAGCTCCGCGGGGATACTGCTCCCGGCTGCAATGCCAGTACGAAGAAATGGGAAGCCGTCATGATCAGCGACCTCGTTCCGCTCCAGGAGACCCAGCTCGTCAATGAACATAGTTGGTACGCCGTATAATGCTGTACAGCGCTCTTCGAGCACGGCCTGGAGAGCGGCTAACCCATTGAAGGATTCTGATGGAAATACAATGGCCGAGCCATGTGTTGCTGTTGCCATGAACCCCAAAATACTTCCAAAACAGTGAAATAGCGGTGGCGGGCAGCAAACAATGTCATTCTCTGTCAGACGCATTCGGTCGCCGATCTGAGTGCCATTGTTCAGAATTGAACGATGTGTCAGACAGGCTGCTTTGGGCATGGATGTTGTTCCAGAGGTAAACTGGATGTTCACTATATCGTGAAGTGAGAGTCGCTGGTCCGGCAATTGCTGCCAATCTTCCGGATAGTTAGAAATTATAGATGAATAAGGCGTGAGAGCTTTGTATGGAGTGATGTCAAATCGGCCATTTGAATTATCAACGACAACTACGTGCCTCAGTGTTGGAATCAATTCCGATTGAATGTTTGACGCAGAATTCAATCCGGGGACAATGTGCCTAATAAGAGGTGTATTATCGCGAGGCTGGCGACGTGGTAGGTTTGCTTCAGCACTGATGATCAAGTGGCTTGCTCCCAGATGGCTCAACGCGGAGGCAACTTGATTTGCGTTAAAAGAAGGATTCAAGGGGACCAGAATGGCGCCCAGCTTGTAAAGGGCATATGTCAACTAAAAGGCAAAGGCATCGTAAGTAAGGCCTGAAACAACCGGTGGATGATATTTCCACATACGGTTGCATATTCTATCGAGTTACCGAGCATGACAGCCACACGGTCACCCTTCCGAACAGAGATTGATTGGAGCCCGCGGGCAAGCGTGTTGCTATTGCGGTCGAGCTCCTCGTATGTACATCTATGCCTCTGATGCCGCGCAACTACTCTGTCGGATGGGCGTCGTAATTAGCATTTCCTTACAGAGAGAAAGAGAGAGAGAAATGTGGCCTCACGCGGTACGATCTCCAAATTTTCGCACGATTGATTCGAAGTGGCTTCCTACCGTCTGCTCCAGCAAAGGTGGCTGTTTCAATGCGTATTAACATGTTTTTCTTCCACTGCCAATGTGCAATTTTCTTGAAAAGCTACTTTAGGGCTCGTACTCCATCAGGTCCCCGCGCACGGCTCTGCGTCAGGAAACTCCGAAATTGCCATGTCCACCAGAGACGATTGATGTTGGCACTTCTCCGCACAGCAGAGGCTCCCCTTGCAGCCGAAAAAAGGAATTCCAGTGACATGATGTCACAGTGTTTTTTGCGCCCAAGTTTGCGTATACCACGGTACCGACTTACTGCAAAGCGAGTCCCCCAGTTCAAGCTTCAACATGAATAAACTGCGTCAAAAACCCGGACGTCGAGGGGCAGTGGCGAAGGAGCAGAAGGAATGCGAGGAAGCGGAGAAGAGGAACGATGCACCGCGGGATTCACGTGAGGGGGGCATTCTCCGCTTCTTTGCAGATATTGTAACTACAACCCTAACAAGATCGTTAAGGCGGTCGTCTATGTAATCGGCCCTGTAAGAGAACTCGGGAGTTAAGCAGCTATAATGCTAGCCAGTGACAAGCTGAAAGGAACTTGAGAAGCCCATGCAGTCGAATTAGGATTAGCTGTGTAGTTGCTTGAAGCCGTACCTAGGTAATGAGTGAACTACCTAGGTAAGTATCATTCATATTATGTATATTGTTATTCTAAGAGTGTGCACATATATTAGGTAGTACCTAGGTAAATACAGTCATGACCATACAGCTCGTATTAAATCAAGTAAAAACATCAGTGACGAATCTCTGACTCGTCCGCAGACGTTCAAAGAACCTGTCCACTGCCTCCTCTTCACTGATCTCAGGCCACAAGCCCTTTTCACCAGCCTCTGAAGCTACCTCTGCCAGTCTTCTTCTTCTCTCGCCCACATATAACTGCCTAATAGTCTCACGAACCCCATTTCCGACACTGGTGCTGCCGCAGACATATATCCTTGCACCTGCGTTAAAAAGATCAATTACACTTGTGCCATCCTGAAGCATTACGTCTTGAACGTGTGCTCGCTTATGCTTCGGGTCTTCCGGACGAGAGAATGCCCAATGGGCCTGGACAGCGCCAAGTCGTTCCCATTCCTCAAACTCGTCCGCATGAAGATCATCTTTGCCCTGCGTACGAGAACCAGCATAGAGAATGGCTGGGGCGGGCTTTGGGTCACTGCTCCCGCGAGCCTTGATTTTCTCTGCGCGGTCCATGATAAATCCACGGAAAGGCCCGATACCGCTACCCGCAGAAGCCATAATAATAGGTGTTTGTAGGTCGACCGGGGGCTTGAAGCCGCTGTTCGAAGGGCGGACTGCGACATGAGCGCGATCACCCGGCTTGAGGGTTGATAGATAGGTGGATGCTACACCGAGATATCTGTCTTCTTCCGAGAGGCTAGAAGATAGGACGGACGGGCTGTTGAGGACGGACAGAGTAATCGAGCATTCCGAAGGGTCCTTGCGAGGGGATGATGATATCGAGTATAGTCGAACACGCATTGGCGGAAGCATTACAAGATAATCACCGACAGATATATCGATTTTGGGATATTGAATCAACAAATCCAGAGGGCTAATGCGCTTGGCCAGAGTCTCCGCGAAACGTGTCGGACTTGATGCCAGAAAGCGCAATTCCGCTTGTGTATCTGGATCAGCAGCGGCAGCATCAGCGAGGACATTTATATCCCTTTTCGACGCGGGCTGAGAAAGCTCCACGTAGGTGGAAAATAGCTCAAACGCGGAAATAGGCGTGTCGAATGGAATTGATGGGCCCGTCGTAGCACCTGGGGTTTTCCTAATTGTGAGCATGGCATCCCATGGTAGGCCAAATCGTCGGATCGCTTTGTGGACAACATTGTCGGGGTTGGTCGGCAGCACAGCGAGATAGTCTCCGCATTGGTACGGAGTGTCAGACGGTAACTGGAACCTGACGAGGCGTTTGGCGGGCACATCGGGGGCTGTTAGGAGCCGGTTTTCTACAACTAGCGCCTCTCCAAGCTGCAAACCTAGAGTTTTCGCGCGCATTCCAGAGCTGATCTCTACATTCAATGCAGACTTTGATTTCGAGGTTTTCCCTTTCGAAGAGGCTCCAAGTTGCGATTGCATCGCGGGCCAGAATGACGATTCGCTCCATGTCTCAAATGCAGAGAAGATATCTGCTCCAGCTGTGTCAGCTAGACCAATCTCGCAGAGACGATTGCCACCATGTTCCGCAACAAGGTTATTTATCGCCTTTGGAATGCGGTGGAAGGTTGAAGCCCAGTCATCTAAGGGGGTGTTAATAAAGGAGTTAGCCTTTTCATTATAGAGGATATATGTAGTGAGCGGGAAATTGAGAATACGTACGATGTCCGGCCCCAAAAACGGCATAATTGACTCCATCTAATTCCTTTTCTTTCAACCCACTGAGCCATTCGAAGAAAAGTGCAGCATTGTCTGGAGGCTGGCCCTCATATGAAGCTGAGATAAACACAACTAGGTCCTTCTTGGGGATGTTCTGCATCGCTGAGTCAAGTGAATCAATATGAGCTGAATAACCGAAATCCACGGCGTCTTCGGCTAGCCGTCTAGCAAAAGCTTCACATGTTCCAGTGTTGCTTCCGAAGAATATATGCAAAGGCTTTCCTGCTCCCTCCGGGATATCAGCATGGGCACTTGTCTTTTCCTCTCGTGAAGGAAGTTTGGGTTCTTGGCCGCTATTCAGGACCGAATCCAAGGTTGTAGCGTCTAATCCTTCTCTTAACGTAGCTCTGATTTCGAAATCCTTCGGCTTAACTGTCAACGCCTGTTTAATGCGCAGATTGTACGTCGGGTCGTGAAGCTGAAAATTGAAATTTTGGAGCAGCATCGCTACAACGATGAGCATTTCCTGCCATGCAAACGGTCGCCCAATGCAACCTCTCATGCCGTTACCAAAGGGCTTCCAGGAATTTTTGGGGTATTTTTCGAATTTATCATCCAGCATGCGCTCCGGTTTAAACTCTTCAGCATCGTCGCCCCAAACTGCTGGGTCACGGTGAAGTTTGGAGAGCACGATGACAACTTTTTCGCCCTTTTCAAGCTTGTACTTGCCGTTTCCGAGCGTGACAGGGTCTTCGATGTTTTTGATTGGGTGTGGCTCGACAGAAAAGCCAGGGGCAGGGGGCTTCAAGCGTAATGCTTCACGTATGCAGGCATTAATGTAAGACAATTTCGGGAGATCTTCGACGGTAATCTTTCTATGGCCGAGGACCGTGTCAACTTCTTCCTGGGCTTTCTTGTATGCTTGTGGGGTCTTGAGGAGGTAGTAGAACAGAAAAGATAACGTGCCAGACGTCGTTTCATGGCCTGTTAGACTTGAAGTTAGATAACTACTTGACTTGCATAGATTGTGAAGGCATTTCAAAGCATACCTGCGATCAAGAAGGTAATCATGTTATTAATAATTGAATCGTCGGTAAGGCCCTGGCCGGTCTTGGGATCCCTGCCCAAAACCATGGCATTCAAAAGATCTTTCTTCTCTGGTTCGGGATTTTTCCGACGATCTTCCAGCAAGTCACGAGCTGTCTTCTGACAAACAGCGATGTCGTTGAAAAATTTCGTGTTGTCGCTGGTAGGCAGGTCTCTGATGATTCCGGGACGACGGGACCGTTGACCTGCGCCTCTGAGCATTCCCATCATAGCACCGACAAAGGGATGCATGTCTTCGTGATAGAAGCTATTGAAGCGAGTCCCCATAGCGCATAGGGCGATGGTATCCAGTGTCAGACGGGTAAAGTCATCTGTTGGCGTCAAGGGCTGCTTGGGTCCCTGCCGAGCCCATTTCAGCACCAGCTGCGTGGCAATGTCATACATTTCTACGGATGAATATATTAGGTCTTCAACCCATCGTCTTCGTTTCCTAACTAATGCCAGTAATACAATCAACACTCACCATCGAACATTCCCCGAATCGCAAGGGGGCCGAAAGCCGGAACAAGAACACGGTGAGCAATAGCCCAGTTCTCCTCTCCAGGATATTCCGCAGTGAATAGACCGTCGTGAATTCCGTTGCGGATCTCTTTCAAGCCGCTGAAGACGGCTTTCCTGAAACGCTCTTCATTGCATATTTCATCGACTAGTTCATGAGAAGAAATGATGACACGAGACACGCCAAAGGTGCTCAGGCGATAGATTGGGCCTTTGGTGGCTTGATTAGTGATGGTTACGTTGAGAGGCTGCGCAGCGAGGAAGCCATACCGCAAGTGTCAGCGAGATGCTCCATGCTCGCCATCGGGAGCTCGCTGTCGATGTCAAAAATGTTGCCGAGCAAAGGCACACCAGGCGGGTGGGGGATTGGCGTATAGTCTTGCTCAGCCATGTTGGAGGGTATCGATCACAACTGATAGACCTGTCAAGAGAAAAGGAAGGCAAGAAAAGAGACGGGGATGTAGACAGAGAGACGTAGCTGTGTGGACATATATACACAGAGAATATATATACACAGAGATATGCAGAGATATGCCGCGCACCCGCCCCGAGAAGACGACGATCACTGGCTCACCAAGGCGAGCGACGTAAGCGACGCGTGATTGGCTGGGCCCCGCGTGAGGACCCCTGTTTTGAATTTTGTGCAGAATAATGCACTCGTGCATAATTATGCCCCTCTCGCTTACACGGTCCAAGGTTTGCGCCAGGCGTACACGCCACTGCATAAGTCGAGCATATCGGTCTATGAAGCGATGTGAACATCCAGCATCGACCGTCTTACCACACGATCCGGCGAAGGCCGAACGTTGTTGGCATAAGATGATATGACCATGCTCACGTGACTGCAGTGGCCGTTGGGGCCCGGGGCTAAGGACTCCGGGCGATTTTTTGCGGGGAATCGTACCCGCCCGCTCCCCCGCAAAATGCAAAGGTCACCCCCCGACAGCCACTGCGAAATCTCCCAGTCCGCGAGCCCATCGCATAACAATGCGTACGCAGAGTATATGCCTACACAACGTTGAACTGGCATCTACCTCGAGCATGTATTCTGTCTGATCCGCGTCTGCTCCAGCCTTCGAAGTCCAGGTCCGCTGTCCCCCAGCTAATCTCGGCCGTCTGCCAGAAGTAGAGGAGCCAGTGTGTCGAAAGTATGCGGGCCGTTGTCGGGTTTGCGTACCTGGCTTCGGTGCGTGAGCGGTCATTCACGACGCAGTATATATAATTCCCCGCGTTACCCCAGAAAAGGGGGTCATTTGTGATCTTCGATTGCGCCCCCCCAGAAAAACACAATTAATTGACGCTATTCATTTCTTTTTTGGACCACTGTCATCATGGAGAAACGCAATAGCTATGGTATCCCAACCGCATTCTACCGCGGTGGAACCAGTAAGGCCCTCTTTTTTCATGAAGATGTCCTCCCTGCCCCGGGACCCGCGAGAGATCGCTTGTTGAAACGAGTCATGGGCTCTCCCGATCCCCTCCAGCTGGATGGTATGGGTGGCTCCAAGGCCGTCACTTCAAAGATTGCTATCGTAAAGAAGTCCTCCCGGGAGAACATTGATGTCGACTATACCTTTGCCCAAGTTGGAATCGCAGACGACACCATTTTTTACGGAGGCAATTGCGGCAACATTTCTGCGGCCGTGGGGCCATTCGCCATTGAAGAAGGCCTGGTCGAGTTCCGGCCCGGTGTCTCGCTTGACCCCCAGACCAGGTCGCAAGAGGTCCGCATCTACAACACGGGAACGGAGAAGACAATCGTAGCTCACGTCACTATTGACGAGTCCGGCCTTTTTGTCTCCGACGGAACCCAGGAAATTGCGGGCGTGCCGGGTCAAGGCTCGCCGATCTTGATGGATTATCGATCGGTAGAAACCCTCACTCTATTGCGACTATACCTTTACTGATATATATTCGTTGTGCAAAGTCAACAGGAGCTACCCTATCCAAAGGCATTCTCCCCTCCGGAAAACCCACTGATACAGTCAAAGTGGGAGGGCGAGACATAGAGGTCAGCATTTGCGACGTTGCGAACCCATGTGTCTTTGTCAATGCCAGTGACTTCGACATCACCGGACACGAAAGTGCCGCCGAGTTGACCGCCAACAGTACATGGAAGGCCAATTGTCGGGAACTGCGAGGGAAAGTGGCGCAGCTACTTGGATTAATCGACGATTGGGAAAAATGGGACGCGATTTCTCCATTCGCACCGCTTCCCATATTTGTGACACCACCCCAAGATCCGTCCATTGGCCACATTTCAGCCAGATTGTTCCTGGATAAGATGTGTCATGAGAGTATGGCTGGGACTGGCGCCATCTGTGCTGCTGCGTGTAGCCGTGTTCCTGGCACGGTGGTTAACAAAGTAATCGGAGACGCCGCCGCGCTGGACATTCTGAATATTATCCATCCTATCGGGGTTATGAGTGTGTATGTCCAGACAGAGGCTACTCGGGACTCGGACGGGTTGCCGACATTTCGCACACTCTCTTTCGTTCGAACGGCGCGGCGCATCATGGACGGGAAAGTATACGTGCCCAAGTCCTTCGCTCCCCCTGAACCCGTCCGTGAAACACCCAAAACCGCCACTCCAGAAGCTACAAAATTATTGGCAGAGTTTGTAAATCGAACAGGATATGATGATATAGATGATTCAACCAAGAAATACCTGAAGAATCTTGTACTTGACTACATTGGCGTCACCGCCGTCGCTACACGCGAAGCCGAGTCCACGGCACCGGTATGTGAAGCCATTTCAAGGCTTGATAAAAATGGAGGGAACTATACTGTGATTGGCATGGGTCAAAAATGGAGTGGCCAGTACGCTGCTCTATTGAACGGGTTCCTTGGCCACTCTCTCGACTTTGATGATACGTACGCGGACGGGTTTCTCCACGCAGGCGTCACCACCATTGCGGCTGGACTGACTGCTGCCGAACATGCCGATATTAAAAGCGAGGTCTTTCTCGCCGCATTGGCCGTGGGCTACGAAGTAACGTGCCGCATCGGCAGAGTCCTTGGAGAGGCGGCCTACTCTCGGGGGTTTCACAACACGGCCACTGCGGGAATCTTTGGGGCCGTTGCAACCCTTGCGAAAATTAAAGGTCTTTCTTCATCGGTGATTGAGACGGCATTCGGTCTGGCTGGGTCGAAAGCAGCTGGATCAATGCAGTATCTCGAGAATGGGTCTTGGAACAAGCGCTTGCATCCGGGCTTTGCGATCCACGACGCTTGGCTGTGCGTGGAACTGGCAGAAGCTGGGGTGGTCGGTGCAACAAAAATTCTGGAAGGCAAATTTGGGTTTTTTAATGCATATTCACCGGCAAAAGTGGACTATGCAAAGCTTCTTGATGGGCTCGGCACTGAATGGGCCTTTCTCAGTACAATCTGGAAGCCATTTCCAGCGTGTCGGATGACCCACGGACTCATCATCATGATCGACGATATCCGATCAAGGGCCGCGGGGAAGGAAGTCCGATCCATTACAGTCAACCTACCGACGTATCAAGTGCAGATAGTTGGCGCCCCGGCGCCAAACAAAGTGCATCCGCAAAACATTGTGGACGCTCAGTTCTCCGCATACTATCAGGTTGCCCTGGCATGGCTTCATGGCGGGTTTACAGGCTGGTCTGGGTACAAACGGCTACATGATGCCGATATTCACGCCTTGACGGATCGAATTACAGTCGTGCCCGATCAGAAGCTAGGTCACTACGGCCAACGAGTCACCGTAGAGTTCTCAGATGGTCTTGTCGAGACAAAGGAGATAACCCGGGATGATGAAGCAGGCGGGTTTTCGCATGATAATATAGTAGCAAAATACCTTGGGCTTGCGGCGTCTATTTATGGAGAGGATCAGGCACAGCAAATAAAGGAACTCGTCTACAACATCGAGCAGCATGATGTGAGGGGGCTGATGGCACTGCTCAAGTAGGTAGTTTAAAGCATCTTAGAGAGTATAGTTACAGCCAAAACGGATAAGTATTAAATCTAGCATAACCTGCGAACCCAAAATTCCTGAATTTGAACAACTCTTAGGGTACGAATAACCCCGTGACCCATACGCATACCAAGGTATTCGAGCAAATAAGTTTTAGGATAACTCTCCCTCAATGCCATTGTATTATTGGTCTACAGCCTCAGCCTGATGCTCTTCTTGTCCGACTCTAGAATTTCATCGATGACCTCTTGAGCTCCTCGCTCTCCACTGTGGAATGAACCTTCCATATATCCTTTCCACCCATGGCTTGTCTCCGTACCAATGAAATGGAGATGTGCTAGGGATGCTCCTCCAGCACTCCAGGCATCACGATGGAGCTTGGCCCGCCCTTGCTCCATTTCATCGTCCTCAAGTCTAAATTATAGCGTCGATCGGCGCGGGGGTGTCAAGCCCATCGATTTCCGCCAAGTATTTAACGATAGCTGACCTGCGAGCCTCCACGCTCGGCATCTTAATCCATTTCAAGCTGTCATCGCCTCCCAGGAAGCATGTCAGAGAAATAACGCTGTCAACTTCGCCGAGTTTGAGAACATTATTGGCGAGCCGTTACACAGAGCCGAGGAGCTAGGTGTTGCCACTCCGACCTTGAAGATATACTATACTTATCTGAGGGACATCCAGGGGAAGACAAAGAAAGCAAAGGGACTTGTTAAGGTCCCCTTGAAAAGCACACACCGGACCTCAAACATGGCGATAAGAGTCAAATAAACCATATGATGTGAATGAAAATACTAATGTAATCGTTCGTTTACTGTGTTTAATTCAAGTTTATATTGTAAGCTATCTTGTAACCAAGTTCCTCGAATTATTTTCGAGCAAATCTTAAGTGGTCGAATGCTGAATGTTTGAGAGATTATAAACGTACCGTTGGTTCACCCGAAAGAATGGATTGAAAATAAAAACCTCTGATCAGTGTTTGGCCAAAATGGCAGAGCCGGACTAACGTTGGAAGGTCTACAAACGAAGGTTTCCAGTGAGGCCAAACACAGCTTTGACGCCCAGGTGATCCGTGACCCAGGCTTTCTCGAACCCAAGTGATAGTACTTGATCCCTCTGGTCCTTTTGCTCCTCAGAAATCTCGACATCAGCGCCAAATCTTTCGAAACCAAGCAACTTCAGATCTCCACCGCAGTAGTACACTTTGTCCATCCGCGAGCATCCATAGAGCTTTCGTAACTCCGGCAGTGCTTGCTGTCCCCAGGTATACCCTTCATCAGTGTCCTCGCGCCCCCCGAGCTCGAGGTACGCATCTTTGAGGTCGTTGTCCGAGTGTAGGGACATATCGAACGGCTGGATAGCATTAAAATCACCCGTGACTATCGCACCAGATACCTCTTCTGCGTGCATGTACGACGCAATGACTTGCATCTGGGCCGGCCGGAGCGGTGGCTCACGAGCAAGCGACTCAAGGTGTGTGTTGCACAACCGAAGCTTCTTGCCATGGCTGTAGGGAACGTCTACAAACAATGCTTCACGCTCCATATGGGTTTTGGAATAATGAACCCGGAAACACGACGTTATGTCCAATCGACGATCGACTAGTGTGAGTGTGCCATAGGCCCCCGACGCCCAGGTAGACACGTCGATGTCGGTCATGTAGAAGCTGTCTCGGACCCATTGCTTCTGGCTGATTGTGACAAGGTCCGACGAGACGCATTCCTGCAAGTTGATTATCACCGCTGCATTTGGGTCTGACAGCAGCTGATTCGCGAGTCCCTGGAGATACGCCAATGCGGCATTCACCCGTGTGTCCGGGCACGGCAACATGAAGTCAATATTCCAGCTGTATACGACTACTGTGGAAATGACAATAAAAGGCTTCTGAGACGCTGTGACTGGCCGCCATTCTTTCTGCTCGTCAAGCCAAGAATAGCAAGGCTGAGCCCATGGCTGGTCGGCTTTCCACGGAGTCGAGTCTGGTTTTCTTTTGAGGGTTTCAGCCTGTTTGATTGCATTCCGAACTAGGTCATCCATGATTGATTGGCGGTACTTCGTTGAGGTTCGAAATTTCAGAGCCGGGGATGATATCAAAAATCAGCGGAGCTATTGAGGAATGTCATGTTGTGTCATACGAGTGAAGAATGTTCTGGCTAGCCAACGACCTCGAAGGTATTGGTTCAACAGATGTAATTAAGTTTGGTCGGAACCTAGAGCCAGAGCTGAAAATTCGGAAAAAGGGTATCACGATCATAATATCGGAAAACTCTGTCTGATGCGTGACGATGTGGTTTTAGGGAAAGGAAGCCAGACCAATAAATGGGGAAACTTAGCTAGTTAGAGTAGGCGTGGGTGTGAACAAAGAATTGGCTGCCTGTTCTGTGAGGCATCGAGGCCTACCAAATCAGGTCTAGCGCCGTGGGATCGATGCTGAGCGTGGGGAAGCTCATAGACTAGACTGGTCGTACTACCCAGACAACATCATGGAAATGCTGCCTTCCTATGATGGATTCTGAACAGCATCACCCCGACCTTGATTCTGCACTTCTGTCTGTTCGGCTCTCTCGTTAGCTTGGAGCTCTTCAAAAAAGCACCATGGCCGAACCGTCCGAAGACGACATCGGCAACTTCGTCAGCTTCACAGGTCTGCCGCGAGAAAAGGCCATATTATTTCTGAAAGTAATAAACCTCTCGTCCTGACTAGGCTCTTCCTACATCATGCTAACTATGGGCTGTTCTCTATCTAGACAAATAACCTCGATTTGCAGAAGGCCGCCAATGCCTATTTCGAAAACCCGGCCGGCGTTCCATCGGAGGTCGAGGTATGCACCGATATTCCTTCTACACCTTGAATAATTCATTGATAGTCGTCCATTACAGCCGGAAAATGAATGGGTTTCTTTCAACAACCCATCGTACTCCCAAGGTGCTCAGTCCTTGCCAAGTGAGTGAAAGAACGACCAGCTATGCGAGAGAGTTGCCATTCATTTTCGTTATTTATCTAGCGTTCCACATCGAGCATCTAGACAGTACTCCCGGAAATGACTATTCAGCTGCTCCGTCGCGTCCGCCATCTAGGATGAACCTTGATGAAACTCTGACAGATCGTAAGTACGAAGAAAACAATCGCGATAATGCGGGTGCAGGTTAGTCGTGATACATTTTGCGCGCAATATAGGCATCAGTAGGTCTGACTTGCATTCCCTCTTCTCATAGAGTCTTCGCGAATGAACCTGAGTGCGGCCCAACTCGAGGAGCGCGATCTCCAACAGGCTGTGGCCATGTCGCTCAGCCACCAGGAAAGCGGGGTTATTACAGATACTGAAAATTCTCGCTTCGGTCCTGCTACTAGAGACACCTACGACGAAAGCTCGTGGGGGCTGACAGTTGTCAATTCGAGTGCAAGGGAGGAAATTATCAGCCCAGATCCAGAAGATCGCCGACGTCATGCCGAGGAACCGACTTTCCTTCGGCCCTCACAAGAAGCCCTTCACCTTGGAGGGTTCCTCACTATCCTTCATTCGATCCCACTTGCACGAGAAGCTCTTCTGCTTAGAGAAAAAGTCATCCCTGATTATGGCCACGATGCGCAGTGGTGGAATGGACAACCGATCCTGACGCCCCGAATCGTGTCTCTTGACAATCCCTACGCCGAAGAGAAAGACTCTGATGATATTCTATGCGAGACTCAACGATTGATGGCTTTTCTTGATTCCACGCGGCGCGCTTTCGGAAGCGCCGATGCTCTTGCTAGCCTGATGCCTGGATACAGTTACGGCGGCGATAGCGGCGTGGAGAAATTTTTGGAAGCATGGCAAGAAGCAGCTGTGCGGGCGACTCCAGCCAACCAGCTCTCTACAATTTTCTCTTCTTGTGCAATGAGAGAAGCGGTATCTGATATGGACTCATCCAACCAAAGAGAATTCTTCGTTCTCAACACCTACGTGGACTCTGGACAGAGTCAGACTCTCTACGATATTTTGGATGATGCCATCTGGCCCGACGTGCCCGGAGAGGAGCTGGACGATGTTTGGCTCGACCATGTCGGTGAGATTCTAACGATAAAACTGGAAAGTATAGGTACCGATGCCATCAATGTTAAAGTCCCTCCAGTCTTCTATCCAGATCGATATATGGAGGCGCGCCGTGACACGGTTCGTGAGCTTCGATTGAAGAGGTTAGATGTTATTAAAACTATAAGCCGCCTTGAAAGCATGGCAGCTCGTTATAAATGCGCGGAATCTGCCTCTCAGGCAGGAATGTCCAATCAAGAGCTGTTAGAGAAGGCAGCGCAAGCGGCTATCGTTGCCTTGTCAAAGTATCTACCTCCAGGGTCTGTTGGATTCAATAGTTCCGAAGTACAAGAAGTGGCTGAACAGCTCCGTGGCATTGCAGGTCTCCTAAGAGACAAGCTGAATCGTAAGGATTACACATCATTCTGCAACTCACACTATTTTCATTTAAGCTAACTCAAACTTACAGAACTTGATGCTGCAAAGCAAGAAGCTCGCGATACCCTGAGGGACTACTCTAAGATCTTGACAAATTCATCAACATCTCCCGAAGTTTCGCCATATTACAAATACACTCTCATGGGCATTTGTACGTCACCTCATATAACCTATGTTCTAAGGAAACATAACTCTGGCGACGCAGAAGAGGACTTGATTGAAATGGAAGAAAAACGGCCCGAAGAGGAATGGCAGTGGTGGCGAATAAGTTTCTCGACGGACGACGCCAAAACACAGCAAGCTGCCAAGCCAGAGGGCCAGAAGACAAGAAGCAACAAAACTAGCAATGCAGATGTTATCGGTTACACTACCATCAAAGTGAGAGAGACCGAAGTGCTCAAGGCGGCGAGGGAATCGAAAAGTCTCCTGCTGGTATACGCGAATGCCAATGCTGCTGCTTTTCCACACAAACCTTCGCCGTCAGCTCTGCAGGTACGACCACCCAGCACCACAACTAACATCTTATCCAGTGGGTTGATTGCTAATGGATTCTGTTTGTGGGTTTTAGGAATTTGTGAATATAGATAACATTAGTTTCCAAGCGGAGCTTGACGCGGCAGCGCGTATATACCATGATGATAAGGATCTGCGCGAATCTGGCGACGCTACTATGGATGACTGGCCTAATGTGGACGTTGACGATGAAACAACACCTGCGGCAACTGATGGTACGTCCAAGGCCAACGTCTTCGATTATGAAGTGAAGGTATTTGACGAAGACGTGTCCCATCCCAGCCAAGAAATGCAGGAAATGCAAGAGAGGGGAGGGAAGAGTCTTCTTCATCATTGATGAACCACTTATTTTATTTTACGGTGTATATAATCCTAATGACCTGTTAATTTCGAGGGCCGAGGAGGATGGCCTCGGCTGGCGTTTGTACATGGGAGGATTATAAAGCGTTTGTTTATGATTGATTATGTTGTGTTGTTAATTGGGCTAGTGTGAGTGTGGGGGAAGCTGAGACGCTAGAACCAACTTGGCTGGCTTACCTTCTTCCCAAGGATCACTCCAGCTTCGTCTTCTTCCGTACACGGCATAACTCCAGTCAGAATGTCGTTGGAAGCGAGCACTATTGCGTCTGCGACTATCGAGATACTCGAGGGTCGCTTACGGCGCCTAGAATACCTTTTGACTGGCGACTCGCAGTGGACCGGCCAGCCGTCTGCGGCACCAAAGCCAGAGTCTTTCGACGACACCGTCGCGCGCCGTTTGAATCACTTAGAAACTGCGCTCAACTCTCTCAGCAAATCGAATCCAGCTGTTCGTGATCTGTTGCAGCTTTGTATGTCTCTCTGTGCCCGATGCCGCAAGAAAATAACGTTGCTAATTTCAATTAAAACAAACCGTAGACTCTCGGTTTCCCGATCTGTTCCCAGCGACAGCAGCCGCGGGCAGCGATAATATTCCAACGGACCTAAGCACACAGAGTCTGGCTTCTATAGTTTTGTCTTATGCAACTGCTTTCCCCGAGACGTCATCGCGCCTCGCATCACTCAAGGATCTTCCCATCCCCGACCCACATGCCTCGACCGCGTTGATCGAACTTGAACCACGCCTCCAGACACTGCTGCAGATCCAAGAACAACAAGCGACTGAGATATCTGAGCTGCGGACGCGCAGTGCTCAGCTTCTACAGCGTTGGTACGAATTAGGGATTCTTGGCAGTAGCGAGTGTTGGGCGGAATGGGAATCACGGCTAGAAGATGTCGAGCGTGAAATCAAGCGGCGCGAAGTTATACATGATCGGAGAGCCAAGGAAATATGAGGCTGACGAAGAATATGGCATATTTGCGTCGTGAAGAAAGCGTCGGACGCAATTAATATAGGTGCTTGAAATCATACGTGGCGGCTAGGAATGAATGGTGCGTCGGATGACCAAGTGCATTCAGAAGTAAGTTCAATCGACTTGACTAGAGGAATGCAGTTGCTAATGTAGTGTTGCCGAAATACTAGCTGAGCTGCTACTAGATTATAGCAGCGCTCCCCAGAGACACCATTCTACGAACCGAATAGCACTATGAATTGAAGGGAAGAAATAGCGAAATAGCGAAATAGCGGGCATTTTTCAATCAAGCTTGTCCGATTCTCAGACTATCAATCCTGTGATTGACGAAATCATTAGTGACGATATATGCAGATCCCAAGCGCACTTCTATGACGACTTTTGGAGAAAATGGAATAGCCCGGTTTTGTCATGATTTGCATACTGACTTTTCCACTTTGCATTCCTGCCCCAGTATGACAGAGAGTCAATTATCCCGGCTTTGTTTACGTTGAACGATGCTCACATTCCGCCGGCCTTTTTCTCGATAGCATATCTGTACTCCGCACTATATGATTGGATTAGCCAATCTCATGGCAGCCTTTTTCTCCGCTGATATTTGTTTGCATGTAGATGAAAGAGCCTTTGAATTCCGGGAGAGAGCATTACATTCTCAATACCTCGGTCTGAAAGATATAGCAGATGTAGCACGTACTGTCGGTTTGGCCCACGTACCTTGCATTGTCTCGTGCATGCTGCAAGGAAAGCAAAGATTGTAACTATTGTGATGGTACCCAGAGGCCAGTCAGCCAATCAGATGCAGCAGTGCGCTCCGGGGCCAGACGAAGCGGTGGAGAGTGGATCCGCCAGAACCATCAGGGCCTAGCCCGCGGTTTCATCTCGCTGCTAATTTAAGCATCTAGTATATCTCAGTCAGTACCGGGCAGCTAGCATACAATACATGGGCATTGTTTGGCGGTGTTTGAGAAAGGGAGCATGGTGAAACATGCAGGGCCCTGTCACTTTCTCCTTATTTAGCATTTTCCATCAGCAGTCTGCATTAGGTGTGGTTAGTATGACTATGCACTATGTGCTCTGTAGTTCGTAATGCACTGTTTGGCCCGACAGATCTAATTAAACCTGGCTGATTGCTACGAGGCTGAGCGTCGGGCGTAATTACCCGTACCGGCACACAGGCTTGGTGCTCTCCACCACAGCCCAGTCCTGGAAATTAAATTACCCCGTAAGTAACACTGTACACTAAGCCCCAAACAGGAAAGGCCAATACGCACTGCCTGCTTTTCTTGTGCTGGCGCGTCTGCCCACTTTCTCCTGCTGCGCTTCTCCTCTCTCTCTACAACAACCACACACACGCTCTCTCTCTGTCTAGCCTTATTTCCTTGATTCGCTCATTCACTCATTCATGTCCTTCTAGTCCTTTTTGTCACTGCTTCTTATTTTAAATATCTTCTGTGCAATCTGTCTGTGCTATTTCCGCTTTTCTTCTCTGTCTAATCCTCCCTGCAGCCTGGTGCTGATCTGGTCATTGAATCCTTACCGTTACCGCGGCAGGGCTGGCCGTCCATCCAAACCTCCACCAACCATCCACAACCAGCCTCCGCATCACTCGCGCTCGTCTCAAAAGTCACCTCGAATATCGCAATCGGTCTCTGTTGGTTGTTTCACTTTCTTTCAACCGAGCTAACCCTGAACACATCTTCGCCGCTCGTATCCGCTATCCCGCCCGAGATTCTGAATACCTCCCAAAAGCAAAATCTCTACACAAAGACGCCGGAACAATTCTGCTTCAAGATTGACTTGCGTGTGCGACTTGTCCGGGCCTGCTGTGACGGTTTTCTTCTAAAGTACACGGTCTTGAAATATTAATGTTGCGCTGAAGCAACCGATCTACTTTCTATACACACAGCACAACGCCGCAATGGCTCGATTTAATCCTAGTAACATCCTTGGCGATCCTTTCGCGTTAGCCACTGTCTCTATATCCGCTGTGCGTGAGGATACTTTTTCCCCCGCATGCGGGTTTGTCCCAATTCTTGACAGCATTGTTGCTAATTTACATCCTAGCTTGCGTGGATCATTTCTTTCGTCGCTTCCATCGTCGCCAATGTTCAGACTGACTTCCCTAATTATGCCTGGTGGGCAGTTGCTTACATGTTCTGTTGCATCTGCGGCATCGTCGTCGTAATTGGTTCGGATACTAGCCTGTCTTATGGCGTTGCGGTACGCGCCTCTTCCATGAACATCGAGTCTGCGGAGCTTTGACTGACATGAATTCCAAGGTTGTCGGATATCTTTCCTCGGGGCTCGTCTTTACTACTCTGGCTGTAAACTCGTTGGTTTATCAACCGCAATCCTCCAAACAGGCTGCCGCCGCTGGCTTCATTCTGCTATCCATGGTGATTGTAAATACCTCTTTCCAATGCCGGAAAAAAAAGTTGATGATCAAGCTTTCTGACGTGAATGGTAGATTATCTGGATATTCTATTTTGGCTCCACGCCACAGGCAAGCCACCGCCGAACAATCGACTCGTTCGCATTGAACAAAGAAGGTGTTGCTTATCACAACAGCCGCCCTGTGTCCAATGCATTCGGTAATCGTTCGGCAACCAATGTTAGCCAACCCCCTCAGATGTACACTTCAGCCCAGCTCAGTGGCTTTGAGACGTCATCGCCCGTATCAGGCTTCCCTGGCGGGCCCCCAGGCTCAGACAAGCGCAACACTACCACCTCCGCATTTGGCGCCGTGAACGGCAGTGGCAATGTCGAAGCTTCGAATGAAATTAGCCAGCCGACGGAGTATCCATATAAGGCCAAAGCCATTTACTCGTATGAAGCGAATCCCGACGATGCCAATGAAATCAGCTTCACCAAGGGCGAGGAACTAGAGGTATCCGATGTCAGTGGTCGGTGGTGGCAAGCACGGCGAGCAAACGGAGAGACGGGCATTGCTCCGTCGAATTATCTCATTTTGCTATAGTCTTCTCTCTCCTCTTGTTGTCTTGTCTTTATACTGGACAGGAGAAAGGAGAAGAACAGCAAGTAACAGAGATTATGAACTAAAAACAAAAATGAAAGAAATTCACATAACGTCTGCTCATTCTCGCGATTTTTGCCTCGGCGTCATTTTGATACCCTTGTGGCAGGATTCTTCTGCAACATACTCTTTTTTTTTTCTATTTCCATATTCTCCAATTTGTCTCTTTTCTTTGGTGACACGTTTATGGCAAATTGTGGTGGAATTCATTCGGTTTTATTTTTTTATTTCACCGTCTACTCTGGATCTTCAAACTCGCTGTGAGTGGGATATTTCTCCACGATGGATTGTCGGCAGGGGGCGGGAGGACAGGCAATGTAGATTATATGTGACGATTAATTGCAACAAGAGATGAAGTTTGTAATTGATTTGCTGGTTGATTTTTGAGTTTTCAATAGTGAAACTTCTTCTCTTTCTATCCTACAATCCAGGGTAAGACCACGGCATGCGTAAACACGCCTAGTTGTTGACTGATCTACGTGGACGGTATGTATACAATAGTTGATCCTCATCTAATCATTGACTGGCGTTTCGACTTCTCAGACACTTGATTAGATCGATATCCATGACGGGAGGCTATAAGGAATGGGTCGGTATTGTCTGCAATTGCCTCTTCACTAATTCTAGCTTCTATTAAATCAGTTAGGTAACCATGGGCTTCTCCGACTCCGCGGAGTCACCACGGACTCGGCTTCGCGACGGTGACGGAGTCGGGGATAAGACTAGTTAGTAGGAACCCAAGGTATAGAATGCCCATCGACCTTTTGTTCCATGCCTACGACTGATGTTGCTAGTATCCAGCTATTAGGATCTGCATACACATCAGTAATAGGTCGAAAAAGCAGCACAAAAGACTGGTCTGCAATCCATAGTTGCAATTAGGGTTGGGAGGTTCTCCGCTTCTAAGTTTTAAAGCGTGATTCGAACGCTCTTCCACAATGACTATGGCTGAGAAATTCATTTTTATGTTCAAACTGCTCGCCTGGGCACCACCTGTGATCCTCGGGCTTCTTCGGCAACGCGTTCAAGCAATTATGCACCGCTGGACTTACCGTGCAGTACAGTGCCCAAAGGACATCGTTATCATCGGAGGATCATTTGCGGGCGTGAGACTCGCCAGTCGTCTGGCCAAGAGTGTTCCCACAGGGTATCGAGTGACTCTAATCGAAAGGAATTCGCACTTCAACTACCTCATCAACTTCGCTCGGTACTCTGTTCTTGCAGGGCATGAAGATTATGGGTTCATACCTTATGAGGGAATTCAGAATGGTGCTCCACAAGGAGCCTTTCGTTACCTCCAAAATATTGTGACCGGCATTGAAGACGGAAAAGTTCATCTCAAATCTGGAGAAACCGTTGATTTTGCGTACTTGGCGCTTGCGACGGGGTCACAACAGGCTTATCCGGAGCGACTTGTTGCTACAGAGAAAGAGGAAGGATGCAAGAAATTGCAAAACATGCAAGAAAGCATACGACAAGCGACCCGTATTGCGGTTATTGGAGGAGGGGCAGTAGGCATTGAGTTGGCAACGGATATAAAAAGCTTCTATGCAGGGAAGGATGTCACGATTTATCATTCTAAAAACCGGTTATTGTCGAGGTTTGGGCCTAGACTGCACGAGCATGTCTTGACAACCTTACAGAAAGCAGGTATACATATTGTTCTCCAGGAGAGGCCCAAAATCCTCGAAGACGACAACAACGCATTGCGTCTTTTGAGTGGAAGAATTGAGCATTACGACCTTGTCGTGAGTCATCTGTCTGACAACATATTAGATTTTGCCCATGATTCTAACGACGAAATATAGTTACCTTGTACCGGGCAGAAAGCAAAGTCAGATCTTGTGCGAGACTTAGCCCCAGAGGCTGTTTGCAAGGAGACGAAACAAATCCTGGTGCGGCCAACCCTACAAATCGCCACAGGTGAAGGAGAAGGCAAAGACAAGTTCGCCAACGTCTTTGCCCTGGGAGATGTTGCTGCCACTGGTGGTGCCAAAAATGCACGTTCAAGTTTCTTTCAAACAGAGATTGTGGTGAAGAATATTCTCGGAATGATCAAGGAAGACATTGCAAAGAGTTTATATAAACCCAATACCGCCTTGGAAGGTGCTATTATGTTGACACTGGGACAAGTGAGTGACAACCTCCAACACACACACACACACACTATATTTATATATATATGTATATCTTATTCCTCTTGGAACATTCTGACCTCATTTTAATAGCAAGACGCGGTTGTGTATCTTCAAGAAAACAATGGAGCTGACATATTGATGCCTGTGAAGTTGAGAAGCGAAGATTTGTACATCAAGAGAGCATGGGGAGAGATGAACGTCGATTTCCCAGAGATTCCGAGAATATCTAAAGCGTGAGATTCGCTGAGCAGTATTTGTATGGTCTGTAACACCTTGCGTTGAGATAACTGTACTTGATAAACCATGCAGAAACGCGTCGAATACATTTATAGGGTTAGGTACACTGAGCGATTCTGATTGGCTGATATACTCCGCACTTCTCACTTGGTTGCCCTAATCCGGCCTAGCGTTTGAATCTTAGACTGACCAATCAAAGCCGCTTCCAGAATCCTACCAAATTGACGTAGATTTCCATCAGTCATAGAAATCGTGCCCAGGTCTTTGTTTTTCCTCTGTTTGCTGAATTCATTGAGGTTCATAATCAGTCTAACCTGTCTTGCCACCGAAAGAGAGCTAGTCTTGTGACAAGGTGCGATCATGGCCCAGTCCAACTAGACATAAAATCTCTTTCCTTTCATATTACGCACCTCAGCTAAAAACTGTTCTGCTCTGTATTGTTTAACAGTCACCATCTTCAACCAGCCATGTCGACCAGCCAGGAAATACCCGTGTCGGCCAACGTGTTGGGGACAATCGGGACCGTCTTATGGTGCGTCCAATTGGTTCCTCAGATATGGCATAACTGGAGACACAAAAAAACGGACGGGTTGCCGGCGAGCATGATGCTCCTATGGGCTACTTGTACGTACTACCGCTTTGGTCATCGCGAATTGGAGCGAGAAACTGAACTGACAATTTGATTCAGGCGCGGTTCCATTTGGCGTCTATATGATCCTCCAAGTACGTTTATGATAGAGCCATATCTATTTATCATCAATGTGTGGTTGACCTAACATCGCGTGTTAATGATAGAACGTCAATATCCCAATTCAGATTCAGCCTCAACTTTTTGGCTTTTTTGCCTTTATTAGCTGGGGCCAGATCCTCTATTACAACCAGTAAAGTCGACTGTTTTGTTGTCTTTTCCTTCCAGACTGTTGCTGATTGCCTTTAAGTGGCTACTCGAGGCTCAGAGCATTCGCTTTCGTGATAGCTTCTTGTCTTTTATCCGGTGGCCTGGAGGCTATGTTCATTTTCACTTTGCGGGTATGTTGATGTAGTAATCATACAAATATGCAATATAGCTCTGCGAAGTGCGTACCTGAAAGTTGATACTGACCTATAATGATATATCAGATTCCATATCGCAAGGGTATCACATGGCCAGCCTTGATTTTCGGTGTTATAGCCGCTCTCATGCTGGCAGTGGGATTTGTTCCCATTTACTTGGAGATCTGGTCACGAAGGGGTCGGGTCATAGGAGTCAGTGAGTAACCCTAATCCTGGCTCAGTTTTTATATTCCGCTCAGCGCTGACCACTGCCGCTTCTTTTAGACTGGGTATTTCTATGCATTGATAGCCTGGGGGCTCTCTTTTCACTTTTTGCTCTAGGTAAGGCCAAATCAATTCGTTTGCACATGGCGCTGTCGGATTTGTGCTTACATCCATTTCTTATGGACAGCTGCAGAAGGCTCCTTTGATATCCTTGGCGGAATACTTTACATCATCGTGTAAGTTTAACATTTTTGTACTCTCCGTCCTAACATTCTTCGAGGCTGGCATTCAGTATCTAATGGCCACAGATTCCTCGCCGAATTGGGCATATTTGTCAGCCATATAATCTGGCGTTTCCGACACCGCAAGCTGCTCAAAACAGCCAAAGAAAGCGGGAAAAGCGTCGACGAGCTGCTGCTTGAACAAGAACGACAGCACAACAACAGCAATGATGAAAAGCAAGATTCGTTGACTGTAGCCAATGCACCAGTGCAAGTTGGCGGGGACGAAGGGGCAACAAGGAGGGACAATTCAGATCTAGAGCGAGGACCTGGGTAGTTAGCTTATTTCGATATGGTTTAAAGCCACGATGATGCATTACGAGTCATAAAAAAAAAGAATATAGTTAACATCTATTGCTTTTACCAAGCTTTGTGCCCAATCAATGCTAAGACATTAGGGCGGACAGTCACATGACCTGCCCTGCAGCGACTTTGCTCCGAAGGCGGGACTTGGGATCAACAACATCGCCGCTGTCAGGCAGTCTTTTCTGGGACCATCTGAGAGTCCTCTAACCCACTCGCTCGTATCCGCCGCCGCCACGACGAATATACAAGGTTCAAATGCGTACTCTCGCCTTGAGCAGGTTGACGACATCGAGGCCACCAGTCTGACCAACGGGTGAAGTCTTGGGACCGACTACTACCAGGGCCGCTATCTTTGAACAACAAAGATAATTGACTCCCGAGCATTCGAGACAATTGATCATAGATTGAGGTCTTGTGGGTGGGGGGGAAAGGATACTCTCAGTCGCAATAGCGACTGACTTCTTTTATCTGGCCGCAATACCATTTGGCGCCTGTCGAAATGGCGCACCGACGAATCTGGGTCAAACGGCCCGACGCCTCTGCCACCCTCGTTTCAATGCCAGAAGAAAGTGTCGTCGACGAATTACGGGATCATGTCCTGCGCAAGTATGCAAATTCTCTGGGGAGAACATTTGACTCTCCCGATTTGATAGTGCGGATAACTCCCCGTGTGAGCGCCAATCGACCGCCTGGTTCCGACCGCATTTTGAGTCCAGAAGAGTCTTTATTTGCCTTGATTGACCAATATTATCCTGGGGGTCAAAATGTTGAAGAGGCTCTTATCATCGAAGCACCGCAACGCCGAACTCCCATCAAACCGTCGCCTCGCCAGTCGTACTATTATCATGCCGAGCCTGGAGAACAGGGCGAATACTTCCCTCTGATGCCTGTTCCGGTCAGCGTCGGGACACCACCGGGACACCCAGCGAGCTCTAGTAATAGTAGTGTGGGTGCGCACCAAACACCTTCCATGTCTGTTGTCAAGACAGGCAAAGTTCCTCCTCTTCCGTCGCCTAGGACTCGTACTAGTCAACATCCTCGAAGACCACCATTCGGCAGACACACAACTGCTTCGCCAACCTTAGTTACAGGGCCCGTACCAAAAGGTATGTGAATGTGACTTGTGAATGAATGAAAAATTTCCCTCTCTAATATCCATGAACCAGATGCGACCCTGGCCGTGAATGGTCAAGGAGTATCGTCACAGCCATCACTACCGACTCCTCCAGCACCAGCCGCTCCTTCGGAATCCCCAACGCATAACGCACTCAATCCCACTGCGAGGACTTCCTCGCCGCGCCCGATTCGCAAAGCTAAAAAGGTTGCTTCTCCTAGTGGAGGGGCCTTTGGGGGTTTGATTGAGGGTACCGTCCCGCCAATCAATGTGCTTATCGTCGAAGACAATGTCATCAACCAGAAGCTGCTCGAGGCATTTATGAAGCGTCTTAGCGTCCGATGGCAATGCGCGGCGAATGGTGAGGTGGCAGTGAAGAAGTGGCGCCAAGGCGGGTTTCATTTAGTCCTGATGGATATTCAGCTCCCAGTGATGAACGGATTAGATGCAACGAAAGAAATTCGACGGCTGGAACGGCTGAATGGAATCGGTGTGTTCTCCAAAACAGCATCTGGGCTCTCTAGTGCCACCTCCCCTTCTCTACCGGCCGAGAGTGCGCTGGAAGAAAAAGATACCTTACAGGACCGGTCAATGTTCAAGAGCCCTGTTATTATAGTGGCGTTGACAGCCAGTAGTTTGCAAAGCGATCGGCACGAGGCTTTGGCAGCTGGCTGCAACGACTTTTTGACCAAGGTATGTCATTTACACACCTGGCGGATTTTTCATGCTTCTAATATGCCTATAGCCCATAGGATTTCCTTGGTTAGAGCAGAAAGTCACCGAATGGGGTTGTATGCAAGCTCTGATTGACTTTGAGGGATGGCGGAAATGGCGAGGATACGAGGACTCACCGCGAAGCTACACTACATCATCCCTTTCGCCGTCTCATTCACGGGACAATACAAAAATCCAAGCCAAAAATACTGGTAAAGACAGCGCACAAATATCCATTATCGAGCCAGACTCTTCTGGGAGCAACAGTAGCAAGGATGAAGATGGCGATGTCCCAATTCATCAGGAACCAGCAACTACGGAATCGACGAATAGTGTCTGAATCAAACAGATTCCTGTTTTTTGACCTATCCAAGACACTTCTGTGGAAGCACTTTTTCTTCCTGATTATTAGTACCATTATCTCTCCGATTCGACGAAAATCACTTCCTGTTGCTTCCAGTTACCATTCTTCTCTCTCTCTCTCACTCTTCTGTTGCTTCTTCGTGATGTTGACTCAGATACCCAATTCTGTACCCGTTTCAGTGCCTGTTTGCTCTCATTCATTCCCATTCTGTTCACGCCTCTGTCGACGCGTATCCTTTCACTGTACAACCTTAAGTGAGCAATTTCAACCATTTCACCCGCTCAGAAGCCTATTCATACTTCTGGAAAAGAGACGGGCTATTATCATTTCCTAATTCATTCGGGATATCTTTTCCTGGTTATTCACAAGCACATGCAACGCATACGAGACTTTTTGTGCTATGTGTACTACTATGTAGTAGTATTTATTTCCTCTTTACAAATACGAGAAAAGGGGCTTTGATTTTCTTTCTGTTGTTTATCGTGTGGTCCGTCCATATATATACATAGCTCCGAATCGGACGTTGAAATATTTGAACAAAGCTTTAAACCAATTATATCTTACAGTTCCGGATTCGACCAGGACCATTATATATTAGAGAGAAAAGGAAATATAATTTTAGGTAGGTAGAAAGATGTTGACCTGGGTACGCGTATACAGGTACCAGGAAAGAAGAATGAATGATAGAAGAGGAGTGGATATATGTACATTCAAGCAATAAAATCTTCCTTTTTTTGCTTTTTGCCATTTTTCTTGGTTCTGAAGCAATAACCCATATAATATATATATATATATATATATATAACCTTGGAAAAGAATCAAACCCTGACGAAAAGACACCCCCTGACGCCCCCATGAATACCTATTGAAAGAGATCGATGAGCTTTTATTTTCAGCGTCTCATCGCCGCCACATTATATTACCCCCCGGTAACAGATTCTCTTTGAGAACTAACAGTTCACTCTTTAACCGTGAATTCTCATCTTGCAGCTGGTTTATATAAGCTAGTGCATTTGTGAGAATCTCGGATTTATTTTGTTGTTGGTTCTGTTGCTGCTGCAGCTGTTCATGCTGCGGCCTCCTCCCTGCTGCGACTGAGGACATGGTCTCGCGTGCATGGCAGAGGGAATGTTTTCTGGGCCCTTTGCTAGAAGCCGATTGTGCGCTATTGAACGGACCGCCCGAGCGAGGGATGGCGTTTCCAAGGGCAAGGAATTTGGCGTTCATGTTTGTACGATAGCGCTTTTCGATGGCGTTGTGCGCGGCCTTTTTGCGTTTCATGACTGCTGCTGCATCGGGGTCGCTGGGAGGTAATGAGCGAGCAGATTTGTTGTTCGTTCTTGTCGATGATGATGATGATGATGTTGTTGTTGTTGTCGTCAATTTTGGGGAGGCGAGTGGAGAAGAGGAGGAAGTTGATGAGGATGAAGAAGCGCTGGACTCTTTGCGAACGTTGTTTGCGTGCTCTTTGGTAGGGTTTTCTGGTTCACTTGAGAATGGGAGTTTACTCTCATGTTTCCTACCAATGGCATCAACAGGAGACTGGCTGCCACTTTTGATGTTGTCATTGCCGTATATCGGCGACCATGTCTCGCTTTCAGCATCCTAGAAGCAGGGCAACACACTGTTAGTATCAAACTCTCGAAACGAAGCGGGGGAAGATGGAATGGGGGCACCCATACGGAAAAAGGTGATGTATCAGACATGACATCTTCGGTCTTGACTGTGTAACCTCCTCCTGCTCTATACCCCGCCGGGGAACCATGATTGCTGGTGCTATATAGTCCGTTGCCTTCGGTAAAAGGATTGAATGTCTGGTCAAGGCCGGAGAGGTCCCACGGCAGGATTTCAAAGGGGTCCTTGCTCAGCCAGTCGATATCAGACGGCTGGTAGGAGGACATCAGATCGGACGGGTCGATGTGGTCGCTCATGTCTGCAGGAAAACCCATCGGCTTTGTAAAGTCGAGGGGGGATTCGAAAGCCATGTCCTTGGCAGGCGATGGATGGAGAATCCCGAGCGTGGTGTATGTGTGTGTGTATAATTATATAAGATCAAGCAGTTCAGCCGGGAGAGGATGATGTTGTGCAGGATTCTTCTGTGTCGGGAGGTGGACGACGAAAAGCAGCAAGGAAAGACATATTTATCATAGACTCGATAGATTAATATTTTCCAGGCCCAAGAAAAAGCCGTCCTCCGGCGCCGCAACGGCTAGGTAAAAGTCCGCCGCTGGATAAAACCTTTAGTTTCTGACTTGGCTATAGGTATGGAGAGCGCGTATAGTAGGCAAAAAACGGCTCTCACGGATGGTTTGACAGCCAGGCTAGCTTAGCTAGCGACTAGGCCTCGACTCCGCTTCATCCAAGCCACTGGGATCCATGACAGGTGCTTACCCTCCGAAGCGGGGCCTTTTATTCTCTTTGCTTGCTTTCCCTTGTAGATTCGTTTGACAAGCAACCCGATGTGATACAGCTCCGAGGTGCACTGTGTTTGGACAGCGGCCCCGACACCCTGGCCTCTTTCTCTGTCAGAACCTGCCATTTTCGTCATCCCTGGGATCTTGAGAGAGAAACATCGGGAGAAGCCGTGAGAAGGCCCATTCCTTTGCTCGGCGAAACGTCGGGGGCGTACGGGCTTCTTTCGGCTCAGACGCGCTTCCATCTGCTTTGCAGCCTTTTTGCTTAGAATACTCGACGATACGTGTAGGTGCTAGGTATAGAAGAAGTATGGCTCTAGAGATAGAGACATTCCAGTGTATACTTCTGCACCAGCCCCAATTCTAGGGAGAGAGGAGGATCTCGCCATCAATTCCTTGAAGATTGCATGCAATGTGCCACAGCAACTAGCGAATGCCTCCGAGGACCCTGAGCGATAGCCAAAGTACCTGGGAGAGAAGCCGGCGCCGAGAATTGCCCACGGCCACGAATCAAGAGCAAAAACAAATAATGATATGCTAATATAACAGCTAGCAATCTACGTAATACGCAGAGCTAGATGTCAAGTTAGGGTTACGGGAACGGCAGGGGGGCTCGGCTTGCGGCGCCGAACCACGACCGAAGCTCTTCCTGTGTGCACAACGCACATAACCATCATATAGTTATCAGTTAACTATGGAACGTCATTAATATAAGCTCTTGCTGCCGTCGGCCGGTTCCGACGTGCCTTTTCTCTTTTTCTTTTTCTTTTTCTTTTCTTTTGGCAGATCGTAAATTGGTCGATCCGATCGATCTCCTGGTCGTGTATCTCTCTGTTCTAGACGGATCTTCCATCACCGAATGATGCCACCAATACCCAAGCACCTTCTATCAAGGCTGAACTCGGAAGCAGGGAGTAGATGGTGGCCTGCCTACTTGACTTGATTTCTCGTCATTAGATACCGTTATACAATGAATCCTCAGACGTCATCATGTGCTGAGATCACATACCTACCTACCCTATCTCAGGACTACGCAGATGATCCTCTGCAACCGGGCTGCTCCGTCTATCAACGTCGTTGATGCCGACTGGCTAGCTGTAGAGAACTTGAGAAAACTCCAGTGCATGAGATATTCCGTCCTTCACATCCACGCCCTTCAGGACCTGCTAGCTACATTGGATATAAGAATATATGTATGATACATCAAACTATTGTACAAGGTGAATGGTCTCTCTTGGAGAAAGGGGCAATTAAAGATAATAGTTAGATTAAACTTCCACCTTTCTCGGGATCTTGACTTGTCCCTTCTTTCGGTCATAAGTCGGCACACCATACCGGTGACCAGGAGCTGAATGGCCTCGGCCATCGGACCCTGTAGTCTCCTTGCTAACCACCACGTCCCTAAACCGAAACTCGAAGCGGGAATCCTCCGGCTGAATTCGGGTCAGTTTTCTTTCAGCCTTCGCCTTAGCAAGCACTTTTCGCTCTTGCTCCAGTTCATCTGCGCGCTTTAATCGCTCGTGATATCGATCCATATTTTCACGACGCTCCGACGAGTTTCTGATTTTGTCTCGTTCTAGCGCAATCAATTGTGGATGTGGTATACGGGCATCTGCAGGAAGTAGTACTTGATGTTCCTCGGCGCCCTTGCCAACTTTCTCGAAACGCCTCGTTTCCGGAGCAATCAATGACTCAACATTTACGGTTGCCTCTTCGCCACGTTCTAAAGCTGGCGCTGCTGAGAATACTCGTCCGGCGTCCACACGTGTAAACTGACGCGATTCTGAGACAGGATAAAATATCTGCGGATCCGTCAAGCGATGCACTGGAAGATCATTGATAGACTCGTGCACCGGTTGAGGCTCTCCCTTTTCGCCTAGTGGGGTGGTGGGTACCATTTCCTGTACAGCACGGGCATAGGGAATTGCCATGGATTTTCCCTGATTGGCTTTCGGTTAGCAGTGCTCTTGTGCCACGAAGAAAACATGAAATAAATAAGGAGTAAAGAAATTGCTTTCAGAGAGTTGTAATTTTGTATGATTGGTAACCAAAGCCGAGCTGGGAATGCCCGAGTCTTCAAGACTAATCGATTTTTGCTCATCATTGCAAATTTCACAGGCAAGGGAGAAGAAAAAACATTATCGACATACCTCTTTCTCCATTCGTCGTTCCAATTCCATTAATCTCACCACAGCTCCGACTCGCCTCATGTCCACTCGCAGTTCAACACTAACGCTTCGAACGCTCTTTTTCTGAATCACAACCCGTTTATATATTTCCTTGCAGAGCTCTTCACCAAGAATAGGCTCGGAAACGAAGAGAGGATTGAGCGGGAAAGGCTGTCTTGCCGCGGGCGAGTGGCTGTCTTGTTCAGCAGAATCCCTCCTAGAGGATTCCGAGGCCTCATCTCCAGCTCGACGATTCTTCAATTGTGTAACATAATTGGTCGATCCGGGAGTGTGATGCTTCAGATCTGCACCTGGGCCATTCAACCAGTCAAACATTGTTTCTCTCAGTCGCGTTTGCGCGGCACGTGAGGACGAAAACTGCCTCCGCGAAGAGCATTGTAATTGGGCTATTTGTGATGTATTATATGATGCTGTGATAGTGGAAGAAGAGGGAACGGCTTTGGAGGAAGAAAAGGACGAGATGATGCGATGCGTCTTTATCCGAGGAGGCATGGTGAACAGCTGCCAGGGAAGCAGACAGAGAGCAAAGGGGGTATATGATTGTAATTGAGTCAATGCAACATGAAAAGGGTATAGGTGCAGTGTTTTGCTTTGCTTAAAGGAGGAAAAAATGATTGCGATTGTGCAAGGAATTGAGGGTGTAGCACCCTTGGTTTGGAGAAGACAAGGAAGGAGGAAGAAAAAAAAGTTTCTCTGATTAGTTGTGCCTAGGTCACGTGACAGAAACAAACAGCCCAAACACAGGGAAGTCCGGAGTATTGATTACATAATGTTCCAGATAACTTCGTTTTGTGAAAGTGATTGATTTGGGCTGCAATTTGAACAGTCTAAATCCAGGCATCTGTCGAATGCGACTATAGACTTACATAGATGAGGGACTAAGCTAACTAACAAAATTAAAATAAGAAATGAATTTCATACCGGGAAAGCAAAAAGGAATCGAGTTAAACCCCAAAGAGCCATTTATCATCCACGATGTTCCAATTTGAACGCCTCTCGCAAGTGCTGGTAGTATATGTAGGATCTGATACTCAAAGAAACAAAAACGAACAAGCACCTTGACGATCTTAGTGCTGCACCATACTGCATAAGAAAATAATATTTTGGTAGAAGAGGTAAGAGAGAAGAGACCAAAAAAATACAAATAGGGTAGAAATGCAAAGAAAACAGTCACGCACTCGAAGCAATGCTATAATAATAGTAGTGATTTGGAGCAAAACCCCCCAAAGGTCTTCACTTTCCATATCAGATTATCCATCCATGTTACTCATGCGCCGTAAAATGGATGCTGTTTGTTGCAAAAAGGGGAATCACATGAGTAAGACACAGTTGAAATGAAACATTAGCACCATAAACCATCTTCCAGAACGTCCTCCAAGAATAAGAAGAGTTGAAATAGGAACCATAAACAGGTGTTCAACAGTAATTGAAACATGATAATGCAATCAATCAAATCAAATTAAACTTGAATATGACAAAGAAGAATCAAAAGGAGAAGAACGAACAATGCATGTCTTGAAAAGAAAGAGAAACTCCCTATCAGTCAAACAATACAATTAGTGGACTAACGCTGTGCGAACCGAACCCAAGGGAGATAAAACAGGGAATTTATGAAAGAAGAAATGATCGTCTCAGTTGTGATGCGAAGGGAGGAGAAAAATAAAAAAGACCTCCGTATACCGGCTCTAACTGCAAAACCCAAGCTCACTAAGCGCCATAAAATCCAGTAAATCATCAAACATACCAGGCATTACCGATGCATAATATGATGTTGTTATTTTATAGTAAAAATGGGGATGGTTGTTGTGTTTGTTTCCGTTGTCTTTTTTCGCAACTACTCATCGACCCATCATATAGTCGGGATAGACACCGCTGAAACCAGTCATGCCAGGACCTGCAGTATTACCAGGTATTGCAGCACCGAACGGGGTGGGGTTAAGCGAATTTAACCCATTTGCTCGAATACCGAGCCCATTGTTGGTCCCAAACGGGCCGCCATTATTAACTGGTACGTGGGAGCTCGGAGGTGGTGGCATGGAGCCGTTTCGAACGTTCATAGGGGGTAGCCCGAGGCCCGGAGGCGCTGACAAGCCCGGAGGGGGTCCGCTGGCGGTGGAAAACATGGCATTTGGAATGGGTCCAATGCCAGCAGCTCCATGGATGGGAGTTTGGGGGCTGAGCGGAGTCGGTGGATTGACGCTACTACCCGGTTGTCCACTCCGTACACCCAGAGGATTCTTTGAGAAGCTAAGACGAATGCCTGTCTTCACACTGTTGGATAGCTTATACCCATACAAATCGTTCAAGGCTTTGCTAGCCATTGCCACCTCGTCAAATTCAACGAAACACATTGGACCGTTCTGCTTGTTGCGGAAACACAACCTCTTATACCCGCGTTGCTTGGAGAAGAGAGCTTTAAGCTCTTCCTCCTGCGTGTCGGCTGGAAGATTACCAACGTAGAGTGTGTTGCATGGGGGATTCAAGTCGTTCGGATTGGCAGCAGGCAGGCTATGACGCGGGTTATGCTGGTTAGGATAATGAAAAGGAGGGTTGCCGCTTATATTAGGTGGCAGAGCGCTGGAAGGTGTCGGCAATCCCATGCGACCACCAGCGCCGTTGGAATAGTTTTGTAAAGGAGGAGAAGTAACATTCGTGGATAATGACAGATTGGTGAATCGGCTGGTCGGTATTTGAGGGTTAGTTGAGCGCCGCGTGAGGGGAACGTTAACATGTCCATTCTGAGCATAACCAACGGGATCTTTCAGCAACTCCCCCGTCTCCTCATCGAGATCTTGATCGATGACTGACTTGCCACTCACGCGCGGGAGTTCTCCAAGTCCACTGCCTATGGGCGAACGGGGAGAGAAGAGTGTGTGAAGTCGAGAGTTTGTGTCAGGAGCTGGAAGCGCTTCATTGGCTTGCTGAGAGGAAGTGCCAATGGTCATTGTCTGGAAAGTGCCGTTGAAGCGGGACGACTGGCGAGCAGAAATACCACGACTAGCGGTATGGTCGATTGTATTTCGGCGATTAGGGAGCGGTCCCGGAAACATTTCAACAATCATGTTGGCTTCGTTGCTTGTGTTGGGCTTGCCGTCAAGCATGGCACGAGCTTCTTCGGCGGCAGCAACTGTGTTGAATCGTGCAACTGCACAGAGGAACTTGCTATCTTCTGGCAACTCAGAAGGGACGAAATCGGCGTCGATAAAATCTTTCGCGAAGAGGAACATGCTCCGTAGGGCTTCCCGACTAGTGTTTTTGGGCAGTCTGCGCATGAGAATGGCAGCGCCATTGCTCATGCGGTGAAAGCCATTCATGGGAGGTGAGACATCGGGATCAGTGAGCCGCATACCGTTTGTGCCTAGGCTATCGAAGGACGAGCTTGTTGTTCCGATCGGGGAAAAAGGGTAGGTGAAAGAAGAGCTCAAGGACGCAGAAGGTTGAGAGACAGCGGAGTTATACACGTCGGTCGACATTGCATTATGCGCTCCAAAGGGCCCTTGCGACGAAGACTGAGGAGAAGAATTACTGGAGGATACCGATGTAGCGCGCTGAGTAGTGCTGAAAGACCCAGGGCTTGTTCGGCTGGAGTGCGTCGTGGAGCTGCCAACCATGCCTGGTCCACAACAAATAAAAATAAAATAAAAATGCGAGAAGCGTGTCGCAGTATCCGAAGAAAACCTCTGAGACGTACAGATTCGATTTGACGTGCACACACAAACGGAGTGAATCTGGGGATCAGGGTGCTGCTGTTCACACAGAGACGCGACCACAAGCGTGGCGAACGCAGGCGATATTCCGGTAACGGTGAGTTCAAGATACGACGCGACAATCGGTAGCAGTTGTGAAGACGCGGACTATTTTCTGCTTCCAATGACAAGTTTTGCGACACGTGAAATGAGAATGCGAGCGGTGTTGCGACAAGTTTCTGGTCGGTGGGCGGAGGGCTACTCGAAGGCCGGAAGAATTCGCACGCGGCAGCGCGCAGCAAGAAGGCACAACCAAGAAACACACGGAACAAGAGGGCGGCAGAAGCGATGGAGAAGCGAAGACGGGCGGTCGGGATCAGAAAATGAGGGAGAGAGGTGGAAGGAAAGACAGGGAGAGATGGGTTTACGACGATGACGAGGCTGGAGGTTGGAAGTGAAGATCCAGGATAAAGTTGGGGAAGGGTGGGAGTGGGAGTGGGAAGGCAGGAAGGGCTGCTGGAGTTGCACTTGGGAGCGCGCCAGGAGAGAGCCCGCCCGAACAGGCCTAGTGCTTGGGTAGTTTTTGCGGTAATGGGCCGCGCCCGTGCGCTGTGATTGGCCAGCCGGCTGGAGCAAACCCATGGGTTTCGCGATGGTGCCGGGAACGGTCTAGCAGGCAGCCTCGACTGTCATATCGGTATATAGCTATAACAGGCGCATAATATGTGTAGCGACCGTTGCGATCTTCTGGCTTGGCGAGCTACGACTACTTACTACCGTACGGGGGGTGAGATGGCTTGAATCCCAGCATGCCGGCGAGTGTGTGCTGGTGCAGGTAGAGAGAGAGAGAGCCTGGGCCTGATAAGTGAGCGTTCTAGCCGGACCCAAGGAACAGGTAAAAGTGGGCGAGCAACAAACACCTCAGGCACGAGTGCGCTGTAATTTCATTTCAATACGTACTCTGGAATTACTGCTAGAATATATCCCTCGACGCGTTCGTAAATTACTGTACAGCATGTCGATCGCCATCAGAGAGGCGGAGCTGTTCCGGGTGGCCAATCAGCGCCCGCATCCCGAATGCAGAGGCCAGGTATGGTGGGGCAGCCCACAGCCCAGACGAGCCGAGCAGCGAACCACAGTTCCGCATGCGACCGAGGTGACTTCAGCAGAGTGCCTCGTGGCCAATCACAGCCTTGAGTGATCGTGGACGCGGCACACGGCAGTGGGTCCTTGTTTTTGTATCTGCGTGTATTGTATTAGATACTCTACCTCTGTATTCTGATTACGTTGTACTAGCTACGTCGTATTAGCGTTGCTTAGTAGCATTTACGCTGTGCTAGCTAGTTATTTAGCACGCATTCCGTCTTCAGACCAAGGTAACTAATCAGCACCGACAGTCGTTACAGTAATTGCCTTTTCTCTCGGAAATGTTTCGGATAGCTCACCAAGTTCTATTCGTTCAAAGGAGAGTTACTTTAACTACTTCGCAACTACCTGACAGTTGACTGTGCCGATACAGAAGATCCTACTCTATTAGAGTTTCTCGCCTGCAACGACTAACTACGAGCTTGGGCCATGACCATGAGCAAGAGTCATTGAAGAGGGTCTGTGGCTTGCCTGGCTTCTTTCCTCGGGTCTGCACGGCTCTTTTATGCACGTATCGTGTCTGCTACGGTTGGAGATACTGTTTTTGATTATGCAAGCAGATAAGTAAGATACTAGATACTAGAACTGACTCGAGAGCCCATCTAGTCTATGATTGCCAATTGGTTGCTTAAAAGGGCGGAGAGGACTTCCGGCGCGCCCGAGCAGCCATCCCAGTTTGTTCAAGACAGCATCTGAAAGACACGCTTTTGTTGTATCTAGTAGATACCGTAAATGTTCCTGCACTCAGTAGGAACTACTCCGTACTCGTTCAGAATTTATAAAATGCATAAATGACATTTGTTCCACTTGATTTAAGCTCATCTGGCCTTTCCCCATTCGGCAAGCCGATGGGGATGGGTTCCACTGTTCACAATCACATTGCTTTCGCTGTTCTTAATTTGGTAATACGCAAGAATATCCATCAACCGTGTCTTTTGTGTTGTCCCGACGTTGCCAAGGGGAAACCGAATCTTGACAATTCTTAACATGTGAATACTTTGAGAATGGAAGACATAAAGGATCCATCACCAGCTTTCATAACCTCTTCTTGTACGTAAAAGCACCTTGCTTCCCGAACGACCTCGGGACCCGAACATATACCCAGGTCGAAGAGCAGCATCCACAGACCGGCATGGCCGTTTATTCAATTTTATATCAGTGTACATCGAAAAGGATTTTACCACGTGAGAAAACCAGCCGTATTGTACATTCGATAGAGATATATAAGCAGAATTTACAAACCAAACAAGTTCAAAAGACTTGAGATAGGTTAAAGAAATCAATGAAACGCCGTGAAATGCTGACTGCGGTTCTCGACACATTTCTTTTCGTCGCAGTATCAGATCTAATCCTTGGGTGGGAACTTTCCAGTCTCCCTGCCATGCTAAGCTTTTCGTTTTTCGTCATTCGATAAGGAGAAGGAGACGTCGAACGAGGGTGTCGATCAATTATTCTGTGATCCGAATTTCTTCGGCTTGGGTTCGAGTAGGCCCATCTGTTCAGATCATTAGCCTCGTCTCGTCCCAAGCACTTCTTAACAGTTTTGCGGGGCTGAGAAGACAACACAAGAGTATTTGTCCTCCTTTTCCCGCGAATGCATCATGTCAATAGGAGATAGCACTTTGTTAGACGTACCATGCTCAACAATCGCCACACTGAATCGCTTGGCTGTGCACCAACACCCAGCCAATATTTGACTCGTGATCGATCGATGGAAATTTCTTTGAAAGGCTTTGCGACGCGGGCTTCTTCCTCGGACAAATTGGTAGGTTTTTGTGGAATAGGGTTGTAGGTGCCAATTACTTCAAGAGGTTTGGAGTCTCGAGCCGATCTATAGATACATGTTTTCGTTAGTATTAATCATGTCTATAACGACCGAGACAACAAAGAGATCTTAGATCAAAATACCTCGCCTGCGCAACAACAATATTGTAAAATGGCGAATGGCGTGGGCCAAATCGTGAGAATCGAATTCTGACAACCATTGTGATCTCGGATAACGTAAAAAGCGTGGCTGGAACAACTGCACTGCAGCACAATGGGAGCTGGTCAGCTTTTGATAGAGGGATCGATGCGCGACGCTTACTTTTAGGATCCGGAAGAATCGTTGATCCGATGGTCCCGGAGACAAGTGACACCTTACCCGATTGGGCATATTGATATGCGGGCGTCAGCTTAACGATGATGCAATGATCGTGATACCATCCTTTGTACGCTTTCTTCTGCGAGACGAAGCTTTATACTCTTTATTCCTGCATTGAGCTTCGTGCGGCATAGAGCCTACATTAACCCTGAACCAGCCGGTCGGTTACCTGTACGTCGACGGCACGAATTTATATGTTTCGTTTGCTCAACCGCAATCCGGCCTACAAATCTAAAGCTTATCGAATTGCACAAACCGCCACCATGTCCCTTAAGGTAACGGGTTTCCTTCGATTTCTAAAGACTCTGCATTCAATCTGACACGCAATCATCAATAAGGCAATCTCCTCTAAAGATGCCGCGGCCTTGGACAAGGATCTAATGGACGTGGGCGGGTTTTCATTGGACCAACTAATGGAATTAGCAGGTCTTTCTGTCTCACAAGCTGGTTAGCGTTGTTTTTTATAAAGAGATCAACTTTTGTTTGTGATTCGGACTTATAGGCTTACCCGTTGATATGTGCACTCAATCAGTATATCGCTTTCATCCACTCAGTAAAGGGAAAAACGTCCTTGTTGTTTGCGGTCCCGGAAACAATGGCAAGTAAACGACCTGAGCACTGATGTCGTGCATTGCTAATGGGCGTATAATCTATGATAGGAGGAGATGGCCTCGTTGCAGCACGCCACCTAGTACATTATGGCTACAAGCCATCCGTCTACTACCCAAAGCAGGGCAAGAACGAATTATATGAGGTAGGCCCAAACCTGCCAGCAAAGAGATGGCAATCCCTGTCTATTCCTATTCAAAGACATGAAGCCGCAATACTTATCGTTCAATTTTTTATATATGAAATAGCGCCTCAAAACCCAACTCACAAACCTCAATGTCCCCTTTGTTCCCGACTTCACCGAAGCCCTCAAGTCCGCCGACCTGCTCGTCGATGCAATTTTCGGATTCTCATTCCAGAAGCCCCTCCGAGAACCATTCCCGTCTATCATCAGTCAAATGGAAGAGACTAGGTTACCGGTGCTCAGTGTTGATGCCCCCAGTTCGTGGGATATCCAGGAAGGTCCGCCCAAGGAAGGGCCAGGTGCAAAGTTTATGCCGGGAGCGTTGATTAGTCTTACTGCTCCAAAGCCATGCGTCAAATGGTATCGGGGCCAACATTTTGTTGGTGGCAGGTTTTTGACCAGGTCGATTGCGGATAAATATAACATTGATGTCCCTGACTATCCGGGTGTTGACCAATTTATTGAAGTTGGTGTTGATGCTGATGAGAAGCTTTGAAAAGGGAAATATAAGATGATGAGAGCCGGGGAGATTGTTGTATTAGGAGGTCTACATCTAGCGATCGATGTTGAAGTGATCAAGCGCGAATTGTGTGGTCTAAGGTAGACTATGATGAATATGAGTTACATGCTATAGCAACTGTAAATGTAGATCCACCCACGTAGGGCGTTGAGGGGAGCCATAATGATCAAATGCCACTTCGAATTTCCCCAATTACCCCCTTTACGCGAGGCTCGCGTCCTGCACTGGAGCTGGAGACTTTGCTTAATAGCCTATCAAGGTCATAAATCTCCTTGGCAGCGCTCTTCACTTCTTCACCAGAAGCTTTCACAAGAGTTCCCAGCGCCACTAGGGCGCGATACACCGCCTCGGAGTCCTTCTCATTCGCTAGAATCTTAGATAGTTCCTCAAGAAGCCGAAGTGCGTGCTCCGCCGACTCCACACTTTGCACCCGTCCCTCAGAAGTGAAGTACACTGAGTAGTTGATGTACAGTGTTGTAGCAGCGATGGTAATGTTGCGATTTGGCGTTGCATCACCCACAGTCGCAACTAAGGACACCATTTGGAGAATGGTGTCGAATTTAGTGGCAGCAAGATCACCACCGAGAGGAGTCTCAAATAGGTTTGCAAAGAAACGAATGGCAAGCATTGCATTGTTGATAGTGACGGGACTCTGGAATACTCCACTCTGTTGAAGTGAGTCAATGATATCCTGATCTTCATATCGTACTTGAGCCGTCACAGGCGTCGCCGCCGCCAGAAGTCGAAGCAAGTCAAGACCAGGAACTCGATTTGCAGTGGGCCATTTAAGGGCTGCCTTCAAAACAAGTTGTATGCCAGCCTCCACTGCCCTAGGATCCTTGGGGAGTGAGCCTGTATTCTCTAATTGATTGCATAAATCTAAAAGCGTAGCTAGCTCTGGTGGATTGTAAGAAAGGTCCTTGTTGCCTGAAGAAACAATTTGTTGGTTCAACTCCGACAATTTTTTTGTTATCACCTTGATATTTGCTGATTTAATCGAGAGGTACGTTTTCTGGGGAAGTACATTTTGACGTGTCTCCGATATCGATGCAGCAGCGGCATCTCCTGGACGATATCGTTTGTCTTGACCCCAGGGATCAGGGGCGGATGCTTGCTGCGGCTCTGCGGCTTGGCCGATTGCCGCACCTTGCGTATTTTGAGTTATGAAATTGGCCACTTGATCTAAATACCCTATCGGGAGCTCATTGTCACCTATGAACTTCGTTGCAGCCTCGTACGGGTTCTGAGAGAGGTTGTAAGGCAGCTTCAAAGGCGGTTTTCCATCCTCGATGTCCACGTCAAAAACATAGTCATAATCTTGTCCTAGGTACTCAGTCTTTCTCCCAGAACTACCTGCCGAGTCCACAACAGTACCAACTGCAATCCATTCCTGCGTTGCCGACGACCAGGTATGGGCTGTGATGCTGCCATTGTCTTCCCTAATCATCTGAACCTGGCCATCCTTGGTACCAGATTTTTGCTTGAGAAAGTCTGGCCCTGGAAGTTTCTCCTTGTTAATGTTGCCTACCTGCTGTTGTGGTATTGCTGATTCCTTGACAGCGGTTTCAAATTGTTGCAAAACTGCTAAGTCAGCCTGCCGACCTTGGTCCTTGGTGAAAACCCTGACGATACGATCACTTGCACCCGTGACGATGTCACCAGTCTCTTGGCATACTGCAACACTCCATACAGATATAGCGGGGTGCGTGATTGTCTGAACACACTGGTTTCCTCTCCATATCCTGACTGTACGATCTTCTCCAGAGGTCACGAGCTCGCCTGACGGGGTTACTGCTACCGAATAAATAAAACTTTCATGACCATGGAGTTCTCCTAGAAGGTCGCCATTAAGTGTGAAAAGCCTTGCTATTCCGTCGTTCCCCGCAGAGGCAAAGTGGGCACCGGAAGGATGGCCAGCGGGAAGCTTGCATAGAGCTCGCACGACGTCTCGCGAATCCTTGATTGTTTTCAAGAGTTTTCCCGAGGCATTAAAAACACGGATAAGGTTGTCAGCACATCCTACGGGGCCTATCAGATTCACACAGTCCATGCATTGAATTCGAGGGGTGCTAGCAACATACCTGTAATAATAGTGTCCTTGTCGTAAGCCAACACAGCCCACACACTCCCCCGATGCCCGTCAAAGACAACATTGGTCTCCCAGTTGCCTATGCGCCATAATCTTGCCGTTGAATCCCAGCTGCCGCTAACAACCCAACCCCCTTGGGGGCAGACATCGATCGAGCATACATTGTGACCATGGCCCAATAACATCGCGTCCGCATTATCACCGGAAGCCTTTCCCGGCTGACGAGCGTCGATTATTGTGTCTTGACCGCCAGAGAAGACCAGGCCTTCCGGATACTCGTTGCTGGGAGGATAGTATGCGAGTGAATTGACAAATGCAGATCCATGAGATGAGATCGTGTGGTCGTAGGCTGGCGGCGGAAACGATACTTGCTTCCAAATACGAACTGTAGCATCACGCGAGGCTGATACCACAGTCTTGCTATTTGGGAAGGCCACAGCGCGTACCTTTTCGAGTTAGCTAAACAAACCAGATATACCACAAACATAGTCAAGTGAATACGCTTACATCATCGCCGTGGCCTTCCAAAGAAGCGGAGAGCTTGTATTCAGACATACAATGAAAACTGGGCAATATGCTGTGGTATTTGAAAAGAAAACAGAGATACTATGAAACAGGAAATGAAGTGTTTGTCAGAGCAGTGACTGACTGGGAGTTGTTGACAAATGGGCTGAGCAGTGACGGCATGCGGGGAGCTTATCACGTGGACAGTGCGGGACTGGTGAGCTTGATAGCTACAGAAAAAAAGCAAGCTCCTTCTTCCCCGGACTGCGCGTCCTTGATCTAACATATCATTTCGTTTCATTTCATCTCAAGCCGTATCATTATTTTTACCACAAAAAAGAACCGTCGAGGTAATCGATACTGCAATGGAAGTTCTCCAAACTCCTCCTTCAGCGAGTTCCTTCACTTCGCTTGCGGAACATCAGTCGCGCACCCCCGAATCCTTCTACGATGGCGCACCAGTCCTTCATTACCATAGTTCACGATGTAAAGTCGTTGTTTTAGAGAGCGACCTCACTGCGTCGCACGCTTTGAATACTCTACGCGGAGGAGTCTCCAATGCGAACGGCTCGTCCGATGAATCGACTGAAGGGAAAGAGATTGTACTTGACGGAGTCGATGTTTTTGTGGCTTCGGAGTACGTTGAAAGATTCGCTGATTTCTGGCCGTCTGAATTTTCTATTGTGGAGGAAAGATTGTGCTGATATGAGGATACAGTAAATTTCTACTTTACCGGGCTGAAGCCAGCTCTGGTGTTGCCCTACCTTATCCACTCATTTCGCTCCATGCAATCCAAAGATTCCATTTGCCAGGCACATCCGCGGATGAACCGGAAGTTCAAGGACTATACATGCAACTTGCGAAACCCCGATCGGCCGACGAGACTGGTGCCAATGAAGAGGACGAAGAAGAAGACAGCATTACACTGACTATTGTGCCCCCGCCAGTAATCGAAGCTGCCAGCTCTGCACTTGGATCTTATACAGCGGGTACAGAGACGGCTGCCCTTCTAGCCGATGAAATGGCGACGAAGGAGAGCGCGGACACCAAACCGGAGGAGACGTCGACCACACAGGCCTTGTTCACGGCTGTATCTGCTTGCTCGAATTTACACCCAGACCCCGTAGTGCACGGGGAAGATGAAGAAGAAGAAGATTACTATGGAGATTCCAGCGAACAACCGGGAGTAGGAGGCATATTACAAGCTGGGTTGATCATGCCGGGTGCCACTGACGGCGGCTTACCGCCTCCAGTAGATGGCAGTTTAGGCTGGATCACTGCTGAAAATATGCATGAGTATTTTGACGAGGAGGGGAACTGGATAGCTGATGGGGAACCACCTGCCTCCATGTCTATGCCGGGCTTGGGTCCTGGAGCCGGGAATGTCCATGGTAGGCATGACGACGACGTCGAGAACGGAAATGGCGCTGGCACGGAAAACGGGGATGACGAGACGAAATGGCGAAGGACGGATTAAGCGGCTTGAAATCTCAGCTTTCATCTTCATATATATGCACCCATCTGATAGATGAAGAATGAAGCATACGCTCAGGATTTGTTTCAGTAGCAATATCTTTCCGACTATCAATAAATCAAGGCTATTTCAAAGGTAACGTCTGTTTCAAAAATAAGTTTTTTCACGAGCGTGTACTGAATGTGCATAATACAAAGGAAACAAGCGTAAGTATATCTACATAAGTTGGTATCTCAAATCATACTTTCACACATTTCAAATTCATGCCCTCACTCCTTCAAAAACCCATCGCCATCATACAAACTTCCTGGGGTTGGTGCTACGTAACCTCGGGCTTTACGATTGGGCGTTTGCATTGTTGTCATACTGTTGCCCAATTTGTGAGCGAATCCATCGGCACTGCCGCTGTTGGTATTATCTTCAATGGTGATGATGCTGCTGCTTGGCGGTACTTGACGGATCGTTAGCTGGGCTTGATTGTCCATGGCAGAGTTGAAGCTCTCCTCTGCAATCCCTTCGGAGTCGATACGTTCAAGGATTCTAAAGGGCTGTTTTTTCTGGCGGGCCAAAGGCGAAATGACATTGTCGTCTTTGCTGGCATCTTCCCAGATGGTCAGGCTGTCATTGCTTCGCACTGAACTTCGATGACCTGGAGGCGTCACGGAATTCCTATCTTTATGTCGGGTGATACTGGCATTGCGACCCATAAGTCGGTACTGTCTCGAGTCCTCATCACACGCTTCACTATTCATGCGGCGGAGAAGGGTGATGGATTTTCGAACATCTTTCGTTGGAGATGGCGCGAGACTGAGAGACCTGTTGATATTTTTCGACCTCGGAGAACCTTGACTCGGCAGCGCACCTGCAAGTATCGTCTGTCCGCTATTGTAGGAAGTGTCAACTGTCAAAGATGGAGGAGTAGCTGCCTTCTTGGGAGATTTTCCCGGCTGGTTACGCGGTCCTTTGGGCGCTGTTCTTCGAGGACTTCCTGTCGAAGCGTTTGCTGGGAGTTTGGGCGAAGAGCCAGCGAATTCGTCGGAACGGGGTAGAGACCAAAAAGGCTCATGCCTTTCTGGAGACGGAGTAGACACGAGATGGCTATCGTCTGGCGGCGGCGAGATTATATTATTAGGTAGTATGGTATGATTTTCTGACATAAAGACATCATCGTCGACAGAACTTGTCCGGGAGTGTGGACGCTTTCTTGAAGTATTCGCCCGAGGAATGCGAGAATTTGCGTTAGGCGAAGTGTTGTGAATTGAAGACCCTTCTTGAATAGAGCCAGTTGAGCGATGCCTGGGGGTTCTTCTTTCGCGACTTCCTCCACGAGATGCGCTGTTATTGTTCGAATGTGACTGGGCCGGTTGTGGTTGTTTGACAGGGTTGACCAAATCATTCTCCAAATCCAATACTTCCTCGGGCTCCTCCAGCATCGGCGAGAAGGCAGGACCGCCGAATGTAATAGGCGGGTGTATGGAGATTCGCACACAATTTTGCCTCCTATGGCCCTTCTTCACACTGTGAGTTGACTTCATGGCAGAGGGCAACGGTGCTGCCCTTACAAGGCTTTCTCTCGAAGCTCTGGGACTGGGAGCCTGAATTGATTTGGGTCTATCGCCTAAGCTCTTGCTGAAAACGGTATTCTGCTCTTCTTTGCTGTGAGGCTTCTCGTACATAGAGTATCGTTCTTGTCGATGGCTCTGAGAACCAAAGTCCTGGCGAGAATACAAGCCTTGACCTGAGGGGTGGAAGGGCTTCGGGCTAGTGCCTGACAGACTACTTACCGGTCTGCTGCTACCGCGGCCAAGTGAAGACGAGGACGATAGCACAGTTTCGCTACGGCGTGGTAGTCGGCTGGACCAGTCCGGAGCTTGAGGGGAGACTTCACGGGTTGTCAAACTTCGCCGAGGAGATTGTCTACCATCCAGGTCTCTTCCAGATTCCATCGCTACAGATGTGAGATGTGCAGTCGAGGATGATAGTCGCTGAGACTGTGTTCTCCTATGTGCTGCGCAGTCTCTCGCTACCGTTCCCCCGATCACGATGTCATACGGGCTGAATGGTGTGAACGTGGGACAGGGAGGCAGGGAAGGAGAATAGTTGAATTCGGGATCTGCAGACATGGATCCTCTCATCCCGTCGTCCAAAATCGAGCTATTTGCGGTTTCCAGGCTCAATGAAGACATGTTCATCAAAGAATCCTCCCTTGACAGCTGGTAGGATTGTGGAACGTTCAGTGGTGGCGCTGGCATGGGCATATCCGGAGCTGTTCCAGCTGTTTGAGCGGTGATGCTTCCATTGCGAAGCCTTGTGTGATTATAGTCACAATAGGCTGGCTGGCCGCCGGCGACGGAAGAGAGCCTTTGCTCGGACTTGAGCAATGGCCATGCTGTGGAACCGGGGCGGGTGTTGAACATTTCGAGGGTCGTTATATCCTCTCTCTCCCTCTCTGGTGTGCAGCGCGGGGTTGTTTCTGTAGGAAGTTCCGAGAACCCTGCAATCGCTGATTTGGGTTCCTTTTCTTTGGCATCAGGCAAGATCTTGCAGGGGTCCGATTGCAAATTAGGCAGCGGTTCAAGAGCGATTGGCTTTTGGCTGCTTCTTCCTATCGAGAGACTTTTGGATAAAGACTTCGAGATTGATCGTCGTATCGATTTGGACTTCTCCTTCTTCAGCACAGGCGGCGATGTTTTCGGTTGGCTTTGAAACGTCTCTTGCGATGCGAGTGGTGCCCAATCGTTGCGCATCCCATACGGATATGTTGGCAGGGGTGAATTGATGGGAGAATCCGTAGCTAGGCTATTGCAAACCTGCGCTTGATGTGCTGTTGCACGATGAGCTTGAGCCACTGCCAGTGAAAGACGATCCTGTCGCGCCCTCCACCAGACTGCTACACCAAGGATTACGCCCACGATAAGTAAGGCCGAGCATCCTACCGACACCGCGATCACGACTGGGATGCTCAGCATTGTTGATATATCGCGTCTAGCTTGTATCAGTGGGATATCGAGCCAAAAAAAAAAAAAAGCCTGCAGCTTCTGAGAGCGCTCCAGCAGCGGTGCACCTAAGTCTGCGGATGCGTCCTGTTGGTTACGGAGAGCATGGGCGAGGCGGAACTAGTAGACGAGCAGCCTGGAAAATCGATCCCTAGCAATTGCTTGACGAAAACATTGCTACTATCCATTGTTGTGGGTTGGGCGGTGCGCGGATGTGACTGGAATGCAGACTAGCAAGTCACCCACCCGCGAAGAATGCGCTCGGTGAGCAAGCTGGAGCAACGGAGGCATTGCTTCAATGCTCTGTCTAGCTCGAGCAAAATCACTGGAAGATCTTCTTCATTCATGTGGGAAGATCCAGTTTGCTAGCGTGGTAGGGACGGATGTATTCTGGTCGGCCGGTGGCCTGCGCCAGTGAGGATAAAGACCATATAGACTATAAGTTATACATTTCTGCTAGATTTAGAAACAATTTTACTGTCCATTGTGCCAAACTTCGATTCAAGCCATTATCCCAGTGGCTCTTCAAATGCATGGCTCGTTTGGTCTATAGTGCACTCACTCCCTTGCTAGACCCCGACATAACCAGATGCGTCATCCTCTCTCCGAGGCATCGCCATCCCATGCAGACCTTCATATTTGGGACAGCTAGGCTTCTGCCATCCCTCCAAGATATGATCGTCGGTCAGGCTGTATACCTCGACGCCGAGCGGACGGCACGTTCCAGCCATCTCCCCGTCTTCCTTCTCCCAGCCCCATTTCGAAAGATCACCTGGAAAAGCGTTAGCAAGGAAGTATGTCAAGCAGAAAAGTCTCAATCGCACCTCCAGGACAAGCTGAAAGAGCGCAGAGGACATCGACTTCGGCGAAGAACTCAAAGTATTCCCCCTCCTTTGCCGGAGAAGCTTCCATAAAATATTTCCCATGCTCATCCAAGCCTGTCACTTGAAACACATTAAGCACATCATGGACGTCCAGCTCGGTCAAGCCGTATGGCGCCACTGCTCGAGTCAGGTTGGAATGGCAGTGGAAGTCAAACGACTCCCCGCCCATGAGGAGATTCACGTAGGGATCGCATCTGGTGCCGAGCAAGTCGTGGACACGGCCTCCCCACTGCGTGACTGCAAAGGGCGAGCCTGATCCTCTTTCCACTTGATCCAGCTGCCCGCCACCCAGAGAGTCGCCAGTGATGGTCACCAGTGGCCGGAGATACGGCAGATTCGACCACAGGCGGTCGCCGACAGAGACATGCGAGCGATGGATTTGCCGGGTGCGCGCTGCCCACAGTCGCTCGCGCGGGTTATTTGCATTCCAGACGTTAAAGTCCCCAACCTGCGGTCCCCTGGGCGTCGTGATGCGACAGACCTGTCCAGCGCGAACCTTCCATGCCTGGCCCGAGCACGGCCGAATCACAAAGCTCGTCTCGAGCTTGCGTTTCCCAGGCTCTGCTGCTGTAGCTGCGACCTTGCGGTATACCGGCGAAGACGCGTGCACAGTCGAGTCTCCTGGGGCCGTGTATGCCGGCGGAGGACGGCGTGGCGACGCAGATGCCATTTTTCTTCTCTTTTTCACGGCTTTCCAGCCCCTTTTCTTTCTCTCGTTCTCTTTATAGAACGTTGAAAGTCAATAAATCTCATCACGAGAGCGCCAAATCACCTAATCGGTACTTTTTAAGTTGCTATTATGTACTGAAAACCATCTCCGGCCCAAAGGACCGGCAACCGAGAACTAAATCCATTCAGTCTTCGGCCCGCGTCGTCGGTGTGCCGGCGTTGAACGGAGTACTTTTGACTATTTACACATGGCATGTGCGCTTCTCTGCACGAAAACTCGAGAAAGTACTGAACGGTGGAGAAAAGCATCATTCTATTCGCATTAGCACGCCATTCTGGAGTGCGTATTGCGACACAAGTCGAAATCTATATAAAAAAAAAAAGCATGCAAAACTTTCTGCTTGCCGACTGCAGGTGCGTAACGCCGAAACCAAAATCCTGCAAACGATGGGAGAGAGCAAAGAGAATAACCATGTCCAGGCAATTGAAGGTGTCCAGGCCCGAGACAATGGCATCAAACGGGGCCTCTCGTCCCGGCATGCCCAGTTCATTGCTTTGGGAAGTTCCATTGGCACCGGCCTGTTTGTCAGTTCAGGCGAAACGCTCGCAAAGGGCGGACCGGCCTTTTTTCTCGGCAGCTACATCGTGGTGTCTGTCCTGGTGTACATGATCATGGCTTCCCTGACAGAGGTCGCCGCGTATCTGCCTCTGAGCGGTGGCACGATGAACTATTACGGCACACGTTACGTTTCACGAAGCTTAGGGTTCATGATGGGGTGGCTTTACTTCTATTCGTTTGCTATCTTCATTCCCTACGAGTTGACCGCATCTGCATTGGTGATTGATTATTGGCATCCGGACGTGAATAGTGCCGTCTGGATTACAATCATGCTCCTCCTCATTGTAGCGCTCAACTTCCTGCCCGTCCGATTCTATGGCGAGTCGGAGTTTTGGTTCGCCTTGCTGAAGGTGGTCACCGTGATTGGCCTGCTTATCCTAGCCTTCATTCTCTTCTGGGGCGGTGGTCCAAGCCATGATCGACTTGGCTTTCGTTATTGGAAGGATCCTGGTGCTACGAACACATTGATCGTTGGAGGAGGTGCAGGAAGATTCGTGGCGGCTTTGGCAACGCTGATAAATAGTGTTTTGCCCTTCGACTTCTCTCCAGAGATGATCATAGTGACTGGCGGCGAGATCCAATCGCCGCGACGAAACCTACCTATCTCGGCCCGGACATATTACATTCGATTGGTTGTCTTTTATGTCCTTGGCAGCCTCGCCATCTCTGTGGTTTGCCCGTCGAATGCAGCAGCTTTGGCCGGCAGTGGCACTGACGCTGCATCTTCTCCCTGGGTGGTTGGGATCCAGAACGCTGGCATCAAGGGTTTGGGTAGCGTCATCAATGCTGTGATTATCACCTCCGCAGCCTCAGCAGGGAATGCATTCCTATACCTTGCTAGCAGGTGCCTCTACTCCATGGCGCTCGAGGGGAACGCCCCCAGGATTTTCAAAAAATGCACCAAGCAGGGAGTGCCGATATACGCAGTGGGAGCCAGTTCGCTTTTCTCAGCTTTGGCATATATGAACATCAATCAGTCTTCCGCCGACGTCTTCAACTGGATGGTTAACCTCGTCAACTGCAGTGCTTTCATTTCTTGGGTGTGCTGTTCCATAATCCACATTCGATTCCGGAAAGCCTGCAGTGTTCAGGAAATCCCGAAATCAAGTTTTCCAGCCCGCTCACGTTTGAAATCTGCCGGTTCCTATTTCACCTTGGTGGTGTTTTCGTTGCTTTGCCTACTCAATGGGTTCACAGTCTTCTTTCCATCACAATGGTCGGTTTCTGGTTTTCTATCCGCTTATATCGGCCTCCCACTGTTTGTGATCATTTATCTCGGACATCGACTCTGGAGTTACCGCGAACCTTGGGCGATTCCCTCGCACTTGGTAGACTTGCATACTGGCTTTGCGGAATTGCAAGCTGAAGAGGAAAACGAACTACCAGAGAAGCCCCTGAACCGGCGTTTCAAACCGTGGACTGGTCCTTGGAAGGCGACAACGTTGCGCTTCCGTGCGAAAAGCTGATTGTGAGATGTATTATTAGAGAACATCATGTCAACTTGGGGGGTTTTGGGCATGCCTTGATATCTCAAGCCCTAGGGTTGATTGTGTCTGTACTTGTGATAGACAAAAGTCGATTTTCTGTATACTACTACTGCTGTATGAAATGAGTTTATTAAATCCTTTTGGATAGGAAAAAGGGCTCATGTCAGACATTGCTTGAGGGATCCATATTCTTGAAAACCTTTTATAACTGGCTGAGCCTCTTGTCATGCCGGATATTTCGGTGCCTCTCTTCTGCCTCAACTTCTTGCCACCATAGCTCTGGGTCATGCTCGAGGATCCACGAAATCAATGTATATCGTTCTCGGTACCTTTTCGTAAACTCGTCATGATCATCCACAGCCTCATTTACGTACTTGGTATCCATTTTGTCGTAGTCAAACTGCCGCTCCACGCGTTGCAAGAAGTGGCGCCGCGATTCATTAAACAGTTGCAAAGCATGTGGGATATTGTACGTTTCTTTCCCTTGACATGTCCGATGCAACGAACGATAGAGCGCCCACACGTCCGCAAAGCAGAACGCACTTCCTGTGCCCCAGCCGCCGGCGGTAGGATGTGCTGCATCGCCAACGAACGCAACAGTGTCGTCGCGGATGAGGTGCTCCATCCACTTTGCCTCTTGAAGTGGATATGCGTCAATACCTGGCAGTGCATCCAGGACCTTTGTAACCAGCGGATGCCAGTCCGCGAGTTTGCCTTTGATTCTATGGATGCCTGCTTGACCCAAGGCGTGCTCCCACCGAAGAGATGCCGCAAATTCTTCAGGTTCCTGGAGAAAAGCCGCAAAGGAATACGTCCCCGTTTCAAGGCGAGAAAGTATAACCACATTGGACCCCTTTCTAAATGACGAAGAGTCATTGGGGAGGTCTTCAATGTGAGCCAGCCTGGAGATCGAAAAGTTGATTCGGTAGGCAACCAATCCCTTGTACTTGACCTCAGTCTCTGGGAGGTATTGTCGGCGTATTTTCTATATTGTTCTTTTCGTCAGTAATGTATATATATAGAGGGACTAGTCAGAGAACGAGCATCATACCGAATATAACCCGTCGGCCACCACGACCAGGTCTGCCGTTTTGGTCTCTCCATTGCTAAGATGCAGAGAAACCTCCTTCTTCTGCCGATGGGACTCGACCTTGAGGACCTCCTTTCCATACTCGAAAACGCCATCGGGGACATCTATCATTAGAGCCCGATGCAGCGAGACTCGAGACGTCCGCCCCTCTTGCAGGTAACGCGGCGTGTCTGGGGAAATCGCTATAGTCAGGATCTCCCCGGTCTTCCAGTGTCGATGATGGATGCCATCAGTTCCATCTCCACGATACAGCCTGCTCTGCAAGTACTCCCATGCCGCTGGCGAGAGTATCCGGCGCAAAACCTTGAGCGCGGTGACCATGACGGCGATCTGAGCACCAGCTTCACGGACGGCTGGCGCTCGCTCGTATGCTCTGACTTGGACATTGGGTAGTCGCGACAACGCACCGGCTGCTGCTGCACCGGCGAGACCGCCGCCGACGATGGCAATCCTCAGCTGCCGAGTATTGGAGTTGGCCATACTTAATAAGATTATTCCAACTTAAAAGACGATGAGTAGACCGTATTGAAAAGGAGATGGAAAGAGAAAGAGAGAGAAAAATAAAAAGATTAATTACCTGGCGAGAATGCGAATATTTAGAGTTCACTATAACCGCGCACGCAATCGGCGCTTGATTTGTTCGATGTATAGACTCACAGCATGATATCCCTCACAAGAGCGTATAACTAGTGCTACACGGTGCATCTCTGCTGGAAAAATGCAGTCGCTGCAATTCTGTTGAGTGGACTAGTCTAATAACCTGATTTTCTGACTGACTCATCCAATAGCTTGCGTTGAGAACACTCACTTCACTTACCAGAAGAAGACAATATCCCCTCCGTGTTGGAATGAAGATTTTTCCCGCTAATATCCAGGATTGGTAATATTTCGACTGTTATAAGTGGGTAGGCGAGTGACTATTTACACTGAATCCATCCATATAAAGGTTGCAGTTGCAACTTGGCTAAGGCGAGAAAAGCGCTGCTAGTCTACCTCGTAGAGATAAAAGTACCCACTATCGAGGCTGCGTTGATCATGAGGTACTACTAATTTTGATAAAGGCACAGAGATAAAGCAACTTACAGCTGCTCATGTCTGGGTTGGGAGTACCAGGAACCGCACCACAATTACCAACAGAAAATGGTGCACGATACCGAACCAAGTCTGCAATGGAAATTCCACTCCACGCCTGTGCTAGACGTCAAGGCGGCAACGGACAAAATCAGGAAGGGTGAGTCAAGTCACACCTTCCAAGGTGGAGAGTTAGGGCTTGTTTCTCGCTATGACGCTGTTCAAGTGGCAAGCAACAGCCCTATCGAGGACGTCGCGGTTTCATCCAAGGTTGACGTCGGAAATGGGCAAACCTGGCATGCCTGGGCCATTTACGATGGACACAGGTCGGTAGAAATCTCCTTGAGACAATCGCGAGAAAAAGAATCTGGTGAGCTAACATATCACAGTGGTCGTCAAACAGCTGCAGTCCTGGCACATAGTCTGATCCCTTATGTGGAACGTTCGTTGCAAGCACATTTCAAATCACCGTCGCCTAGTGGGGACATCGATAGTGCAATTATCGCTGCATTCACATCACTAGATGACGAAATAATCGCAGACGGCGTCGCTGCATTGGGCACTGCCAAAAGCCATGCTGAAGTACAGGCGCGTGTAGCGCCAAGTTATGCTGGCTCCTGTGCCCTCCTGGTGCTGTATGACCCTGTGCAGTCGGTGATCTATGTTGCCAATGCCGGAGACTCGCGTGCAGTGCTGGGCAGTCGCACTTCTGCAAACGACAAACTTGAATCTGTTGCATTATCAACGGATCACACTCCGTACAACGCCGCGGAGGCCGAGCGGATCAAGGGTTTGCATCCTGACGAACCCAATTTGATCACCAAACGAGATGGGGATGTTTCAAGGTATGCCAGTATTGCAGTCACCAGAGCCTTTGGTGACGGTCATTGGAAGTGGCCCAAGGAAGTCACCGAGAAATTCGTAACAGGCTTCTCGGCGAAACCAGCGCCAGCCAATGTCCTGAACCCCCCCCTATCTCGAGGCAACTCCCGAAGTGAGAAGCTTCAAACTAAAAACAGGCGACTTCATGATCCTTGCCTCGGACGGGCTGTGGAACCACATCTCCAGTGAGGATGCCGTCTACGGCGTAGGCAAATGGCTTGAATCGGTGAAAACCGGTACTCTGGCAGCCATTGGTAGCGGAAATGCCGTTTCAGTCGGCGGTGGTCCAGCAGTTGACGAGCACGCAGAAAGGATCTCGTTCTGGGAGTATTGGAAGACAAAGTCTGAGTGGTTTGTTTATGAAGACGACAACGCTGCCACGCATTTGGTGAAAAACGCCTTTGGTGGTCGCCAGCGACAGCTTTTTACTGGTGTTATGACTGTCGACACGCCGGTCAGCAAGACCATGCGAGACGACGTGACTGTCCAGGTCGTGTTTTTCGGGGAGATATGAGTTACAGGCGTGTTATTGCTGATTTGTGCTTTGTTTTGGGTTTGCAGTGTTCTTTGGGCTCCCTAACCCTAGTCCTTCATTTGGCCCCTGATATCACAGGATTTGCTCGTAAATACTGCCGCCTGGTTCCGGCTGGAGGTATACATGTATATAGTCATTCGAGAAGAAAAAAAGGTAAAACAGAACAAAAAAAATAATAAAGAACCATTATCTGCTGATACTCTGAACTATCCGTAAACCCAGAAATCGGCTTCCGGGCCAACGGAAGAAGCATCGATGTATCGTTAGCATTGCGCTGTTTCTGACTTATCAATCTGAGTTTGTAAATTCTCTAAATTCTCTGTCTAATTGACTAGACGTTGATATATCTTGCCGTAGCTTCTTCACATAAATTATGTGCTCAATATATCTAATAATGTTAAGTTCGCGTTCACCTGCCAGAATCAGAAGCCGTCGATCGTTTGGCTGTTGTCAGTGGACAAGCCGCTCTGCTCTGACATCAACCTTCACCGGCCAGACCGGCGGTCCTTTTTCCCTTTCATTTTTGCTTTTTTTTGCGCCCGCTTTCTTCTCAGGGCGTACGATGGATGCTTGGTTAGTGGGATGAGGTGGGCTGTCAACGCTGGCTAAGCCGAGTTTGCGTATACGATGTCACCCAGTGCGCATAAAGTAAAGGAAAAAAGAAAAGCAATAAATACGATAAGTATAGTAAAAAGCTGACCCCCGCAGACATGATACCCACTTGTGGATGAGCTCCCACGCTGCGTTGTGATCACCGCTGGTTGCCCCTCACCAGCCCTCTCAAAAGGGCCTAATTAAATATGCGAGACTTCCCCAGATAGCTCTTTCTCTCTCTTCCACTTTTCTCTTGATACAAAAAGCTGTTTCTTGGATACCTGAGCCTGTTCCCTTCGTGGCCTTTTAAAAAGAAAGGGAAAAAACAAAAAAGAAAATGGCTGCTTCTCCCCTCGACCAGAATGCCGTCTTCGTGCACGATAATGCTCCTCCCCCGCCCCAACTGCAGGGAAGCTTGCTAGCTCTTTTCTCCCTCAAAGGGAGGACAGCCATCGTCACCGGCGGTGCTGCTGGTATCGGTCTCAGCGTGGCCCAGGGTCTCGCAGAAGCCGGTGCCAACATTGCTTTGTTCTATAACACCAACGAAAAGGCTCTAGAGCGTGCTGCCGAGATCGAGAAGAAATATGGCGTAAAGGGTAAGGATGTCGAAAGAGGTCTTCCTGTAGTCACATTGCTAACCGTTGTTACCAGCCAAGGCATATAAGTGTGAGCTGCGCGACTACAAGAAAGCCGAGGATACCATCAACGAGGCCGTCAAGGACTTTAATGGCCGCTTGGATGTTTTCATTGCTAACGCAGGTATTCCATGGACTCAGGGTCCCACTGTCGACGGCCCCATCCAGCACTACTTGGATGTTGTCCAGACTGATCTCGATGCCACTTGGTACTGCGCTCGTGCTGCTGCTGCCCACTGGCGACGACAGAAAGAGGAAGGCACCGACCTCTTCGGCAACAAACTTGAAAACTTCACCTACGGAAGCTTTGTCGCCACGGCCTCCATGAGCGGTCACATTGTCAACATTCCCCAGCTTCAGGCTCCTTACAATGCGGCCAAGGCCGGTGTCCGTCACCTGGGTAAGGGTTTATCTGCTTCATGCTCAAAATGTTAGATCTTTGACACTGACCGCATGTTTTTAGTCAAGTCTCTTGCCGTTGAGTGGCCCAAGTTCGCCCGTGCCAACACCATCTCTCCTGGATACATTGCCACCGAGATCTCCAACTTCGTCCCTCAGGAGACCCACAATATCTGGAAGAGCAAGATCCCTCTGGGCCGTGAGGGTCTGCCTGAAGAACTCAAAGGTGCCTTCCTGTACCTCGCTAGCGATGCCTCCAGCTACACCACAGGAACCGACATCATCGTTGATGGTGGCTACTGTGCTCCTTAGGTGGATAGAACTGACTCTATCCAAATCATGAATGTTGTTGAGATGAATTTAGACCTTTCTCGGGGGTTTTTTTTCTTTAGTTTCGCGAAGCAAAAGTATAAAGAGACTCGACGATTAAACAGATTCTTCATGTTCATGGCGAGCGGTATAAATCGTTGCGTGGAATTTTGAAGATAGATTCCGCCTAGAGGGTTAGCCTCACGAATTGAAATGACCAAGACTGTACATGTACCTGCATCAACACATCTTAAATAGCCTGAGCGTTCTTAAATAGCCTGAGCGCAGTAGATAGCAGCAACAGAAGTTAGAAGCCAGAATGGAAGATCTCTGCTGCGTTTGTCGCTGGGCTTAGTAAGGGCTCAGGTGACCGCGGCTGCATTGGCCTCAGGCCGCGGCGTCACGGGAACTGCTCTCGAAGACTCTCCATCTGCTGACTGTTTGTCACTTGATAGACGAATCGCAGACGTGATGCAGTCAGCCTCTGGCTCGAAAACAGGGAAGATGGATCAACCGCCAGTTAACGTACTTGGATTTGGTTCAGTTGGTTTGACTTGCCAGTCCAGATAAACCTGTTGCTTGTTTAACTGTTGATACCATGACCATCCCCTTTCAACCGGAGCATGTCTTGTATGCCTTGGTTCAACGCATTAAAATGAAGGAAGACACTGTCATTATGCTGTGCTTGCCTGGTGCTGTTTGATGTCCACAAAGCCAGCGGTCCCATTCATTCATCCGTCCATTCATATAGGCGATGGTGCCGCAATAGTCATCCCAAGAACTTACATTGTTGTATGATCCTCTCTTTAATTGACTCAGATATTTTGTCCCCAAGCAACCCTTTCTTTGTGCAATTCGCAATTCCACAACATCCCCGTTCCGGTTCTCTCAGAGACCCTTGTGGTGTTCTTTTCGACATACACCATACGCAGTACGGCCCTAAATCAATCATCCTGATGCGACATTTGGTCTAACTAGGAATCAACATCTTGAAAAGTAAAAAAGAAAAGAAAAGCATTCCTTTTCCTAATGATCCAAACCACAACCTCCCGAAAGCGATCCTCCAGATCATCCTCGAGACACAAGAAGCCACAGCGCCTCATCATAAACCCGCCCAAGCTGCCCAAGCTCACAATTCACCCACCAAAGCCACCTCAGCAGCAGCAGCAGCAGCTAGACACCGTGAAAATGACCCTGAGGCCCCCAAAGTCTCCTTCACCAGAGACCAACCATTCTGCATCTGACTGGACAGAAATGCCACTTATTGGAAACGGAACGGATGCCTCGTATGACTATGGCGATATCTGCAAGGTACAGGCGGTCATGAAAGCCTTCAATGGGCTGTCGAGCGCCACCAGGAAAGTCGAGGCCGTCGAGCAGAGGCAGAAGCAGAAGCAGAAGCAGAAACAGAAGCAAAAGCTGGCGGCCATCGCTCCTTCCCATGTGGACGAGGATCGTGCTAGAACCGAAATAGAAATGGTAGGCATCGCTCCTTCCCTTGCTGCCAGATAGCTTATTTCAACGTCACAGAACGACATTTTGCAGGAATCCCTGAGCTGCCGCCACTGCGACAAGACAATGTATCTCAAGCCAGAGGCCATGGAGTCAGATGTTCGCCATGGAATCTACCGCCATGGCGAAGATCCCCCGTTCGTCCTCAACCGACCGTCCGAGGATGTGGCTCCAGACGAGGTGGCTGAAGATGTCTGGGAACCGGGCTATTTACAGCTTGCAACAACAGCCCAGCATGAGCAGTATCTCCGGCTTGTCGAGCAATACATGAACCGCAACCGCGCGAGGAAGGTCTTTGCAAGAATGGGGAGCGAAATTGACCAGGGCTATGAATCCCGTTTCGCTTGTTATTGCGTCGATTTTCATATTCATCAGCACTACATTCACCGCCGCAGCGTACTGAATTACTGTCGGACTAACGATGAGATGGAAGACATTCGTGATTGGAAGCGTAGGCTGGCCCTATGGACGGGCAGTCGAGCTTTGGCTCAACCAAGGGAGAAATGCATCATAGACAGCGATGATGAGAACGAATTCGCTACGCCAGGAACGGCTTCAATGGTTCGAGGATTAATGAAGAAGCGTGACGCACCAGAAACATCAACTTCTTTTCGTACCACGAGTAACATGCCGGGAAGCTGGTCATCGCCGCCATTATCCCCAGCCTCATCCATCTTCTCAGCCCCGGCGAATCCTTCCTCTCCTCCAACATCAGCGGCATCATCGCCGCCGAAGGTTTCATCATTCCCCAGCCTCGCACCGCCACTAGTAGATCCATGGCCCAAGCAGCAACTTGCCTTATCCAGTCAAATTAGTCTTCACCGCTATCTAGTAAATCCTCAAGAAAGGACAGCTCGAGTTCGCGTCGCCCGTAAACGTTACCGAGATATAATGAACGAACGCGCCATACAACACCGCGACGGCCTCATCATAGCAAACTACGAAGCTGCATTTGCGCTGCAGAAATGGCTCCGTGGCAAGGGTGGGCCACTCGCCTTAAAACGAGATGGGATAATTGGGGAGTTGTTGAAACGATATAACCATTGATTGCCTATAGACGCTCTTTTTTCTTTTCTCTTTTCTCTTTTTTTTGTCTGGTTGTTTTGGCCGCACCTAGTTTCTTGTTTATAAAGGAGTTAATGACTGTACGCGTTTGAGATACCCCCTTTTTCAGGCTTTTCTTTACCGGCGTAAACATGGTGCTGTGTTATTCGTCCATTGTACGGTGATGGTGGCACAATGTTGTTTTCATTTTTCACATAAACAAGCATCAAGGGTAGTCTATCTAATATGCACGTCCTATTCGCACTTACTCTGCTTTATCTTTGGGGTGGATCTGCGTCGTTACTCGGATATCCTGATCATTTTCTTAGGGGTTATTTATAAGGATCGTCAATGCCTTATAACACTTGAATCTTAAAAAACTCCCGAACAAAAACTTAAAAAGCATTCAACTGAATTGAACATATTTTGAAACCTGACGAGTAAAATAGGTACAGCACAATACGCCTTACAATCCCAACCAGATGTATGATATCAGCCATGTGAACGTAAAAGAAAAGCACAACATATGAAGAATATACCCAGAAGTGACAATACAAAAAACTGAAGGAAAAAAAGCGAAAGGAGAATGTAAATAGACTGCATAGGGAAATTGGTCATTCACCAGAGTGATGTGACAGTCAAGCTGGGTAAAAGTCAATTGTCAATTTCATCGAATGCATATAGAGCGGCAGGTCATGCGTTACAAACATAAGCAACGAAAAACATCCATGCTCCTAGAGCAAGACTCAAAAGAAGAAAGGCGAGGAAGAAAAATGAGGAGAAGCTAGCAGTGCACTAAGTCTCATTCGATTTCCAGAATCAAAGAGTATTAGTGTCTGCCATTTCAACATCGACATTGTGAATAGGTTGCTTGACATCAGCGGCTACAGATGTCTGGCTATTTGGTGTGTTTTGCGATCTATCAGCTGCCATGAATTTGGGGTCTTCCAGCGACTGACGGTGATCATCCTTGTAGTCCGGTAGCTTACGCCCAAGACGCTCACACCATGTTTGCGCGCTGACCAAAGTCTCGTCCACGACACGGTGAACCTGCGACATCATCTCAAGTCCTTCCTGAGCGAGCACAAGAACGCGATGTGCGCTAGTCGCTTCTTCGGAGCTTGAAGCAGCAGATTCAGGTGACGGGTTGGATGTCGACGCGATCCTAAATCGCTGGGGTAGCGAAACTAAATGACGGCGGACTAAGTTTCGGGCATTATCTGGCAGTGCTCCGCCAGTGTATTTAGACACAACATCCACAACTTGCTTGAGAGTTCGCAATACATCTTCCTTGACAGCTTGAATGTGCTGTGATAGGAGGGCGCGATTCCGGGAAGAATTCTCGTCTGTAGATTTCTCATTCTTATCTTCTTCCCATTTCTCGAGCATACTCTTCAAAGCCAGTACCGCATGGTTGAGGCGGCTGTTTGCCCACTTGAGCCATTTCAGGCAATACGTCAACCGACGAAGAGATTCATCACTCATCGCAACTCCGAGACCAGAAGTTGAGATCATCAGCCGGCTCTGCCATGTCTTGTTCTGCTCTGAGCCATTTCTTGGCTGCTCATGTTGCTGAATATCCTCGTAATTGGGGGATTTGTGATCATCGTACGGAGGTAGAGTTTCGGAATACGACATCTCGGAAACCGATCGATTGTGCTGCATATCATCGGGTGGTGGCAAAGACTTTTCAAGGTCTACAGCTTCGTCTGGGCCCCCGCTGCTAGCAGTCGTCTTCTGGCGTTTCCTCCTCTCGGCTGATTCACCGGTATCCCGGCGCTGAAGTGCCCATCGGAGACCCCCTTCCACACCAGTCTTGCGACTGACGGTGCCTACTGTATTGGCAACAGGCGATCCAATATTTCTCTCGAGGAACTCTGCTCCGTACTTGAACCGTGACGAATATGACTTGGACGATGTATAAGCCGACACAGAACTGTTAATGGCAGATGATATCAACGGGTGGGAAGAAGTAAGAAGAGAGATTAAAGGCTCGGCTTGGGACGGCTCGCATTCAGAGTTGGAATGCTGGGCCTGCGGAAGATGTGACCGTGGTATAGGAGTATGACGAGGAGGAGTATATGCGAAATCTTGTATAGGGGAAATTGTTCAATTAGCAGGCAAGAAGACTTGGAGGCCTGATGCAGGAATAGCCGAAATGTCCTACCTGAACGAAGACCTTCGAGCGCCTGAGCAGCTTCAATGTCATCCATTGACAAGACACTTGTAGCTCGTCGAGCCCGATCGTCAACACTGTTGCTATCCACGTCCATTGTTGCGTGGGTAGGTTCGTAAGGAATAGTGTTAGCAGTAGAGGGGGGCGAGTGCGGTGACGGAGCGAAGGGCCGGTGGTGCATCAGATCCGTGGCGACTGTCTCGCTGATATTGGCACGGATTGTGCCCGCATGTGCTTGGGCCTGTGATTCAGACTGCAGAATGGTAGCGTGGTGAAGCGATCGTGGCACGGTCGGGGTTTCACCCGAGCTAAACTGAGGGTTACGCTGGCCACCTCCTTCCATTCGAGGAAAGGGCAAAAAGAAAAGAGGAAAAAAGGAAAAAAAAAAAAAAAGGGAGAGCGATTGGGACGAGGGTGCAGGAAGATTGGATGCAGCGCGGCGAATGAGCCGTGAGGAAGACTCTTGAAGATGATGATGGAGCGAGACGGCGCCGCTGCGAACTCCGCCGGCGCAAGCGTTTGGTTTGGCACGTGAAAACGGAGAGTGTCCACCAATGAGATCGTCGCCATTGCGGGGACATATACAAATAAAACTATGTAGCTACCTATGATCTATATCACAAACTGGCCATGTATGTCTATGTCTTCAAGGGGCCTAGCATTTTATGCGGCTTAGGTTTTTGAGCAAAGTCCGATACTATCTGTTCTTACATGTATTGCTAGCAAAAGCATAGCAACGATGCCGCCCTCTCTTTTAAGACGTTACGAAGACGGCGGAGTATATCATAGAGGAGAAAGCTGACGGCCAGCAATTACGCCGTGTGTGGTTCCAGTGGCCAAAAAATCTGCTGCAATTGGATACCTAGGTTGGTGAATCGAATCCATGAGATCGAAGCCAAACTTGCCCCATTGTCCTTCTCTAGGCAAGACTTTATCTATCTCAATGCTGATTTAGAGATTAGCCTTGTGCCATTGGATTCTCATATTGTTCGCCTGGCTCCCTTCGAGATTGAAGATCTTTGCTATTGGGCCATTGACTGACCCGAGACACTGCACAGAAAAGAGAGCTGCCATGGATCTCTTACATTAGTCCTGTGTGATGCTTTGCTAACTATGTACGTTAGCAACGAGCATTTTCAGACCATTTCACACCAAGATTTCCATTTTGACAACATTTTCGTCAATCCCAAGACGAAATGCGAATCCTCTATGATAGACTGGCAACCAACGATCGTATCTTCGAGATTCTTTTAACGCATCTTCCCACTGTTTCTGGAACCTTTGAATGGCTCTACCCCATCTCCACACTCTTTGTTAGTACACTATTATGAGTTGACCAAAAAGAGAGACCTTGCGGGACGAAGTTTGATCGATGATCTATATCATTCCATCAAGACAACCGATGAAGTTAGTCCCTAGCTGTTGGGAAAGGGAGGGCACACTGGGTAAACATTGTACCGGATGCCGGGCCTTGTCCAGTAAAGGTCACCGAGGAACTAGAAGGACTTTCAGCCATCATGCATCAATTGCACGACGAGGCCATGATTTCACGCGGCGGTATGGTACGGCCAAGCGACTACGAACGATTGAGGGAACTTAACAGGCAATGCTTGAAAGACTTCATAGACTTGGGAGAAGATGCTGGATAAAAAGTTTTACGCACAAAAATTTGGTCGTATCCAGATACTACTACATAGACAAGGGGTTTGGTCAAGCCGTCTTGCATTGTTGTCCTTCAGTTTCGTACTTGCATAGATCTTTTAGGTACATTTCCGCAGAGCGTTTCGCCACATCGGGCCATGTGATGCCCAGTTAATCTATCTAGTTGATAGCAACAAGCCGAGGCTATAGTACAGATCGCTAATTCATGTGCTCTGCTGCGGCAGTTGCACGGCATATCTGGCGGATGAGGCGGACTTGACTCAAATGCTACAAATCCAATCAAAATTGTCACTTGGGCTGAACTGCTCAGACAGAAAACTTTCCCCCGTTCGCGCTGCCAGAATATTTGCCGAATCGGGAATGAGGTGGAATTACTCTGTTTGGTCTAGTGTCGTGGATTCACACTCGGATTCTATTGCAGTTCGTGAATTACTCAAAAAAGGCAAATTCCAGTATTTGAAAAGTTATATTAGTTCCAAGATTCATTAGCTCATTCATTTTTAACAGGTTTAGGATTTCATATAAATCGTTGTATATTCCAAGACAGAACATCAAAAACAGTCTATTTACAAGTAGAGTAGACGTCTCCCAATCATGTGTACCAGACACTAGGCAGATATCCTTCGGAAAAGAAAAATTGCAGAAATAATAGTCTTTCAATGCAAAGAAATCCCAGGTGTGCCGATATCGTACGAGAACATCAAACGGACTCGAGTTTGACTGTTAATAGAATCCTTCCAACGTAGAACGTAGTGTACCCAACGAAGTGAACGAGTACCAATACCCATCACCATGACCACAATATCTGTGTATCTCATTCTACAGCCAGGGTGGATGTTAGTCGCCAATCTCAAGGAGTGCGTCAATATCTGACTTTCGATCGAAATCTTCGGACTCCCCATCGCTTTCCACCTCATCATCTGCGATGTCTTCAGCCTCCGCACCAGCTAGACGGCGTGCCCTACCACTGTTGACTTTCATGCTGATATAGACCTGGTCTCGGATGAGCCGTGCCGGTTCCTTTCCAGTCTTAATCCTGCATAAAGTCTCGCCGGCTGCATATAAGGGGAAAGCGGAACGCCAGCGTAGGAAATACGCTCCCGATGCTAGCAGTATTTGCCATTCAAACTCGCTATTCTGCCAAGTGTGTGCAAGTGGATGATTAAAATCAGGTGGCTGGATTCTGTTGAGCAAGTCGGCAGCAAGCTGGACCTTGAGCGCTATCGGGGTTCCATGAGGGCTACACCCTCTTGTCCACTTGTGATAGGCTTGGTTAATATGTTCCCTTACGTTCTTCAGGACTTCGTATAACGTAGAACTGAGCGCTACTTCAGGTCTTCTGTGCTCCACTTCTTCCTTTTCCCGTTCAGCTCTCATGAATGCTGCCTTCCAGGGACGAATAAGATCTTCATCCCAATTGTCTTCTTCTGCACCGTACATCTGATTGAACCTTGCCAGGGCCTCTTCTCTTTCCCGGAGTCCAACTTCAAACCTGAGATAATCATTTATATTGCGAACGTTCCATTTCTCCGCCGTCGGGTCTTTATAAGCCGGCTTTCTTCTCTCCTGTGGACTAAGGCTCTTGCAGTATCGCCGCCATTGCTCACTCGTGAGCTGCAGGCCTGACTTCTTACTATCAACTAGGTGACTAAGAAGCGTTGCTAGCTCGATTGACAATGGTGAGCTAAGACCCTTCATCTCTTCATATGCAAGTTTCTCATGTTCAGTAGTGCAAAGTCCGAGATTTGATGGAGCTAAATTGAATTTGAAGGCGCTCTCAAGCAGCTCATCAACGGAATTAATTGCATTCATTGGTCGGGCATGTTTCACGAGTCCAAAATGTTCGGGACCATGCTCAAAATTAGGAGGGTTAGTATTCGTGAAGGTTTCAACGATTCCTTGATCCCAACAGATCCAGGGTCGATCACCGTCGTAGTCACCACCTGAGAGCAAGCTCGCAAGGGCAGTGCTGCCCTTGGTTGAAAAAACAATAACATCTTTGAAATGCCGGAGCCCCGGCCTCCAAACTGCCTTCCGTCTTTGTATGTCCCAGGGACAGTGAGCTGGTGTCCGCCCGACGAGAACATCCATGCCATCTACCATGACATCTTCAAAGGATGAACAGTCCCTCCATTGGCTGGAGAAAGCAAAATGAACCTCGTCTTCTTCTAGTATTCCATACGGATCGGCAATGCAGTATGCATAGGTCGATAGCGGTATGGGAATATGAAGGTCGTCGACATATTTGTTCAGGGTGTCACTTAAACATATTCTCATGCGGTCTCGTAGAGGACGAAATTCTCTCGGAGTAAAACCTGCCTCTAGAAAACGAATGACAGACTCTATATTTTGTGCTATCCATTGATCAACTCGCCGCAAACTTGTGCGGGATGATTCATCTTCAGGGGTAGGCCGAATTTTCTGCATCAAGGCCCTCGCCAAAGGGATACTGTTCTTCTCCATGACAGTCTCGAATTCCATATAAACCTCTCTGATCGCGGTCCGCGCAATCTCTGCAACGCGACTTCTCACTTGCCCACGATTGTCCAAGATTTCAAGAAGTTGCGTGTTGAGTTCTGATGGTCGCAAAGGCTTGGACCAGCTTGCAACTTCAAATGTCACCTTTTCTTTATCGACATAACCCGAAAGGTCGTGTGGATGCGGCTTTATTTTCAGCTGTGAGTCTGATATTTCAATCCAAAACGAGTCATCACCAGCCTGGTCCCTGTCAACCATCCACAGGCCTTTGGCACCAGCAATACGACCCTGGAAGCAACTCGGGGTGGCCCCATCAATCCCCAACTCCACACATATGGCCTGACCTAGCGAGCGGGACATCAGAGCACAACCATCGTTCATAACAGGTTTACCTTTGGGGCCGAGAAGCTTCCTGATTTGATCCGGCTGTAAAACCACAGTTGCCCATGTCTTTGAAAGCGCAAGACCGATACGGTTGAATAGCTTGCAATCTGTCTGATCTCTGTTATCGTCGAGTGGGATATGCCATTGAACTAACTGGTCTAACGTCATCCGCGTATGTGATTCACAAGTCTCGCCAACCGGTGAGAGAGTTGGAGGATGAAATTTCAGAGTAAAATCCGAGCCATCAACAGCAAAGAATTCCACACGGATCCTGGACTGGCCGCTTTTGGACTTGCTTCTAGTTTTGTAGTCATCGACGTAAAAGGCTTTCCATCTCCTCCGCAAGAAATAGTGATCGTTATTGACGAGCCATTTCGTCAGAATTTCGCGTACGATTGTCTGATTCCTAATCGCAATGTGTTTCGGAGGCTGCGAAGGCGAAGGTATAATTATGCTCAAGAATCTATCCGACCCAAAGCGACGGTGGAAGCGACAAGTTCTATCGATTTTAAGGGGGTTAAGCCTCAATTTGAACATGCCAGCTTCGTCTTTATTGCACCAATCAAGGGTTCCGCTCAAAACGACAGCTTCAGAATGCCGATCGCCTTGGTAGCGACCAATAGCAGAATTCCAGGCTTTCATTAATGGCTTTTCAGGAAGGGTTTTGTTCATACGCCGACCAACTTCATCAAGCCATTGCCAGAAATCAGAATATTTCTCATACGGTTTGTCTCCGACGAGAATCTGTTTTGGCTCGACTTCCCAGTCTTGTCTGATTCGCTCCAACTCATATCTGGCCCTTAGAGGAACTTTTTCGGAAAATTCTTCTCTTGTCTTTGCAAAGGGTCCATTTCCAAGAAGATCTTCCAGTATTTCCTCCTCTAAAGAGCGCCGTGCCAGCGCGTTTTCAATGGACATGGAAGTGTTCCCCTCCAGTGACTTTAATAATATGCTAGCCTCTTCGCTTAGCATTGCCCCTTCAATGGAATCGGCTTGCGTAGAGGTGTCATCCGATGGTTCGGTGATGATCGTTTCGAAAGACGTTCCTGGATTGCGTGATGGCTCTGGACGGTCGAAGACAGAATTTACTGTGGTCGCGAAGCTAATTTCAGGACTAGCAGCTGCACCATCCAATGCAAATGATACGTCGTTTCTAACCGTGGAAGGCGTTCCTGGGTTTTTGGGAGGTTGATGATTCAGTTGGCTTGGTTTAGTGATCATCATATGCTCAGTGATTTTGGATTGCCGCTTTTTAGGGCTACCGCACTTCTGATCAGCCAACTTCACAACGTCAGCTCGTTCCATCGTAGATGCGTTCAAATTGAACTCATTCCATGTAGGGTCGTCATATTCGCCTAGGTTTCCCAAGGACGAATATTCAACTTCGATAGGCAGAGTTGTGGAGCTAGGAGCTGTATAAATACCTCTTGATCATGGTTGACTTTCCTTTTCGCCCTTGGCGTGCTGGCTACTGGGGTCGGCTGCTTGTCGTTGCTGTCGCTTTCTCGAGGGGGGCCGTTTGCCAGATTACGAGGGCGGCAAGGCGAATGCGAACCCTCCAAAGGATCCTCTCTTTCCCTAACAATCCAAATTTCTGAAGAGAGGAAGCCCCATAGTGTGGCCAGCCTTTTTAGACGTTCCCCGTCTGCTAGGTTAGAACGACAGCCATTTGCTCTCAGGAAAATTTCCCTAGACGGAACAGTTCCATGGTCTTGATTTGGCTTATGAGCCCGTTGATTCCTGTCTCTGATTTCTGGACGGACTTGCTCGCGGAAACCGGCTAAGGCGCGGTTGAGGCCTTCACGATTCTTCCAGAAGAGCTCCTTTATCAACACACGGCATTGCTCTTCCTTTGATCTTTGAATCACCGGTCGAGTACTCGGAGATTGCAACTTGGGATTTGGAATCCCAAGAAAGAACTCATTGTTCAAGTCTTCAATTTCTTTCTCCAGGATTCCGGATGTTTTACCCGATGGTGTTTCTGGGCCCCCCGATGTCCTTGCGCTGGAGTAGTCGCCCATGGCGCAAGGCAAAGCGTTGGTTCAATGACACACAGATGAGGAAGGACTGCGTATAAGCTCGAAGTTCTAAGGTTCTAGCTTAACGGGGATCAACAGAAGAGGAAAAGAGGGGTACGGAGAACACCTTGTGCAAGCATAAATAAACAATGAAATTTCTTCAACCGCATAATCTGCAACATGCAGTCGGTGGAAGCAACAGGATGGAGTTTCTTTGGATCATGTATGAGAAGAGGGACTCTTGTATTTATTTTCAAGAACTCCGCTGCAAGGTCAGCACAAGAGAAAGCGACGCCGACTGGTGGCTGGGTCATGTATCATCTGACGCTAATAAGCGGGGTGCTGGTCTGAGCCGCGCAAATAGGAAGGTTGGAGTAGCTCGTTCTATGTTATCTTGTAGAGCTGAATAGTAGAATGGCAGAAACAAAAAATGGCGATGAAAGTACGCGGAGAGGATGGGCCTTTTAGTCCGAGGATGAAATTTGAAGTTCTAGAGAAAGCATAGAAAGTTGGAAGTTGAAACTATGTACAGAGGAATCGAGGAAGGAACCATGGGATGAGAACGGGTCCTTCCTCCTTTGCATGACAACCTTAATGTAAGTAGTTCCCGCCCCGCCGTACCTTCCCGCGTCCCCGCACCTTCCCACCACGCAAACCCCTAGCTAGTCTGAACGTCCTTCGACAAGCCATCCATCATTCCTATCCCCAATCAGTCCGCGCTCGCGTGCTCGCCAATCGCCAAAAGCCTAAGGAATATGACTCTGATAAACATGCCGCCGCAAATAGTCGCTCCACTCACGCCCGCTCGGCGTTTCTCCGTCCAAAGCGTGCGGGTTATTGGTGATCAAGATATGGGCTAGCTCAAGCTGATGATTCAAGAGGACGAGGGACAAAGGCGTCTGGCCGACTACGTTCTGTGCTATTGTGGGAGCACCAGCAGAGACTAGTGTCTTCACGAGTTCGAGGATTTCACCATGCTTCAACCAACGCTGGTCAGTGAGATAACACGCGACATGTAGCGGCGTGTTCATCTCGAGATCCGTCGCGGAGATGTTGGCACCCTTCTGTATGAGACGTCGCACCAATTCATTGGAAGCAATCGCGGCTGCGTAATGCAGCGGTGCCTTGCCCTCCCCGCTAATAGCATTGACATTGGCCCCTGCTTCCAGTAGCAGATATGCCCCACCGATGAATTCGAATCGACAAGCCACATGTAACGCTGTGGTTCCGTTGGTATAGGTGGCATTGGGGTCTGCTCCCTGCTTGAGCAGGAGGGACATGTTGCGCAGCCTCTCGGCTTTCACTGCTTTCATTAGTGGCGTTTTACCAGCACTATTGCGAACTTCGAGATAAGCTGACGCAAGGCCTATGTTAAAGAGTAGAGCCAGGATATCCGGGTTTCCGTTCTTGGCCGAACTATGAACCACGGTATTACCAGCGCGGTCTCGCTGGTGAAGGTTGGCACCCCGGTGGACTGCATGTTGGACTGTATCCTTATTACAGAGGTGGCACAGAAGCTGCAAGACACCTTCCTGATTGACATCAGCACCATATGAAATCAATAGACGTACCAGACCATCTTGCGCATTTGTCGCAGCGCCGTACAAAGGCGTGAATTGTTTTCTAGCAGGATCTGCTAAATTTGGATCTGCCCCGTAAGCCAATAAGACCTGGGACATTACCACCGGAACGGAGCAAGACCCTGCAAGAACAAGAGCCCGATTGCCATAGATGTTGGATGCATTTGGAGTTACTCCGTGATTCAGAAAAGCCCTAACGGCATGCACGTATCCCCGGGATACTGCATTGACAAATTTCGACCGCTCATTGATATCAGTCTTCACGAGCTCCTGCTGAATTGGACGCGGATAATGTCGCATATGCTCATCTGCGGTTAAGTACGGTTCGAGCTTGGCATATTCTTCAGAAGTCGGCAGGGCTACTCTCAAAGCCTCTCGATGGCATTTCATCTTAAGAATGTGCCAGTTTCTAGAAGTTATAGTCGCGTAATGGCAAAGATCTGCAGCTTCGAGATAAAACGCCACCTCAAGGATAATTTCGGTCGGTAGATTCGCAAGTTGGCCTCTGGAAATTATGTCATATGTTGGACAACACGGGATACCATCTATATCCATTTCATCAGCTATCGTGGCGAAGTTTGTCAGGACGTGTTTATCAAAGACAGAGGATTGGGACTTCCTTAGTTGGACATGGAACTCTGACTAAAATTTGATAGAGGAAGACTGAGGATTGAAGTTTTGGTATGTTAAAGGAAGAGAGTTGCTGAATCTTGATTGCTCTTAAATGGAGTTGTTTTGTCTAGTAGACTCTGTGTCTCGACACGAGAAGTCCACTTGTATATTGGATATGTCTAGGGCGGTTCCCGGCACAATCAAAGAGCAGGGGAAACAAAAGATGTCTCTATCAAAATAATAGTGGTAAAGCATCGACAAAAAGATTTGACAAGAACAGAGACACATGAAGCGAGCCCTGCCTGAAACGCCCTTTCGACTTTTGAACAGTTTCACAGTCAAAGCATAAAATTGCTGGGGACTTTGTGTAGATTTGTTCCTTTGTCAATGGACATCTTTCTTTTTGTCGGAGAGACCCTCAGATAGGCAAGTTTCCTTTACCTGAGGCAAGAGGTATTGTATATGATAGCAGTTGGAGAATTGAACCACAATAAATTCGTGCTTGTGCTGGTACAAGCAATAGAGAAACGGACGCTGCTAGGACAATTTCTGTTGACTGGTTATCATTGACGTATCAGCGCACCTGTCTAGGTACGTATACATCAAGGGAACTTGAAGTAACAACAAGCACACAAGATGATTCCAGGTTACCGACTCTTCTTTCCTTGAACTAATAGCAAGATGCACAGTAATTGAATGCAGTGAAAAAAAAAAAATTAAACGCATTGATGGGAGGACCGTTGCTCTCAGCACCACTTACATACCTAGGTATCCAAGTATCAAGATGATGCGTACTTTGACAATCAGGGCTAGGGCTAGATAAACATGTGTTCAAGCAAGATTGATCACATACCCATCGAAAGCACAAGTTGACCAGTGGAATTTCTAATTTTAAAAAATCAACAATGCGAGCCTGAGGAATCCAAAGTGAACAGCCCTAACGCGCCGAGGGATAATTTTACCGTTTCGGGATGATCTGACCGCGGTTTTTACTCTGTCTGGACAATTTGTCCAGTGGTTCTCTTTCTAGCCAGTAGTCAGTTATCTAACTAACATTTAACTAATGACTATCTCTGACTAAGGTAGTTGGTTAACATAAGTCAACAGTTTGACTGATATTTGACTGGTTAAATAATAGTGTTCACTATATGGTGCTTGCGATAGCCCGGAGTATGGACAAACATGCCTTTGGTCAATCGAAGTACTATAATAGACCCTATCTACTACATTCCCTGCAATCAGCGACCGAGATTGGTCCAGAGACCATGTTCCAAGGTTCTCGTGCATCTTATCATCTGACATCAGCGTTATCAGAGCAGCAAAGGGATGGATCCGTTGCTTATCTCCTACTATGTACATGTAGGTGCATCCAGTCACCAAACATGGTAACTGAACTCTGGAACTGCACCAAGTTTGAATTGAATATTTTTGATCTAGCTTCTAGCTAGGCATTGAATCTCCCCTGATCTGTCTATAAGGGAACCCTAACTTAAGAAGCGAGAACTCCCCCAGCCCACGCCTTGCTACAGTACCTAGGGTCCTGATTACTATTTTTGCGTACGGAATCCCCTTCCTTCATTTTGGCCTCCGCATTGCAGTCCCTTTAAATGTTATATTAGCCCGTGTATATACGCTCTTTCGTATTGTTTCTTGCGCACTGACTGTATTGTTTTGTACCAGTCTTCTCCGCATCTTCTCCGTCCAAAACATTGCGTGCCAGACGCCGCACGATGACGTTTCAGACATGGGACCTGCAATGGCCATTTGGCCTGTTTCTGCTGGCCACAACTCTAGCATACATTGTGTTTAGTAGATTGAAAGGAGGAAAGGCCCTGGCTCGTCCGCGCAAAGCATCGACTGCTAAGACACCACCGCGCTCATTATCGCCAAAAAAGCCATCAGCATCACCAGCATCGCCCTCGGATTACAGTACTGTTTTACCTCCGCCACGGAGAGATGCCATGCTGAGCATGAACAGTAAAGTACCCAAGACTGCGACGGAAAATGTCAGTGAGGAAACCATTTTGAAAAATATTCTCCCGATGACACAGAACTACGAGGTCGCTGAAGGAACCCTATACACTCCCATGGGCTTCTCTGTCAAAGAAATAAAGGAGATGGGAGACTTTCCCGACTATTCTGCGCTCAGTGGCGTGCCATTGCCGAATGCTTACAATGGATTTGACATTGGGAAATCCATACCTCGACCGTATCGGCCGTTCAGATGGGCTTATCATCAGACCATGTGTATGTAGTTTCCCCCTTTTGACCCTTCACATGGTTGAATTACTTGGAAGAACACGAGAAAGCTAACTTGGACCAGCATTGAAAAAGCTTGAAACGGATTGGTGGATCGAACTTGAAAATACATACAAAGACCGAATTGCCCAGCGCAAGGCCCTATATGAGAAGTACGGAAAGCAAGTGCTTGACTGGATGCCAGGATCTGAACTCGTCTGTAAAGAATTATTGGAGATGGTTTTACAGTTCATCTGTGCTCGCTACCCCCAGTACTTCTCCATCCGAGATGACCGCATTTTAGTAAACAAGATATTGGACACAGAACAGGACATTCGCTCCAAAAGTCCCTTGGAAATCCTCATGGATAATGTCCCTGAAGACTTCGCCATCACCTTGCGAGATGATAAGACCGGTTTTTATGTTTTTCGCGCAGGTGTCATATGTTCATCGCTCGGTTGGAATGTCGGCTCGAAGATTGGTCTCCAATTGCATGAGATCCATGCTCCTGTCCCGGATTACAAAGAGAAAATGAAGTTCTCTATGGATCGGTGAGTCCCGTACGGAATATTCGAAAGAGTCATTTCTAACTCCAACAGATTTTTCACCAAAATGCCGGCAGATAAGCCTATCCAACGCGGCTCATGGGGCTTAGAAGTTGGTCAACCGCTTTACATGCCAGCGGGAGATCCGCACGAGCTGCACAGATTATCGCAAAATCCTAACCTCGGTCTTGAAGACTGCTTCCTTCGAGTTGACTGGCAGACATTGCGACGTCTCCCCATCTCAGGAGGCATCGTTTTCAACTTCAAAGCGTTGTTCACGCAAGTCAAAGAATTCAGAGACGAACCGAGAATCCCTGCGTTGATTGCCAAAATTCTGAGAGGAGGAAAAGAAAACCTCATGAAGTATAAGAACACATGGCATGTGGAACACGTCATACTCCCCGCACTAGATGAATGGAACAAGGAGCAAGAAGACAGCAGCACAATCGAAAAAAATTGGGAAGTGGCCACATTAGATGAGGATCCCTGGTACAAAGGCTGGGAAGAGAAATGGCACCGCCAACAGGGCTTTTGAGAGATCGAATGACCTTCAAAATCCAGATATGCAAAGGGGGCAATTGGCGTTGGAGGCTTTCATTTCGCTGTTGTATGGCCAGATTTGCAATGATATTTTCTCTTGCTTTTTCACTCTTCTTGCGGCCTAATATCTGCGCCTATTTCACTTTCATCATCTTGCCGGCTATGATAGCTAGCCTCACTCTCCCGATCGAGGTCTTCCAGTTCGTCCGCTAGTGGGCTCACTCTTTCGTCCAACAAATCTAGATCTTCTAGTTGCTGTCTTGGCGGCAGCTTCCACAAACTAGTAGCGCAGACACGATCTTTCGTAAGAAGATCATCGATGAATTGATCCACATTGGTGAGAACATAATGTTCTCGCATCCTCCTCTTTAATTTCCTGTAATCCGACAACAGCGGTTCCAGATATTTGTATACGTCGGCAGCATCAAAGGTAAGACGGATATAGAAGGCAGCGAGGGCACGCAGGTACTTGAAATCACCCCTGCCTTTGACCACCTCACCATCCACTTCTGCGTCCTCCTCGCTTCCTGGATCGGTGAAATTGAGATACTCGAGAACAATGTCGCGCTCCGGTGATAGCTGAAGCATCTTGAATGCAAGGCATAGGAACGGCGTCGGCTTCTGGGACAGTCCGTACGTTCCGCCAATCGAGGTTAGCTCAATGGCACGGTCACAGAGTGTGGCAGTATTGAGACCAAAGCATTGCTCTTTCCAGTAGTATGAATCTGTAATGCGATCGCGTACGGCTTTTTCGAAAAGCGTAACCGGATTCACGCCGCGAACAAGAGGCCCGGTGTAGCCGCGATTGTCGAGAAATGAGCTAGCGTCTGCTCGATGAGATGCCATGTTGATCCAGTTAATGCCGGGCTGAGAGAGGGAGAAAAGACGCGCTTTTCAATGAAGCTATTTTGCTTCGTCCATAAAAATTGCCGCCATCTCTCGCCCCACCCACGCTAGCTTCCAAGGTTGGTTTAGCGTGGCAGACGCGATAGTTGCACAGACAACGGGCACGGGTAAACACAAGCCATACTACATAGACATCGTTCAAGTTAACTACTAGCCTTGACATCCGGATTGAGCCTCCAAATACCAAATTGCTCTGCATTTTGACCAATTCCGCGAGGAGTCTCTATCTATCCCTTTGCATTCCGCAGATGCGCACGCCAACATGGTGCTCCTAACCTCCTCCACAGTTGCGACGCTGCTCATTCCAGTCATCACCTGCGTATGCACCTTCAGCATCTTTTTGGCGGGGTATTCTCTACAACAGCATTCAGTGCGCAACATAGAAAAGGCTTTCCGTGCGTTGGATGCTTCACAGGCAGATTACGAACAGTATCCGTTCGATACACCCGAGCAAGCCACGTGGGATCCGGAGACTGGAGAGCTTTCGTCACTAAATAAAGGGAACTTTGCATACTTGCAACTCCTTGCCGAGCCCAATCCCTCTGATATTTGCTCTGCAATTGCCTTTTACAAAAAGCTAGTAGAAGGCAAGTCAGAAATTCAAGACCGGCTGTTCATGTACCCGCAGGAATGGGATATGATAATGTCCACGGATCCCACAGTCAATAAAGCACTGTCCTTTTTGCGTGATGCTAGTGTGAAATACAAATTCTGGCTCCTACCTATCGACATGAAGCTCGTGGTGCAGCAGGGCTACTCACTGACGGACTCAAAATTGCTTCGTCTGGGCGAGATTCAGTTTATGGCATACGACAGCGTTCTATATCTCCGAACGCCGGGACTATTACTTGACGCCAAAGAGCTCGATAAGATAATCCTGACTCGTCCACTTCCTATGAGATATGATCCAACTCGTCAGGAGTCTTATCGTAATGGAGCATGGATCGGCATGCCCCTTCGTGCGCATGATGAATCTAAACTGCCGCCTGTGTATCTGATTTCGGTGAATACAAAACGCAACAGGGTGGAAGCACGCACACATGTCCCCAATGTGGCTCTGCGAGGGTTCGGCGATTTGGCTGCCGGTCCCAATTACAAAAAGGTCACCGGGAATGATCCCGCATATGTCTTTTTCGAATGGGATGAAGAAGGCCATGCAAAGCGAGAGAATAATCCATATTATGATCAATGGAGAAAGGAGCAAAATCAAGTCTGCGCGGGACTAGACTTGGATTTTTATTAGCCTATCTCTATCTATGCTTTATTGGATTTGTGCTTCTGGCAGGGCTGGCCCCATTAATACTTCCTTTTCTTTTTAGGAACGAGACCTTTTTTTTCTGTGTAATGATGGAACGACGAACATTGGGATTTTGAGCTGGGTATACTTGGAGGGATAATGGAAGGAGCATACTGTTGAATTTGTACATAAGCCACTTGGATTGATTGTATTATTATGGTGAATAAAATAACACTATCGAGTTTTGTACCTAGGCATTTAGATATCTTCGTATAAATCAGCCATGTAGCAATATTCCGTCTAAGCTCCTGTACATATAGCAAACTGCATGTCCGCATATTGGCTCGCCAGTGGAGTATCATAAAGCAAGAAATCAGGGCACCCCCTAGGTAAATAATTTTTCTAGATAAGAATAAAGATTATTACACGCCAATCTCGTAGCCAAGGAGGACTTCGGTGGCATTGCCTTCCCAACCACGGTTGCCACTGGCGGAGACCATGTAACGACAGGCCGGATCAATATAAAGCTGCGAAATGACACCTGTTCGATGGCCTGGAATAACAAGAAACGGGACAGCTGAGTGTTTGTGAGATTGGCCTTTAAGGTCATACAGCCGAAGGATGTCGTGCGAAGCGCTGGAGTAGGTTAGCATATACGAGATTATTTTCTCGATCATGATGATAGATAGTCACTTACCAGAGCAGATGCCGCCCATTGGGCATCGCCTTCAATGCAGTCACTGCACCACCCACTTGCGGCAACTTGAAAACCCGTTCCGGCTCTCTCAGGCCTTTGTGTAAGCTATATTCCTCGACTGTGCCGTTCCGACGTCCTGCATATATATAGTTCCCGTCAGGAGACCAGCAAGCATTCATACACCATGGAGGTACATTCCTAGGGTTGATGCGAGCCACGGGGTTGGGCTGCCGTCGATCCCAGATGCGTATCGTGCCATCGATGGACGAGGCTAGGAAGGTAGAATCGGATGTTACCTGGGATGAGCTGGCTGCTGTCTGGGAGTCCTGGGCAGTAGTCGACATCTCTAATGACTCCGCGTGTGGCAAGCCATTGACTGTAGGCTCCGTGCTTGCCTCCGCTTTCTGAGTTGGTTGAGTTTCCTCTGACTTCAGTGAGGTAGCACTCTGGTTAGGATCTATGCCTGTGGTCTGAGGTAGCCACGTTTCCGTACCATTGGACTGGTCGACATTTCCGGATTCTGTCTTCATTTCCTGCTCTGAAGGTCGAATATCCATGTCAAGCGAGCCACCGAATAATGCGTTCTCACCAACGTTGCCAGCATCGGCCGATGGCTCTCCGCCATCTGCCATATGATTATCTGCGTCTCCAAAGAGAGAGTCGGCGCCACCAAAGAGAGAATCCGTCGGGGATGCTGCTGGGGCATTGTCATGACCGGCTTCGCCATGTCCAACTGTACCATTCACCAATGCAGACGAAGCTGATTGGTTATTTGATGAGAAGGATTTCTCAAACTGCATCTCCATGGTGTCCTGTGGAACAGGGAGGCTAGATTCAGGACGGATCTCTATCGCCGAAATCTGTCCAGTATCGGCGGCAAATGTGGATTTGACTTGACCTGTATTGAGGTCCCAGTCCAAGACGCGCTTGTCCCAACTACCAGACAGAAGACTACGCTCATCCGGTGTCAGGTTGAGCACCGAAACGGCAGATGTGTGGTTTTTCAGGAGAGCAATCTCCCTTCCCTCCTCATGACGGACTGTCTGGAGACGGATATTGCCAGACTCTAAACCAGACAGCAACCATAACCCTTCGCTTTGAGCTGCGAGAGAATACACTGGCGATAAGACATGTCCGTCCATGTTCTCCCAATAGTTCATGAGGACCCCGGCTTTCACCACGCTATCGACGAAGGGATGCCGTTGAGCAACGGTCAGCATTAATTTACTATTTATGGAGTCCACCCAATTATATTTCCTTATATATCCATCTGTACCTCCGCTGAAAACCCAACGCATGTCCGCCGTAGCTGTCACGGCATTGATAGATGTACTCTGCGGCGCGGCAGTAGTTGGTACGATGTCATACGTCTCCGCCGTCAAACACTCTACTCGCACAGTTGGACGATAGATGTCGAGGGAGTCAACTGGCAGGTTCGGTTCAGCATCCTGCTGCGAAGAATCTCCAGGGCCATCGGACGTCTGGCTGTTGTTGGACGGACTTTCGGCATCCTGTTCTTGGTCGACATCCTGCTCCGGGTCGTTTTCCGCATCACCGTCCGCGTCGTCGGCATCTCTCATCTGCTCGTCCTCGTCGTCGGAACTTCCATCTTGTGACCCTATCATCAAATTTTCATTAGTCGTTTGTCAACACGACTGAGTAGTCAGGCCTCACCTGTAATATCACGGTCATCATCGTCATCCAAGGAAGGCATACTTGGCGCACAGTATCACCAGCAGTCCCCCGGCCGGCCGTTCACCGCTGGAAAATCGATATTTTCTTCCTATGCCACAATCCGTATCTAGATATTCGCTTCGACGCTCTTTTGCGGCAGGCAAGGGGATCGCGGCGGAATCTCTCACGGGTGGAGTACGTACCTAGGCTTCGGTAAACCGGTTCTTGTGAGTGGCTGTCTTCGATGAGAATAAAAGATACTTGTCAATCTTATAGTCGCAAAAAGCGTGCGACAGGATATATTGCCGCCCTTCCGTAGGATTTGGTGTATTGCGGCGGTGTAAAGCAAGGATAACGCCTTGCTTGTCCCACGCGGAACTCGTCGTTGCTTCCCCAAAATCTCAAAGTAAAACGCGGGCTCTCCGCACCGGACGGATGCCTCAGGCAACAATATACACATCTAAATGCCATACTGTGATATGCTACACTACAACTCTGTGTATGGCTGACTTCCAATTAAATATGTTTTATTGCATTTTCTTCTAACTAGGTATCTGGGGGAACGGAAATATACCTATGTAGAATTCAAGAGTATACGTCATTATTTTCTATGGGCTATAAACTTATTGATCCTATATAACTCGCTCGCTCTTTGCGGGATCTAGCCGTGCGTTGTCTACTGTATACTGGAGTAGTAGTATCGGGGAAAAAAAATAAAGAAAGATAATTCATGGTCAAGAATTCAGCTTGTTTTATTAGACAATATCCATGGCTATTGACGCGTACGTCTAGCAACGTGATAGCATAGGACGTATACGTCCGGGCTTACTTGCTCTATTGAGCAAAGCGCCGTCTTGAGACCGACGTCGGCGGCGGATGAATCATCTTGCGGCCCTTCTCATTGGCTAAGCTGCCAGCTCGGATATAACTTTTAATGGGGCTCGGTATTTGCTTATCAGATCGATCAGATAAAAAAGTCGGTCCGCATTGTCGGCAGTCCACTTCGGAGATACCTCGCAGAACTTCAGAGTGCGTATACGCACTAGCTCCCTCTCTATATCCGAGGCTTGCGGATTTAAAAGAGAGGGGGCATAAGATTTATTGGAACAGGAGCAGTAGAAAAGGGATAGCTGCCCCAGATCATGGCTTATCCTCTTTTCCTTTCTTGTATATCATTGTCCGTCAACTTGAATTTGCCGTTGCGTACATAACTCATTACCAGGACCCCGACTCGGCCTTTTAATAGAGGTTTCTTGAAAGATGGCCACCTCGTTGAAGAACATTATTGTCGTGGGAGGCTCTTATGTTGGGCGAGTCAGTTTTGTAGTTGCGAATAGTCGTACGAATAGAGAAAGCTAACCACGAGGTATTAGGCTACGGCCCAAGAGCTTGCTCGTGTTATACCCACAACACATAGGGTGAGTGACTGGCTTATTGATGTTGCTTTGTTTGCTTTGGCAATCTTACCTGGGAGCTAACCCCCTTTTCAGGTGCTGCTAATCGAGCCACACAGTCATTTCAATCATCTCTTTGCTTTTGTAAGCAGTTCCCTCCTCAACAAGAAATCATGATGCAATTAGGACAGCATCAGGACAGCATTTGGAAGAATTTGTGTTGATGACGTCTAGCCCCGATTTGCCGTCGTTCCCGGCCATGAGCACAAGGCATTCATTCCGTATACAGGTATATTCAGCCCAGTGCCAGGTTGTTCCGACTTACCCACCATCATTCAAGCACGTGTGACCTCTGTAAAGCAAAATTACGTGAAGCTTGATCGAGAGTGGCAAGGATCTAGTCAGATCCCATTCGCATACCTTGCTGTCGCAACCGGAGCCAGCCTTTCGGAGCCGGGTTCAATGAAGTATGATGACAAATTGTCTTCTATACAATATCTGAAAAGTCACCAGGAGAACGTCAAGAAATCAAAGTCAATTCTCATCGTCGGGGGAGGAGCCGTGGGCATTCAAATAGCCACCGATATGAAGGAGTATTACCCTGAAAAGGACGTTGTGGTTGTACATTCGCGCGAACATTTGATGCCACTTTTCCATTCAAAAATGCACGACCTGGTCAAAAAGAGGTTTGATGAACTCGGCATCAAGTATGCTTCTTCATCTTCGTCAAATTTGGACACTGCCTAGTTTCACTAATGAATTGAAAAAAGGCTTGTCACAGGCTCGCGGGTGGTTGTACCAACAAATGGTTTCCCAACTGATGGAAGCAAGTTCGAAGTCCACCTAACGAATGGTTCCAAATTGACAACCGAGCTCGTAATATTAGCGACTGGACAAACACCTAACAACAGCCTGATCAAAGATCTTACTCCGTCAGGCACCGAGTCTTTGATAAACCCAGAGAATGGCTTCATCCGTATCCGACCGACCATGCAGTTCTTAGACAAGAAATATCCAAACTTGTTTGCTGTGGGTGATATTGCAGACACCGGTTTGCACAAGGCTGCAAGACCTGGAAGTGCACAGGCTGCTGTCGTAGCCAAGAATATCCAGGCCTTGGTCGAGGGCAGAGAACCACAGGAACACTTCAGCTGGAGCCCGCGAGCTATTCATCTTTCTCTAGGATTGGTGAGTGAAGTCTTCCACGGTATATTGCATCAAAAGGATGTATAATATTAATAATATGTGCCTGACAAACGCAGAAACAAAATGTCAAGTTCCGCAACCCTAACGTGGCTGAGGGGCAAACCGAGCCGTCCATTAACATGAGTGAAGAGTACGTATATGTTTCAAGACGTTGACCTAACTTCACCATGCCTCGCTAACAGCCAGTCTTAGTGGCCATGAGGATCTTGGGGTGGAGCGAGCATGGGCGAGAATGGGCGTCTCGGTGGATAGTCCTTGGCGATACCATTTGTGAAACGAATATAAAGAAAGATCGTTGTATACTAGCACATAGCCATTCATTGTCGTGAGGGCGTTTATTTTCTCTGACTGGTCCAAAAGAAAAGAGCGCAGGAAGGTGAAAAAGCGAGACCTTACCTAATCAGCCAGGCGGTTTCCGAAAGGGGAAGGCATGCTCAGGCGTTTGCTCCTCCTTTATTTGTGTCCGTGAGGATGGCCACCTCACCAGCCTCGTTTCAAATCCTTTCAAAAATAACAACAACAACAACAACAAATTGACTTCTTTTCAATTCCCAGCCTCCTTCAATCCACTGTCACTTGTTTTCTGCGTTGCTGCCCCGAGTCCTTTCTTTTCAAATTTAGCACCCTGCTATCACTTGTTATCTGGTGCCCATCTATCAGGCAACATGTCTGTCAAAGCCTTTCGTACGCAGCGCGCAGCTAAATGGCCCAAGTATCGTCCGCGTGGAGACGTACCTGCTACGTCTGCGACGGAATTGACCGTAAAAGCGCCACCGGAAATTCGACAGTATGTCCTAAAAGCACTGAAGTTGGACCCAAAGCAGCGATGGCTGTCCTATCCGGAAATTCCTGCAGCAGAAGAGATTATGGGGTTGACAAGTGCAATAAACCAGGAGGAAGGACACATCGATATTGTGCCAAATCAGATCAGTGGCGCATGGGAATCACGAGAGGAGTACCTCAGTGCTCACTATGAGCTACTTAGAGAAGATTCAGTCGCCTTATTACGGGATGCTGTGGCCTATCTGAAAGAAGAGCCCACTCTGAATGATACGCATGAAATATGCGTCTATGAGAAGGTTCGCAATGTTATACTCATCTGACCCTCATGCTTGAAGCTAAAGATTTGACAGGTCTATATCACGGGGATAACATTCTGCCCAAAGGGTATTGCCACAAAAGTGTCTTTCTCTCCTGCCCGTTCAGGAAAGAACATCGTGTGGCAGTATTCGAGTCGGTTAATTGCTGGGTCTATGGTCGCATTGTCACCAGCGAACGACTGTTTCAAAACCCAGTGTCTTGTTGCGGTCGTCGCGGCTCGTCCCATGGATCAGATCAAAGAGCGGCCTAGCAAGGTCGATCTTTTCTTTGCAGATGACAAAGAAGCAAGTTTCGATCCTCAGCAAGAATGGATAATGGTACAAGCAAGGTCGGGGTACTTGGAGTCGACTCGCCATACCATGAAAGCCCTGCAAGTCATGAAAAACGAAAAGTGAGTAATTTGAACTGGTAACCAGTATATATCGCTAATATAAACAGATTTCCCTTCTCGGAGCATATATGTGGCCTCAAAAAGGACATAGGTTGCCCCGAATATGTCAAACTTGATCCTCAGATGAAACTTTTCTCCGATGAGTACATAAACATTTTGACCGGATGGCCTTCGCAGCCGCAGAACAACTTGGACGAATCGCAATGGGAGGCTCTACGACAGATTTTGACGAAGAGACTTGCCATCATACAGGGTCCCCCTGGGACTGGAAAGACTCATGTTTCTGTCGCCGCATTGAGACTGCTTCTCTCGGCTAGAAAAGAGGAAGACCCGCCAATTGTGGTCGCTGCTCATACTAACCATGCTCTTGACCAGTTGCTCAATCATATCGCTGCATGGGCACCGGACTATATTCGCCTTGGAGGCAGAAGCCTAGACGAAAATGTTAAAAAGCGAACACTGTTTGAAGTACTTCAGTCTTCGTCAACTCCGCACCTTACAGGAAGTGCACTAGGACCTGCATACGGCAAGATTCATGCAATGAGGAAAAAAATGACAGAAACTTTAATGCCTTTCTCTATTGAATCGTCACACGAGCCACTTTCTGCCGAGTTCTTCCATAAAAATGGAGCCCTCACCGAGAAACAATATCAACTTCTGTGTGACGGGACTAGTGGCTGGACAGGAACCGGTCTTCAAGCCAAACGAGATCCCATGAGCATCTGGCTGGGAGACGGAGTCACGGAACATCGTGTGTCCTACGAAGATATTAGCTTCAGTTATGAGGAAGATGAAGCAGACCTAGAATATGAACAGTTAAAAGAAATCGAACAAGAAAGAGACTATCTAGAAGACGACATCGAGGCTCTCAAAGGGGTCTTCTTTCCTTTGAAGGAAACTTTCGTTGGAATTAGCGATGCCAATGAAAGAGCAAATGTTGACAATCTATGGGAGATTCCTCCCGGACATAGAGGCAGTATCTATAACATGCTTCGAAGACGTGCTAAAGCCCAGGTGCTTCGTCGATACAGACAGCAGGTGAAGGAATATAATGCTATAGCGATAGAGCGTCAGATCGGCAAATGGGAACAAGACTATGCAGTTCTCAAAGATGCAAAGTTGATAGGGATGACGACTACTGGATTAAGCAAAAATCGGGCTTTGATATCAGCACTGAAGCCGAAGATTGTCATGATTGAAGAAGCAGCCGAGACAATTGAGGCCCCAGTGACAGCGGCTTGCGTCGAATCACTTCAACATTTGATTCTCGTCGGTGATCATAAGCAATTGCAAGGAAGCTGCTCAGTTACTGATTTGGAAGGAGATCCCTTCTTTCTCAATGTGTCAATGTTCGAGCGCCTCGTTCAAAATGACGTTGAATTCAGGAGCCTTTCCCTTCAGCGTCGCATGGTTCCAGAGATCCGACGCTTACTTACGCCTATTTATGACAACCTCGAAGACCATCAATCGGTGAATGGACTTGCAAAGGTACCAGGCATGGGAGATGTCCGCTCGTTCTTCTTCTGTCATCGCTGGCCGGAAAGTACCGACAGTCTCTTTTCAAAATACAACCATAACGAAGCAATCATGGTTGCCACTTTTTTCCTTTACCTAGTTTTTGCTGGTACGGATGTCAATAACATTACAGTTCTAACATTCTACAATGGACAGAGGAAAAAAATACTCAAAGTTTTGAAAGAGAATAGGCATCTCCAAGGCAAACACATCAAAGTCCATACAGTCGATTCCTACCAGGGGGAGGAAAATGAAATCGTGCTTCTTTCCTTGGTTCGAAGCAATGCGGATCAAAAAATTGGATTTCTCGCCATTGAAAATCGAGTCTGTGTTGCTCTCTCACGAGCCCGCCGGGGGTTTTTCATATTTGGCAATGGCGACAAAATAGCTGCTGCTAACCCCTTGTGGTGGGAGGTGGTCAAGATTATGGGTGATGAGCCGATGGAGTCTCGACGAATTGGATATCATCTACCGTTAACCTGTGAAAATCATGGCAACAAGGAATTTGTACGGAGTCCAGAAGATATCATTGAACTGCATGGCGGCTGTCATATCTTTTGCGAAACCAAACTAGACTGTGGGCATTCCTGCCCTCTGAGATGTCATGTTTTCGACCATTGTCGGATTCAGTGCGAAGCAACGTGTGCGAGAACCCTTGAATGTGGACATACTTGTGAGAGTAAGTGTCTGGCAGAGACATGCAGATGTGCGACGTGCGGATATTGGACAAAAAATACAAATTTTACCATCAAGACCTCCCAAGCAGCATCGGCAAACCTTCAACAACAGACACGTCCGGAATCAGAAGTCAAAGCCAGCTATGCAGAAAAATTACGCGAGTATCAGGAGTTTGCGAGCGGTGATGTTCAAGAGCATGATCGTATCCTTGCAGAAGTCCAGCAAGCTGAAAAAGCAGAGGACATGCTCGCTCGTCTGGATGCAGAAGCGGAAGCAAACTTATTTGATGACGAGCCAGTGCCAAATACCGGAACTCTCATTGAAGATGCTGCCAGTATCGTTTTTTCCAATAGCAATGGCAATGGCGACCAAATCCTGAATGACAACGACAACGTTCACACACGAAGACGCTGGGTGCACTCCTATGACCCGTCAAAGGGTTTAGAAAAGCTTACTGGCAACGCGCCGGAGATAAGTCTACTTGACCTTTGATCGAAACGAAAAGGGGACAATAAAGTAAGAGGCCAAAATTCACGTCCATTAACTTCGATATACACCACATAATTGTTTTTAAGGACCGCTGAGAAATGACTAATCTTATCAATGCCTGTCTCTCCCATGCTATGTACATTCTGTTCTGATTGTTCACTCAATGTATTTCACTTCACCTAGACAATGAAGCATATTTCTTCAAGGACATTTAAACATCCTTCTTCCTTGTTACGCAGGCATCTACGTACGTAATTTTGTCTTCTATTCTTTCCTCATGTACGCCACCCTTCAATAATTTATCCATGCTCACTGGTTAGTGCTAAGTGACCACTGATTGATCAACTTATGGAGAGGCTCCGCACACATACCTGATCCAAAAATGCAATGGGCCCGTATAGATAAATACTACATAGGGCTTACTTATCCACGTGCCACGCTAAACCGCTCACCATCACGCCTCAGTGAGCTGCAGTTGAGGGACCAAGCCGGCCAGCTAAACAAGCGTCTCCACAACAGATTGCATTATTATCTATTATTAAATATCTAGTAGTGTCGGAAGATGAATTGCGTCCGACACCGACGAGGCGTCATTGCTCGTTTTGAATTAGAGCCGATTGATCATTGACCTCTGAAACATATGCGAAGAGAACAATAGAGGATTTTAGCAAATGTCCCAGTCGCTAAGTTTGACTGTACGAATGCAACGCTGTTTACGCTCCCTCCAGATTCCGGAAGGCGCAAGTGCAACCGGACATTTACTAAATTATAATACAAAAAGAGCATGCCTATGGAACTGAGCCTAGGGTTAGACAATAAGCATATGTTTAGCAACGAAGCCGACACTGACTGCAAAAGGAGACTGCTGTATAAATATTTTCTAGGTGAAGTTGATAGTATTACCCTGAATTATAGCAGTTGAAATAAGCATATAGCATTGAATTTCATCCAGCCAGGATTCAAAGACCACCTTCATAGCAAGCAGCCTACATTCTGATTAAAGCCTAAGACCAAGCAGATACTCCAGGTATGACTCTAGCTATAGTTCAAACTCAAAGCTTCTTTTTCTTTCTAATACTTATATACCCCCGAAGCTCGCTTCCACCCATTTTCTCCCCCTAGCTTAGGCTAACATGGCGTTGACACTGCAATTTCTATAGACTTATCTCGCCGTATCTTTTGAAAATAAACCCGTCCTCCTTTTCCGCTCCAAGATTCCTTTAAGCACGGCCGTCAGGCCAGAAGGTAGAGAAGCGCTGATTGGGGGTTGAAATAACAGGGCTACCGTGGGCATCATCGACGTAGACGTACTCGGAGCCGATCTCCTGGATGTCCCAATCGCGAGGAATGGTGTTGATCGAACCGTCAGAGTTCTCGGTGTACTTGATAACCCACTGTCCGTCGTTCTTCATGTCATAGGCACCTTCCGGTGCACCATCCAGAACCCACTGTGTGAATCCCTTCCAGTCACCATTTTCATTCCAAACAAGAATGCCGCCATCATTACCGCGGATGAGCGAGACATCAGCCCAGCCGGTGTTACCAGTGGCGGTGTCCCAGCTAATCTCCAGCCAAGAACCGAGCAGCTGCGGCTGGCCATCAAGCATGGTGGCATCGACACCGCGCTGGACACGGCCCTGCCAGCCCGTGGGGACGGAGACAAACTGGGTGCTTTTTGCAGCAATCCAAATGTACTTCCAGGGCACACTGTCACAGCTGTTGTAGTAGAAATAGAAACCACGCCAGTCATCGGCATCGTTGTCGATTGTGATGCCTGGACCGCCAGTATCAGTATCGCCCCAGGTAAGAATAGGCGAGGTGCTGCAGTCCCAACGCTTGGACAGTTCGGAACTCTCGGTGACGTTGTAACGAACAAGACCACCGGTCTGGTAGCTCTTGACACTGCTCTGTGGAACAGACATAACAGCCGCAGGATCAGCGTTGGGCAGGCTAGGAGGAACTTGGCTGTTTAGTCCTGGAGCGGCCGGCAGAGCGGCAACGGCTCCAACGAGCAGAGAAAGCGCGTATCTGACCATGTTGAAGATGTCTATGGTACGTAGGAAATGTGCTGATGAGATACAGATTGCTGAAGGATCCTTGCTCACTTATATGTCTAGGTACTGCTTAAGCCAGTGGCGTGAAGCTATTGATCTCAACACGCCGCCAAATCCGCTTGTTCGGGAAATCCTTTCAAGCAGCAGTATAGATGATTGAACAATGCTTATGATAACGTTTTGATCCACATGTACTCCATTATGGAGTTTATGGTGGCCGTTCTTCCGTCTTTACGAACCATGAGGCATAAAAGTTGAGCAAAACGGTTACATCGTAGTAGTTTGGAATCTAAATAGATGGCATGATTTCCCGACTTATCTCACAATTGGCTGCTTGATGTATGCTTTGAAGAGGGGAATTTCCGATATAAAGTTACATCGGCCGAACCGATCCATACTAAAGAGACTAGTCAGGGACATACATCTTAATACATCTTAGGGGCGATACATAGTTGGAGACAGCTAAGTATTACTAGCTTAGCCACATTTCAGGATAGTGCTAGATTACCTTCGTATAGGAGCATGCGCATTATCTACACACACACACTATGGGCCCTGTATGGCTTTAAAGATGGCCCCATACAATAAATCTCCGATGAGGCTGAGCAAGTTAGGTACAAAGTGGACACCATGTGCCTGTCAGCCACCGAAGAAGTACAAGGACAGCACACAACTCTACACTTCACATGCATATCAGCACATACTAGCTCCGCAAAAAGCCAAATGCCACCAGCAGGTGCAACGTCCGAACGCCTCAGTTACTTGGCATCTTTCGATGGCCATGTGTGGAACTTCAGGAGTCTCTGGATCAGAAAGGATAGTCAATAGCCGACTGCTGCTAAAAAAGCTCAGTGATGACGAATATGGAAGGTGAGTTATTCGTCTTATTTTGTGAAATTGTGCTGCATCTATTGTGGCACTTTCATGTTGTTCATCGAAATGATATACATAAGTAGATAGGCTAGATTCTATGGGTTTTCAGAAATGGACGCCCATAATAAATAGGAACGACGATCTATCATCATATCTGCCAGTAGTTTGCTAGGCATCCAAACTGTTACTCATTCTTCATTTCCATTCTGGTACTTTCTCTATACGCAGACTTTTCTCCTTTTTATCTTGACCACGTTCATCCTTTGCAATGGCACGCTTCAACATTGTCACTGGCTTGGCTACCTCCCTCATTGTGGCTTCGGCAGCTGCTGATTCCTGGCCCAAGAGAGGTTTGGCTGCCAACGATGATATTCCCATCTGGCAGTTCGGCGGTTCCTGGAATGGCTACAGTTCGGAGGTGAACTGGCAGTACAATTGGGACAGTACCACTAGTCAGAAGCAATCCTTTGCTGAATACGTCCCCATGCTTTGGGGTACGTCAAGCGACCATACCACCCAATGGTTTGACAATGCCTGGTACTGGCTTGATAACGGCGGTTCAGGTCATCTGCTGGCTTTCAATGAGCCTGAGCAGTCGAGTCAGTCCAACCTCACTCCCCAGCAGGCCGCCGACGCTTGGAGAACATACATGGAGCCGTTCGTTGGCCACGCACAGCTCGGTGCTCCTGCTGTTTCTAATGACGGTTATGAATGGCTGTCTGAGTTTCTACAAGCATGCAGCGATTGCAACATTGACTTTGTCCCTATTCACTGGTATAACGACCACACTCTGGAATCCGACCTTGAGAACTGGGTCAACAGTATTTGCTCCCTATCAGGCCGCCAAGTTTGGCTCACTGAGGTAAGCCATGGGGACATAATAATACGAGCGGCTTGCTAATATCATGATTGAAAAAGTTCCAAGCCTACGGCACGGTCGACGACCAGAGCAACTTTTTGCGTTCAGCTATCCCTTTCCTAGACGACAACGACTGTGTCTACCGATACGCATATTTTGGGACGGCGGATAACTCCGAGGTTTTATTGGAGAATGGTGGGCCTTCTCTTTCGCCTTTGGGCGTGCAGTATACATTCAGCGCTTATGGTAGCGGTGATGGCCCCAACTAAGGGGAGCATGGTCCGTGAGGGATATATATGCTCTACAGTGGCCTCTAAATCCATTTGAGGATGTAGAGGAACGATATCAAAAAAAGAGTGCATGGAAATGTAAACTCATCTTGTATATAAAAGCTCAGATTTTACAATATAGTCGGAATTCTACTTATTCTTCGACTGAAATACTACAACAGAATACAAATCAGAGATCCAAGACCCGTATGATTAGAGCGAGAGAAGCCAGCCCTATCAAGGTAGACCAGGAAACTATGCCGCGTGAACTACTCCTCTGTAGGAGCCCAGAAATGGATTAGGGCTAATCACCCGCTGCAGCATATTGTATCAGTCGATACAATTAATATAGTTAACAGACCACCTAGTACACTATGTTAAATCAGGCGGTACGGTGGAGGATATGCCATGTTTTTAGTTTTCTCTTACTTGTGTATACGTTCTTCTATCGAACAGGATATGCTGCGATACTTTGATGTCCTGTCGTACCTCCAGAAGCCTATTGATTTAGCGCATTAATAGCTATCCTAGGTATGCTCGACGGCTATATAGCCAAAGTTTCCGACAAAAGTCTAAGTGGCCTCAGTCTTTGCAAATGAAGACTATATTTCCGAGAATATTGAGTCGAGTTCTGTCACAACTGGCGTGGATTGGGTGATAATACATGGTATGTTGTACATTTAGCTTGACACTTCAAACCCACACATATACTGTATAAACGCATATCAACGAGACTGGTTCCTCAGGAATATCTATCAAAATATTTACTGGTCGTGCTATACTTATTAGAGCTAGATTTCTCATTATCTCATTATTGAAATCATTGGATTGACATTGAAGCTATATATTTCATCACCAAGGAGTAACCCTAAGAAGAAGAAAAAAAAAAAAAAACGCCAGGTCTCCTCACAAGTTGGGGCACTGAGCGTTTTAGCGTGGAACATTTCGCTTATGTAGGTGATTTGTTGTTAAAAAAAAAGTTAAAAAAAAAAGGCTTGGACTTTTTAAGCGATATGCGTGTCTAGTTATCTTACCTGAGTAGATGCTCACTCCCTTACTAAACTCTTTATACTCCTACTGCCTACTAAAATGACCCTACAAAATCATATCACGATGTCCACAACCATGGCAGTCACCGTTGCTGCGATGTGATAGTTATTCCGCATCTGCTGGTTGTCCAGGTGGCCGTGAGCGTGCTGATTCAGATTCAAGGTAAACCATTCACTGCGCGCACATTATACAACGACCGACTAAGTGACCCCTTCTGGGCAATTCTCGCCATTCTTGGTTTCAACATTGCTTGAGCCAGCCTGGAAGTGGAAGGAGGAATAGCAAGTTTGCTAACACGTCAAGTGTCGAAGACGACGAAGATGACGAAGAACGTCGCATTGAGAGCAGCGATGAGAGCGACCTCGGCGACTTCAGTGCAGATGGGGATTTTGACGAAGGCAGCGACGATGATAGCAGTGAGCAGCCAGGCAGTGCTGCAGGGTCTCGTGACTCTAGTCAGGTGCACACCCTCGCGCCACCCACAGACGCCAATTCATCGACTGCAGCCGCTGTTGCCCAGAAGGTTGTGAACATCGCAACTACTCCTTCGGATGACAGAGCAACTGGAAGACAATATCTACGGAACAGGAAAGATCTTAAAGCACTACAGAGACATCAACCACCCCATCTTTGGAAAAGGGATCCTCACCTTCGCCAAGTGACCCGAAGAAGGAGGCTAGCACCAGTACCAATAGCCAAAGTGCTGCCCGTCAAGACTATGAATTGCAATTTATGCTCTTAAGTCAGCAGAATGAACGGCGATTAATGATGGCGCGAGAGGTTGAGTTGTCAAAATTTGAAGAACGTTCCACCGTACTCAGTCTCACCAGGAGTTCCAGTCAAGCCTCTCCCACGAGACGTCATTCACAAGACACAAAGACCCATTTTCCACGCTCACCTGATGACCCTTTACCACAAATCGAGCATGCCGACTCGGAGCTTTATTTTGCCAAACGAGTGCTGGCTAGGGTGGAAGTACCCGATGAAACGACTGTGGACCGAGCAACATTCGAGTAGTATATTCGCAACCTGAAGAACAAGGCAAAGACCTTGGACAAAATTGGGCAGAACCGATCTTCGTCCAGATATTGTATCATTCACCGGGTTTTCAAAGGATTACACGAGCAATGTTTTTTTGACCGTCCTCAGTGGGACTTAGGGAAAGGGGATCAGGAAGAACTGAGAGGCGATTTCCCTATATCAAGTATCGGGTCATACCTACGAAAGCATCCAGAGATAGAATTTATCGTGTACCGAGACTATGATCAAGCCGTGATTAGCCGATTCAATCGAAGGCCTTTTTTGGATGATACAACGCCACTCCCAGTTTCACACGCGAGAGAATGCCTTGTTCCTTGTTCGAATGATCTTGTTGCCGCTGTCCCGAGTCTCCTCAATTCGATGCCAGGTTTTGCCGAGATCTTTCAAGAACATGGGAGCTCCAAACAATTGCTGATGCCAGAGCTAGTGTTTTATCACTCACGCGACCACGTTGCAGGACTCTTGGACAACGTACCGGAACCACAGCGATGGCAACTGGCTACGATGCGGGGTTACGTCCTATCGGAATACGAAGAAGAATATAGCATGGTTGACTCCCTACTAGAAAGAGGGTCATCATTTGCAAGTATATCAAGTACCTCTTCAAGCCGGAAGAGGTCATCGTGGTTGAAATGGACCAAGATATCAGGGGAGCTTTCACTCGTTCATTCCCCGGCTCAGTGTCACCAGTCAAGAAAGTCCAACAGCGGCATGCATGCTGAACAATCGACGCTTGGTGGTGGACATACTGTGGGAGCTTCTCTCGCGATTCTCAGCCATTTGAATTGAATTTTGACGCAGGGGATTCCGAGGAGATAGCAATCGAAAAGTTCCACGTTCGACCCTTGTGGGCCGTCGGTAAAGACTTACCTAGTATGCTTCGACGGAGAGGCGAAACATTTTGAAAGTGTCGCGGTCAATACTTTGCTTCCTATCGAGACAAGAACAGCGGAGAGTTTTATAGCTCCAGCGATGATCGATACATGATCGACTATGAAACTTACCGTGATTTACATCCCAAGGAAGAAACTATACGGATTAAAAGCACAAATGATCATGAGAGCGAAGAAATGGGACAAGGTACACTCCCTAAGGACGAGTATCATTTTCTAATGCCACCAGAAATTACGGGTTTCAACTTGAAGACAAAGAAGTGGGTGGACCTGCAAGTTAGTCGACTAGGGGATGTAGTGTGGAACAAAGAGGCATTCAGAGATCTAGTACTCCACCCTGACCAGAACTCTGACACTGACACGAAGGAACTTCTTCAGGCACTTATCACACAACAGATTGAGGTTAGCAAATCAACAGATGTAATGCAGGGGAGGGGTAATGGACTGACACTCCTACTCCATGGAGCACCGGGAACCGGGAAAACTCTCACAGCAGAAAGCGTTGCCGAGATCGCCGAGAAGCCACTCCACCCTATTAACCAGAAGACGTGGAAGAGTACCTCGAGTCAGCTTTTAAACTTGGCAAAAAGTGGGATTGCGTGATTCTTCTCGATGAAGTAGATGTTTTCTTGGCAGAGAGGAACCTAGAAGAATTGCGACGCAACGCTCTAGTCTCGGCGTTCCTTCGAGTTCTAGAGTATAGCGAGGGAATACTTGTACTAACTAGCAACCGCATAGGTACATTTGATGAAGCTTTCTTCTCGCGAATTCAGCTAGCACTCCATTACCCCGATCTCACCCATCCGTTAAGAAAGAAGATCTGGAAGAAAAGGATGTGGACTTTGACGACCTGGCAGATCACGTAGATAGCCTTGCAAAATACGAACTCAACGGCCGACAAATCCGGAATGTTATCACGATTTCGCGCCAGCATTCTAGATGGAAGAATGCGACTCTGGATTACGCGTTTCTAATACGAGATATCCATATTACTGGGAGGTTTCAGGAGTACATGAAACTCTTGAGGAGAGGCCACACAGAAGGGGAAATGGCAGAAGAGAGCGGGTTGAGACTAGCAGAGCAGAATCGGGCCTCCATAAAGACCGTACTATAGTTACTATATCAACCGCCGAATATGTCTAATAAAAGTTGAGAAAAAGAGTCTCGTACTAGCATAAATATTGGCATTACTATTGCAAGTAGAGAAAAGAATATCAACCCCATCAAACCAAGTTTGCTAGCACCACCATTGATGAATATCAGCTAGACCACAAACATGACAGCTATCGAAACCGTCAATCAAGCATGTAAACCCCAGAGAAACCACAATCACTCTTCGAAAACACTGTTAAAGAAAATAGGAGCAGTTGCAAGCTGTGACAGCTTCGGATCTCATCTTTATACCCGAAACAGGGCCGTCCGAGACCCAATTCATCGACACCAGGCTTGTGTTTTGAATCGATATGCGTGTCTATTCATTCTACCTAGGTAGCTATTCGATCTTAAAGTACAAAAAGAATAAAGTAAGGAGAAAAACGAAAAACAAAACAGATATCCCAAAAAAATCACCAATATGTTTTGAAGTCCACGTAAACGAACAGAATTTTGGAAACAAGTAAAACTGAAACGAAAAATTTGCAGACGCAAATGTTCTCTCTCACGATAGGTTAAGAGGTGGCTTAGTAGTAGTATAAATTCGCAAATGGGACAAGACTGGAATATATACAGGTTTCAGAATATCCATCCCCCCACTGAATAGTAGGAGGGAAACAAGAGTATATAAGCGAGTTACATGTATGTATAAATCCCGTTCGTGTCCCTTCGTCCTATGTTTCACTCGCATCATATGTGTAAAAAAAGATCAGTCCGTCTCCACAAGTTGTTTGCTTTCCCATGCAGCTTTGGCACCCTCAACCAGACTATCAATATTACCACTATTCTCACACATGCCACGGAAACTGCCGTTTTCTATATTTATTAATGTCCATGGATGGTCGAATTCGACGACACGTCCATGGTCCAGGACAAGCACCTTGTCGTAATCGATGATGGTTTGCAGGCGATGAGCGATTGTGATAATCGTGCTGTCCTTCAATTCGCGCAGCGTCTCTTGGATCTTGGCATCTGTTGCGTAATCAATCGAAGCAGTTGCTTCGTCCATCATTAGCACGCGAGGGCTTTTGAGCAGGGCTCGCGCAAGACACAGCAGTTGGCGTTGACCCTGCGACAGGTTTGAGCCAGACTCTGCAACAGGCGACTCCAGGTTTTGGAAAATGTTTTTGTTTTCTGGGACAGCCGAAACATCCTCGACTGACTGAGTAACTGCTGGTGTTGCAGTCCCGGAAGCTCCAGTCGTGATTAGGTGGACACGACGCAGTGCAACAAAGATTTGCTCATCGCTGAACAGGCCGAATGGATCCAAGTTGCTTCGAATCGTGCCGGTAAAAAGTGTAGGGTCCTGAGGCACAATTGTGATATTTTCACGCAAATCTTGCAAACCGATCGTGCCAACGTCGATTCCATCAATCACTATTTTGCCGTTAATCGCTTCCAGACCACGGAAGAGCGCAAGAGCAAGAGAGCTTTTTCCGGCGCCAGTACGTCCAACGATGCCAACCTTCTCTCCAGCATTAATTGAGAAGGACACATTCTTCAGCACACAGTCCAGATCAGGACGGTACCGGGTGGAGTAATCAACGAATTCAACGGCTCCTTTAGTGGGCCAGCCTGATGGCGGTCTTCGGTCTTCGATTATCTTTTCAGCCTCTTGTTCAACTTCCAGGTATTCTCGAACACGCTCAACCGAGTTTAGACTCTGTTGAGATTCGGAATACAACCGCACGAGCCAGAGGACGTTCTCCGTGAAAGTAACCGCGTAAGTCATAGACAAACCGGCAGCTCCTGCGTCGACTCGGCCAACATTCGTCAAGACAAACGCAGCGGAAAGGAATGAAACAAGTGCACCAATCATATCCACACGGAAAGATAGCCATCGGTTGCTGGCCCACAGATAGATATGCGGCCGGTTGTATGAATCAATACGGCGGTGGTTGTCAATCATGAATCGTTGGGCATCACCGTACGCTCTAATGCTGACAATGCCATTCAATGTCTCGCCAAACTGCTGATAGAGCGGGCTGCGCTGTACTGATTCTAATCGTTTTAAGTCACGCGATGCATTCAAGTAAATTGCGCCAACTGCAGAAAATAGCAAGGTGATGATCACCGCGGCAAACAAGAAACCAGGCGTAATAAACGAGATAAGTGCAATGATCATGATAACTGATGCGAGACTATGAAGCATACCAATTGCAACAGGAGCGACTTCTTGGTCAATGGCTTCGACATCTTTAGAGAACCTGTTCATCAGTTGGCCTAAAGGTGTCGAGTCGAAGAACTTGAATTTGGCATGAAGCACAGCGTTCAACAATCCGTCGTGCAGCTTCCACGAGGCATGCAGTGAGCCCCAGAAGAGAACCAATTCTCTAAACATTGAAATCAAGACATAGACGAGGCCGAGCAGCGCATAGATACCGAGATAATACCCAATGTTGACACCATTATCAGCAGTTTCGGTTTGCATGACGTTCGGATGAACCCCGTTCCAAGAGGTTGTACGCGGAACACTACCTGTCACGAAGGATGGAAGTTTGAAATTTGACATCATCGCATAGTCACCCACGTCTGTTGCCTCATCTTGTTGGACGTTGTACGCGTTTGCCCACTGTCGAATCCATATATTGGTTGCCACGTTGCCAAGTTGTTGAGCTACAAAGGCACCGATACCAAAAATCCAGTAGTACCAGGGCCCCATAGAAGACAAATACATTCGTATAGTCGACCATTTGATACTACCAGTAGCTTTTGATTCTGTAAGCTTGGCAGGGGATGCTTCGCCTTGCGGATCTTTGACACCAGGGGCAGGCTTCGATGCTCCATTTGCATGACCGTTGCTCAGTCCGTTGGACTGTTCGACTTGTTCTTCCAGATCAGACGCAGTGCGAGAGGGGCCCTTGGAGCCCGGTCTTGACGTTGGCCGTGACTTCATAAGTTCCTCTCCGAGCGCACCCGATGCTGCTACCTCGTCGGGAGTTCCCTTGCTGGATATTCTACCATTGTCCATAACGACAACATACTGTGCTTGTGGGACAGCAAGCGCAACGTTATGAGTGACAAGAATACAAGTACGATGGGTCATGAGAAAACCTGTGAATGCCTCGCGGAAAATATGTTTGGCGGTATGTGAATCAACAGCACTGAGACAGTCATCAAGTAGCAAATGGCGAGCGCGACTATACACTGCACGTGCGAGAGAAATACGTTGCTTTTGACCACCAGAAAGACTGATACCCTTTTCACCTACCAGCGTCTGGTCACCTGCTTCCAAAATTTGCAAGTCGCGCTCAAGAGCGCATGCTTTGATGACTGCATTGTAGCGTTCTTGGTCGAAGGGGGATGCAAAAAGGATGTTTTCTTTGATCGTAGCATTTACAAGCCAGGCTTCTTGGGCACAATATGCGACATTGTCAGTGAGAGATGTCTCCGGGTCGACTGGAAGTGAGGCACGGTCGGTTGTTACTCCGGGAAGATAGACTCGGCCATCCAAAAGCCTCATCTCTCCTAAGAGAGCCATGAGAAGCGAGGTTTTGCCAGATCCAGTTGCTCCAGCAATTACATTCAACTGACCGATTTTGAATGACACGTTGATATCGATAAGTCGGAACGCATCTGGAGCATCTGGAGCACCAGAGGTAGACTTGGCACCCCATGTTAAAGTAGCATCCTCAAGTGCAATCCTCGATTCACCTGGTTGCCGTGAATCGCCGAGTAGCTGGGAGTACTTTTCTGTTTCCTCCTCATTCAAGAAAGCCTCGACACGATCAATAGATACCTTAGCTTCCTGTACGTGGGCCATCATATCTGCCAGTTGGTCCAATGGCACACGAAGGAGCGAGAACATTGATAGCGCTGGGAAAGCAATAGATGGAGACAATCGCTTCCCTTCGACAACGGTATACAGGAAGAAGGAAGTGAAAGTAATCAGGATCGGAGTGCCGTACCAGACTGTTGCAGCGGCAGACCATATGATATATCTATAGCGCAGGGACCGGAGCTCTTCTTTCCGCTTCTCATTGACAATATCATTAAATCGCCGTTCCCAAGCGAAATATTTAATGATACGAATGTTTTGCAGCACCTCGTTCGTTGTATGGATACGAGCATCGGTTTTGGAGAGAATCTCGTTTTGAATATTGCGGAAACTGCGGGCGATCCAGACATTGACGGGCAATATCAGGACCATAAGCGCGATGCCGGCGAAGGAGCTGAAACCGAGGACCCGGTATAGCAGAACAATGGCGATGATCACTTGTACTGGTACGCTCGCCCACAAGAAATGCAGATAAGCGCAGACTTCGCTAACTTTGAAGGAGTCGATAGCCATCAAATTGATGATAGTGCCGATAGTACTCATCTTTTCATCTTTGTTGTCCGATTTCTTCTTGTCCTTGGACTCCTCCTGAGTCTCGGTAGCTGCACCGGCTTTGCGTCTCAATGCCTTGGAATAGATCTCACCAATGATGATTGCGCGTAATTTGACGCCAACGTTGTTCCGACCGATCCAGAGAGCCTGACCGTCGGCAATGCCTTGAATGGTACCGCAAACGAACAGTAAAATGGCATACAGCCACGCAGCGTTGGCAGGAATGGAACGAGGGTCTTCGACATACTCGAGAATCGCTTTCAAAAGTAAGGTGGGGATGAAAGTGAAGAGATTTGAAAAGACAGTCCAAGCAGCTTGGACGATAAGGTCTTTGTCAAAATAACGCAACAATCTCCAGACCAGTTTGTAGTTCTTGTAATGGTGGCGGAAATCGTTCAAAACAGTACCGGCATGTCGCGATACAGTCAAGTTCCATACATCGTCCAGCTCTAATGTTTGGTAATAGCCCTTCCAAATCAATGGGCCAATCCACGAGAAAGACAGGAGGGATAATATGCTGGCGTAGGGCTGGTGGGGGGGTTCTAGGCCATCTTCGCGCTGCAGTAGAACACTCTTGTTTCCCCTTCGGGTGGTGGTCGAAAGAATGAGTAAGAAGGAGCAAATGGCGAATTCGGTCGATGACAGAATAAGAGCAAGCCTCGATTGTGGGTGAATGATCTCCGAGCGGAAGACAAAAACGATCAACAACCACTGGATACCATACAGAGAAGTGGTATGGTTCCACAGACGCGGCTTAGTTTGTTTATCCAAAGCCGAGAGTACGAAGCGCACAGCAGCAAGAACAAAAATGTATGACCATGATATCAGTTTGGCGATAGCAGCTGTGGTAGCATTGCGGCTCCAGGCATCAGTGGTAAGAAATGCAATGGAGACGGCTATTTCAGCCAAAAGACCAGTGAGCTCGGCGATTACTAGAAAAAGCTGTCCTCGCGGATGGCTAACTTCAAAGTCGCCATGAGAAATGCGACTGGCAGACTTGTGGAGAATGAGATGGTTGACATCATCTTCTGCGAATTCCTGTTCGTCAAGGCTATCGGGGCCTGCGCTACCATTCGCATTAGCCAAGGAGGCGTAACCAGAGCGCCGCCAATTCGCCAGTCGCGGGTATGTGTTGTATAAAATGATCAAGAGGAGTGAAAGACCACAGAATAGGAGGGGGAAGAGGGTCTGAAGGTAGCTAGAAATTTGCAAAACCATGGGTTGTCAGCCGGATGCCAAAATAAACGGATACGGGGTGCGAGTGGTTGACGGAATCGCATCACGTACTTGCGCTGAAAACAATGGCTCAGGTCATCAATGACCCAAATGGGGCCATTGCACTCTAGCCCCATGTCTAGAGGGAGAGGGACACGAAGCAAGAAGACAAGAAAAAAGAGTCAGCGAGCAAGTTCCTAGGCCAGTGAGCGGTTCTTCATCTGGCGGATGGAATTGCGAGCTCTGCCTTGTCTTGTCTAGCTAGAGGAAGAATGGTGGGAAAATTGCGGCGCATTCCAGCGCCGACGACGTAATGGAAGCTTCCTGCGGCCAGAGCAAGGGATCGCCAGGAGCGTTACGCTGTTGCAGGGATAGGGCACCTTTCAGTGCAGTTGAAGCAATTTTGAGTATTGCCAGGAGGAGAGCGAGGTCGAGGAAGGAATTCTTATTCAGCGCTGGGAAAAGCGGAGTGCTGGAGAAGGTAAGATACGCTATCGTGGCCAATCACCGCTCGGGCTAGTCTCTGTTGGGAGTCCGGCGTTGCGTCCGCCTTAGTAATCAGCGCGCCATCAGTCGCTAACTAGGTAACTAACTAGTCAAACAATCGCCTGCTAACCAAATTAATCAGTTGATAACTTGACCGTTATATTGATTACATTACTATGAGTACTAAATTAAATACTACGAAATTGGTGTCAGTTGCAGCCAATCTCGAGCATACTACAGCAGATAGTGCAGCGCTAGCGTCTCGGAACGGCGACGCGCGCTTCGTGTGCGGTTATTGTGGAGTTGAATTACGCTTTATGCACATATCGTCGCATAACATCGCCGCATCACAAATGGGGCTACAGGTGAACGGGTGTTGAAAAATTTAGTGTTAAAAGTCTAACCCCACTGCCAAGCCTTTTTTGTTAAATTTGCACACACGCTAAGTTATTGAACACCCGTTCACCTGTAACCCGCTCCTTCGCCTTGGCAACGCGAACCATGTGACACTGCCCGCGGCTGCCTGACGCTGCAGGCAGCCGTGCTGCTGACAAAAGGCCTGCTGAGTCACCGACAGACTGACTGTGACTCCGACCTCGTGACCTGCACCCCACGCTAATCCCAGATTGGACAGAGTGGGGCTGCTCCTTATCGCGCCATTTCCGTCATCTGCTCTCTTTCTCTCCGTCGCTCTCTCGCTCTCTAAACCCTCAACGCTCTGCCTGCTACGGCCTCTCCTTCCTCCTTCCTGTCAGCCCTGGAGACACACACACACACGCACGCACGCAGCCCATAACAATGACGGAACGCATTCTGATGAACGAGTTCAAGTCCCTCTCGACGGAGAAATGGGTTCACATCGAGGTAAGCCGTGTTGCGCGGCCTGGCTAGATAAGAAATCCAGCTCATGCATTGTACAGTTGAAAGACGAGGATATTTTTCGCTGGAATGTCGCCCTCGTCGTGTTGAATCCGGACTCCCTCTATTATGGTGGCTACTTCAAGGCTGTCATGGACTTTCCCAAAAACTACCCATATTCGCCCCCAAGTAAGATTCGTCCCAAGGGAGAAAAAAATAAAAATCTTTTACAGGCAAGATAAAGTGAGAAAGGGTTAAACGCTAACTGCATTGTTTCTCTCTATGCAGAATTCCGATTCAACCGGTCCATCTGGCACCCCAACATCTACAATAGCGGCGATCTCTGCATCTCCATTCTCCACTCTCCAGGCGATGATGAACAATCTGGCGAAGTCGCTGCTGAGCGCTGGTCTCCCGCTCAGCGTGTAGAATCCGTCTTAATTTCGATCCTCTCTCTCCTTGATGATGCCGAATGTTCATCTCCCGCCAATGTCGACGCTGGTGTTCAACTGCGCAAAGATCCCCTCGGGTACCGGGACAGAGTTCGCGAGGACGTCGAGCGCTCCAAGAAGGACATTCCGGAAGGGTTTGTCATGCCCACCTTCGAGTCAACTATGTCCAAGCCCGTTTCGGAAAAAGACGATGCCGACTTTTGGGCTGATAGTGATGTGGACGTCTACAGTGATGGTGACGATGATCCATTCGGTGGCAGTGACTCGTCTGATTTTGGTGCCGATGACGACGATATGGAGCTTGACGACGAAGCCGACTCTGCCAGTGATGACGAAACTGAGAAACAAGAGGACAAACAGGTATGAAAGGGAAAAATAAAAGGAAAGAGCGTGACGACCGTTTTCTTAGCGACAGCATCGGCCAAGCATACGCATAACTCCTGGCTACTCCTTTTTCTTTTCAACTTTTCTTCTCTTTTCATTCGCATACTTTCCATCCCAGCATTTACGACTGCATAGCACTGGTGTTTCTTTTTCTTCCTTTCATTTCCGGCACAGCCCGGAATCTTCATCTCAGCACAATACCCCCAACTGGCGCGACGGTTATGATATCAGTTTGTTACATGGGTTGGCTCTTTGGTTCAGAAACAAAGCGATATTCTTCTACATTGTGTTGCTCTAACTTTGCTCTCCTGTTTTATTTGTGACATAGAATACATTTGCTCTTCAGACTTCAATTACAGTATTAGTCCTCCTAGGCAGTTATGACAGAAAAACATAATAGACTAGGTCAAGGTGTCCTGACAATGAACCATAGTACTCCGCGGTATATACTTATCAATTCTACCTACGTACGTATATCGCCTCAAAGATAGATATGGCATATGTTCAGAGGCATTCGAAGTGAAGCAAATAAGAAATCGCATGAAGAAAACTACTTCGAATGAATAGGAATGAGCCTATGAAAAAGAGCAATCCTTCTCATCAAGTAATAAAATAGTATGAATCATACATATATTCTTGTACGTCCACTATGTTCTATGAAACATGTCTGGCCCTTGATTACCAAATGAGAAGAGCAAAAAATAGGAGTGATATTAAGCCGAAAACCAAAGTCCAAGATTAATAGAAAGATAGCAAAAACAAACCTACCAAATGATGGATATTGACCATAAATCTTATGCAGTTGCGGTAGTAGTAGTAGCAGCAGTAGCAGCGTCAGTTTCTAATTGCTCCAGTTTTTCGCTTGGATCTTGCGTTGTCGCGACGGGCAGGGTTGTTGTTGATTGCTCTTTATCTTCTGCTACTTCTGCCGGTTCCTCACTTCCTTTCTTTTGCACAGAAACGGGGATATTTGCGCGTCTGGGTTTGCCCTGATCCGTACCCAAAACCTCAATTCGATCACCGAGGAATCTCATCGGACCCTTGAGGTACTGCGGCTTCCCACCAGCGCTTGTTGGCGGGGATATGATGCCGCCTGCCAGTTCGAGCGCTGCATCGTCTAGATTGGGCAGGTCGCCCCATTGGAAATCGAGAGTCCCTCCGTACTGCGATGGGATGGATGAAGGTTCCATGAATGTTTCCAAGGTGGATTTGACCTCGGAAGAGGACAGGATGAAAATCTTGGACACGGTAACGGGGTCAAACCAGCGTTTAATCCAGTTCCAGACTGTGGGGAAGAATGAAGGAGCTCCGATAATCTTCACGGATCATATTAGTACATACAAATATTTTTAGTATTATCAGGAGTGGGAGAAGAGCGTACGAAAATCCGATCCAACGTCTCGGGATAGTGAGCTGTAGACAAAACGCTTGCGTCTTGCATGTGACTTCTCAAGTTCCAAAACTGCATCAAGCTCACGCCGCTGATATCGACGATGTTATTCGAAGAGACAATTGGGGTTTCGGGATTGGGTCGTGGCAGCGAAGAGCATAACGGATGCACGAATTGAAGCAGGTTCTCGTAGAGTGAGAAGAGACAGAGAAGACGCGCCGGAATGGCCGAGTCCTTGTGCGTTTCAGACGCACCCTTTTCGCTCACTTCGTGCGAGAAGTTGGACACGTTTTTGTTCGTCAGGTGGCGCACTTCAAAGAGATAGACGGGGATACCGCGACGGTCTCGGCGACCTGTCCATTGAGGATACTGTCGAGGGGACATTAGATCGGAGAAATCAAGGGGGAAAAAAAAAAAAAAAAAAAAAAAAACACATACCATCTGCCGCGTCCGCTCGTACGGTTCCAATCGGATATTTTCATACAGATCATCGATTTTATTCTCCTTACGCCAGTCCTCCGTTTCCGTGAATTGTTTGTAAGCGCCTTGAACATCGAACTTGCGTGCACGCAAAAATCGCCTAGTACCCAACAATTAACACACAGCATTCGAAAGGGCAGGATAAAGGAAAACACGGACAAGAGCGTAGCATCACTGTGAGAGGCAGGTTCCCCATCCTCCTTCCCAGGCTTATAATACCCTTTCTCCTCAACCAATGCCTTGAACTCGACCAACTTTTTTTCCTGCTCTGGCGTCAAATGGTTCAAATGTCCGGCCAGCCAGGCGGTGCCCGCGGCCTGGTTGGCAGAAGCGGCGACGTCATTCTCAGCGACAATCTTGCTTAGGTCGCCCTTCGACTCCGAGGAGTCCGTCGGGGGTTGCTCGTCATTGTCGTGCTCCGGCTCTTGCGGTTGTTGGTGTTTTCGAGAGAAGAACCGCATGTTTTTTGTTTTTTTTTCTTTTTCCCTCTGTCGTCCGGTTTCACGCTCCGATCCGGACAGTCTGTCTGATCTTGGTATTATTTCCTGCGTCGGGAAATATCTTTGTTCGCCGAAATACCCAAGGGATCTAGTACTAATATGATATACAAAAGAAACAGAGCATAATAAAGTCCGAGACGAGAAAAGGGGTCAGACTGGGCAAAGGTCTTAAAAGCACAGCTGAAGCGAGCGATAAGACGAGTATGGTTGTCCCCACCGCGGATACCGGGCCAGGAGCCAGCCAATAAGGGATGTCAGAGCCTCATTAAGCATAAATATGCCTGTTTTAATATTTATGCATCACAATCCCGCCTCACCTTTAGAACTACACCATACCCCTGTCTATATAGTATAATGTCTACAACGAGCCATTTTAGGCGTCACTAAGCCACTGCGAGTAAGAATATTCATCCATTTTTTATCTACCCCGTGTCACTCCGGTTCGACATCGTTGTCGTGGTTCTGCTATATACAACGATAATTTTTCCCCCTTCACAATTGTCTACCCTTCAACGATATCCCATCTAATCCTCGGTCAAATCGCCATATTCCCACATACCTCGTCGGTTCTGCTTGGCTTCCTCCTCCACCTTCTTATAGTGAGCCAGCGTGTCAGCAGATGCCCGCTCCCAGGCCTTGAGCTTGCGCGGGACCATCGCTAGGCCTTCGCGAACAATGTCTGCATTAACGCTCTGTCCCAGATTTTGCGAGGATCCTGGGTCGAGTAGTGTGATAAAGAGCGTACCCTCAGGCGATATATAATCAACATTAGCTACCAGCTCGCGGTCAAATGTCTGTTCCCCAATGAACTGAACGGCATCGGCAAGGTATTCGGGAGACACTGGGAACTGTAGCAAAGACAGCGTGGCATCCGCTGCCTGGCCCTTCAGTTTCTGAATTGAAAATTGTTGTGACAGTGGTCGCAGTCGAGACCATGGAATGACCTCGGAATTTCCATAGTCAACATATAAGACTTCCGCAGTCTTTTTCTCTCGATCATTTCTCCTGACTTTAGCGCGGTACCACTCGTTATCTTCCGTGAACCGTGCAGCAACAAAATCGCCGGCCTTGGGTGGTCCAGGAAGTGGCGTATCATTGGCCTTGTTCAGATGGAACGACCGGAATGCATTCATGAGCTCCGTTAGAGCTGAAGTGCCGCCTCCGATCTGTTGAACCTTCAACTTCGCGGTGGTCGGATCAATGTGTGTAACAATGACATCGCGGTAGTCCTTGCGACGCTCAGTGACAGTTTCTCCATTGCCCTCGGCAGTACCGTTACCAGCCACCGCCTCCTCTTGTTCCTCCTCCTCCGCATCTTTACTAGGATCCCAATCATGCCAAAGTCCCTTCCTGGCCTCTTTGGCCTTTTTCTCGGCAGCGAAAAGCTCTGGACCATGGCCAGATTGCTCGGCCGAGTACGCATGAACAGTAGCAAGGCCCTCCTCCACTAGGAGCTTGGCGAAGTTCTCTCTGTTGACATACAACGCACCAATAAAACCCCCAACTTTATCAAGAGTCTCGACGTCGATTTCAACGTCTCGCTGCAGAACCCTCCGGTTGGCAAACTCGTGAGCCTCGTTTCCGAACGGCTCCGATGCATCACCTGGAGTGCGTGCAGACTTGGGAGCTCGGATGCCAGAGAGAACAAATGTCAACTTGGCGTTCTCACGGGGCACGAGCACGACAAATCGAGATGCCGACTTGACAAAGTCGACAACTGCGGGTACTCTCTTCTGTCGCTGTAGGATCGACACTTCCAGTTTCGCCTTCTGGATGTTCTCGGAGTAATCCTGGTATTGTTTGGCTTTTTGAGGCTTGGATGACCACATCCCCTTCTGCTCGCTCTTGGCGGCTTCTTCTGCGGCTAACAGGGCATCGTATTCCGGTGACCTGTCGTCGTCGTCCTGTCGGTGACGAATTACGGAGGCATAACCAGCCTCTACTAAGTAAAGAGCGATGTTGGTATTGCCTTGAATGATTGTGACAACATCGCGTTCTTCATATCCCTCGGTAGCTGGCTTCTTGCCGTCAATGGTGACTTTGGCATGCTTTCCAATAACTTTCTTGCGCAAATATTCCTTGGCTTCTGCCGCAAATGGGGCTTGGGTTGGGTCGGAAGGTTTGGGCTGTCTGATGCTACTAAGACTGACTTTTTTCTCTGCGCCAGCTTTGTTTCTCAAAAATAAGGTATCAGCATTGAGCACGCGTCCCACGATATAGTCGCTATCAGCTGCACCAGCAGGGCCCTTGGAAGCAACATGCCCGGTGAACAATCCAACCTTCTTATCCTTGGCGACCTTTTCGGCTTGGCGGAAGCTTGCCATGTCTGCGCCCAATAAAGTAGAATGATGGTCGAAGCAACGAGCAAGACCGGCCTCCAGTAAATACCTCGCAATGTTACCGTTGGGGTGTAGTACATGTCCAATTAGCTGTCCCTGGGGAGTAGCTCCAAGCAATTGAGCTCTGACCTTCCGCTGCAGCAATCTGGCCTCAACAAACTGCTGGGCTTCAGCTCCCAAGGGCTCGCCAGCCTGCTGTGTTCCGTCCGCACCTACACGAGGGGAAGCAGGTGCACGCACACCGGCCACGGTGATAATGGTCTGCAAATGGCGAGTAGGCGTGAGAAACAGTCGGATCAACAATCTGTCGCCGCCAAACACTCGCTCCACGACCGCGTCCAATTGACGGCCTTTGTATTCCTCCACCAAGGACTTCACATCTGCAACTTCGTAGTCGGTCTCAATGGATCCCTTCTCATCGCCACTCCAAACACCCTTGTTATTAGCTCTAGCCTGGGCTTCGAACGCTCGCAGGCTGTCCAGCAGGACAAGCGAGTCCTCCGATTCGTCCCCACGCTTCCCGGCTTCCTCTCGGACGCGGGCCCATCCTTCCTGAACGACCAGCTCCGGCAGTGAGGCGTCCGTTCCGGGGAGCTTCACGGTTCCGTATTCGCGTTTGATGCCAGTTGGAATGGTGTAGAGGACCTGGAATTGCACCACCTTGCCAACAAGAAGCTCACGAAGGAATTCGCGGGACTGAAAAGCAAAGGGCTAGGTAGAAAAGAAGAAAAAAAAATATGTTAGCTTCTGTAAACTCATATGAACATAAATAGTTCCTCCTCCATCAACCAATCTCATGTTGTTTCTTTTGACCAACACACACAGAAAGCGGGGAAGTGGCAAAAAGGCCACATGTCGAAAACGGCGCCAACACTCAACTGCTTGGATCCATACCAAACAAAAGAGAGCTAAAAGAGCAAGAAGCCCAGAAAAGGGGGGAACCATAAACAGCTTCATACCTCATCTCCTTCCCTCCGCAGACGGGGAGCAGACACATATGCCAAGCTCAATGTGCGCTCCTGTCCTCTGTTGGTGACATGTGACAGGACGAGCGTGTCGCCTGACAGGACAGACTTGACGCGAGCTTCGAACGGCATGGCGAAGGAAAAAAATAAAAATGAAAACGAAAGACCAAAAGAATTGAATGGTGAGAAAAGGGGTGGGATCTGGGAAGGAAAGGGGAAGGGGGAGAGAGGAGGAGGATCCGCCAGCCTATTATCATCAATCGAAAATGCGGAGAGCGCTAGTGAAGCTACCGAAGTGCTGCTGCCACGCAACGACGAGCAGAACACATTGGCGGAAGCTCTATTTCCACACAAGAGGGCCAGGCGCTCCGTTCTATGCCAAAAGCCATTTACGGCATTTAATACATCCTACGCTACTCTTATAGGGAAGCGGGGAGTATGTGTATATTTTGTGAGGTGTGTGCCCCTAGTAGGTGTGTTTACTGGGCATTTCTACAGAACTCTGAACGACGCCGAAGTGAGCAGCAACAACGTATTGTATTGATTCAATCTGTATCATTTCAGAATGACGTCGTAACTAAATCGGGCAATCTGGCTAATCTATCTAAGCAGAGATACCAATGACACCTACAACAGAGCGTTCGTTAGCCACCGGAATCAGCCAAACAATGCAAGGCCAGCTAAACTTACCACAAGCTGGACGGGGGCCAGCGTTACCGGTCTTCTTAGACTCCTCGTTGCCACCCTTACCAAGGTCATCGGTACCGGCATGGACGACAATAGTGCGCTGCAACATTCGATTCGTCAGTTTTCAGACACTAAGTCACATCAATTTAGATAAAACACAAAGCGCATTCACATACACCAAGAACACTCTCAGCACCAATCAACTTGATGAGCTTGTCCTCGACAGAGCCAACGGCATTGCCCTGAGCATCGGTCTTGAAGTTGCCCAAGTCACCAACATGGCGATCTTCGTCAGTAGGAGCACCGTGGGTCTTTCCGAAGGGGTTGACTAGAGAGGAGGAAATCCGCGTCAGTCTCATGCGCATATGATTGGTCGTCGCGAGAGTTCTACATACAATGAGGACCGGCAGATGTGCAGCCGTTGGTGTTGTCACCAAACTGGTGGACGTGGATACCACGCTCAGCGTTGGGGTCGTGGCCAGTGATGTTCCATGAGACGGTGGTAGGGGAGCTCTCGCTGGCCTGCTCAAAGGTGACAGTGCCCTTGATGTTGGAGTCTCCACGGAGAACAGCGACTAGAACAGGGGCTGATTAGTCCAACGTCGTCGAGTGATCGAGCCATGACCCAAGGAAAAAGTGGGCGGATTCTCGCAAGGTGCTCAAATTTGCTCACGGTTCCCAATGGCGGAGAAGGAATCCGCATGGCAAACACAAACAAGGGGCCAATGAAAGACAAAGGGACTTACCAGCCTTGACCATTGTGGCTAGATTTCAAAAAGACAACAGATCTTCTGAAGATGTTGAGTGGGGATTGAGGATGGATTGACTGATAGAAGGCAGGAGAGGAGGACGAGGGAATAAGAGATGTGGAAGTCTGAAGAACGATGAGGGGAACAGCAACCCCCCACTTCCTGTTGTTTCCGGACTGTACATACATCCCCCCCCCCGTATTGACATCCACGCCGTTTCTCGGCGAGATGGCTCGTCGAACAACCTTGGGATTCACACGAGCTGGCATTGATGCTCTGCGCATCTACTTCGACATCTGCCATGTCCATCCCGACCAGCAACGACACCGCCGCAGCGAGAGGTTGCGTGTAATGGCCATACACCTCAAATACGAGCCCCTCCTTGCGAGCTATGCCGATGTGCCGTCATTCTGACACCATCGCCGCTTGTTTGCGTATCAGTACGGTAACGCGTGTAATCTAACGGCTATGTGATCACGTGCCCCTCAGCTAGGCAGTGCTTATGTAATAGTGATTCCTAGTCATGTGACGTAGCATCACTTTGGCTTCTCTTGTGTCATTTTATCTCACGCCCGCCTGTTCTCTGCGCCAAAAGATTCGCTCTCTCACTTTCATCGCCCACTTTTGTCAACCGCTTGAAATGGAGGACGGTGGAAAACTGAAGAATTGAGAAAAATCTAGAGCTGCTATTGACGGAAGTCTTGGTTATGACATATATATTAAGAACTATAGTCTAACTGTATCGATGATCCTGATAGGACAAAAGCGCTCCCGTTGGCGACGATGTCCGGCTCAGCAGATTCCTTGGACATATTCTTCTGCGGCGCAAAAGAGAATCCCCGCAGAAATCTGTCCTTAGTGGTGAAAGGATGGCCACGCAACATAGTTACCAGGTTGCCTATGTCCGTTCATCTATTGGACAGAAGGGTCCCAGAAACCGGACAGCAAAGAACCTTCTGGCCGCGCTGGGGCTGGACAATCCCCAGTGCGGAAGCGAGCGAACCTCCTTTTGTATTCTTCTATGGAACGATGGACCCCAGTAATAAAGTTGTAGGAGACCATCAAGATATCCCACTTGTCAATCATGCCATACTATTTTGCAGCTTGCTGGGCAAACTACTAGAGAGAAACTTCCAGGCTCGTCTTTCGCCATATCCATCACCATGATTTCCAGTATCGTCTTTCCAACGCCTCCATGGAACCTGCTCTGACAAAGTAGTGCAGCTCCCTTTAGCTCACAAGGTGCATAAGATCAGAGGAGAATTGATAGACGGAGCATGCGACGATGGTTCCCCTGCACAGGCGATACTGTTGTGGGCTTCAAGATGAGGACAGATGTCAGAACAACGAGAAGTAGAAATATTGGAGAGTGGAGACAAAAGAAAGTTGAATGCAGCGGTGACCAAGGTTGGAGAAGAGGGGAGTTCCGGGCGTACCGGTACTCTTTTCAGAAGGTACGGTGAAGTAAAATGACAGCCTCCTGTTGTCGACACCCGTTCAACAAGTGTGCGTGAGGTCGTGACAAATTACGACGAGTTAGAACCTGCGCACTAGACAAATCATGTATACCTAGGTATTCTAAGGCACTATATCTTTCATAGTTTGTATCCTTGATGCTACTATTACTGGAATCTGAGCCTACTTCGGTAGGGTGGTATAAATGTTTTATATGCTTTGCATCATTCATCAAAGCTGGCTGAACAAAAGAAGATAAAAAACAATCATAGCATTACTAAACCCGATCTAGCACGATTGTCTTCTGCCTCGCCAGATACTCCGGGCTAAATGGGTAATCCACGTAGCCCTCAGCTGCAACGCTAGTATAGAAAGTCCTGCGGTTGTGGGGAGTAATGTCCAGACCTTCCTTGAACCTATATACCAGATCTGGGTTCGCAATAAAGTATCTCCCGAACACGACCACAATGTCCTTGTCTGGATACTCTTCATCCACGAGTTGCTGTGCAGTCGCTAGCTTATATCCCCCCGCAACAAGAAGAGGTCCATTCCAGAGCTCGTAAGCGAAATCTAGCCGCTCGCTGCCTTCCTGATCCTCGCCGCCAGCCACCCGCGACTCGACCAAGTGCAGGTATGCTAGATTTAACTGGCTAGCTTTGTTGATGACGTCTGTGAATTGCGGGATTGGGTTCTCCATTTTCATGCCCTGGAACAGACTCCACGGGCTGAGACGAAGTCCAACACGCTCTGGGCCGATAGCGTCAACGACGGCCTTCATGATTTCATTGATAAAACGCGACCGGTTTTCAACACTCCCACCGTACTCGTCATCGCGTGTGTTGCTAACGTCTTGAATGAACTGGTCCGCGAGGTAGCCGTTTGCGCCGTGACACTCGACACCGTCGAATCCTGCGCTAATTGCATTCTTCGAGGCGGTAGCAAAGTCTTGAACCGTTTGCTTGATCTCTTCAATTGACATGGGCCGTGGTATCGGGGCGTCATCTTTGATTGGAATGGCGCTTGGTCCGACGATGGTGACCCCCTCTTTTTTAGCTAGTTCAGCGTCTGCAGCACGGCCAATTGCAAATATCTGACAGTATATGAAGCAGCCTTTGCGGTGGACCTCATCGGTGATTGTTCTCCACGCAGCGATCTGGTCTTTGCTCCAAATCCCAGGTGCATTAGGAAACCCGCCGCAGGCTGCCGGCGATATCAAGGTGCCCTCGGTAATAATCAAGGTGCCCGGCACGGAGGCTCGCTGGCCGTAGTATTCTTTCATCAAAGGCACTGGCACCCGGTCTTCAGTGGCCCGGAGGCGAGTGAGAGGAGCCATGCTGACACGATGCTTCACTTCCATGTTGCCTATCTTCAAGGGCTTGAAAAGGCGTGATTCAGCCATGGCAAAAAATTGTAAATGCAATGTTATCCGATGAAATGCTTGCTATTTGCTGTCTGCCTATAGCTTGGATATCTGACAGGAATGTCCATTTTATATTCTTTGACCTCGTAGTTCGATGACAAATTCGCTGGCTGCTGGATAGACCAGCTTACCAATTGTTTGTAAAGCATATGATGAAGGTTCTTCCTATCAAGGAACTGAGATGTTTCCAATTGAAAAGAAGAAACCAAAAAAAGTTGAACGTTCTTTCCATTTTGGGCACAAAGATATGTCCGAATAAGGCAAGAAGATTTTTCCAATTCGGGAAAGAAGTTTCTTCCATAAAGAGCACTAGTGCCTTCAGCGCTAGACCAAAGACAGTAATTTCTTCGATTATTAAGCAAAAGGCTCCACTCACGTTTTGTTAGTCACCTAGATACATCTCACTGCGATCTAACAGATAGAACAATTTCGTTAATTGGACTACTTTAAAGATACTCCCGCATTTACCCAGTCACCAAGCAGGCTTGCGCAATGGCGGCAGCAAGTTATAGTTCCTCGAGCGAACCTGTTGCTGGTAGGTGACGCAGCAGATTCAGGGCAGTCGCTTATGGTCGCCACTAATGCTTACTTATCAGCTGCACGTTTTCAGTTCATCTCGGTCCGCGACTCGAAGGATCGGATTACGAGGCGTCTAGCTCGCTCGCATGCTGTAAAGCAAGCACTCGAGAACAAAAGAAAGCTTCAGCAAGAGTCAAGGGACAACTTCCGCGTAACGACTTCGAAAGATAGACCTAGAAATTTGATGACCAAGAAAAGAACATGTACTAGCTCTCCAACCGCGTCGCTTCTGTCCCCCCTGTCTGCAGGCACGCTCGATCCGTTCCAGACGCTTGCGGTGGATTCGTCGAGATTGCAGACACTGCTTGGCAACTGTAAGTTTCCCATGCTCGCCGAAAGCTGCCTCAAGGCGGGCTTACAATAAATGGTTTAGACAAAGCTAGGCAGGCTCCGGAGCCAGTCTTTAGTGTTGAGGAAGAGCTTGCATTTCAGAACTTTCGCTCAGTTTTCCGAACTGGTTTAGTTGATCCCGCTCTTCAAAACGCCGTTATGCTCTCCTTTGCATTCGCGGTAACTGGGGGCAGCATTGACCGAGAATGTCTCGGGTACCAGGGTCAGGCAATCAGCTATATTCGTGAAAAGATGAGTTCCTTGGACGAAGCTACTTCAGAATCAACGTTTGGGGCTATTTTACTGCTAGCTGGGGTGGAGGTCCGCAATTTTCCTCTAGTACCTTAAAGCTGCGTTAAACTAACAATTTACTATCTAGGCTCGCCTTGGGATGACCTCCCAGGTTCAACTTCACATGGGGGCAGTGCGGCAGCTGCTTGACATCTGTCGCACAAAAGGCGTTTATCTCACGGGCGGAATCAAACGGGCTATATTTTGGTAAGGAACGGCGCAATGTTTATGATGTTGTGACTTACTCTTACACTGGTCGACAGGCAAGATCTGAATTCGTCGATTTTGGCAGGATGTACTCGCATAGTTGATCACACAACCTTCGCCGAGCTTCAATGGACAAGAGATCCATTCTCCCCACACTTCTTTCGGCTGCCACCAGGATTCCAGACACAGGCCCATCTACTCAGCAAAGAATTTGTTGAAGTACTTGAAGATGTACATGCATTGAAATGCATTCGAGACATTCCCCATACCACAAAAAGCGATGTGTCGCTAATGGCACATATCAATAACCACACGGCATCTATCCAATCCCGGCTCGTGTGCTTGACGAATCTTTCTCCCCTCCTAGAATGTTGCAAGCTTGCGGCATATGTGTGCTCAGTTATGCTATGCTGCAAGGTTTGGTGTGCTTTGGTGATTCCAGTAATTGCATTCCTTGCTAGTCTAGCTTATGAGTGTGCTAACTCTGATTCGACAGTCCCATGTTTCCTCAAAATTACTCCGCGAGCTACAACGGGCGAGCAACGATCCCGTATGGGACGACCATCACGACCTACTACTTTGGCTTCTATACATCGGCGGAGCATTTGCACCGATAGGAGTTGTACGCTCAGGCTACGTTGCATTGCTGCGTGCGAATAACGCTACGAGGTTCAAAGACCTGTACAGCTCATGGTCAGAACTGGTCGAAATCTTGAAGCAATTCATCTGGTCCGAAGACGCATTCAAGTCGCAGGTCAAGGCTCTCTGGGAAGAAACTTCAAGCTAAAGTGGTTCGTTATATACATTTATGCGGATACCTAAACAGCCCTCGTTTGGAGCTTTCCGGACGTTCAACTACAGTAATGGGCCAACAATGAACCCTGGCAATGCAACTTGGATGTATAAAACATGAAAGGCACCATTTGGGATTTGCAGTATTGCTTCATTGCTTCGCATCTGAGCGACGCTGACGGCGATGTTTGACCAAATCAGGACACACACCCTTTGAAAGCATCCTGGTAAACTTCCCACACATGACAGATTCAAACTTGGACAAAGCAAAGTTCGCTTTTCTTTTCAGAGAACAAGCCGAGAACTATTTGATTCCACGGAAGGTATAGCCCGAAAGCATTGCCGACTTCGAGTAAAATAGCATGTGATTGGTAGATTTTAGCATCCTTAAAGTCACACGAGGCTTTTGCTCGTCGATTTCAAGGCGGATGGATCATTTGGATATCCAAATGGCTTCATTAGCTGTACGAGACCGCCCCCAAACCGTCGTCCAATAGGGGGAGATGCACATCCAGGCGGACTTGACTGAACACGGTCTATATTTACTTACTCTCGAGCGAAGATGTTGTTGGGGGAGCTTTTTTTTTCTCTCTCTCTTTGCATTTCCTCGGAAAAGGCACTCCGGAGTCCGTGACTAAGTTGCTTTCTTAGTAGATTTGTCATTGGATTTGATCATTGACGTGGGTTGGTTGTACATACGATACAATACGCGACATAGCGGTAAGATGGAGTAAGAAAACAAACCAAACCAAAACTGCTATGGGCCGAGATTGCACCGGTGATTCTTGACATTGTATTTACATGTAGGGGTATTGATTTCATGATCAATCAATAATAAAATCCTCACGAGTATAAATTTAGTATGGATAATTACTGTAACCAATTTATATGACTTTTTGAGTTTATTTCGTATTAGCTAACATATCTAGTATTTTATCTGTCATGTGCAACTCGGGAATTTTTCATTTTGATGTAACATGTCTCAATTCACATTATGGTCATTCTGGCTAACTGAATTGAAAGAACAGAAAAAAGAATTTGGCAATGAAAGAACTTTCTTAAGCCTGAATCTTGGCCTTGAGAAGATCTTTCAAGGTGACAGCATCAGCAGCAAACTTGGAGATACCTTCACGGAGCTTTTCGACGGCCATGGCCTCCTCGTTGAAGTCAAAACGGAAAAGGGCCTCATTGTTGAGGTACTCGCGCTTAGGGATTTCGAGGGAAGAAGCTCCAGAGGGGTCAAGCTTCTTGGGGACTGGGGCAGTCGAGTTCAAGAGGTCCTCGAGAAGGTTGGGCTAGATTAGAGTTTTCATTAGCCGCCGAGCACAAAATAGAAAACCCTTCAAAGTAACTTACGGAAATGGTCAAGTAGTCACATCCAGCAAGCTCTGTAATTTCACCGGTGTTACGGAAAGATGCACCCATGACAATGGTCTTGTAGCCGTGCTTCTTGTAGTAGTTGTAGATGTTCTGGACGGACTTGACACCGGGGTCCTCCTCGGCGGTGTAGTCGCGCTTGTGGGCAGCCTTGTACCAGTCAAGGATACGGCCAACGAAAGGAGAGATGAGGAAGGCACCAGCCTCAGCAGCAGCAATGGCCTGGACAGTGGAGAACATGAGTGTCAAGTTGCAGTTAATTCCGTGCTGCGATTGCAGGATGTGTGCAGCCTGGATACCCTCCCAGGTCGAGGCAATCTTGATGAGAATGCGGTCCTTGGAGATGCCAATGGACTTGTAGAGCTATATCCGTTTTACTGATTAGTATCATCCGATTTGATCGTGTATGGTTGAGGGAGAAATCAGGCAACCCGGATACCCACCTGAATGATATGGAGGGCCTTGTCAACAGAGGCCTTGGTGTCGAAGGAGAAGCGAGCGTCGACTTCGGTGGAAACCTTGCCAGGAATGATGCTGAGGATCTCCTTGCCGAATTCAACGAGGAGACGGTCGAGGGTAGCATCGACCTTCTCGTCGAGAGTTTTGCCCTATAAAATATATGAGCATATGGGCTTCGGCCTCGCACAACAATTTTTAGTAAAAGAAAACCATACATGTTCCTTGCCGTAGGCGATGGCAACGTCAATGAGCTTGGCGTACTCGGGCTTCTTGGAAGCCGCGAGAATCAGGGAAGGGTTGGTGGTGGCATCCTGTGGCTTGTACTTGCCGATGGCTGCGAACGAGCAGCGTTAGTATCAGATCCTGAGACCCTAGAACTGGTTGGGGAGCGGATGGACGTACTGGCAAAGTCACCAGAATCGCACACGACGACCTGAACGAAGACAAGGTTAGCTCCTTATTTCCAACAGCGAGAGAGACGCAAGTCGTGGGAGAGTGGGAGGGGCATACGGTGCCAGTGGCCTTCAATTGATCCAAAGAAGAAGCCATCGTGGAAGAAGTGGATGATGGAATGGTGAAGACTGCGTATCTACAGAGGGAAGGAGGAGGATAAAATACTGCGTGAAGACACAGACGATGGTCGATGAGTGGCGAGGATAGAGGATGGAGGGGTGTTTTGACCAGTCCGGGAAGCTCGGTGGGAAGAACGTGGGGCAGGTATGACGCTGTTGCTACCGCCTGGGGGGAACACCGGCCTAGCCCACCGTGCATTGGTAATGGCTGTGTATGGCTGGTACGCCGTGCCGTAACTTATGTATTTTACTGCGCTCTTTTTTGCCTGCGGTTAATTAGAAATGGGGTAAATTACGTGCGCGGGTTTATACGGAATCGTATGTATATCGGCGTAGAGTGCTCCGATGAAGGGACCATATTCGCATTCACCGGGGAGCCTGCCCCTCGTCAATTTGGGATGAGCATCTATAGGCGGTTATTATATCAAGTATACCCACGCTCCCACCTGGCATCGTGATGTGTATGTCTGTAGTCGGAGGTGGCGATAAAAACCAGCTGTGCCGCCGCACCAGTGCTCCATGGGTGGATGCAGCAAAGAACGCCGGAAAGGATTGGAAGCAGTGCTTTTTATATATACGTATACTGAACAGAAAGTAAAAGCACAAAGAGACTCGTCATGGATGTGCTAATCGGGTTATATCATTCATGATCGACGTTGGATGCAATCCCATTCGTACTTTCGTATCTGTTAGTGAAAGAGCCCATGCATTCATTTCACGGGAGATAAATCCTTACAACGCGCCCGGTGTCATCGCCGGTGTATACACTGTGTGGGAGCGGAAGGATGCAGCTGATCCCCGCAGAGACGTTGACGCCGGTGTCTTTATTATGATCAACATGATGAAGTTGACGGATTAGATCCAGGTCAAACCGTCCATTTCGGATAACTTTGCTCCAAACCTAGATCCATCTGTTAGATGCAGATGTAAATTTATACCATGTGTAGCAAATAAACCCACATTGACGACACCTCTCTGGTGGCCTGTAAAGAGAAGCTCCCTCTCGAGCCATTCGTTGCTCTCTCCTTCGTAGAATGCACACGATATAATGTGGTCATCATCTGTCTCGCATATCACTTGATCAATAAGAAGAGAACCGTTCAGTGAATACAGGGAGATGCGACCCCCTCGGCATATCATGATGGTTCCAGTCCTATCGTTGATTCGAGCACACTAGCAATTGTTAGCTCAGACATCAAGGACAATAGTAGCATATCAATTGCATACCTCCACTGGTCCCTCAGCGCGAAGTTCTCGCACGAAACAACGTCGATTGAGATCCCACAGCATAATCTGTCCGTCCGAAGATGCTGATAGCAGTGTACTGAATGACCGGGACGGTGCCAAAACAGATATCGTAGTTCGATGACCGTAAAGGCATGCTAGAGGCTGTAGCTCCATCATCTTGCCATTGGAACCGAACGACCATATGGAAATAGTGCAGTCGCTGCCGGCTGTGATCAGAGTCTGCGAATCTGCGAAAAGAACGCACGACAGTTGTCCAACATGGAGGTGTTCGAAGTGGCCAAGGATCTTTCGCATGATTTGTAAGCTTCAGAACCGTTACTTAACTTCAATTAAGATACATACCTTTCTACTGTCGGCTGCATAGAACCTGACACTGCCATCTGAAAAGCCCCACTCCAGGTATTTGTCGTAACTTGGAGGTACATTTAGCCGGAAAGCAGGTGTGCACAATAGACGTTCATTTTTCATGGACATAGATGAGACTCGCTCGTGAATATCTGTCAAACCAATCACTAGTTAAGAGTATGTCCGAATCTCTCATCTTGGGTTTTAAGTCTCCTTACCTAGTAAAGAGAGAGGAACCCTAGTCAATGACTCAGCCAAAGTATCGAGGCAGCCCTCTTTGCGACTTGGGTCATCACGACGAGCATGAGCTCGTTGGAAAACCTGATGTGGTGTCTGTCCAAAGTTATGAATAATGCCGATAGTAGCCAACCGCTCGACGGGGTCCTCGATGTTGTCCAGGTCTCTCGCGCCTTGGTATGAAAGATGGTGAAAGACGTTTGCCGCCTCAATCGCCGCCTCGCCTTTCTGCTTGAATCCAAAAACAAGGTCAATCCATTCATGAAGATGTTCGGTTACGTATGGGCTCTCCAGGGCTTCACGATGTTTTGCGATAAATATTTTTGGATCACCTTTAGCCCATGGCGGTAATTCCACGGAGTCGATAGCTTTGGTCATGTTTTGTCGTAGTCCAAAATCATAATTGTTTGAATTCACAAGAAATTCCGGGAGATAGAAGAATTCCGGAATGAGCTCGCGGACATCCGATAAATTGCCTCGAGAAGCGGATTCCCATGCTTTGCCCACAGAGTAAAACAGACGATCTGCGTGGTCAAAGGTGCCACCCTGCAGGAGTAGATATGATTTGACAAAAGGCTGTAGCCGAATGAGATACGAGCTGACTATCATGGCAGAAGAGTAGTGAGTTCCATAATGAAATGCAGGGGCATTTTCATCACCCATTTCTGCAAAAGATTTGTATCGCTCACGAAATTCCGCTTCTCTTTCAGGATTCTGACAACCCATTGGTTTCGACAAATCACGAAAGCTCTTGTGATCGTCTAGATCCAACTCCTCGCTCGTATAATCTGCAAGGACCCACGGAAAGACGGGATACTGAGTGAGATCATTAAACGTTCGACCAGCCAGGGTATTGATGAGCATCAGATAGTGGAAATTTGACATCTCCCCTTTGATCCACTTGCGAGTTGCTGGATTCAAAGACGGCTGCCCAAAGACGCTCGCGAATTTCGACCCTAGAGATTGGGGCGCATCATCTTGTACCCTCAGCATCTCGAATCTCCAGATATCTTCGGGGCGTGTAACATTCATATTTCCACCGAATTGTGGAGCATGCGCGCAAAGTTGATTATGCAGCTCATCTCGAGCTCGGGATGAAATTAATGTCAGAAGATAGCTACGACCGTCTGTGAAAAACATTTCAAGGGCAACGTCGCGGAAAAGGAACCGCCGTTTCGAAACGCTGATAAGATCTGGCCATTTCCAGTTCCTCACTTCGTGTTCGCGGAATTTTTGTTCACTGGATTCGCGTCCCGCAATCATGCGTACAAACGGATCCCTTTCCTCAGGAGGAGCCTGCCAGACATTGACAATCTCCCCATCGGCGCGTTGAAAATAGTTGTCTAGAATATAGACAGCATTTTTACCAATAATCAAAAGACCTTCGCACGCCTCCAACCCGATAATGCGAGACATATTGCAGACACTTTGGACTTGATCCCCCCGTTGGAGACTCCGCATCACTTTCCTATTTTTGTCTTCATATTCATCAATATCTATTCTGGGATCATCGATCATCTCAAAGCTGTCCTCAAGGGCAGACTTGTCTTCGCCGTCGGCTGCCACCGCTCCTGTATCCGCGGATTCTTCTGCGAAACCTGCCGCGGTGGGGGTATTATGGAGTGCCTCTGAAGAGGATGCTGGTTGCAATTGAGTATTAAGTCTCATGACTGGTGGCTCTGAGGCTTTCCGCTTCGGTTGATAGTCTTGTCTCTCATCCGAATCATCAGGGATAACACGAAGCCTCATTCGGCTGCGCCCTTCAGTTTGGTCAAGTCGCCACCGTTTTTTCCCTTCCTTCTCCAACACACCTCCGAAACGATACAAGTCTTCAGAAAGCCGAGAAAAGGAAGACCACATAAATGAGTAATTGTCATGTTGATCTTGCAAAAGTCTCTGATGCTTCAAAAACTCCGAGGCAAATATGTTCGAAGTCCAGTGGTCAAAGGTTGTACTATGTTTGCGAAGTATCTCCTCCGCTGCATGCTCCTCTTGTCCCCATTGCTTCAGTCTGTCTTTCCGCTTAGCTAGTCGAGAGCGACTCGATTCTTGAGTCCTGTCATTTTCTTCTTGTACGAAATTATCCCAGAATTTAGACAAACTTCGGAAGAAGAACGAATCTAAATCCTCACGCTGGTCATCAATCCAACTCAAGAAAGCTGCGTCATCCATTCCGACCAATTCTTCAAATCCGTTCGTCAACCGATGCTGGAGTGATAGCGGGGCATGACTTAGTATAGATGCCATCTCGGATGGCCTTTGAACCAGAATTATTCGCCAGAGCGTGGCAGCAGCTAAGCGAATTTCGTGTTTTTCAGAGACCGACTTTATGTAAAGTTGGTAAAAAAATAGTTTCAAGTATTCGGCCTCTGACTCTCCTGCAGCCAAGATAATTGTCTGCCAATACCTGAGGCGGTTTAGAAAAGCCAGCGAATCACTATCGTCTTGTTTTGATAATTCGAACAAAATAACTTTAAAAAGCACCGAGCGAACGGTAGTGATGGCTTGGTTGCAAAGGCGAATGATTTTCAATGATGCTATCTCAGGGCGGGAAAGATATTCGAGGACAAACCCCGCTAGATCAAGGGTTTGGTCACTGCCATTTAGGAACCAACCTTCAAACAAAGATTCTCCCACATGGGTCAGAAATCGTGCAAGGCTTGTCAAAACTCGGGGCTCTTGAAGTAAGTTTTCATTTGCTGAGAAGGTTGACCGCAATTCTGTGAGGGTGCCTCGGAGAAGCCAGGATACAAAGTAGGCCTGGGGCTCTAGATTACTTGGAGGCGTTTTCAAAAAAAGGCCAAGACCAGTAAAATCTTTCCGGTATATGATCTGCGAAGCAAAGACTTTAAATATGATAGCTCGTACTTCCAGGACTAAATCGTTGTTTTCATAAGAGGCGTCTCTATCAATGCGTGGTGTAGAGGTTCGGTATAGCTGTGCCGATGAAGGTGCATATTGGGGTCTGTCTGAGGATATGAGAACAAAGGAGGAGGATCTTCGTAAGGACCCATGAGTCTCCAATGCCAAGTCCGATGGCGCGACTCTTGAAGTACGAAGAACAGGCGCAGGTGTAACGGAATGCTGTATCTTTGCATAATTGGGTTCAGAGCTGGGGCCATCTTCTCGATAGTGTAGCTCAACCTCGGCATTGACTGTCCGTGAGCCTGTCATAGGAAACAAAACAAATAGCAGTTTTTGAGTATACGTTGAAGTTGCGGCGAAGTCCCTGAAGCCTGGAGATTTTGAATGAACATCAGAAAGAAAAGTGATGGCATTCGATAACACGGCCCGGTCTTTTGCCGACGCATTATTGAATATCGAATCCTCCAAGCCAGTCCTTAGCATGTCTGCTATAACTGGAAGTACTTCGGAGAAAACAACATCGAGGCGTCGCTTATGAATAAGCATATCCAAGAGCGATGAAAGGTCGGTCAAAGTATCAATGTCGACTTCCGCAGTGTCAAGCCCAAAAAGGATCGCAAGGCAAATGGGCCACAGGGCAAAAACATTCCACCATCGTTTGAGCCGATTTTTCATAATAATATAGCCACCAGTCTTCTGCGCAAGCTTCTTGCTATAGCTTCCGCCGTGGACAATAATCAACCTTGCGAGAATTTTAGTTGCCATTACTACTGCTTCCGGTGCATCTTCACACATCAGATAAAGAAGCCACTTCGATGATATGTTAGTGTAATTTTGCGATTAACAGAACTTTTTGGGTCATTACCTTATTTGTTACGGCCCTTGCAAATCTTTTGATATTGGTAAAATCGTCGGGTGCACAGAGAAAGTCCGTGTACATGCGAAGAAGTTCCAAGCCAATTTGTCTTTTTGGCATGCCTTTCTTCAAGTTTGGATCCGAAGCGGACGATACTTGACGAGCACGGGAATTAAAGCGCATACTTTTCTTCGTTTGAAGCTTTGGAATTTTCTCGTCGTGAAGGGCGAATGTGATGAAAAGAGACAACGACCGCAACAACTCTGCCGATACGCAACTTTCGAACAAAGAGCGAAATGCGGGAATGAATAGACTCAATGTCTCCTCAGTGAATTCTTCGCCTTTCAAAGCATCTAGAAATCTTTTGTTCACACCTAGGAAATATTGTAAATTTTTGGGTTTTGCAAAGGGTTAGGAAGGATTACTCACGCATGCGGGATAATCTTCTGGCATTGAACCGACGGTGCTGGCTTTCCGTAGAAAACGTGCTAAATTGAGAGTAATACATTTGAAGCAACGAGGGTTCTCCATAGCGCCATATATCAAGGTCCACAAGGAGAACACGGTATGCCAAAGGATTTGTGATGATGGATTTGGTTGGCTCATCAAAATTGTAGCCGATAAAAGATAGAATATGCCTTAATAGTTCAATTGCTAGCGAGGAACGCTCTCTATTGTCCGAGCACACTGTTGACGTTTTTGATCCGCCAGGCTGGGCAGTCTGAGGAAATCCCAGCTTCTCTCGAAGTAGCAACGCAAGAATACCATAACCGTTGTCTCTTTCCATTGCCTCACTGTTTCTCCAGTTGCTTTGTATGGCTTCAAAAAGTATTTGGACTGCAAGGATTGTATTTTCTGGGCATGTAGCAGCATGCAGCATATTTAAATGCACGGCTACGCAACCTCCAATTCGCCAACTTGCATCATCAAGGGACTGCGGCACGGAGACGACGGGCTCGCCAGCTAGTATAGCCATGCCGTGTGAATGGGTTAAAGCATCATTTATTGCTGGAATAGCCCCGTTTATGGCAATGGCGTTTCCACCCGTGTTAATCATCCCATGGAGGTTCTTCGCTGCCTGTCTCGACAAGAATTTTATAAGTTGTGACTCGTTGACATAATTACTGTCATCGTCATCTAGTACCGTGGTGGGTGATATATTCATTAGGAAAGATGATTCGTGGACGAGAATGCTAGCCCTTTGGCGAATCGCAGTTACAATGTCTGAGTTTTCTTCCTTTCCGGGATGAAGGCTTTCGTTTCGCAGGTTTAGCGCTGCAGAGGCTTTGTAAGTCTGAAAAGAACCTAAGCAATCTTGATAGTTACCATGATATCTTGGTCCGAGATGATAAAAAACCGAAATCAAGTCATCGCTAAACGTTTCCTCGGAGAGAATTGCATTAGCGACAGACCATTTTGTTGCGCAAACCCCTTTACCAATCCTAATGGCCAAATCCTGGGGTGTCCCAAGAAACGCCTGGACTCGTGGGTGCTTATTGGGGGGTCGCGCTACGGGCACCGTTGGATAATCGATTCTCAATTGCTCGATAAACTCCCCATCTACGAAAAGCGAGGCCCGAGAAGGAGTCGCCGCGCGAGCCCGTCGATGAATCACACATATGTGGTACCACTGGCCCTGCTTAAAAGCAATGGATTTGAAGCGAACACTGGGTCGTGATCCATTAATGGACGTTTGCAGTATAAAATGGCGTGTATCCTTTTCTAGATACGCGAGTACGAAGCAAGTCTGTTTAGCATCGAATGCACCGAATATTGTGGTGTGTGAGTTTGGGTCAAACTGATCGAAATGGGCCCATATTGATATCGTATACCCAGAAGAAGATAGAGGTGGAAATGGCCGGCCTAGGGTCGAGAGCTCAATTGAAGAATAGCCATGGGGAACCATATCAAACTGGATACAAGGTGGTTCTTTGGAAGATTGCATGGCACGGAGGAGAAACTTAGAAGCCTCGATAGAGACACATGATTGCCTATAGAGGTATATAACATCATCGAGACTCGTTATGCCCTCAGTGCAGAGAAGGTCGCCTAATTCTTGATACAATGCTTTCTCCTGTGCAGAGAACCTACCATCAAAAATGGACCGTAGCACTGACGACAGAATACCCGTCGCGTGAAGAGCAATTATATTTCTCCGTGAGTTTGTGGCCAGCTTGCAGAAACATGCTGGAATGGCTAGTCTCTGGATAGGATATTGAATCGAACGTGCTGACTGGAGAAACCATGTCCGTAAAAATGGGCCAATGAACTCATGCAACTCAACGGTTTCTGTCGAGTTGAGCAGCCTATCAACGCCAAGGCGGATGCTTGAAGGGGCTGGTGCGAGTTGATCCGATGCATACTTTGTTCTCAAGACAGTGAAAATTTCTGTGACGGTTTCTTGACAGAGGGCAGCAGCTAGAAGTGCCCCGTATATCTGTTCAACATCGCTGTCAGGGATTTCTTCCTCCTTCGGCTTTTCCACGAACAGCTTCAGTGACTCCTCGATAGACCAACGCTCCTCACACCCAATCCTCTTTGCAAAATACCGCCTATTGCCAGAATGATCCCGCAAACACTCGGAGAGAACAGCCAACAAGTCTTTAAGAAGCGACAAGAGAATCTTTCGTTCATCCTTTGAGAGCGCCTTGGGATTGTATAGTTCTGCTAACCGTCGGACAAGACCCAGCAGTGTTTGAAAGCCTCCCAGGTTCCGAAACACGTCTTTCGCTTCGCGGGGCCTGGCGGTGTCAATTAACGTGTGGCGGAGGGTCAGGATATTTTCGGTTGACCTTAGGACATGGTCTATGCTAAACGGCTGATGGTCGGATATTTCTTGTATGGAGTGGAGGATGGGTGTCAGTTCAGCAACTACATTGTCGAGCGACGTAGAGAGCGAAGCGGACGGCGGCTCAGCCGGGCCCGGTGACCCGTCCATTGTGCCACCCAAAACTGCCTGCGCTCCTCCTCCAATTGCTGCTCAGATCATAAAGAACAGTATCTTGAGGTTGTCATCGCGAAACCGATAGGATTTACAGGGTGGGAGAGAGCCAGACCGAGAGAGGTCAAGAGGAAGGTGGGTCCGCGCCCGGAGACGATTGTGGTCCTGGCTTGACACTCTTCTACATTGGGTAGGAGCAGGTCAAGCAGCAAGAAGCCCTGTTTCTGAGCATTGGCGCTAGAGCAATGGTGTGTCTTGCAGCAGCATAATATTCTGACTCTTGTGTTTTGGGCCCTCAATCATCGGCCGCGAGCTGTTGCTGGCTCCGACGCAGCCTGAGGCGGTGCGGGTCGCGGTCACGTGATCTCGCAGCTGCTCGGGCCGCTGATTGGCGCAGATAAGACGATAAGATAGCGAGCCAGGGGAAGCTTGTGAGTGGCTGGCGGTGCGAGGCCGCCTTCGTCCATGGGTGATCGTCCTCAGTCGGTCAGCAGGTGGCCGGCACGCGAGCATCCTGTCTGCGTGGGAGGAGGCCCTGGAATGCCGCGCAGATATACCCCGTATCAAAAAACGAAAAGCGAAAAGCGCTGATGGCTACTGTTCCCAGGCAGCACACGCTGGCCACCGCAGGGCAGCAAGTCACGAGACCGCGCGCTCTCATACCGTCCCGAGATAGCGCGATTGCGGTCATGCGGAGCAAACCCACTGCTATTTGCGAGTCACGGACTCACAGCCCGCCTCCTGCTCCACAGCTGTCCCCGTCGGGCTTAGCGCCGCCCTGCCTGCTTCCAAGGTGAATCATCGCTCTTCCTCTTCCGCACCTCTCCCCATACTCTACTTATCTCTATCGTCTGCCCTTCCCTGCTCTTCCCTCCTGCATCCTCCCTCCCTCCATCCATCGTCCATCACATTCTTCCTCGTTATACCACGCTTACCCTTGCTGTCTTTCTGTCCCTTCTTCCCTATACACTCTCTCGCCCATCATGAAAGGCATCCTCGGCCTTTCGCTGCTCCCGCTGCTGACGGTTGCGTCACCGGTGATGCCTAGCACCATCCATAACGACGCAGCTCCCATCCTCTCCTCCTCCAACGCCGTCGAGGTTCAGGACTCGTATATCATCGTTTTCAAGGACCATGTGAACTCTGCTGCCGCAGCAGCTCACCACACCTGGGTGCAGGACATCCATCATCAACACAACGAGCTCCGGAAGCGATCCCAGTTCCCCTTCGAGGGCGATCTTTTCACAGGCCTCAAGCACACCTTTGATATTGCCGGGAGCTTTCTAGGCTACTCTGGACACTTCGAGGAGAATGTTATTGAAGCTATCCGCCGACATCCTGATGTAAGTTCTCTCTAGTGCTCTCTGACCGCTCTATGCGTGCTACCGGGACTTCCCGAGCTGGGTGAAATCCCCTAGGCTAATGCGTTCATTACTTGGTAGGTTGATTACATCGAGAAAGATTCTATCGTCCATACCATGGAAGACCCGACTATTGAGAAGAACGCTCCATGGGGTCTGGCTCGTATCTCTCACCGAGAGAGCTTGAGCTTTGGAAGCTTCAACAAGTACCTGTACGCTGCCGACGGCGGTGAAGGTGTTGATGTCTATGTCATTGATACCGGTACCAACACTGATCACGTTGACTTTGAGGGCCGTGCCTCCTGGGGCAAGACTATCCCCCTGAACGATGAGGATGTCGATGGCAATGGCCACGGCACTCATTGCTCGGGAACTATTGCCGGCAAGAAGTACGGTGTTGCCAAGAAGGCGAACGTGTACGCCGTCAAGGTCTTGAAGTCGAACGGTTCTGGTACCATGTCCGACGTCGTCCAGGGTGTCGAGTGGGCTGCCACACAACACATCAAGAAGGTCAAGTCTGCCAAGGCCGGCAAGGCCAAGGGCTTCAAGGGCAGCGCCGCCAACATGAGTCTTGGTGGTGGTAAGTCTGTCACCCTTGACAGGGCTGTCAACGCCGCTGTAGATGCTGGTATCCACTTCGCCGTTGCTGCTGGTAACGATAATGCCGACTCATGCAACTACTCCCCTGCTGCCGCCGAGAAGGCCGTCACTGTCGGTGCCTCTACACTGGCTGACGAACGTGCCTATTTCTCCAACTACGGCGCATGCAACGACATCTTTGCCCCTGGTCTTAACATTCTGTCCACTTGGATCGGCAGCAAGTACGCCGTCAACACCATCTCTGGTACCTCGATGGCCTCTCCTCACGTTGCTGGCCTTCTGGCCTACTTGCTTTCTCTCCAGCCAGACACAGATTCTGAATTCGCTGTTGCTGAGATTACCCCCAAGAAGCTCAAGGAGAACTTGATTTCTATCGGCACCCAGGGTGCCTTGACTGATGTTCCATCCGACACCACCAACGTAAGCTGACCTACATTCATATCCATTATATTTTCAACATGCTAACATTCTCGTTCCAGATTCTGGCTTGGAACGGTGGCGGCTCTGCTAATTACACTGACATCGTTGCCAAGGGTGGCTACAAGACGAAGGCCCTCAGCGATGAAGTTGACGAATTGATTATTAAGGCCCAGGAGGTCGTTAACGAGGAGCTTGGTGCTATCTACAGTCACATCAAGGATGCCGTTGTCGCATAGAGCGGAGTAACCATCGGTCGTTTTTCATATCTGTGGCCTTGCAGGGTTTGGTTTTTATTTATTTTTTTTTCTCGTGGGCCGCCGGAAAACGTTTTCCCTCCATTGTCTGGCTATACAGGAAAGTTGTTTTGTTTTAAGCATCTACGGGTAGTATTAAAGATTGAGAGTTTCTTAGATAATATGACCATCAAGTGATCATTATTCACTATTAGAACGTATGACTATAGCCAGTATACATGCAAGAGACTGTACGAGGCCGATCTTGCCCTAATATATACTGCAATATGAACCAAAGGTGCCTGTAACCTTCCTTAATGCTACGTATTTTCATAGCGGATGATCAATATTTACTTTTCAAATCCTAGTAGCATGTGCACTATATAGCACGGAAGAAGGGTATTGAATTAATCTACACATTGACAATGATATAAAAAGACAAATATAAGGTCCTCTATACCAAAAGAATTCATAGTCTATCTCTTCCATATCAGGTTTATTTGCTTTCTCCGAGCCTATAAAAAAAAGCACGTGGTTAGTTATTTATCATTGATCAGGATCATGTGCAGTGAATAAACAAAGGATTAAACAGGGTATGCTTACCATCGGAGCCAAAAACCAAACACCAACAGCAAGTGCAACCACAGTACCCAACAACTGCAACTTCGCAAAACTGCTTCCGAGTATATCAAATGCCTGACTGGGCGTGACTCGGGTGCCAAAGATATCGCCTCCAAAGCCGAAAATCAAGCCTGTGCTCTCTAGCAGGGTCGGTGAAACGATAACCTTTCGGATACCTTCCACGTCGCGGGAATGTGTCAAGTACCATCTACCGTCGAACTCAAGGTTGGGGATGTACTTGAACAGGCCTTCCTCCATCTCTGCTGCAGTGGGGTCTCGGCCAACTGGACGACGGGGGTCCAAGACATGGCGGGGGATGCCAATAATGGCGCTTGATGATGGAAGTGTGCAGATGAGTTGTCGAATAGTGATACCCTGTCGGGTCTGGGTCACCGCAAGGTGGGATATGGGTTCAGAAATAAGGAAAGCTTGGGAGATAACATGGGGCTTTGGATAGGTATCAATGCTAGAATAGTTTCCTACTACCCCTAATGGACCACGATCGTTGGGAATTGACGATTCATAGAGTTCGGACACGATGAGTTGATAGCCCTTGGACTCGGATTGATCAGTCAAGTCGGCCCAGAGAGAGTAAGCGAACCAATTTTCTGAAATGACTGATGTGATGGGTTGAGTGACGTCTACGCCAGTGTGCGTGCTGGTATGGAGGATTTTGCCCGATATGGAGTCAAGCAAGTAGAAGGTCGCTTCATTCAGCCCCACCGAGGTAACAAGAGCGAGGTTTGGGTTCAGATATTTGTAAAGGACTGAGCGGTTTCCAAGCACCTTGCCAATGGATGCAACGGGATCGTGTGATGGACGTGATGTTGCCCCGATGACTCGCTCTCCCGGAGGTGGTATGAATTGCCAAACGGGGACTTTGTTATCTGTTACATCCCATCCTAGGACCCTGCCATCCTCACTCAAGGTCACTATATATCCTGTCTCTTTAAGAGGTGAAAAAGGCGTTCCATCTGGCTTGATGGGGATCGCGACGACATTTGTGTCTTTCTCGTTTGAGATAAGTGCAACAGATCGTACATTCTGACCGGAACTTTGTTGAGAAATGACACCTCCAGATGTCACATTGAGAGAAACCGCAATTCCATCCTCGGTGAAAATAGTGGCAACACCCTGTCCAGTTTGAATGGCTTTCACGTTCCAATTTAAGGTGTCAGCAACTTTCACGTTCCAGGACACAGCACCGCGATTTCCGGCGTCAATGGCCACAACTCGCCCGTGCTCTGTGGCAACTATAACCAGCTTCTTCAGTCCGAAGCTATCTAAATTGGTGACTTCAGCCGCCAAGAAGCTGGAAAAAATGCGTTTTGGTAGTTCTTGCAGCCATTCGTGTATGTGTCCAAGGTCTTTAAGATGACGCTTCACACGGTGAAGGTAGGCCGCCAAAAGGTCTTCATGGCCTTCTAACTCAAGCTCATGGACGAGGTCTTCACTAAAGTTAGGCTCTGCCCATGCAGCAGCAACGGCACCCGCGAGCGATTCGTATCTAACCCAGTCGAGTCCTCCATTCCGGTTCAATTGCCAGTCACCCGAATCCAGCACAAAGGCAAACCTCACAGCTGCCGAGTCGCCTTTGCTAATGACTTCTGCGACAGCACTTGTTGGACTTCCGTGTGCGCTTTTCGCAAATGGCCATCTACCAAGAATTCCATGTGAAGCGGACGAGACAACAGATACTTCGGTTTCGGCGATTCGAGTAAAGAAGACATTCGCATCTTTATGACTGACTGTAAAGACAGATTTCTCGGAAATTCGCGGTAATCGATACGCCTGCGAGATAGAGGAAGACTGGAGGTCGATGTGATAGACCTCGGCCCATGACGCGGAATCTGTTTCGTAATGTACCAAGAAATGGGGCAGACAATTGAGACCCGTCGGTCCATGAATCTGGATCTTGCGAATTTCCTCGTCGCTGGTGTTCTCGATGTTGATGTTATTGACGTTCTTCGAGCCGAGAATGTTAATTTTTAATGTCTTGCTCGATTTATCCGCCCATGCAATGAAAGGCGAAGCAGTGTTCGAACCGACAAAAATAATAGATTCGGGTCCAAAGACATCATTTTCGGATGTCAGAGTCTGCTGGTTCTTCTGCCGCCCTGTCTGTGAATCCAGCGTAGTTACTCTTATCTTGTATCCTTTGAGAAGAGCAGACTGCAGAGAGACGTAGATCACCTCGGTCGACGACGAAGAAACCTGAAAGGGTAGATCACCGCTATCATTTTACCATTAGCTTTGAAATATGCACGCATATAATAACATGTTACCTGTCGTCCTTGAATTCCCATTTAGTCGTTCCGGCGGCCGCATCAAGTCGTCTGACAACTCCTCCTTTATGCTCAGATAAAACAAGCACGTCCCGGGCGTGATTGGTTGTGCGCCCATCTTCAAGCTCTAGCAGCTCCAAATCCTTTGTGACTGCTCCTTGTAACTTGCTTTCCCAATGCAATTTTCCATCTGATGCACCCCAAGCTATGACTTTCTCGCCAATCGCACTGACAACCGTGGGTTCTCCGTCGCTAGCACGGAGGAATCCCTCGACTCCCTGGGCCGGAGTCAACTGTGTCAAATCCTGTCTCCACACAACTGCTCCATCTCTCGGATTTATTGCCCCAATTATTGACCTCTCTGACAGGGTATATAGCAGCGATGCATTAGACGCAGACGACGGGCGATGGAAGAACGTCGATTGTGGGGATGGGGTGCCGAGGAGAGCGTGGTGGAAATCCAGATGGTCGACCTCATCAACGAAGATGGCCGACGAGGGCAACGCGCAAGAGGCGAGCAGTACAATCGCCGTTTTAAGCCACATCATGATCTCCTCGTGCTGCGATCATGCGAGAAGGATGTAGAGTTGGTTGATGTGCGGAGAGCTGCTTCTCAGAGCTGCGGCGAGCTAGTTAGTGATCCTTAGAAATTAGGCTCAGACTACCGAAAGTAGTTAGCGTTAGAATACTGCTGGCCTGCATATTTCCATAATCTTGCAGCGACTGTCTTGAAGATGTGAATAAAATAATGCTCATATTTTTCCTGACGTGATATCAACAATATTGAGTCTACATAGAAATTGCTAGCATATTCATCGTACGAAGTCATAATGACTGAACTGTGAATTGGTGTCCTTTATACTAGAATGATTGAATATCCTAGTCATCACTTGATATCCCTATATTTACTGCGTATTCTCCATCTGATAGGCTTGAATATTATAGAAAACATCAAGATGATATGGAGAATTCTGAAATCTAAATCCCCAAGTAAATCGGTTCAACAGACGGAATGAGAAAGGCCCGACACATGATTGGCCCATTAGTCTCACGTAATATTTAGCACGTGATCTATCCCGTGCTGCGCTATACCGCAGTAAGTTTAGTTCCGAGAAATAGAATCCATCGGCGCAAATCGACCCAAAAAAAATAAAATAAAATAAATTGGTTTCGTCGCGTGTTCGCTGAGGTCGACATTTTGGAGCATCTGCTCTTGATCCATCTCCCGACATCTGTCAATGCCCAAATAAAGAAGGCCTCGCAAGAATCAACGACATTCGAGATGGCCCCTTTTGCATATGAGTTTCGGGGAAATGACGGGCGTGACCGCGACCGAGTTCGAGACGATGGCCCGATTAGAGACAAACAAAGAAGAAGAGACGGAGATCGTAATAGGCCTCCACAGCATCAATTTACTTTTCGCTTCACTCCAAAGCCTACCTCCGAACGTCCATTGTTGTCGCGCCAACGTGAAACTACGCCAGAACTCCTCGGCAGCCATCAAGATGGTCATGATAAACTACAATTAAAATTTGCTCATCCCGATGAGCTCACCGACAGCGATGAGGCGGACATGGAAGAGTCATCTTCTGAAGATGATGACAGTGACTCAAATCCACCCCGGAAGAAGCGTGCTGTTCAACCGGCACCCACCGCTGCTGTTGTGCCTCCCAAGTGGTCCAATCCAGATCCATATACTGCGCTGCCTCCTCCAGACGAGACGCAGACTAAACGTCCCGATTTTGTCAAACTTATTCGCAAGGCACGTATTGCTGCAGCCTCAGGACCTTTGACCGGTGGTGACGCCGTGACCACCAACGAAGACTTTATATCTTTTGGTACCGAGGATGACGATCTCGTAGACGAGAACCTCCCTCCAGTAAATGCCCCTTCTGGCCCAAAGAATAATAAGCAGCGGGTTGAAGATGTTGGTGCAGGAAAGAAACGCACACGAGATGATCAAGTTAAAGTTTTCACAGGAAAGTTTGGGAAGGTTGGCTTTACTCCGCAAGGAGATATTATTAGCGTATGGAAGGCACGGCCGTCTGACAACCAGACCCCATGGCTCGAGTTGATGGAGCCTACAATGCATCTTGGTACTAGGTAAGTGTTCTCCGATTTCGCTCGGAAAAGAACATTGAAGGCATCCGATAGAAGTTTCTAACCAATACGTAGACTTCATAACGAGATTCTTGCATTCTATGACTGGGTTAAACCTCGACCTTATGAGGACATGATTCGGAAAGATCTCATTCAAAGAATTCAATATGTTTTTGATTCCCAGCCAAAATTTCGTGGCATGGAGGTCCAATCATTTGGATCGTTCGCATCAGGGCTATATCTTCCTGTGGCTGATATGGACCTAGTCTTGCTTTCGCCTAATTTCAGACGATATGGAAGAGAAAGTTTTATCCCATACAGAAGGAGCCAAGGTGGCAGAATCTCGATATATGAAGTCGCCAGAGTTGTCGAGAGGGCGGGTGTAATAGTCTCGGGGTCAATGGAAATTATCTCCGGTGCCAGGGTTCCCATTCTCAAATGGGTTGATCGTTTAACCGGCCTCAGGGTTGACATGGCCTTTGATAACGACAGCGGCATTCGTGCCATCCAGACTTTTAAAAAGTGGAGGGAAGCATACCCGGCAATGCCCGCTATTGTTGCTATTGTGAAACAATTTTTGCTCTTACGAAGCTTAAATGAGGTTCCTACGGGCGGGTTAGGTGGATTTTCCATCATTTGTCTGGTTGTTAGCTTGCTACAACACATGCCTCATCGCTTGGACGGTCATGGCCCTTCTCTCGGCAGCGTTCTTATGGATTTCTTTGACTTTTATGGAAACAAGTTTGACTTCTCATCAGTTGGAATTAGGATGGAACCACCTGGGTATTTCAACAAGGTAAGTTGACGCCTGTTTATTGTTGTAATTCTTTGCTGATGCAATACAGGTTGTCTACAACCACGAGAAGAAGGCCCGGTTATCAATAGAGGACCCTAATCGGCCAGAGAATGACATTTCCGTGGGCACGAAAGAGATTGGCCTAGTATTCCGCTGCTTTTCCAAAGCCTACGACGATTTGAAATCCAGAATGACATTGCTCGCTACTTCGCAGAATCAAACAAAAGTTTGTTTTTTGGATACCATCATCTCGGCATGTTATGATGAGTATACGGATCAGCGCGCTCATTTGCGTTCAATCTTCGAGAATGAAGCTAGGTTCATTCCATATCTCCGAATGCTCACTCCTCCACCTCCGCCCCCAGATAGCCCGTCGGAATCTGAATATGACCCAGAGCATGCGCCTGTTCCTCCCCCACCTCCTGTCCCAACGAATTCTGAAATAAAAATCAAGGGCATTAGTTCTTCTAATAGCAGCGATGACAAGGTAGCTATTAAGCGCCAGAAGAAGCAAAAGAAGAAAGGCAGCAAACAAAAAAAACAGAACAAAGTCAGCAAGAAGACTTGACCTGCCAGATGAACACCCGCTACCTAAGGCAAGTCGAAAGCCGAACTTTGCGTGTGTTTGAAAGACAGCAGGGGCACTAAGAGTGTTGAATAGTTCAGCGACGCCCTGGATCCCAGAAGTTGTTTTCAGGACGCGTTTATTTGACTGACATTGAGTATAAGGGCATTATTTTACTTTCTTGTAGCATGTACTTCGGGGATTTTTTAATTTCTTCCCTCTCTCTTACTGCATTTATGAGATACCCACAGGGGAGGCAGAAACTGGCGTGTGTGTTATGATTGTTATATGTCCATATGTCTTTATCTCCAGAAACTTTTCGCAAACTTACAGACGGGCCAACTTTCCTACAGGACAACCCGTGACGCCAACGAATTCGATACAGCTTATTTACCAAACGTGTTTTCTCTATTTTTCCGCCTGACTCTTTGATTGCTGACGTCCGGAGCTCTAGTTAAATAGACGCAATTCTTGGGTCCATTCAATGGCTTATACAATTGTGCTTCGAATGATGAACACGCCCACACAAGGCACGGCTTTCGAAGGGTATTGTTTTAATGGGGACTACAGCAAAGATGCTTGCCCTCTGTCGCTGTGTGCCCCGTCTTTTTCCCTTCTCATTAAGTGAACGCTATATGTGCTTGCTTAGAGAGGATGGATGCTAGGGTCTATTTCAAGATGACTTCTACAAGATAAATCAACATGTATTATATAACATGGCAATTGGAATTATTACAAGGCAATCCCGAAACTTTTGAGCTAATTAGGGCTATAATAGTGGGTATTATTTTTTATTATCCTTGTTTTGCCTATTTATGCAGTTAGGGTTTGAAGGTTAACACTGTACCCCGCAAAAACTCCTCCGCATACTAACTACTTAGCTGTAATTAGGCTATATTGAATTGCTTAATAGACATATTAAACCGGCTTTATTTTCCTCAATCTCTGTTTTTACTTTTATTTTTTCTTGCTTCTTCCTTGTTCTATCTCCGTTGTCTTCTCATACTCGATTTACATCGTTGTCTCTTGAGCAATTCACTGTATCAAACGGAATCGATATACCAAGATGAAGTTTACCGACGGAATGTGGTGTCTCCGCGTGAGTCTCTCGACTATTGTATGATCAATACACACTCACAGCAGACCGTTAGGAGGGGATCTCAATTGATTGGATGAGTAATGTGGAGCGATTTGCTGTCGACAATGATACTGTCCGGCTTCTGCTGAACAAGTATCAGCGGCATAGAGGGGACACTCTGAATTCACGTATGTCCCCTTGTTTCTCGCAATTCGACGTAGTTCTAACTATGTTCTACTAGCAACAATATCCGCTGAAGTCACCTCTCCGCTTGAAGGCATCATTGGAGTTAAGTTGGTTCATTGGTAAGTGTGCGCCATGAACTCCGAATTACACTAATGGAGCACGAGCATTATTACTAAGGCAACTTCGAATGCTTGAAGGGCTGGTCAAGTCGATAATGGGCCCCACTACCACATCACGTCCGCGACAGGTCACTCTAAAATCGATCACATAGACGATGCAGTTCATTTCAAAAGCGGACATTCCAAGCTCACAATCAAGACGTCTCCTAACGACCTGGACTTTGTTTGGAGCGGCGACTCTGGTCAAAAGCTCACAGGTCATTCCTTCCGTTCGATTGGGTATGTTAGGGATCGTACAACGGACAAAAGCCGTTGGACAGACGGGCTCTATATGGAACATGAAGGGTACATGCTCGCCGAGCTTGACTTGGGAGTCAATGAAAAGCTATATGGATTGGGTGAACGTTTCGGACCTTTCGTGAAGAATGGACAGACTGTCGATATATGGAACGAGGACGGTGGCACTTCATCTGAGTTGGCATACAAGAACATTCCGTTTTACTTGAGCTCGAAAGGGTATGGCGTCTTTGTGCGTCATTCAGGGAAAGTGAGCCTTGAGCTTCAATCAGAGCGAACGACGAGGGTCAATATCTCAGTGCCTGGACAAGAATTGGAATATTTTGTCATTTTCGGAGGTACCCCAAAAGAAGTCCTCAGGCGATATGCTGCTTTGACGGGCCAACCGAGCTTGGTTCCTTCTTGGAGCTACAATCTGTGGCTCACAACTAGTATGTTCTGGATAGTTCTATGTAGTGGAGGGGGATATCGAGCTAATACTTCTATTAGGTTTCACCACAAGTTACGACGAACAGACTGTGACTGGATTTTTAGACGGTTTTCGAGATCGCGATATTCCTCTAGGCGTCTTTCATTTTGATGCGTTTTGGATGAAGTCTTACCAATGGTGTGACTTGCAATTTGACGAGGATTATTTCCCAAATGCTACAGACTATATGAAACGTCTCAAGGAACGCGGACTGAAAATCAGCGTATGGCTCAATTCATATGTTGGCCAGGCTTCGCCACTGTTCAAGGAGGGCAAGGAAAAGGGATACTTTATCAAGGTATAATCCAATTTCCTAAAACACTTCAAAACAAACAAAAAACCATCACTGATAGTAGTTGCTAGCGTCTTGACGGTTCCGTATGGCAACTCGACATGTGGCAGGCTGGTATGGCCATAGTCGATTTTACAAACCCCAAAGCCTCAAAATGGTACACGGATCATTTGATGCGTTTGATGGATATGGGCGTTGACTCATTCAAAACCGATTTTGCGGAGCGCATTCCATTTCGGAATGTGAAATTTTTTGACGGCTCTGATCCTCTGCGAATGCATAACTACTATTCTTTGCTGTACAACAAAGCAGTTTACGAAGCCATGATCGATCGAGTAGGTAAAGCTAACAGTCTGCTCTTTGCCCGCAGTACAGCTCCTGGCGGCCAAGCATACCCGGTCCACTGGGGGGGAGATTGTGAAAGCACATTTGAAGCTATGGCAGAGTCGTTACGTGGTGGGCTCAGCTTGATGCTATCAGGCTACATCTTCTGGGCATCAGATATTGGCGGGTTTGAAGGAACACCACCACCGGCGTTATACAAGCGCTGGGTTCAATTTGGTCTTTTCTCTTCCCATTCGCGTTTGCACGGTTCTAGTTCGTATCGGGTACCCTGGATTTACGGTGAAGACTGCAGCGATGTGCTTCGGGAGTGCGTTAAGCGTAAAATATCCCTAACGCCTTACATTTTACGGGAAGCATTACACGGTCATCGGGCATGTGTCCCACTCATGAGGCCCATGTTTCTTGAGTTTCCGGACGATCCTAATACATATACTATCGATACGCAGTACATGTTTGGAAGCAACCTACTGGTGGCACCTGTTTTCACCGAGGAAGGGTCCGTCACCTTTTACGTGCCGCGCAGCAGCAAAGACGACAGCCGCGGCAAATGGGTATCCTGGTTCGACTACAAGAAGACCTATGAACCGGGTCAATGGTACACAGAAACACACGATTTTTCTACGCTTCCTGTTCTCATTCGCCCTGGAACAGCGACTGCGGTAAACTTCAGGCTCAAGTCGCCGCAAGACGATCCGTTGGATGGTTTGCAAATCATAGTGAACGGTCGCTTGACGCAATCTGACTGGGAAATTGAAATCGTTGATCCAAAAAACACGCATGAAGTATTGAACACTATCGCGGTAGACAGTGTCACTGATGGAATTATAAGAATATAAGAAAGTACGAATCTATATTAGACATCTCAAACCGAGAAAGCATTTAGACATTACACGAGGATCCTCCCACTGCCCTCTCCCTCTTTTTCTTTTTTCCTCTTTCTTTCATCAAAATCCTAGATAGATCGGATTGACTAGATACTATATAGAAAATTGAAAAGCTGTGAAAAATTAGTAATTACCAATTACATAGTATTTCAACGCACCTGATTTAGAATTATTGTCTACGTAAGAAGAAGAAGCTGAGCCGATCGAGGATCAGGGAGACTCGGTGATTCTTTTCTGAATTCATTGATACTATCTGTGCCCTCAATCTTCTTTTAGACTCCTTATTAAACCCGTATAGGAACTGAATAGGTGGCTACTAGTCTTCTATCTTATGGTTCGCAATGAAAACATACTATTGGCCGTATCTAGGCTGCCTGCCAAGCTCGGCATTACAAAACCCTTCCACAGTAATTTTCTTTCTTCTTACTTAGGCTCCGGATACCGAAGCTATTTAATTAACACCGAAGAAAGCTGAATGTAGGATTCGCCAATAGAGGTGTATTTTCAGCCCTAATCTCTCACACCATCCTTCCGATGACGAATAAAACGTTCTGACGTTTAATTGTCAAGTATGTCACAAATGATAATTATTCGGAGCCTAAGGGCGTACTTAAGTTGAAATAAGGGATGCTACTAAACTCTAACTTGCGTGAAAATAACCTTTTTTGCTCTAAGGTTGGCTGATCTCATGGAGTTGACGGCACGGACCGCTAGGTTATATAGTTTTCCCCCACCACGTCCGTTTTGCTGTACCTAGATAGGTAGGAATCTGGATTGCAATATACACAGATAGAATAGATGATCAAAGCGAATAAATTGCTTATTTCAAATAAATGTAACGATTTTGATTTATTCTATACTCCAAATAAACTACCAGTGATTTCCAGGATACAAGATCAGCCAAGAAAAAATTGCCAGACGAAAACGGTAAGTATTTCCCAATGCGGTAAAAATCGAAGAGCCAACAATAATTCAACCGAATAGAACAGAATAAGCAAATGAGACATGGAAGAGAAAAAAAAAAACAAATATAAAATACAAATCCCTTCCGTCAATTCTCACGCATCGGTTTCCACCTTAACAAGAAGATCATCGGAGCTTTCTTCGCTCCCAGGTTCCGACTTAACCGGAACCCAGAGATTTTGCGGCTGTTGAGGTTGACATAGTGGCTCCGAAGTCAACGGTTGGGATACGCCCAAGCATGGGTTTTCAGATTTCTCCAACGGATAGCTCTGGAAAAGCTTGGGGGTTGGAGGGTACTGAGGCTGACAGCAACCGGAAAAACAGTACTCCATCGGGCTCCAACCCGAGGTATCAGCGTTGTAGTCAACAGGGGGTTCGTTGTCGAATGTATCGTAACTCTCCGGTACGAAGCTGGGATTGAACATCGTGCCTTCAGATCCTAGGACGTAAGTAGAGAATGGATCGGGGATTTGCTGCTGTAACGGCTGCTGCATTTGCATGTAAGGAAATGCCGTATCGGAGTTGAACCCGGTTCTGTTCAACGGCGGATAAAACGATGGGATAGCTGAGGGAGGGTACAACATCGGACCGGAATCATTCATATGCTGATCCCTTTCGATTGACGACATCAGACTGTAGTTTGTTGTCTCCTGTTTTGTGAAGTCTTCCGGGGCAGAGCGCTTTTTGGAATTTCCGCCCCTGTTTCCGCCACTTGTACTAATGCCGATCTTGCTGCTGTTGCTGAAATTCACCGAACCCTTGCCATTCTTGTCGTTAGCATGCATTCCTTTTGAAGGTTTTGCTGCTCCTGCCGCTTTTCCGGAGTCCGTTTTGCTATTGGTTTTCTTCGGCTTGACAGATTTGGGGGCTATGGTAGTTGTAGCCTCCATTTGCTGCTTGAAACGGGAATATCGCATGCGCGCCGCATGACCATTGGAGATCTCTAGTTCGGTTGCGACGAGACTCCAGTCAATCTGCCAATGCATTATAAGAGTTAGTAAGATTCTATGCCATTAATGCAGCACAGGAATGGGGACATACTGTCTTGAGATCCAGTTGTTTGAGGATTGCGTAGAGAAACTTGGTCGTTTGGCCTTCAGTTGGCATAGTCTTGCTGCGACGTTGGGTAGTCATGGCACTAGAAGTCCTAGCAATGTGAACTGTTGCTGATCGATGGAAAGTTGATTTGATTAACACAGAATCTCTGGAATCAGGATGATATGTTAGGATGATGTCAGTTGTAGGAGGGAAATTAGGAAGATAATATCCTAATCAACAAATCTTAATTTTATTTCACCCCCACACAGATAATGCAATTACTACTTTCTCATTAACAGCAGCATTCCACTTCTTGTCTAACAATGCCCATTTGATCAAAAGGCTGTATTGTTTTGTTGTCTTTGTATAGTGCGCTTTCAGTCAGCAGCCTTTGATGACTATCCGTATGCTGGACACGATGCACTTGCATCTGAATGAATTTTTGTTGATCAAACCCTCTGTATCAGTTAAATATTGTTATGTCATTCATATTGATCAGTCTTCATAACCCTACTATTATCATAAATAAACCCACCAGGCCATGTATTAGACTTGCATTTCTATGCTAGCACCTTTTTTGTTATTACTCCATTATTTCTTCCCTCTTTTTTGACGATTAATCAAGCTACCTAGTTATAAGACAAAGTGCTTCTTATTTGTTGGATATGAATTAGATGATTCAAGGATCATTGTATTGATACAGTTTAACTATAGTCAAGATTCTAAATACTAGGGTGCGAGCTAGGTACAAGACATCACACAAAAGATCTATAGTATCTTGGTAAGGGCAGACAGCTGACAAACGAGAGAGAAAAAGAAGTTTCAGTAGCGTATAGGGCAACTACCTAATAACCATTGCACAAGTACTTTGAAGTTTTGTATGGGCTTTATTGAACTAGCTAACCATCTCCAGATGTAGATAGCTACGATGGAGAGAGATTTTCATTTTTTAATTTTTTTTTTTTTGATCTTCGAAATACATCTCAGTAACCCATTTCATTCAGAATCCCACTACCCCCAAAACAGAAACCAATCGAGAGATCAGTCTCGTACACCCGGTCTCTAGTATCCCCGAATCCCCATTCATTTGCTCGCAATTGAATAGACGAAAACGTTGACAACCCCTCCAGCTGTGTGATGATAGCGAAGGCTGCGAGTTGCTGCAACATTATCAGTCAATTTGTGAAAGTAAATCACCAGCTTTAAGCGGCCAGATCATGTCACTCACTGTACTTCTGGCTCAGTCAGTGCCATCAGAGTCCTCGGTGGCAGAGGGTTCTTTTTTCACCGCTGCAGTCGTCAAACCATGCTCCTCTTGTTTAGTTGTCTTCTTAGACTTTTTAGGCGACGTCTCGGGAATAGCACCTTCGCCCTGAGGCTGCTTGCGCTTACGCTGGCGCTTGACAGGGGTACTAACAGGAGTATCGAGTGCTGAAGGAGCTGTAGTGGCTGTGTTCTCGCTTCCAGATTCTTTTTGCACTTTGGCGTAGTGGAGTCTGCGTAGAAAATATAATGTCAGCATCAAAGAAAAACTATGAAAGTAGAGAAACCAAGACGGTGAAAAGGAGTTTTGGGAACTCGTTCTGCTAGGATGAAGAAACCATCCAGGCTTAAGTATCTGCTGTCATCTGAACATATGAAGCATATGAAGCAGCAAAACTGTCAGTGGCAACAGAACACGCGTAAACAGAAAGACAGCATACAGCAGCAAGAATCCCCGCTCAGTATAGTCTCACCCAGACCCCTGAGATGTGAAAAATAGGCCAACCAAGCCAGAAAGCTCAAGGTGTAACTGAAACATGACCTGGAAGATGCAAGTATTGATGTTCAAGAGACCTACCTGCAGGCCTCGAGAGTAAAGTCAGGGCCCATCTTTTGAGCAATGGTGCCCCAAGTCTCACGCGTAATTTGCGCGTCGATGCACTTCATGACGGTGCAGAGGAATTTGACGTCGAGTTTATCATCCCACTTCACCATCTTTCCAATCGTGATCAATCGATACTGAGATATCTTGTGATATTGAAGAGTTATTCGAGACTTGATATCGAGAGATGGTATGGATAGATGAATGTAGAGAGGAAAGCAGTTGGAGGGATAGTTGTAAAAGAAGGATTGGAAAGAGGGAAGAAAAAGAAGCAAATGCTTGATACCAAGGCACAGCTCAGGTGGAGCTATTTTCTCTCTGATGCTAAAACTAGAGAGAGCCAAAGTAGATAAATAGAAAACAATCATTTACAGTAATTTTTCACTAAAAATACAGAAATGGATTTCAATTAGGAGCATCCTACTATCTTTCGTCGAGCTGGAATTAAGGCTTCTAATTGGCTAATCTGCCTAGATGTCTGCCTACCAGTATAATACTTGCTATGTTCCAATAGAAAACAGGTCTAGAGAGTCTATTCATTAAATTTATTATGAATATAGATAATGTTGACATGTGATACCTTTTTTGAAGCCACTCCAATTTAAATTCTTGAAAAAATTTTACTCTCTTCTCTCTCCTCTCTTACAGGCAACCATCCTTGCTCGTTACCTTAAGAGAATATCTTTGCGATATGATATCTTCAATAGTATGGTACAGATAGAGGTAATGAGCATGGATGGTACTCCAACAAAACATGAATCAAGAAGCATCAATCCTAGAAGTCTGGATTGAATCGTCACACGGTAGGCGGGCACAACAATCAGTGCACAACAATCAGTGCACAAATCCTCTTGAGACCCTGGAGAAATCGCTGAAGACAAGTCCATCGTTCTCTGCTAACCACCGCGTCTTAGCAATTCCTTGGCTTGACAGGCTCCTAACAGGGGTATCATAGTGGCAGCGGAATATATGGAATTACTTGCACATCAAGTGATATCAAGGGGTCCCTTTTCCATGGTTTACTGGCTAACATTTCATTATACATGAACCAGGTGCTTGCTCAAGAAGACAGCATTATTGGTGATTAGCACGACACTTGCGAATTGAGTCTGCTTTAGTCGACGACTCGAAGAAACTCAACAGGAACAAGAAGCTTACCGATAAGGACGAGCATTGCGTTGCTTCCGACACCTTGATGAGTTGGAAATCAATCTTTCCAGGGGTCAGTATTCCACAACAATCCTATTCTCCAGTAATCCAAGTTTCTGATGCCCAATTTCGTATTCCGGCATTTGGTCTGACTTCTTTTATGTATATTATAGGTATCGAGATCAAGCCGGAAATTCAACCACCACCTTGAAATCGAATTGAAATTTAAATCCTATATGGTAAGGTGCCTTTACAAATATGTTGGTCATGCAGGCCCATGACCGGAATGAGCGACTGGAGAGAGACACGTCAGGCCATGTCGATTTCGTCGAAATCAGGCCCGTGACTGCTATAAGGACGCTGTGAGGATCGATATTCAATGCTCCGAGGCTTTTGCTCAGCTCATGAAGAACTCGCTGATGACTCCCGTGGAAGAGCTTGAAGTTTTGGAGTCTTTAGACTTTGACACTATTTCGGTGCCGTTGTCCAGGCAAACACAGAGCAGATCATAAAACACGCTGTATTGGAGGATATACCACTGACACTGGCAGTGAATAAGCTCGACTGGCTGATTCTTGAGCTGAAACTGCCGCCGACTGACGCATGTGATGGAGCAAGTTGATAATTTGAGACATACCAGACTTGATATTCCTCAATGGAGTATTTGGATGGACTACCTTGTGGCATTGAAGGAGAAAAAAATACGGAGTGTGTTCGGTCTGTCTCTAATCGCTATGGGAGAGCAGCAACTTGGGCATAAATTATCCACTCGTGCATTTACAAGCGAGTAATCTGACTCGATAGCATAGCTGGCTTTTGTGAAGAGATTAGATTTCACGAGAAAAATTGCAATTCTCATTTTTTGATAATGATTTTTCGAAAAGCTCCCCGCACCAAGTTTCCGTAGCTTTCATGCAAAGAGATGGCCCGAATCCCGTCCACAAAAGATTCAACGTAGCGACTATCCCCCATAAAAGGAAATAAAAACACGAAGACTGAGCATAGCAAAGGAGAAATCCATTCCATTCAAAGCACAACTTTCCTCCCCCGCCACTTTCCTAACAGCCAAAAAATTCGAAATGATAAATCCCCCGGGATAACATTTCCGCATATCTTATGAAAGAAATAACCTGGAACAACCCCAAGGAAATTCAGGTATTTAGATTGCATCAAGTAGCTGGTATCCGCTAGCGTTTCCCTCGTAGTCGACAAAGTCTGACTCCTCAGGCGCATATGCAGGATCATCGCTGCTATCCCCGCCGTCGGAGCCGGTATCCTCGGGCATGTAAGCCGCCATGTTGAGGTGCTCAGCTGGCTTGCGGCTACGCTTCGAGGGTGTGGCCTGCTCCAAGTCTGCCAGGGTAAGGCTGTCATTGAGCTCGGCCTTGATATTGACCGGGGTGAAATTGCGCTCTGGTGTAGGCTCCGTTGCATCGCGCTTACGCTTGCTTCCGGCGCGGGAAGAGGTATCAGCAACCGAGCGAGGCGTGGGAGCCTTTCTGATACGCGGAGTCTTGGGGGTGGATGCAGGAGTTGCATCGGCAGCACCGCCATTGATGTCGGATTTTGCCAGCTTTTTCAGCTTGAAGATATGCTCGGAGATGGCGCGAGGAGTTGGTCTCTCATTGGCATTTGCTATGGTAAGAACTGTCAGCTAACTATGCGTAAGGTATAGAAGGTCTGGAAGTGTGCTCACGCCAAGTTTCAGCCAGCCATTTGTAGTTCATCGGTCCCTTGTAGGCGTCTAGGACGCGAAGGAAGAGCTGTGATATTCGATGAGCAGTAAGTCTTAGGACGGGGTAGAAATAAAGCAAAAAAAAAAAAAAAAAACATACCAGGCGCTCATTGGCCAATGTCCACTGCATAGGCATGTTTGCGTTGGTAGAAGTTCGCTGTTTTCAGTGATTTCAGGTAGAGAGGCAAGCGTTATTTGTCTTCTGAGGGAGGAGAAAGCAGAGAACAGAGCCTGGAGAAAATCTCAGGAGAGCCTCGAAGTGACAGAAGGTAACTTGAAGTACGCCTTGGTGAACAGTAAACAGGTGATAGAGTGAGCCTAGAGTGTGAAGAGGTGAAGCACAGAGGAAGAGTCCTGGGCGAAGTGAGCTCGAGCTAAAGATGAGAGTGGCTATGAGCCGACACACAGTCACTCACTGCTGCCTCGATGATATGGCTAATGGTGGTGGCTGGCGAGGCAAACAAGAAGTCTCAGAGCCTTTGTTTGCGAGGTGACACAATTCCTTTGTATTCTGCTCGTGTTTGGCAGTTCGGTGAGGGTGTTGACGGTGAATATCAAGTCCAGGCTCTTTCTATTCGTCCATACAAGGAGACAGGGCAACATGAAACATGCAGATAAACATAACAAAGAAGAAAAAGGTTTCATCCAGTTCTATACTTGGGATTGGGCGAGCGTCGTCTCTTCTCTTCGACCTGATCCACCACTGACAAACGGAGGGCTCGCTGTTCTTCTCTCCAACCACCATTCCTTACACTGAGATCATGCTTCACCGTTCTTCATAGGGAATGCCCAGTGCCTGTTGGACCTGCTCTCATTCTACTCCTTCTCACTCTGCTTGATCTTTGCTACAGACAAGAAACACTCAGTTCTCTCTCTTGGTACCAGTCTGGATTTTAGAAGACAATTCTATCATCCTCCATTCATCGCTTCGACCTCTCACGAAGTCCTTCGCAATGGTCAATTGGCAAAGCACGGACGCCGAGGTTCGTCTGATGGCATCGGTGTTTGCTGCGGAGCCGGGCTTCAGAGTATGCTTTTCCCTACGTCGAATCTACAACGCATCATCTGATGATAACAATATCATACAGCCAGATATCAAAACAATAGCCATTCTCTATGGTCGAGGGGCAACAGAGCACGCGATCAACCACCAGCTTCAAAAGGTCCGCAAACTGGCCAAATCCCTCACAGAAGAAGCACGCAAAAATGGAAGTCAGCTTCCACGAGGGATCCCTCAAACGCCCCGCATGTTTCGAACACCTCGCACACCACGAACCAGGTCTACTGGGAAGTCCAATGCCAGTCTGTCAAAAAGCAAGCTTCTCGACACCCCGTGCAAGACGGGCAAGCCAGTATTGAAACATGGGAATTCAGTAGTTGATCCCATTACCGTGGAAAGTGACGACGAGAGCGACAGCGACGGGAGATCTACCAAGAGCGTACCCGCAGACGACCAGGTCAAAAAAGAAGAAGATGAAGACGATAAAAAGGTTCGAGCTTTCACACCCGTGGTACCATTCAGGGGTTTTGGCCAGGCCTTCTTGAGTGGCGACTCTGGCCCGGTCCGTGTTAGCAGTCAGACAAACGGTTATGTTGATACTCCCAAGAAGCCGGCACAGACTCCTGCCAGTGGATACAGCTACGACATGATTGCCGATTACATGTGACTGGCCTGATGAAGAAGATAAATCGGGAAGACGGGAAGACGGGAAATTTTGTTGGTTATGAGAAGGAAGAGTTTAGTCATGAGCGATGTGTAGTAGCTAGTTTGCTCGAAAACACGAGGTTGAAGAGACATTTCAGAAGGCGTACGATATCAATCAAATGTTTCCCAGGGCTGCTTCGCTTCATAATCCATTAATAGAGTGACCGAACAAGAAGGGCTTTATATTCTGGCTAAGGACGACTCACTAGGCTTGTTTGGAGCCCGTATTGTTACATTCGTCCAGTGCCTAGAATTCTCTTTTCAGCTTGAAACTATACATATGGAATGATTCTTCATTTGACACCTGTCTAAGCATGTTTTGATTAACTAAACAAGTGTTGCAATTTGTCGTAAAAGTTTGATGGAATAGGAACATCATCGACGGTTTCCCCGTGCACTTGAGGGCGTGGAGATGGAGGGAAAAGAGAAAATCAAAATGACATTTGCCGCCCTCAGCCAGATAATCTTACAATGAATGTCGCTTTTGAGATAAATTTCCGACGGGGTAACTCCATTTGGCCAAAACGCCTCCCGTCAATAAACTCCGCTGAACAAAGAGGCGAACTCAACTGAATTAACGCGAATAGAGAAAAAAAAAAAAAATTTGAACCGGCTCGTGAGATTTCGAAGATCAACAGGATATGCGCGATGGTACCTTTTGGAAAAAATTCACCACGCGTGTCTGTCATTTTCTGGCTCCCAATCTTCTCCCTCCCAATCTTCATCACCACTCTGCTCCGAATCTAGAAAGTCACCCTCGCTGAATTGGGTATCGGCGGGCCTCAAATTGTCTATTCTTAATGACACGACGTCACACATTCCCTGGACATAACCTTCTTTGCTCTCGGCTATCTTCTCTTCATCGCTGTCCGCATTGCGATCTCTCTCTTCATCATCGTCGTCGTTATCATCAACTTCTGATAGTCGCTGCATAGCCAACCGAGCACTTTGCCGGTGCGAGAATCTCTGGCCACAAGCCCCTAAAGAGGCATGCTCGAGGTCGGAGTTGACTGCTGTATTGGGATCGGGTGGTTTATCTCTCCGGAGGAAAGTATGCTCCAGTTTATTTATCCATTGTCGACGGAATGAAGCTCTGTCCTGCCAGCCCATATGTACTGTGGCGCTAATGACAATTCTTCGCAAATCCTTAAGATCTGGGGCCGCATTAACGAGAGAAGTTAAAAACGTCGCTGCTCGTGGTTTATCCCATTGGCGCAATTGCAGCAACTCTAGTTCTTGCAGTGCTCCAGGCCAAGTTGGGACCTCATCAGCCTTGAGAAGACTGTTGAAATGAGGCATTCCGTTATAATGCGGGGGCCAGTTGTGCATAAGTAAGTCAACGGAAAGCCTTTCTAGATTCGGGCATGCGTCTTTCAAAATTGTCATGAATGACATATTAAGATGTCGGTTGTGCTTAAGAACCAATTCACGCAAAGAACCCCCATGATTGTTCAAAAACCCCACGAAAGCTATTGTGCCAACCTCGTCACAGTTGTCAAGAGTCAATGAGCTTAATTTCGATGGCATAGAAAGGAAAAGTAGTTCATTGACTGCGGTACAATCAGTGAACGTTACCGATTGTAGATTCGGGAGCCGACACAAGGCGTCACCCAATCCCGTTTCAATTATGTCCTCGAGTGCTTCAGGGTATTCACTTGTTCCATCACCTGAAGGGATGTGGAAAAAATTCAAATGGCGGATAGCTTGGAACGGTGGTTCGACATGGTGTTTTAGCATGCTGTCAATAATTGACTGTGGCTCCATATATCGACAATTCCAGTCAAAGGTATGAAGACGAACATTGCACTTTTTCAGTGTGTCAAACAACGACACGGGGTAGTTCCACCGGAGAGTAGGTTCTGACCAGGCCAGAGGGGATTTACCGTCAAGCTGATCAAACAGTCGAAGTGTCTTGAGATGTGGCACTTTCTGTATGAGTTTGCAAAGATCGAAATAACCGTATGTTGGCCCTGTTTTGTACATCAAGGTAAGGCGTACATCTATAAGAAGCTCCTGTACCTTGGAAGCGTAGTTGATGGATAAGCTCTCGACAGGTTGAGACAAGAGATAAAGAACCTTATGGGCCTTCAACGAAGACACGAGCGGTGGGGTGTGGTATAAAGCGCTCAATGCTGGCTCTGCAAAGGCGCGACATAGCAAGGCAACATCCAAGAGCTTTTTTGTCGGATTAGCATGAGAACCTTGTCTTGAGTCGGCCAGTGGATGAAACGCATGCAGGAAAATACTAAGAAGAATGTGATATGGCAGGGTGTGCCAAGGAGGTGCCGATTCATTCACATCGGTGATAGTCGTCGGGCCGGTTGAAGAGTCGGCATGTCGACGCTTTCGAGGCGATTGCACAGTAGTTTTCTTTCTTTTGGACGGCGACGCTTGCTGTACAGTCGACCGAGAAGGCCGAGGAGAGGATTGCGTGTTTGCGCTGGTCGTGACCATTTCGGGATAGCGAGAAATAACGCGGTCCAAGTCTTCGTCGGAGGACGGCTCTCTGTATGTTCGGGGGGCCTGGGTTGCACGCTTGGGGCGGTTATTTCGATTGACACTCGCACGGCGAGGACTCGCCCGCTGGTCGTGCTCGTCCTCACTCGACTCGGACGATGAGCTTTCGTTGTACGATCTGATTTGACGCCTGCTGCTACGGACAGGGCGAGAAGGCGTCCCCACCGCAGCAGCCGCGGCCTGCGTCGAAGAAGCCATTTATAGGTAGGTAGCTTATGCCAACGGGGCCAGTGAGTCGAGGTGTCGGCCAGAAGTGGGGCGGGCGTCGACTAAGGCTCTAGCTTGTGCGGTGCAGTGCAGCTCGTCCTCGACAGTGCATCATATTACATGGTTTGTGCGACGGTGCGAGCGAGAAACGATGGCGGGCGTTCTGAGCGTAGGGATAAAGAGACGTCTGGTCGAAGGGACAACCTGGAGACAAGAACAGCGGGCGTTGCACGAACAAAATGCTTTGGGAAGGAAGGCGCGGACCCGTGATCCTCCTTATCGATTAGATAGCAGATAGCAGCCGACTGCTTATCGCGGCCGGGGTTCACGTGACTGCCGGGCGATCCGATCGGCCAAACCAAAAAAGCCAAAACTGAAGGAAGGAAGCGAAAGTTAAGGAGGCAGCTGCGACTTTCCCTTCGGGATGGGCAGCGGCAAGCCCCGCCTCTTAAAATAGAAAATCAGGGGACTAGTCCACTCTAGTATGGCACGTAGTATGGCCGGCCGTCCGTGCTTCGACCTCCTCCTCCTCTTCGCGTACTCTTTCTTTCGTCCGTCCGTCCCATCCATTCATTTATTCATTCATTCAAGGTGTCGCGTCTTTCCCACCACAGCGGCAATGCCATCGCGCGCTGGCTATAGTGCTACATATTTGATGCCATTAATGCCCCTTTCACCGGTACGCTTCTGTTGATTAAACTTGCTGCGCGCGCAACACTTCGCTTCCCATCATCAGAGATCGCGGCAACTATCATTAGGCACCCGGCGCACCCTTCAATTCTCTTTTTCGCAGCTGAATAGAATAGAACGCGGGAAATTTAACAGATTATGGAGTCTCCCTTCAAGCCTCCAGCGCCGCAGCCCGCCGACGCGGGTAATGCTGTTGTGATCCAACAGTTTGCCAGGTACCCGCCAATTTTTGATTCCCCATTACGCAGTGCCTCCCCAGGAAGTGCAAAGAGCAGGCTTGCTGCTTCCCTGTCTCCGCCATTACGGCGCAAAGACACGCCTCGCAGCTTACAGTCGTCGCCCAGAGGGCCGCTGTCCGGCGGGACAATGCCGCCCTCGGGATTGCGCGCTGGCATGTCCATGTCGCCTCCGGCGACCGAGATAGACCCTCGCCCAGCTACTGCTGCTAGGGATTCTGAGATGGACACCGACAGGGACGCCGAGCGTCGGGAACTGCCTCCCCGAGAGGTCACCGATGAATCAATCGACGACGCTTACGTGTCGTTTATCATGTACTGCAATCCAAATGTGCCAGCATCTGCTGATACAAGCGAGCTACGGAAGACTTTCCGAGCGCCGCCTCGCAGTGATGGCAAAAACTTTAGTATTTTTGTTCTGTGGGAGTTGATTCGAAAGTTGGATAGCAAAGAACTCAAAACTTGGATTCAATTAGCCATTGAGTTAGGTGTCGAGCCTCCCTCTATGGAAAAAAAACAGAGTACTCAGAAGGTGCAGCAATATGCTGTTCGATTAAAGGTAAGTCTCATTGTCTTCGATACTAATGGACCGGGCCGTGTTAATTAAATGCAGCGTTGGATGCGTGCCATGCATGTAGACGCATTCTTTGAATATCTCCTTGGCCATGATCATATCTACTATAAACAGCTCCCCCTATCCCACGCCCCTGCAAGTGAGGACCGGGACGGTGTTCCTCTAGAAGAAGATCTTGCTCTGAGGGCACTCGTTCCCGAATGGAAGCCGAAGCGAGGCAGGAAGCGAGCAGAAGACAGAGAAAGAGAGGAATCCCGGTTCCCTAAACGACCACAGTTAGACACATCAATGGGTATTCTTGACAGCAACAGCTTGGCTGCCCATGCGGCTAATTTTCCGCAAAGTGCTATCCCATTTAGTGCTTTCCCGGACGAAGTTGATGCACCAAATGACCCTTGGGTTGCAGCGGCATCGTCATTTGGTGCTGATCATAATGCTGATTCCATTCACGGCCAAGATCTTCGCTGGAGACCCTTTGACAAAGATGGCTCTCCTCCTAGATTTCCACGGTCCGCAGTTATACCAAGGAATAATCTAACCGAGACAACATCCTCTGGTGTAGGTCCGCGCTCTGCGTTAACACCATTATCTGGAGAAAAGTCGCGCAATCGACGACGACACGGTCCGGCTGTCTCTTCCGCATGGCCAAACAGTGCAGGGACAATGACAGGAAAAATTCGAGGACGCCCGCCAAATCGCGGGTCTGCTCCCGGTGGCCCATTTTCTTCATTTCCTGTAAACCCTGCGAGAGGGGACGTGGCGAGCGTACAATCTTCTCCCGCTATTGGGATTGAGCAAGGTCCATTTGGACTGCCACGCCATTCTCTCGGCCACCTAAACACCAGGCCAGATAGATTACAATTACACGTTCCACAAATAAACGGCCGTCCTATTCGCTTGGCTACTCCACCGACTGTGATGCTCAACGGCACAAACGAAATTTCAAATAACTCGAATATGTTCTCAGGACGCCGTGACTCTGCTGCAACATCAAATGACTTTGACGACACTTCGTCCCTACCGTCGGGTCAAGCTGCGAAAATCTCCATAGACGAGGTGACTCGGGCTGTGGCTGGTGTGATCACGCAGTCAAAGCCCATCGGCCGAAATACACCCATCGAAGCGGATGAGGCCCGCTCTCTCGCATATGCGGCGGTACAGAGAATCTCTACTACATATGCCATGCTACCGGCAGACTCGATTGTCATGTTCTGTGCCTTGTACTTTGGTGTCGCGCACAAACTAGGTTTGACCGGCGTATCTCCAGCAACTATAACTGTCAAGATACCCGAAGCCGCAGAAGATAGCTCTTTGGATACCGGCGCACAACCCGGGCAAGCCTATTCTCTCATCATAGAAAGCCAAGCGGGACAAGCTTTCAAATTTAGCAACACTCTAAGTGATCTGACACTTGCGTCCATTGACACGGAACAAACTATGAAAGGGAACAATGAAAGTGCAGGATTCCAGTCAGATGAAGAGGAGTCCTTGAATGACGATTTTGTCGGCGGAGGTTCGACTGACGAAGGGAATTGGAAGCAACGTTATTTACGGCTACGACAACAGGTGCGTCGCAAAGAGGCCGCTTTGCGAGAATATAAGAAAAGTATTTTGGAATCTGTCATGGCAGATTTCTAGACATTAATCTGTGGTTAGCTAGCTATGACATACGATAGATACCCTCTTATGTTTCTTGTATTTCATGCCATGATGTATTGACGATATATTTGATTGCTCTTTTAGTAGTAAACAAAACAAACATCTGAGTTTTGGATTTTGTATGAAAAATATGCATCATGGTATTCCTTCCTACCCTTAAGTACGAGAAAACCCATCGTGGCAAAACTAGGCCTACAGACGTAGTCGCCTTGATATGGTTGAAACTCTAATGAAGCACGGAGCAAAGCTGATGGAAAAGGATGGGAATCACGACGAATGCTATTCACCGTTTATATAGAGCTTCGTCGAGAAAAGGGATTCACTAGGGCGAAGAGATGTTGAACGATTATGTAAAGGGTAATGCATCTTTTACTCCTCTGATATGTTTGCCATCTTTCTGAGGCTCCAAGGCACGTGCTGCATGAACGGGCAAACCCGTGATCTCTTCCTGTTGCCAACCACCTCCTGACTACCAACCAGCCCATTGGATATCTCGGAGACCAGCCACCGGGCACTCATCAGGACCACGGCATATGAAAGAGACTGGATCCCTCTCGTGACTGATTCCACTTTTCAAGACATCGAATGGCCGCCAGCCATCAGACAGAGAGAATTGGCTTTGTTCTTCCTGATTGGAATGACTTGCAAAGTATGCAGGCCAGGCTACTTCTTTCGATTGCTACAATATCCAAAGACAGGATAGCTGGTGTGCTTGGAAAACTGATACGAGGGTTATTAGGGCATTTCAACGGGTAAGCTGTCACTACCACACTATATAAATATTACTTCTCCTTCCCCATCCTCCTGTTTCTTTTTCTTCTACTACTACAACCTCATAGTTACCTTTATCTCAACTCATCCTTAGCTCAGAGCGTTTTTCACCTGCCTGGCCTTCCCCTTCTCGCTCCAGTCTGAGAGCCCCTGTTCTACCCAACATCGTTCTCTGCTTAACAGCTATCAGTTTGTAGTTGTGTTGCTTCTATCTTGGACGCCATCAATCACATCATAGAGGCTTACGTATATCGCATGAAGCAGGTTCTCAAATCCAACAGTATCTTCAAGAGACAGCATTACTCACCCAAAATGGCTGCACGCGCCAATGTCACTGACGACGAGCATATCGTCTTTCTTCTTTCGTGCGTTCGCAACTCCAATGCTGGACAGGCAAGTCACATCAAATGCCATAAAAAAAAGCCCGCAAACACGCTTCCTAGGTACTAATAATGATAACAGGTCAATTTCAGCAATGTCGCAAAGGAGTGCCAAATCGTGAGCGTTGGAGCTGCGTAAGATACCTCCCCATATCCCCCTTATGTGCGTTGCTCATATGCTAATACTTGAATATAACATAAAGTGCAAAACGCTTTTCTCGCCTTAACAAAAAATACTGCGACGGTGCGGCAGCAACGGATAATCATGAAAACGGTTCTGCTGAAGACACTGCCCAGTCCAAACCTGCACCAAAGACCGCCACCACCAAGAAAGCTAATGCTAGTGGGAAAGGCGCCTTGAAAGCCGAAAAGGCGTCGAAGTCTGCCCCAGCTACTGCTCCGCTTGCTACGGGTGTTACGAAGAAACGATCCAGCAATAAGAAAAGCCAATTTACGACTGCCCCCGATGACCAACTTATTAAGTCAGAGGAAGGACTCGAGGATGAACCAGAGGACATGTCAGCTTTTTTCAATGCGGGGATGGCCCCCTATCTCTAAGTAAGAGGTAGGAAGCTGTTACTATGTAATGCCGGCCTTTTACATATGCAAAAGAGTGCGTGCTTGCTTACAGTGATGGAAACCGAAAAAACAACGTGATAGACAATCCTGCATCTTTGCAGGTAAAACTAGGAACCGAAGATCTTCTGATTCATTGGTTGCGTTTGGGGATAGGATGATGCATTGCTTTTATTTTCCAATTTCGTCTTTTCTAGCTAGGTTATCTCGAATTCAAGAAGGGAATTTGCATTTTTTGGCAGCACTACTCTTGAATCACACAAAATCAAGAAGTCTACGTAGTCCCAAAGTCCTCGTCTAGCCACTGATCATCAGTACGAAGAATTTTCAGAACAGTAGCCCACGTATTCTCTTGGATCACCTCAGTATTCGACGGATTTGAGCCTTCTATCCCGCCATATTTCTTTCTCTACGCTTCACCCACTCTCTGTGAGACGACCTCAGTCTCCAGCCTTCAAATTTCAATATCCTTCCTAACTAAGTAACTAGCAAGGCTTTGTCTCTTTTTCTCTTCTCTGGACCACTTCCAGACCCCCAACCACCTGGACCAGTGAGCTCAGTGAGAAGAAGACCACGGCGCTAGTGAGGCATAAATAGCCTGCTCATCCCCTGGCCCAACTTTCTTCTTCCTTATTTTTTTTTTCTCTTCGTCTCTATACTTCATCTCTTCCTCGTGCACACCACGTACTACAATTATCGCCTTACCTCCCGGTCATCTCGCTATATCGGATTAGATCAGCCAAATACAGCTCGCTCCAAGCATTTCCCAAGGTATTTACATGACCAATGCTTCACACCAATTCCGATCCCTCTCGCACTAACAGTATCAGTTTCTCAACACACGCAAACTCTACATTCACTCAAAATGCCTCCAAAGAAAGCAGTGACCGAAGCCGCTACCGCTAAAGGCGAAGGTCTCAAGCCCGAGGAGACTCAATTCGTGTTCGAATGCCTCAAAGCCTTTGGTGATGATGGCGTGGTAAGTACCCAATCTACTTTCTTTTTCCCTGACATCCATCGGCTTACATATCTCTTTCTCTGCTAGATGGATTTCAGCGTCCTGTCCAGAGCAGCAGGACATACCAACCTCATGTCGACCAAAAACGCTTTCAATCGCTACAAGAAAAGATACGGCTTTGGCAACATACCCACCAAGATAGGCGCTGGTCACGTTGCTGCGAAGCCTGATGTCGACGATGGCGACGAGAGCGTCTTGCCTTCCATTGAAACAGGTGTGTTCAATGTTTTTTCTACCTTTGCGTTACTCTTCTAACCGATTCAAACAGATGCCTTGAAGCCCAAGAGCAACGGAAGCAAAGTCACCAAAAAACGCGGTCGTCCAGCTGCCAAAGCTACTACTGCTGGTAGCACTGCTGGTTTGTCTTCGAAGAAGAAAACCGCAGCAGTATCCAAGGGATCCTCGTCCATCAATGATGCCAGTGATGAGGATAATATCACTGAAGAAGACAACGCTCCCGCTTCTGCTGACGTTAAAGAAGTGGAGGGAGGAGACGATACCGATTGAGTTTTGAAGTTTGCCGATCTCAGAAGAAATTTCCACCAAACTGTCTCTTATGGAGAGGACATCAAGGATAGTTACCCGACTTGAATTCTCTGACTACAATACCTACATCTTGGGCGAGGATATCGATGACATGAAGTTGGGGTCTATCAGGAGATTGGAAGAACGCGCAATAGGTAGAATTGCCATTTGGTTAGAAGGTCGAGAAATTAATGAGTTCAAAGCCGTGTTTTTCTTATAGGTCTTCCCTTCTTTTTGAGTCAGTCAACATAGCAAATTGCAATGCCTCGGTGCGTAGTATGTTTGTCTATGGTTTCAACCCTGAGAGCACATGTCTCTCGCATTGTAAAGGGGCTAACATATTGAATTGACATGTACACCTTTAAGTTGCCTTTCTTAGATGTAAATTGTTGGTCTTTGGCATGGTATAGGTATTAGATTTGTCTAGGCAATTCGCCAGATTATATTCTTTACTAGCATTATGAAAATCAAGTATAATTGCGGCTTCAGAGAGGAAGAAAGAAGAAAGAAAGACCAGCAATGCTATCAACATCCATGGATCCAGCTAGTCCAAGATTACAGAAACTTCCCACCTAAACTAAGGCCGCAATCCCCATCTCACACTCTTCTATGGCTATCTTCAACTCCTCGGGGTCTTCTCCACGCTCTTTCATGACCCACAACAAGGTATCAACAAATGTCTCCCCATTATTCTTGAACCAGTCCCCCAGCGAATGCACATACGATTCCACATGTTCCTTCAAAGGGGCATGGTCTCGCAGCCAGAGCACTTGCGCTGGATTAAGCTTGAGCATGTCTTGCACAACATAATAATGTGGAATCTCGTCACCCCATCCCTCTTGGCCGGGATCATGAAAAAAATCACTACGAAGTTTAGCTGCGAATGTTGTTGATGAGGACGACTTCGCTAATGACGATGAGGCATGGTCGTTCTGATAATGGCTATGGAACGGCATATCCGAGTTTGAGCAGCTGTTGCCAGGAAGACCAAAGTAAGATCCCGTAGATAGATTGGACCTTTCTGGGCGGTAATTCAGATGAATATTGAAGGACAGTGGATTCGTATTCTCCGGGTAGCGCTTATGGAACTTGCGTTGGATGCTGCCGTTGCTCGGGCAGATGTGGTTCTGCACCACATCCTGAATGACCATGCGCACATCTTCGATCTCGGCTAGCTCTGGCGTTGACCAGTTATGCAGTAACTGTGCTCGTTCGGTCACAATAGATAGCAAACGACGTGAAAATCGGTCATAGTGACTAGAATAGAACGCGCGATCGTAGAGCCACAAACGGTAGATCGCACGACGAAGACGGAAGCGTTCGTCATCCGTCAGTAGCCGCCTATTTTCATAGTCCGACTTCCATTTCTTCAGTGGATAGATAGATTCCCACTTCTGTGCTACGCGGCCAATTTGAACCACCTGCTTGAGCAGCGCATCCGACAAGGAGGCTCCACGAATGAGATGGGCGGGTTGGCTCGCATTCTGTGTGATGATTTGGATGATGTCAGACATAGGACCAAACTCTGAATCCGCGGCGTCCATGAGAATGGAAACTTTTGAAGAAGAAGCGAAAATACGACGAAGCCGACGGTTGGTGGCAGCTAAATGCAGAGCGTCGGAGATAGAATTGCAGGAGCGGAAAACTTGGAGCAAAAGCTCCGTTGGAAGATCTAGTAAGTTCATCGTGATAATGCAATATCTTGAGAAGAGATTTAGTTAGCACGGGCTAGAATGAAGGAGCATTGGAGCCTACCTAGTAAGGAGTATTTGTCTAATAAGCAGTGTTCGAGATCTGGATATCGGCGAAATGATATTGAAGCAATCTGTCAAAGAGAAGATATATGTATATGAATGTCTCAAGGGATGAGAACGAGAGCCGGCGGCTTCGAGCGTCGAAATGGCGCGCCCAAAGCCGTCACAGTGATACCTAATAGCCTACTTGAAGACGACCCCTTCCTTGGGGCTTTCAAGAGTGCCAAATGGTGTGCAAATCATGGTCTTTGACACAGTGGTCCGAAGACAACGGGCCTGCAGGCCTGAAGGGCCGCTGGTGGTATGGACAGCCATAGCTTGCTGGGTTGTTGTGGGAGAGAGGGCGGCTTGTCAGCTGGATTTATATACGATGGGGGTGCCAAGTCTCCGGGGTTTCTTATGTAAGCAGCGATGAGCCCTTCGGTCACGTGTGCATAGTTGGCTGTTCGATTGCCAGCGCATCGATGGAAGAAGATGGGAGGTTATGAAAGAGAGAAGGAAAGAATGAATGAATGACGGTAACTTTTTGATATCTATGTATGTGTCAGACAAACGCCTCCAACGCCCACCAAGTACAGATGCCGCGACAGATCTATCTCCCTACGCTCAAGCAAACACCTCCCTTGTGTCCAACGCATCTCTCTCCCTTCCCTCTTTGCCCAGACCGAGCGTGGATCTCTTCGCCTCGTGGCCGGTCTGCATGTCGCGACGTTGCGCATACCGACTAGCCTTTTCGAGGCGGGTATCGCGACGTACTTGGTTCGGGCTGACATACTCCTTGTTCTCGTAGATCACAGGCCCACCAAAACTACCCTCGAGAATGACGATTGGAGTGAGAACAAAACGCGGGCCAATTTCAACGAGTGAGACCTCCGGGCCACCAATGCCCTTGTCCTTGCTCTTCGCAGATTTCTTATCGTCCCCATCTTCCGTTTCTTTGCTGCTGCCCTTGCCCGCCTCCGACTCCCGGATTTCGTAGACTCTGATCCAAATCTTGCCATCGACACCAAAGACACCGATGATGCGATCAACAAACGGTTTCATCCCCTTGACTCCGCGCTTGGGTACACAAAAGACTTTGCGGAGCATCTCTCGGATGAGCCCACGGTACTCTGTGCCAGTATGACCGACTGCCTCAGGGCCCTTTTCGTCGAACGACTTGTCAAAGACGACAACGCCGCGGCCTCCTTTCAAGCAGTTTCCGGCAAACCCAGTGCCCATCTCGCCCATGGTATGAAGATTAGTAACCGAAAACTTGATTGTAGGCCCATTGGGTGGGCGAGAGAGCCAGAGATATAGATCCTGACCGCGCTTGCGGGCCTCGAGGAAAAACACGACATTGCAGGAATGCAACTCTGCGAGCGAGTTGAGGAGGTTATTATATCCACCGCTTTTCTTCGTATCTAATTTATTCTCTTTATGCGTATGGGGAAGCAGTGCAGTCAGATCGGAAAGGAGATACCGGTGTCTAAAAAGATCTTTTATTAGCAATTGAGCGAAAAATAATGGTGAGAATAATAATTAGACAGCCATAGGAGCGAGCGCATCGGGGAGAGCATACCGATGTGTAACACCTCGCGAGGTGAGCATCAAGACACGAGTCTTCGGCATAAAGCCATCTTTGATACTCTGCAGTTGGCTCGCGGCATTTGCTTGATTATCTTCTCCTTCGTCGTCGTCTTCATCGCTCTCATCACTTGTATCTTCGATCAAATCGTTCATATCAATGTCCTCATCATCATCCAACTCGTCGTTGACGGGACGCTCCTGCTTCTTCTTCGATATCGATTTATATACAGACGCCATTTTGTCTCGTAATCTCGTCTAGAGATATTCGAGAAGCGGGGGGAAAAAAAGATAGAAAGAGTGTAGTCAACGTACTTTGATCTTGTCCGCTTTTTTTTTTTGCTGGAGATGAACATGGCAGAACTTTTTTTTTTGGTGCACATGGTCTCACCGCCTGGGACTAGTGACCCACACAGTTAGTTTGCGTCGATATCATTGGCGAATCACTGCATATCAACAAGGTCGATTTAGATCATTCTCCAAAGATTTGTACTTATTACCTAGGTACGGTCTTGTTGTGATTTTCTCTAGTTCAACATGGCAACCCGTTTAAATTCTATCGTGTTCCTATATTTCACATTACCTCGATAAACTTGGACTAATAAAAATTCTGGCTTTCGTAAGAACAAGCAAGGATAAAAGATAGCTGCATTTCGCCAGTCATTCGATTATATATCCTGCACATACATAGACATCAAATGAAAAAAAAGAAGTTGTGAGAATCAAGTAAAGGCATGTCCGTAACGGAGAACAAATCCCCAGGGATCTATCGTAAGCCAGTCTAGAAGCCAGCAGTGTTGTTGTACCGGCTTGAAGGGTAGTGAATATTTGTCGTGGAGGGAGGTGATGTCCATGGCCCACTAACAAACTGAGGATCTGTTGGAGTGTGCCGTATTGGTTCTGCACCAGGGAACTCAGAGCCCATTGGATTAGAAAATGGTTGGGGAGATTGTTGCGGGACACCGGCTTGTGAGAATGGTTGCCCATGATTTGGGCCAGTTGGGGGATAGTTATGTATACTTAGTGTTGGGAGGGTCGCGCTGATTTGATTGTCTGGCAATTCGACAGCAAATGTGGAATTGTGTGTAGATGGATTGTTCGGCATGCTATTTCCTGGATAATGGCTCGGCGGAGTCGCTGGATTGCTATGATGCGATAGGCCGCCTTGCTGGGATACCATACTTGAAGGCGTCATCGGGATATTGTTCTGAAGATTTGACGCGACAGTAGAAGGCACTGGTATCATTCCACTATTTGGATTGTATGGTGACGGATTTTGGGCGCCTTGATGAGAAACATGTTGCATGTTCTGTTCAAAATTATTAGTCGATTGTGGTAGATTCTGATGTATGGGAGGACCATGGATATTTTGCGGGTGTTGAGGAAAGTCATGGATCATTTGACTATGAGCATATGCATTTTGTACTGTTTGGCCCTGATGCTGTTGAGACATTTGTTGATGATATGAAGGTTGGTAATTATTGTGAAGCGGCGTTTGATTGGGCATTGCTAAAGGATTGTTGAGATTTGGTTTCGTGGAATGAGGTACTGTAGGATGCGCTCCGGTTTGCCATTCAGGCTGAGATGGCATAGGCATTGGAGGGCCACTGTTTCCATGGGGCACTGGCGGCTGATATGTAGGAGGATTATTATGAGCAAATGAATTTTGAGATTGCCATGACTGTGATCCTGAGCCCATGTGTGAAAATTGGTTCGAAGGAGCCTGACTGGCGGTATGATATTGCGGATATCCCGAAGAATTCGCAAACCCAAACTGCCCGTGCGATACGTCTGGGTGTTGGGAGGCTTCCCCTTGTTGAGTAATTCCCTGCCCTTGTGGATAGTATTGTGGTGCACTTCCTGAATAATTACCAGATTGGTGGGTAGATGCATAGCCGTAAGGATTGTGCCCGGCCTATGTCACTGTCAGTCTGAAGAAATCATCAACAGGTAGCAGCGGGTGTCTTGAAAGTACCTGGGACTGCAATGAGTTGGACCCGGACCCATATGACGAATGGGGGCTTGTGTTATTCGTATTAACACTTGAGGATTGATTCGTTGCATTATTGGTAGGTTTATTGGAAAGGAAATCTTTCGAAATTCTGTTGAGCACTCTATCGGCAACCTGTGTTATTCCCGAATTTCCATGGGAACCGAGAATACCCTATGCATTATGCGTCAGCTTTGGCACGATAATCATGAGATAATATCTTTCCATACAGACAAGCTAGGTCTCGTAGCAGAGTTACTGAAGAAACCCCTAGTTCCATCCATGTCTGGCGAGCCTGCCGCTATGGCCTGGGGACTTAGCGACTGCATTCCCGATTCAGGCGCTTGAGTTGGCCCTGAGCCGATTGACCCGGGCGTGGTAGAAGGTGTTAAGATAACTGGTTCCGTTGGGATCTCCCATTGTGACTTCCCCGTTGCGCGCTGAACAAAGTACCACTTCCGCGACACACCTTCCCATTGCGCAAGCCTGTACGGTTGAGCCTCAAAGTTAGCAATCGTGGACTGAGATGTAGATTCGTGCGCATCTTCAACAAACTTACCATCCTTCTGGCAACGGAGGTGGTGGAGAGGACGGCCCCGCGCTGTCCTGCGGCTCGTCGTGAGCCATGGGAGCGTAGTACGAGTTGGCTCAACAGCGATCAACACTGGCGGAGAGAAGGGTAGGCTGTGGTCAACTTTCTCATCTAGTTGGCATCGTCTAGTCGATATCGGGCAGAAATCTTTATTGTGGCATGTACTTTCTTGTCGAGCGCATTCGAGCTTAGCTTCGGGCAGCTTTGGTGGAGTCCGGATAAGGCTGCCCCAGGCACACCGAAAGCATCGCACTAATCCCTAACTGATCCTAGCGCCTGATTTCATCCTTCAACACTCCAATCCTTAGACGGTCGACGTCCAACTTAGATACAGATGTTCGGAGACCACGGGGGATATTCAGCAGAAAAAATTGCAACAAGAATACTGTGATAAGCAGTTCTACAGACATGCAAACAAGAAGAAAACAAGGCCGCACTCTCCAGCGAGACAACTCAGAATTAGGCTTGCATCAAATGGCTTCCACACCGGTGATACGGATAAACTCGCCGGCCACGTCCTTCCAGACCTCTTCAACAGTACCTTTCTGGCATAGGTCGCCCAGAAGAGCGACAACCGAGGGTCCGCATTCATCGCCTCCGCCATCAACAGAGTAGACACCGCTGCCCAACTTCCCATCAAATCCCTTGGCGACCGGAACACCGATAGGTAAGGGCACAACGACATTTGGATTCCTGGACCGAGCTGGGTATCTGTTACTGGTGGAATAAAACAGGTGCCGCTCGCCAACCTCTTCGCCAGGGGTGCTAAACAGAGGAGAAACAACTTGGTAAACCTTGCCAAGTGCCTTTAATACCCCCTTCATTTCTCGACCAAAATTGCTTCGAACATGTCCAGGGAAATCATGCACGAATGAGACCGTCGGGGCGTGCTCGGCAAAATGTGCCATGGTCAAGGTCACAAGTGTGGCCAAGTGACCTCTCATGGACATCAGAGGAATATTCCATCCTTGAATATCGTCAACATGCACGTTCCCTTCTTTGGTACCCGCTAGCACAGATACGACACGCCGGATACCAGTCGACTCTTGGATCAGCGGCAGCAAATTCGCGATAAAGCGTGCACGCGAGTAATGAACGAGGGATATCGAGAAGCGAAGTTTCTCCGACGTGACTGCCAGGGTATTTAATTGTCGCATTAGGAGAAGGCATTCTATTGAGGGAGGAAGAGGCCAAGAGCCAAAAGGAAGCGGAGAAAGACTTACTCGTACTCATGTCCATCGATCCCTGGCTTTGCACGAGCAAATTGATTGCTGTCTCTCTCGCCTTGATCTGTTGGCACACTTTATCCACGCCAGTGATGAGACTGATATCTGCTTGGATAAAGATGTATTCTCCTGCAGAGTTGAGAGCCTTGAGCTCGGATGTGATGCGGTCTGCGGCCTTTTGTGAACGACCAACAAAATACACGCGCGGTTGTACGCTATGCTTGACCAGCGCCTTCATAGCCAGCTCGCCTATGCCACTGGTAGCACCAACATACACCGCGACCAGACCCGGTGGTAGCACGGTAGAGACCTGTTTGTTCGAGGATCGTACTTTTTCCAGTTCAACCATGATGAATTAATTTTAAGAGCTTTCTGGGCACTCCTGATATTAAACAGTCAAAAAAAGAACTATCCGAATTCATGTATCCATTTAATGTCTTCTCACTCATGACAACCCGAGTCACCACCTCCATTATATATGTTTTACCCTGTAGAGGCAGCTCCGTATCCGGATGAAAAGAGGTGATTATGGTGCTCGTCTATGATGCATTATTGCAGCAAATGATGTTGGCGTATAGCGTATAGATTGCCTATCAGCGTTAGTACACCGCTAGGACCATCAAGCTTGGCTATCTTGGGACTAGCCTCATTGAACTCCATGGGAAAAATATTCTATAAAACAAGCCCTAACGCACCCTCCGACTCTCCTTGCTTAAATTAACCTGGCTATATTATTGCTACGTGAACACAGAAAAATACACAACTTGTCCTAACTCCGATGAATATCAAGCATCAACTGAGAGTCGTGGAAGGAGTGGGCAAGATACAATTGGATGAAAGGGCAAATTCTCTAATGATAGCCGAGCTTGGGGCTTCATGGTCGTTTTTGCCAGCATTGTTTTCTTCTCCTGGTAAAGAGATTCTTGGTTACAACGTGCCAAAAGAGATATGTAAGATGAATCACAGGAAATTGTACCAATACCTATACGGCATTACCAAAGTACCCTTAAGGGGCATTTATGGTGTTTAGCTATTTACAGGACGCCATCTCACGCAATATTTCTCAACGCTGGCAAGTCATAGACAGTATCTGGTAGTTCTACACCCTGAGGAGCCGTCAAAATCCCAAACTCACGTGTATACCCTGACCCTGCACTACTTGTCCCGTAAAATCCGACAATAACCTCATCCTCATTCGGCTCAAGGGTGACAATCGAATCATTATCTTCTTCTTCTTCATCACTGCCATCGTTATCGTGATCACGATTGTTGAGTGCACCCCACTCATCGCCATTGCTCAGGGTCATGCGAATACCAGACAAGGCTCCCCATCCATAGGATTGCCTAGAAAGCTGAACTTTGGTGATGGTCTCATTAGCAGGAAGTTCATGATCCTCTGACTGATGCCCACCGAAATGATGCTCCGCGCCAGTGTCGCTATCCCGCGCTGGCCCACAATGTTCCTTGCGTCCGTCGGCATAGTAAACCCGCGCTCCGTCCATTATAGCACCGACTCGGAGATCAATCGATGTCGCGCGATACAGTTGGCCATCTTCGCCACGGTGGCGGAGAAGCATGGCCCACTGTGTACAATCACTGTCTTCATTGTCGTTGCATTTACCCGATTGTTTGCGAAGGACCACATTGCTACCGGGGATGGGCATATAGGAGCGTTCCTTTAGCCTGGTCCATAGATTCTTGACAACGCGCTGTTTGCCATTCATGCTGAGCGCAGTGACCTTCAGGGGTTGGTTTCGGTCAAATCCTTCCTCGGCGACGTTCATAGAAAGCGTTGTGCAAGGATTCAGGACATCGTTCATGAAATTATAAACCTTAGGTTGGTCGTCGCCACTCTGAGCTTTCACTTCTGCCAGCCCTGCTGGACAAGAGACTTTTACCAAGAGATCTTCAAAAATGTCCTCTTCCTCCGCATCGTGCATCTCTTCTTCCTGGTCAATATAAATACCAATCTTAACGCCGGCGTTTCGGAAGGCATGTGGGCGAGGCTGATCAGTAGGAAGCGCAAAATGAGGCAGCAGTTTGAATCTTAACACATCTTGCAAATCCCATCGTGCCTCGTTTCCCACCATGGCATTGGTCTCATGTGCGACAAAATTCAGCCCCCAGGCTTTGCTATATCCTCTTGCCATGATTCCAGTGGTATGATCTGCACCGAACGCATGGCCGACTTCGTGCAGGAACGCGCCTTGGCCGACAAAACATGCGCCACGCATGGTATCGCACTCTCCATTATCGTTGCCAACGGTATCTCCCGTTGGCGTCATGTCTGTAAGACATGCAGGAACCTCTTCCATGAATCGCGGCCAGGAGTAAGTGAGGTGGCTGCCGAAAACCCCCAGGGAGAGGCCGTTCGGCTTGTGGCAACCCAATGCTGCATGTCCTAGGATCATAGACTCCTGGATGGAGTAATGCGAATCGAGAATCAGACCAGCCACAACTGGGCGATACCTTGGCTCGAAGGGAGCCCCCGAATTGATCAGAGCTGTCTCAAAGTACTGGTGCAGGGCATCCCGATTCCGCCCACGAGGGTTTTGCTGGGCACATTGCGCATCTCTGATCTCTTCGACGGTTTTGTCCGATCGGATAATATGGACCTTTGCCATGCTACCCATGTGACTGTGGTCAGCCGGGGTCGCTTGATAAGTTGCCTGCATGGTTGTGTTGGGGGACCATTCCTCTTCTAGACGAAACGAGCGTCTTCCCAGGCCCTTTTTGCGGAAGTCCTCTGCCGTGAGAGCCTGCCACATATAAGCCGACATTCGGAGCTTGGAAATAGCTGCATCGATGCTGTTGTGTGCAGTCGAGATGGCCCCGTATTTGGCAGGTGGGCAATCAATCAGCAGAGGTGAGTCTTTCGCGACGAGGATCGCAAGATGGAGGGGCGGTAGCTGCAAGAGGGGGACGTAGTTTATTTTCATTTCCAGAGCTTCTGAAATGCCTCCAGCATGATGCAGCTTAAAGAGGAGCGTGTTAGGCCCAGGGGTGAGCATGACAAGTGCTTTCCACTCGCCGTTGTTCAGCGGCCAATTGTGGACAGTTTGCGCCTGTTGAAGCATACCGGCAGTCGACACAGACACGAAATTGGTTTCGCCGGCACCATCGAATTCCTGGCATTCGCCATGAACAAGTACACAGCCTTGATGGATAGTCTCTCCATCATCGAGGTTCGTGCTCCTGAATGGCCTCTTCTGGGTGAGAGTGGGTTTGACCCGTCGTGTAGTGGACGGGGAGGCCATGGGGGATGGTCGTTTAGTCATGGCTACTTGATGTGGCTAGTTACTGGGATAGTAGAAACCGATGAAGAATGTCTATTTCATTCGACTTGAAGAGAGCGCGGTGGATGAAGACTTTATACCCGCAAAGTCCCGGGATAATAAGGGGTATCTGCAGGCAACAGCCGGCTGCCTGGAAGCTAAAGTGCCTCAACAGGAATGAACGGAGTATAAAGACCTGTAAAGTCTAGCCCGCTCAGAAATTGAGCCTCATTTCGTATAGAATATGCGTCTGGGCCGCTCTAAAAGTCCACATTGGCTCAGCCTCATCAACACGCTTAGACCTAAATTCGTACGTATCAACACCAGGTCATTCCACGATGTGATTAGCACAAACAAAGGACTCCAGATAGTCCCGAAAATAACTCTAGCGAGTCAATGAACTCTTTCTTGACTGCATGCTTGCTTGCTTGTCAGGGATTATTTGCCGTTCCGCGGCTCCGGATGTTGGAAATGGCAACCGAAGCACGCACAAAAGCTGGTTGTTGCATAATGTCACAGACGTAGCCAGTGAGTGTATGGCTCAAGCAATTCTTTCCAAAATAAGAGGGGAAAAAAAAGTAAAAAAAAAACCACTAACGGTAGCAGTGGTGTTCGTCCCATGAGTAGAAAAGAGTCCCGCTTCTTATTGGCCCCTTGCGACGTCCGCGGCCGGAAGCAACACGTGATATCCCCGGAGTCACATCATCGCGCCTGCCCGGAGCTCGAACTTGTCAACACAACTTCAGTCTACATTCGACCGTCCATTTCTTGGGTGTCGTCAGGTCCTCTTCTGAGTTGGAACCCCAACGCCTGTGGCGATTCCGTACTCGTGAAGGCAGACGCTCGTCATTCCTAGCTAACTATCTAGTATCTACCATGCGACGGCGGTTTCCCCGCATTGCGGCCAGCGCTGGCCGCCCCCGATCCAACGTATGCGGTATACGAATCCCCCCAATTTCTGCGACAACACATTCTCACAGACAATTCACATCGCTGAACTCCCCGCTACTGTCTTCACACTTTAACCGCTCCGATTTCACGAGTCAGCCATTCACTGGAAGCTATGAAGCTGGACTTCCGACTTCCGGGCCCTTGGGCTCCGCTCCTGCGTTTGGCGCCCCGAGGTTGACCCCTAGAATGCTCAAACAGTATCTCGACCAATTCGTCGTGGGGCAGGATCGCGCCAAGAAAATACTGAGCGTGGCTGTCTACAATCATTATCAGCGCATCATGGAGCTGCAACGCCAGGAAGAGGCTGCTGCCGAGCTATTGGCACAAAAAGAGAGGAGGGCATCCGTGGACGCTTATCCGCTGGATAGTATGAGCATGTCCCTAGAGAACATTGGTCGTTACTTAAGTTACGATGGATCAAGAAGCTAACTCCTTCAACAGACGAGTTCACAGGCGCTCAAGGAACGATAAACCTCGGCCCCCCGCCGCAAGATTCATTGAATAGCCGATTAGAACGCTCGGCGCTCGCAGATGTTTCTCCGACACAGCTTGAAAAATCAAACGTTCTTCTGCTGGGGCCATCTGGTGTCGGAAAAACATTAATGGCGAAGACTCTGGCCCGGGTGCTGGACGTGCCTTTTAGCATGTCAGACTGCACGCCATTTACACAGGCCGGGTACATTGGAGAAGACGCTGACGTGTGCGTACATCGACTACTTGCCGCTGCCAATTACGACGTGGAAAAGGCTGAGCGAGGTATCATTTGTCTCGATGAGGTTGATAAAATTGCCACTGCTCGAGTCAGTCACGGTAAAGACGTTAGCGGAGAGGGCGTACAGCAAGCTCTGCTCAAGATAATCGAGGGAACCACAATACAAGTCCAGGCAAAACCAGAAAGAAACAGCACTCGACCTCCAGGGAGTTCCCCAGGAGCTTACCCTCCAGGCGCAGCACCAGGTTCTGGGTTCAATTCTTCGTCTGCGTCCGGCCCTCCGCCGACAAAGGGTGAAATCTATAATGTGAGAACCGATAACATCCTTTTCATTTTCTCGGGCGCCTTTGTTGGTCTCAACAAGATAGTCATGGACCGTGTTTCTAAGTCTTCCATGGGATTTGGACAGCCGGTGCGGGCGTCTCCCTTTTCACCCGCCAATCACGCTTCGCTACAGGAGACTCATAACCAAGCGCCTATTCCTATTCTTCCGGGCTCCGAGGAAGAAGCTCTGTATAAGAAACACTTGCCCTTTTTCACACCAGCAAACCCTTCATCTCATGAAGATCCCGTTTATTTTAACCCTCTTGACCTCTCGACACCTGCAGATTTACAGAAATTTGGCTTCATCCCCGAGCTAGTTGGACGTATACCAGTCACAACAGCTCTCTCCTCGCTAACCCATTCTCTATTACTACGCATCCTCACGGAACCACGCAATTCCCTGGTAACCCAATACGAGATCCTTTTTGATCTGTCAGGGATTAAATTGAGCTTCACAACACCAGCTTTACACAAGATTGCCTCTAACGCTCTTACCATGGGCACCGGCGCACGAGGCTTGCGCACAGAACTCGAAACCATTCTTTCAGATGCAATGTTCGAAGCTCCAGGCTCTTCCGTCAAATTTGTTCTCATTACAGAGAGCGTGGCGGACCGAAAGGAGAAGCCGCTTTACTTTGGCCGTGGTCAAGGAAGTCGATTTCACTCCATGATTGCCACCGAAGAAAGCGAATGGGAAAAGAGGATACAGCAAGAGAGAGGACAAAATAATAAGAAGAATAACGGCAGCCATCATAAATCCAACAGCAAGGTTTCGTCCTTTGCGGAATATAGGAACCGAGATTCCACTGCTGCTGGTGGGGGTGGAAATTGAGGTCATGCCATTCTCTCTGTCTCTCTCTCTATATATACATATTTTAGCGGACTTTGCGTTTGTTGAACTGAGAAGGTCATTCTAGGGCTCTTCTCTTCTGTAAATATTTTTATATGCGCGCTCCTCTTTACGAACACTTTCTATCTGGGTGGATTAGGATTAGGATTAGGATTGATGACTTCCAGGTTAATTACCCACTAGGCAGGCGATATGAATATGCAAGATTGATCGATGCCCAATAGCCAGCCAGCTGGCACAAGTAAAGCTCTGAAATTTCAGGCTGCATTAGATATGTAGAGAATAGTACAACATACAAGTTCTTCCATATGCCTACCCGGCTTGAGAAAACTGCAAGGTCACACACGCAGACACATAGATACGCATTCATCAACCATGATGAGACCCATACATACCTATGGCCGTGACATTCGCGACCGTGATGAAGCCGCTGCTGTCTGTGTTGTGTGAGAAGAGTTGATTGCGTGAGATCCCAGATTCCATTGGTTTGCTTCCTTTGACAATGGTAAAGGACCTGATAATTGCGACGACGATGATGCTGTTGGTTGTGGTGGTGATGCAGCATTCTTCTGGGCTAGCCACTTCAAGTAATTGTCTTTATTGATGTTCCATCTTTGAAAGAAGTCGTTTGCGCCTTGGATTATCTCAATCTGCGTATATATTGTGTTACTTTTATATATATATCAAAAAGGAGAAAAACAGGGGCTGGGTTTGGCTTACATGTTGCCATTTCTGCCATCTTTCTTTGGGCGTAAGGTGCGTGAGAACATGGAATCTACGTAAAGACGCCGCATTCAGAATAGTCCATGCCGAGAATAGCTCACACAACAGATCTGCGTCTGTGCCATCTTGGGCGGCGGGGCCATCCGGGTTGCGCATTGCTGCTACAGAGAGGACGGGGCTTTGGAGGAACGGGTTCGTGAAACAGTCGAGATCTCGGGCTTCGGTGGGCCAGTTTAATGGGTCGCCCTGGCATGCGGTGTCGCCTATAAGAACGGCCATAACCGTGAAGCTTCAGAAAGCAAATTCAACGTCAGTAATTATTCGTTTTTTTTGTTTTTCAAGATAATCAGCGGCAAGGGAAAATAAGGACTTACCGAGGATCTTCTATCGACATTACATCTAGCCACTTCAAAATATCTGGACGAAACATCATCTTCGTTGTACCTGGTAACTTGGAATTCGCCGTATCCCGAAACCAGGCCAGAATAAGTATCGCCGCGTCTCTTTCATGGAGCATAAAATCCTCTGTCATGAGGTATCCACTGCCTTGAGGGAAAAGCCGTTGAAAATTGGTTGTTGTGTCGAGATTAGGAATGCCGTATGAAAGCGAAACACTCCAAAAGTTGAAGGATGGGCTCATGGTGAGTTTATGGAAACCGGGAAGTTCGTGGTATTGGATAAATGTATGGTGAAACTATTGTGCAGGAAGGATTAGTCCAAAGCCGCCAGTATGAGAAAACGAGGGACGAATGCAATCACCAATGCGACTCCAGTACTCGACTTTGTGAACTTCCCCCAATCATTCTTTTTGCGATTAGAAAGTATAATTGCGCAATGGCTCTCAAGAAATTGCTCTAGTATCTGGAAATCTCCGTCTGCGCTCTCGGGAAACCATAGGTAGAAGCAATTGGTGAGTTTCATGCTTGAACGGCTGGTAATAGCAGCAATGTCTTTAAAATCTATGTTAAAAGCTCTGGGGAACGCGTCCTTTATGAAACCCTCAATGTTTTGACCAGCGTCTACGTCAATCATCGAGATATCCTGCTTGTCCTCGGCAGTTTGGGGGTGAGATATCTCGTTTGATGCCTCGCCGATAGGTAGCGATAAGTTGGGCTCCTCTAAATCCGGTGTTTCGATGACTGAATGGTCTAGTTTATCTTGGGCAGACTGACTGGAAGAGTCAGAGATGTCCATCGCATCACAAAGATCAGCAGAGACCTCCGTTTGATTGTCAGCTGCAGTAGTTTTTGAGACATCTAATTGTGCAGTTTGGGGCGCCACCGTCCCCTGATCACTTGTGTCTGAATGGCATGTAAGGGCTTCCACAGGTCTCTCTGGCGCTTCCAATGGTGGATCATCTGGTTGAGGGGCAGAAATACTGTTTGTTGATGGATGCCGCCAAGGAATCAAGCCATCGTTTTCAGATTTACCTGGTTCGCCGAAACGCCCTTCTCGCTCTGGTCTTTCATATCGCTGGGTATTCTGTGCAGGCCTGCTAGGATATGTAACATTCAGCGAGCGTCGGGGTAGGATACCAGACCGACCTGCGACACATAGAGAGCCCTCTGGCACATCATATGCATGCTTATTGAGAAATTGGAAATTCTTGGACTTTGTGGGATAACACAAAAGTGTCAGCCCGTAATCTGGCTGAGACGGCCGAGGGCAAACTCTTGCTATTCCAACGAGATCTTTGTCCAGTAACACTTTTTCCAAGTTAGAAAGCCCTTCCTGCGTATCAGAATAGGCAGTAATACAGCCATTGAATAAAATCTCATCGTGTATCTAGGAATTTATCTTCGTCAGTGGGAAATGAAAGAGAGAGCTAGAAAGTCATTTACCTCATCTGACAGTGACTGGTAATGTTCTAACGTGCAGAGTTCCTCAAACCGAATTCGAATTTCGCTTCTGTGCTTGAGAGAGTAGACACTACTGCGAGCAAAGCTTGAGAGATCGCAGAGTAGGGCATCTCCTATCTCAATAGCTTCCGAGCCATGAGATAGTTTACAAAGGATGTCGCTTTTCTTGGTCAGTTCACGATTTCGTATTATGAATCCTTTTCTGCCGGGTTTCCAACCACGGGGGCCTATAGGAACTACAGGCTCAGATAGGACATATGAATCATTAGTTAACGTGGCCCTTCTTGCTTCTTGGTCATTATAGGTTGAGGAAACACTGGGAGGAGTCTCGTCCACGATGCTCGGTTGCTTTGAGTGAAGTATGGGGCTGGATGCATTAATCCGAGAGCGAGAAAGCGTGCTTTCTTGTATTTCAGCAGGTTCGTCTTGTTCAACAAAAAGACTGTTATCTTTGTGTTCTGTAGATTTGCGTCGTCTGAGAGAAGCAGACATCTGAAAGGGAGACCATGTTTTAGGGCTCTGTAGCTCAAGATCGTCTCTGTTTGGTTCAGGGTCTTGCCGTGACGCTTTTTCGAATTTATGCGTTGTCGAGAAAAGCTTCCATGTTTTAATTTGATCCGTGGGCGTCTTTTCTTGTTGTCGAGCTCGATGTAATACACTGGCAAGGTCTTTTCTTTCAGCACGGCCACTCTGGACTGTGAAAGCAACGGGTTTCGGTGGTGCTGCTCTCGGTATTTCTGAACGACGAGCTGGGTCTTTTTGTAACTGCCCCGTTGTAGATTCTGCCCCCCGCGTTTTGGGCTGGTTACCAGTCGTGTGTATGCTTCGAGTGTCATTTACATTTTTTGGCTGGGCAAGAGCCTTTCCCCTGACAGCTATCTGAGGTATATGATCACTAGATGGGGGCAAATCTTGAGCGTTCGTTGGACGATCTGAATCCGTCACTGGCCTAGCCCTCTCATCCTTTTTAGCAGACGCCAACAAGGCTAGCCTGGCTCGTTTTCCTTTTCGTCGACGTTTACGTTCCTGAGAGGCCTCTTCGAAGGCTTTGCATTCCGCCTCCCATTTTTCAATATCGAAAGGAGCTCTGATGCCTCTCGTGATCGCGCGTTTCTTCCTCCTCCATTCGTCTAGCGTCTCGCTGCTGTTAAATGAGTCTACGGGCTCCCAGGTGCAGCGCAGGTCAGAATAGCCTTTCCATTTCACGAGGTACCTTTTCTCGCCATCGATGAACTCTTGTGCATGAATAGTTTCAACCTCATACTCGTCTTGAAACTCGCTTGCGGCCGTTGAAGTAAGAGATATGTTGTCATCTTCAATGCAGCTCTCCGCCGACGCCGAGATGGGCGGTGGATCCATGTCCGTTGCACCGATCTGGCTAATTGAATGCTCAGATGGAGTGTCCATCTCTTTTTTTTTTTTTCCGTCGAGTGATCCAGAGTTCTTCAACTGGCAATAATCTGCACGACCAAGGTAGCTGAGATGAATGTGGCGAGAGTAAATCCAACTGCGTCAATTAATACAGGTTCGAAAGTCGCAGCATGCAGAGATTGCTGTAGTAGAAGAAGAGTAAATCAAATTGGCGAGATGCTATCCTGTTGAGGTGGTTTGTACGCTGGCCGTTTTCTCTTTGTTTGATGCCAGGCGTCAAGAGGCGATCAGCGTGCCATGCAATCTTCCGATGATATGATGAATCATAGAATTGGTCTCAGTATTTTTGGGTGACATTATCTTCCAATTTTACTGGAGAGGCTTGTTTTTCGCCATAATCGCCAATGACTCAATAGCGTGGTGCTGAAACAATTACGCTTTTTGGTAATCACGATCGATCTTGAGCAGAGACGCGCAGAGTGAGAAAAGGTCGATAGACGCTGTATGGCACACAGTTCAGCCAAAATAAGCAGCTGGCGGCTTATTCTTAGTTGTACAAGGTGTAGAGTTCTTGACTGATATATGTTGAGATTGAAGTGCTCAAACGAATGTTCCGACTAGGAATATTTAGATACATATCGGTCACGTGCGCAACCCAATTACGGTGTACACAGCCCTACGAAAGTTAGTGGTCATGTCAAAATAATATATATACGAATAAATTGAATTGATACATAATTGGGAATTCTTGAATCATAAATCGTTGAATACTTGACATCGCTATCATACATGGACCGAAACAAAACCCCTCAAGCCTGCTAAACTCCGTCGTCGCTTTGCGAAATCATTTCATAAGCCTTAGCCTTTGAATGAGAAAATAAATAAAAATAAAAATAGTAGTTTATATAGGCATTCCTTTTCTTGCCAGAACCTTATCCATCCGTTGTTTCATGCTATCCACCAATTTGTTGATCTCCTTTGTGGTGATTTTATCCCATTCTTCCAATACGGCAATCTTGAGTTGGACCTGGTCTCCGATGCTCCTCTTTTGTAACCTCTTCTTCAAGATGAGTAGAACATCTTTCAAGATATTTAGATCGGGAGACGCTTCGGGGTTGTGGATGTAAGGTAATCGCAGTGAGTCGAGGTGGGCATGCACTAGGTTTTGACTAGCTGTCGCGTTCTCATACCCCCCGCTGCCGTTCTCAAGATATATCATTCGCCGGACAGTCGCAATAGGCTGTACATGCGGTTGTATGATCTGAGATAGATAGTCGTGCTGGCTCATGGCAGAAATGTCGCTATCTTCGCTTTGGAGAAATATGAGAGGCCCCTTGTAGTCATAGCCCACCATAGCCCAGCAATGAAACACGGCGTTATCGATCTCTTCCCTGGACTGGAGACAGTCGTCACATAACCGCTCGTCCTTCCTATTAAACACTTTGGCTTTCTGCGTCGTCCCGAGACCGAAATTGACGAAATCGTTGAACAACACGGAGCGCCACTCGGTCTGCCATTTGTGGTGTGCTAGAGCATATTGCATCCGGGTTTCCCTTGCCTGCTTCGTTAACCACTTTTGCTGGCACGCTATTCGTTTGCAGTACCCCTCTTTGATCATATAGTTCCGTATGGTTTGCATATGGACGCCATCGACGCCGACAGAATGCCCGAGTTGTTCCCAGGACATATCCCCGTTAGAGTTCTCCAACAGGAGGATCATCTTTTGCGTGAGGTCATCGCTGATCTTCTTCGGTCGGCCGCGCCTGTCCGATTTCTTCGAGACCCTCTCGGTTCCCTTCGACGAGCTCCGCGCGACTGCTGGGTCGGATTTGGAAGCGCGCGACCTACTTGTTCTCTCGGGCTGTGGACGCTGTTGCGGCGGCATCTGGCTGCCCACTCGTTGAAGATATGTGAACGTGTTTGGCATAGCAACTTCTGGGTTTGGCGCACCAGAGTGCCCGTGTATACCTGTAGGGCCCGAGGAGAAGACGTTTCGCAATCCCTTGAGCATTGACATTGTATCAGGCCGCCCTTCAGCTGCATTTGCTTGCTTTTTTTTTTTTTTTTTTTTTTTTTTTTTTTCCTCCTCCTCCGACCGGAGATCCAGAACTGTAGGGGGTCACGTGCCCGGGGGCTAGCCCGAACGGGGAGCCACGACGGGCGGGCGGCCAAACAACTGAGAGCGACGCAGCAGGCAGTGCAAGCAAGGCTTCGACATTTCAGCCAGAACCATCCGAGCCCTTTGTGATTCATTCATTGTTCGAGGTGAGTGATTTCGCCTCCTTCTCGTATAGCCTGCCGCTTGACCTTGGAACTTTGAACACCAGATTCTTGATGTTCTAACCTACACAGCCTTCGACGTCCGTCGTTATCTTGCGATCCTGTTAATTACACCACGTTTATTTGCTCCGCCTACAAAACAAATACGCAACTCCACCTCACGGCGCCATGGCTAACGACGAATACGATGTGAGTCACGCTGTTCCGGAGAATGGCCATTGCAATATACAAAATATCATGCTAACATACACCATCTGTGCAGTTTCTTTTCAAAGGTGATTGATTAACCGCGCTCCGTCCTCACCATACCCCCTTGCCAGCTTCCAGGAAAGGTTCAATGTACTCATTCATATAACCAGTCGTCCTTATCGGAGACTCCGGTGTTGGTAAATCCAACCTTTTGAGTCGATTTACTCGAAATGAATTCAACCTAGATTCCAAGTCCACCATGTATGGACCTCCTCCAACCCCGTGGACAGAGAGATGGTGGCCACTGATATCTTCATCTATTTTTACAGTGGTGTCGAATTCGCTACACGCTCAATTCAAGTTGACTCGAAGACAATTAAAGCCCAGATCTGGGATACCGCCGGACAGGAGCGTTACCGTGCCATCACTTCCGCCTACTACCGCGGTGCTGTTGGAGCTCTCCTCGTCTACGATATCAGCAAACATCAGACCTACGACAATGTGACTCGGTGGTTGAAAGAGTTGCGTGATCACGCCGACTCGAACATCGTTATCATGTTGGTTGGAAATAAGAGTGATTTGAGACACCTTCGTGCTGTGCCTACGGAAGATGCCAAGCAATTTGCCAGTGAGTAGCAGCAACTCTTGGGAATCGTATTTTCTTCGATTCGAGACCACTGATGGGAGGCTAGGCGAGAACAACCTGTCATTTATCGAGACTTCGGCCCTCGACGCTAGCAACGTTGAGCTTGCTTTCCAGAACATCCTGACAGGTGCGTATTACTTCTATGATGTTCATTCCAACGCGTGGCATCAAGAGTCTGTAGACTGATACCATAATTCCGGTGGATCAGAAATCTATCGTATCGTATCAAGCAAGGCCCTGGACCAGGGTGAGGGTGGACAAAACCCACTCAGCGACCGCCGTCAAGTCGTGGAAATAAGCAAGACTCAAGATACGGAGACAAAACAGGGATGCTGTTAAAAAGCCGTGCCCCCCCGGCTCTTTGGACCAAGACGAAATGCCTCGGTTGTTACGTTACGATTCATAAAGATTCTTTTTTTCTTCTTCAATTTTCTTTATTCTTGTTTCTCGTTGGCCATTCGACATGGAAATTGGGTTGTCTGAATTTGGGACTTTCTTTTTTTCTCTCTCCCGAATGCTGCTGTTCAAAGTTGCTTTCTTTTCAAGCAGAAAGGAAAGGTTCACTCTACATACTATAATTATGTATGTACATGCAGAGAGCGTGGAGTGCGTGCGGACTGTTTGTGATGAACAATGATTTTGTTGTATTTTGGCCCTTCCCCCTTTGTTCCTCTTAATTCTATTTTGAGTCTCAACGCCCCCCAATCTCTCCTATCAAATCAACTGCAAGAATTTTTTGTGTGGAAGACATTTCGGCATTGGTCACGTGATTTCAGAGGTCAGGCGCTTTAATGAAATTCAATCTTCTGTTTTTGTTGTCTTTTTCTTCAGTATTTTAAAAAGGTCAAATTCGAAAACTCCATTGTTAGATTTTGACACCGGCAGTAGGATGCCAATGATATCGACCAAGCCATACGTCTTTAGGCATATAAAAACAAATCTCAGACATTAGTCACAAATATTCCTAGGTAATACCTAGCTATTGCAAAAACCTCCGCTGCCCTGGGTATAATACTCGAAGCTATTAACAAAATAGTACCTAGGTATTTATAGAGCCCTCAATCAAAAAAAATGAAGAATGAAAATGAAAAATGAAAAGCAAGTCACCAAAGGCCAGCAGCAGTGATGGGAGAAAGAAAGAGTCAACAAAATAAAACATCAGGTATCATAAGAAAAGTGTGGAAACAAAATCAAACAAGTATTAGTCTCCATGATAGTACAGTACTGTCTTTAATTATCATGAGGTCGTCGGTATGGTTAGAGGTATAGCATCTAGATTTCTACCTACCGAATCCCTTCCCATCAGCAGACTCAATGCTCCATCTGGGCCTGTCAAGATTCTGCAATTCTTGCTCCTCACCATTTTCAGTGGTAGTCGAAAAATCAGCCACAGAAGAAGATCTCGAAATATGCTCATTCGACCTGAGTCTTCGCGGTTTGCCCATGGGATCTTTTTGGTGATGGCTGCCGCGGAGTTTGGTGAGTTTGATTTGGGATGGAGAAGGCGAAGGGACGCGCTTGCGAGAATTGTTGTTGTTGCCTGATGATGGTGATGATGGTGAGGAGGACGATGGTGTGGATGATTTCGATCTTCTTTTTATGAAAGGGATATGGGAAAGAAGCATGTGGAATGCTGACTGGGAGGTTATTATGTACACGATTGCGTTCCAGAACGCTTGTAATGGAAATACAAATGAGGCAGCGTAGTTGAGTTTGAAGTTCGTCGAGTTTGGTTTAATGCATCCGTAGATTCGATTCACGCTGCTTGGGACCTGGTTTTATTCGTCTTCGTTAGGTTTCATTCCTGTTATTCATCCACAAGAGAGAAAAATGCGTACCCAAGTGACTAGCAGCGCGAGAAAGAATAGGAATGCAACTCGTGCATAAAGCCACGCTTCAGCATTAGTCTCATGCTTAGCCACCTGTCGAGTGAGACTTCTCATGCGCAAGGCCGAAGGTAAAGGCCGCTTGCCATCCGTTTGAATGCTGACTTGGACGTCCACAGAGTACGGATTGCGAATATCCGGGGTTGCCGACTCTTCAATAGTTCGGATTTCATGTGCAGCTTTGTCGACAATTGGACGTTCCTCGCTGGTGATCATCACCTCTGTTGTGACGGTGTTGATAAAGGGGTTTTCGTTCAGCGGATTCAAGAAACCGTCGAGGTGCTCACGCTTGTCCCAGATGACTTTAGCAGCTCCGCCATATATGATGATTGCGAGTAAGATGGCGACCCTGTTTTTCTTGTTAGGACGAAATCTTTCCTCTAAATAGAGAGCCCTCCCTAGGTCTTGGAGGAAGAAAGACAACATACCAAACAATCGCGTATAGGAAGATAAGCCGCATAAAGTCCCATTCGATACGCATCCAACACCAGATAATTGCCGGTCCATATACCGGGCCGCGTTCCCTAGTGTTAATGAAAATAAAAACAAAGGCGGGAATGAAAGATAGCCCATAGCATATGAAAAGATATGCCCGATCCAGAGATCGCAACTGGTCCACCGTATAGCCCCTGAAAAATACCAAATAGACATTCACAGCCATACACAGCGCCCAATAGCAATCAACCCCCAAGAACATCTGAACCAGAAAGGCCTGGAATTTGCATATCGGAGCCGCCGACCCAGCCAGAGGGCCGGCTTCTGATATCAACGCAGCCACATTAGATCCTAGATTACCGAAACTCGCAAAAAAGATGAGTCGGTTGATCGGTTTGTTGAAACCCGGCACAAAGATGTAGGTTGTCACCACGAAGATAATGGAAAATATGGAGATGGATGAGTTGACTCGCTCTGTAATGATTAGAGCCCGGAGTTGCTCGTCTGTAAGAACCGCGACGCCTTGCGACATTGCTCATTCAGTCCGTCCTCCTCCGCAATCTAGACAAGGTATGTGGTTGGCTGTGATGCCCGTCGAAAGAGCAATCGCGTCTATTCGGCATGCCGAGTAGTAGTCATCTCCTCTTTCCCTTCTGATGGTCAAAGATGGATGGCAGACGCTGCATACAGGCGTCACGTTGAACACAGTAAGACGAGATTCGGGGATTTGTGGGGATTCATGACTAGATATATGAATCGTCGTCCATGGCTCAGGTAACTACCACCCGGTGAGTGATGTCGTCTTTGTTCGGAAAAGCGTGTGAAAGTATGTAGAGTCTAGAGCCAGAAGGGATCTTCCCCCCCTCCCCCTGCGTAGCACAAAATCATCACGCTAGATTGGATAGATAACGTAGCCTGCAGACAATTTCTGGGATGATTGATGGTTGGACCAACTATGAGTCCTCCAATTGCTTGTTTGTCGATTCGACGCGTTGTGGATACTTTGTGGATACTACTCCTGGCACCATGCAAGGTGGATACATATATTGAAGGGATGATATACTCCATACTTTTTTTAGTGCCAATTTCAAGTGATAAGTCGGATAACTTATAAGCGGGTCCTCGGCCTGAATGGTTTGGACTTTGAGCTTTGCAACAGCGCGGTGCGTCAACTAGTCGGCAGCACTATTTGCGAATATAGGTAAGTCGGTTTGTACTGAAATCCTACTGTGCCGAAGCCTTTCCGAAACGAGAGATGAGAACCTTCCTGCATAAGCTGAAGGATTCTCTCATGCTACGGTACGGACTACTCCGTGAGTGGCCCTCCTATATACGGCTCCACGATAGTTACAGTAGTTGAACTCTCTTTTATGCTGGAGTAAGCAGTACCGAGACTGACAAAAGGTTAAGTTGGTGATACTCCAGTACCCCTGAGAACGGCGTGCGAATGAACTACGACTCGTAGCGGTTTCTTCCCGTGCCGAAGTTCAAAGCAGCAAACTCGTGGAGAAGTTTCTGCCCCATGGACTCGTCATCAGTAAGCGATGCTAGTATCAGCGCGCCGCCACTGTTCCCAACGCGCAAAGACTAGAAACGTTAGTAGAATCATTCCGGTCGATCAATCAATCCAGTGGCAGACATTTAGCACGCCTCTGACGTGGTGGTAGATAGTTGCTCCCAGATAAGCAGGGTTGCAGGATCTGACTTACCACATACAGTGTAACTACACTGCACAGTCATGCTTGTTGAATCAACGTTATACTCCGTACGAGAAACGCAAAGTGATTAATCTACGTCCCCTCAGGGATAAGTTAGGGATCAGCAAGATAAAGCAGTCTAACATCGTCCAATGACCCCGATCAATTCCTAAAATTAAACGAATCATGGCCCCCACGCCACGAGGGCGGCAGACGGGCCGGCCCCCATGTTCGTGCGCCTCACCAAGCAGAGCTGAGAGCCCAACACCATCAAGTTCCATTTTGTCAACTCACCATCTTTTCAGAGTCCTGAGTTTCTCGTACCGGGTACAGTAGAGCCTGGCTATAACAGTTGTAAGCCTCCTTTTATAGAAACTGATGTCAGCTTTTTCTGCTTTGGAAAGCGGCCCCCAACCATGCATGGCGGATGCCGTCTTTTCTCCAGAAAGCATTGGTGATTCATGGTTGACTGGCGGTTTAGGTGCATTCCCAGACATACAAATCCCACAGTGTGGTACCATAAGCTGTTCGCATCCTATCGTCCGGCGCGAGAGCAAGACCATGGCTAGTGGGGGGCCCAAATGCCGATATGAATAGAGACCCTTGCGCAAGATACCATGGGTGAGTTTGATGAATCTGAGAGCCATAACGCTAACTGAGTTGTCCAGTATGTTTGGACCGCTCTATATTGCCTAGGTGGGTGTCTTCTCCCTTCATCCAAACAGGGTGAACGGTATTTTGTTGGCAAGGTCTTTGATGACTAACTTGTGGTGTCAATATACAGTTCTATATGATTCTTCTAAGGAAGAGTTTGCTCTTTCCGGTATAGGACAGCTATTTGATGATGAATTCACAGCACCCAAAGATGCGAGTAAAGCTTTGATAGGGAGACCTCCAAAAGATAGAGACGATCCTACCAAAGTTTACTACTCCGATGCCGACGGAGAATGGTGGACTGCGTACGAAGATTACAAAAAGCGAGACTGGCGCGAAATTACCTCGAGCCCTGCATATGAGTTGCTGGCAACTGGCACAATGGATACTCGGCCCTGGTGTCTTACAGGCGTATCAATAGCCCATAGATTCTGTTGGAAAGAATGCTGTGAGATTACCACCAGTTTAATCTCGCTTCCACGATAAGATCGTAGACAAACGGACCTTGACGCTAATTCTCTGCGTTACAAGATGTGTAAATATGCTTTTTAGGCATTACATCAAGGATTAGAGGGCACTGAGAATGCGGATTCTTTTCAGCATTATCGGTTTCTTCTAAAAACAACTATAATATTCTTAGGCACGCGTCAGATATGCAAGCATTCAAATAGGTAAGGAATTACTAATTCGGAGTAGGGCATCCACATGATGATAGCGCCTGTATTTCCTTTCACCCGTGGAGATCTTCCTCACATATAAACAGTGCTACAGTTATCGACTATCTCCGGAAGTCGCTCAAGAAAGTACTCTACGATAATACAGATGTCGAAAGCATCCGCAAGATAGACGAATGGGGCTCCACCATTCTCCATTCATTAGCTATGGAAGATCCTAGTCACATATTCAGTATGCTTATCGATTTGGCGAATTCGGAGCAGAAAAGGAATAGCGCATATCAACAAATCGACGTCAACCATAGGGATAGTGAGGGATGCACATTACTTCATAGGGCAGTGGAGGCAGGCAATATTCCGGTTGTTAATGTCCTTTTATCGGAAGGAGCAGATCTCAATGCTGGAGATGGAAAGCAGGATACCCCTTTGCACTTTGCGGCTCGCTACGACCAGGAGGTTACCAAAGAAACCTTGATCGATCAAGAGGCGGCTTTGACCATGCGGAATGTCGAGAAAAAGACTCCGCTGGAGTTATCTTGGGCTAAAAAATCCCTCCTCAGATGGGACTTGTACAAAATCGACGAAGCACTAACAAGAAGTAAGCGGATGAGTATTGGGGCCCAAGCAGAATGTCACGGTCTCAAGAAGCAATTGAACTACTCGGGACCAGATGTATTTTTGAATTTTTGCTTTGTGACCCTAGTAATAAGCTAATTTCCACCTTCTATCAGTTCACCTTTTGCGAAATATATAGTTTGTTGCGCTTACCGCACGATGAGCGTTATTGTGTCCACAAAGCCCTTCTGCGTGAGAATCAGGTCCTCCAGCGGCTTGAGCACCCTTTCATTGTCTCTTATATTGGCTACGAGGAGCTTGATAGCGGAGAAGCAAGGTTGTACTTGGAGTATTGTGAATGCGGTGACCTTCAAACCATGCATGTGAAAGCTTCGCTACCTACTCCACAGCACATGAGCGATGATGAAGACGATTTGCTCATGTTATCAAGCAAGCTATTACATATTACTTCGGATTCCGAATCAATCGAAGCACTTAAGGAGCCCGAAATTTGGACGATGCTCTATCCGTTATCTGCGGCGTTGGTATATCCCCATTACAGCGTGTGCATTTCCAGGCAAGGGGCCTGTCGCTTTGAGCATCATTGGGATCCCGTGTTTCATCGGGATATCAAGCCCCATAACGGTAAATGACCTTTTGTGCCTGCTTTTCTGACGTCGTGTCCAGTTGTTGACTTCTTCTAGTTGTCTTGACCACGCTCCCCAACGGACATCGAATCGTGAAGCTATGCGATCTTGGGATTGCAAGACCATTTATCAATGTAAACCAGTCCAGGCCCTCTGACCGTGGGTCCCAAGGTTTTCACCACCGGTAGGCACCTGGGTAGTAATTTTCGTGCTTCATTGCGCCATGAAAGTAACTTGAAGTGCCACAGGAGGTGTCGGACCCCAATATAGAAGAAAAAGATCGAAAGTGGACAAGCAAAGGAGATGTCTATAGTCTTGGAAGTAAGCATGCAAACATCCACCCGGTTGAAGTGGCCCCAGCTAAGTTGCCATCGTAGAGACGATAGACAGATTGCATAAGGACTTCACACCGAGCGGCTCACTGCAAGATCTATTGAAGGCCTGTCAGCATCCCAATCACAATTTACGACCCAGCAGCTTGGATGTACTGGAAATCGTGCAGACATGCAAGTGACCCATACCTGTCCCTGGAAAACGAACTGGGCCATAAGCCTGGAGGCCTCATTCTGCAAGCCTTTCTCAGAATTGCGAAAAACTTGGACATTACCACTTTTGGGACCCAAACATCCATTATGCAGCGGAAAAGGCTTCTAGCACGCCTTAAGTTGCTTCTGAAAGATGGTGTCGAAGTTCCATTTCAGGAACACTCCCGGTCATTGCATCTCGCAATTTTGCTAAACAAGAACCGCATGCTCGAGACTTTGCTATTAAAGTGGCAGAACCCGGATGAGACATGGCAGAACTCGGGTTGGACGCCTCTACACCTCGCCGCACAGCAGGGGAACACAGGAATGGCCGAAAAGTTGTTGGAGGCTAATGCAGACCCTGCCACTCTTGACCGTCATGGTTTTTAAAGCTGTGGATTATGCCTTGAAGCTTGGCCATCCAGATATACTCGAGCTATTTCTCGAGTTCAGCAATTCGAAACCCAAAGCCCAAGTGCCCCGCAAGTCCTGGCAGAGTGTCTTCAAAGACGATGCTGTTGTGGAGGTTAAGAGGGACCGCAGAGGTGAGCTCTCTATATCCTATAAACTGGAATGGGTACTAAGTATGGTTCTGCCCCAGACACGAGGCTCGTACGAGCCATGATGGCGAACTTGACGTGATATTTTCGACACGTCACGACGCCAACGCTTAGGTAGATGGACTAAGATATTCGACTGCTCAGAAAATCACGCTTTTGCTTTGGTCTTTGAAGCAAGGTTGCTGTAGGGCCCAAGTAAACAGAAAGGGCACGATAAAAAGTTCCGAGACTTGTTGACGGATATCACATGGATCTCATCTCATTGGGGTACTTTTGCACCAAGTACTTAAACAAATCGAATGGGTACAAAATACATTTCTTGAGTAAGACAACTGATATTGATTTAGAGCCTGAAGCAGAGGCGCAAGGGAGTAGCTTGAGTTAGGAAAAAAAAAAAAAAAAAAAAAAAAAAAGCATGTAAATGCGAAGGAGTATATACTTCTGGCCAATCATAATACACGTATAGTTAGTAATGATGTACATACATGCTAGGCCGTATGCGGTTAGGCCGCCACTTTCGAAGCTTCATATTTTGAGCTTTCCCTCACGACAGTTGAGAGAACATCCATGCTTCAACTGCGCAGATTACTCAACATGGCAACAGAAACGGCTGCAAAGAAGCTGAAGACTCCAGGGCCGTTGATCGGTACACACAAGTATGTTCAACGCTGTCTTTCTGGCTATTAGACATTGACGTTGCGAACTATCTCCTATCTCCTACCCCTCACGAACTAGTCGTCACCGAGTTGACAGTTGATACTAATTTCGTGGTAGTGGGCATTTCCATGCTGATGAAGCTCTGGCTGTCTACATGCTCCGCCTCCTCCCTGAATACAATGCCTCACCGCTAGTGCGAACGCGAGACCCCGCGCGACTGGCCGAATGTCACACCGTTGTCGATGTAGGAGGGGAATATGATCCCACGACAAACCGTTACGATCACCACCAACGAACCTTTTCGACGACATTCCCTTCCCACACAACTAAGCTGTCATCAGCGGGTCTGGTCTATATGCATTTTGGCCGTGCCATAATTGCACAACACACCTCTTTGCCTCTTGATCACCCAGATGTCGGCCTGCTGTATGAGAAGCTCTACACTGATTTTGTTGAGGCACTAGATGCGCATGACAACGGCATTAGTGCATACGATCCTCAGGCTGTGAGCGCATCTGGTCTGGAGAAGCGCTTCAAGGATGGGGCTATCAATCTGGGATCGTTGATTGGGGACTTGAATTACCCTGACCCAACATTGAGCAGTGGAGAGCCGCAAGATGAGGATAGTCTATTTGCGCGCGCTAGCACGTTTATTGGTGACGTTTTTCTGCGAAAGCTACGACTTGCAGCTTCCTCTTGGCTCCCAGCGCGCGCCACTGTGGGTGACGCATACCGCAATCGCAAGGAAGTCCATGCTAGTGGGAGAATCATAACTCTTTCAGGTGGCGGCGTGCCATGGAAAGAACATCTTTACAACTTTGAGCAAGAGACAAAAGACGCCAATGAGGAGGTCTATTATGTGCTCTATCCGGAAAATTCCGCGCCAGATGCGAAATGGCGGGTGCAGTGTGTGCCCGAGTCCGAGGGTAGCTTCGTGTCGAGAAAGCCGCTACCAGAAGCCTGGAGGGGTGTGCGAGACCAAGACCTCGACGGTGTTCTTGCTGCGGAGTCTGAGAAAGCCGGCAAGGAGAAGATCCCTTCGGGTGCGATTTTCACACATGCTAGTGGGTTTATCGGCGGTCATCAGACCAAGGAAGGTGCACTTGCTATGGCTATTCGGAGTTTGGAAAATTGAAATCAGACCTAGAGTGTTTTGTCTTTAGCTTGAGGGGGGAAAGGGGTTGGCATGATCTAGGGAAAGAGGATAATAGGTTCATGTTACAAAATACCAAAAGTTATTGTCGCGTGCTCCTTATCCTAATATCGAAAAGGTCGCGTGAGCATGTCAGATGTATCCAACGTAGGAACGTGAAGTGTCCTCGATACTCGACTCCAATGCTAGTATAGACTAACTATGCACACTGCGAAGCATAGCGCACTTGCTAGTAAAGCCGCCCGACGACTATCCAAGTTTGCTCTGGGCATACGACCTCATACTACTTTAGTTACTTTTCCAATATACAAGTAGGTAATGGATGCAACACACCAATGTACCCCTCATTCGCATGAATATAATGTTGACGGATATAATAGAAAGAATCAATATGTCAACTACATAGTTTTCGCTAGTAAACATGCCATGGTTAGACTGCCTCGTCACTGGCTGGCCCCTCGTGCACGACGTTTAGCCTTGGCAGGAACAAGAGTCGCGCCAATCAGAGAGGGGAATTTTCTTATCAGATGATTCGGTAACTGGCACGTACTCCGTGGTAAGTACCTCTGGGAGTATGGCATACTATAATTTGGCTGTATTTCCGAAGAGCATGTGGATGGAATATGTGCTGGTGCTCTAGATTAATACATAACTAGTGGGCTATCTAATCTTTAGTCTATATCATTCCTTCCCTGCAATCACGCGGGAAACGAAGAATAATCCCCCGTTCGCCTAACAACCTACATAAACACTCAATTCCAATATGCAATATGCAGCTTAATCAACGAAAGAACAAAACGTGATCCTCAGCTTAATCATGTACGGACCGTGGCTGGTGGTGTGGGGGCACTATCTTCCAATGACATTCCACAGATTAGACTTTGATAGTGCGGACCGCCTTGCCGATGATCTCTGAGCTAAGTTTAGCCTAGCCTGATTTATCCATCAAGCCCTAACTGTACATCAACTTTATCTCCTTGCTTTTGTAGTTTGGTTAAAGACTAGGAACACATAAACACATACGTAAATGAGTTTAGTCTGTTATCTATAAAATAGCTATATAGGCTTACATTGGAATATTCTTGCTTTTTGCACTTTTCCTGAGTTGTATATCTTTCAAGTCCTAAGTAGGTCAACATTTCGCATACTTTAGAGTTGATACAAATTCTTCAGCCAATAATGGTCATCAGTTCAAGCCATGTGGCCCCCCCTATTACTCCGTACTTGAACTCGAGAAAACCCCCTAATTCAATGGACAAAACATATCCGATGTTGCTCCATACGCATTGCAGCTGCCCATCTATTGGGGTATTCTTTCTCATCTCACCCGCATTGCGTGAAAGCAATAGAGCCAATCAGTGTTCTGCATGACCAGATCAAGAGGGGATATTCGCCAATTAACTGCAGAAAATAATGATAAATACCGCTTTTTCTTACGCTAGTCAGGTTAGGATGCCTTTTTTCGTTCGTGCATATGGTAGTATCCATGGATATTTGCATTTTTTGATGTTCACTTGCTCTGATGCAGGGATGCTAGGTAACAGCCAATATGTAGCACATAGGTAGGGTGTCATCAAGCCATGCATTCCCCTCCAGACTAAATGAAGAATGCGCCTCATTTTGACTTCCGCGCAATGGAAAGGCGCTATAAGTAAACGGTCGTCAGCAATCATGAATCAGGAGCCTACTTCTACAATCGGGGACAAGAAAGACCCGGAGAAATAACATCATCACCAGCTTGAAGCAGATGTTGCAGAAGAAGTAAGAGCAAGCAAATCTGTCAATGAGTTATGCATCATGTTAGTGCTCATCACACTTTTAACGTCTACTTTGACATACTGCTGCATTGTTGCTAGTAAAACTGTCTCTAGCAACAACACCAAGCGGGACGATAATAGCGAGACTCTCGATTATACGCAATATGTCAACATGTGGCTGGGAACCCAGGGCGGTGGAAATGATAATCCCGCTGTAGCTCGTCCATTCGGAATGGTCAAGCTTGGTCCAGATCTATACGTTCAAGGCACAGACGCCTATTCTGGCTATCTGCCCAATGGCAATTTCTCGGGCTTCAGTATGATGCACGAACAAGGTACTGGTGGTGCACCGAAGTACGGAACCGTTGCCCAGCTGCCTCTCATTGGCAGTAATATTTCTCAGCCGCTATCCAATCTTACCATCGGTCGAAGCGGGACTGATGAAGCCTCTGTGGGCTATTACAAGGCTGTGACTAGTCAGGATGTCACTGTAGAATTGGCTGCCAGTAACCGTGCTGGGGCATTCCGCTATACCTTTCCATCCGTCGGCAGCAGCGAAAATAACATCCTTGTCGATGTGTCCCATGTCCTGCCTTCCTACCGCGGATTAGGTACAGGTCAGCATTATGCTGGTGGGGATATCACCGTTTATGAAGACGGCCATTATGAAGGCCACGGCGTTTATAACAATGGCTGGAACTTATCTCCAGACTGGCCGATCTACTTTTGTAAGCTATATTTTCTTCCATTTGGTATTTCTTTCACTCACAAGCCATATAGGCGGGTATTTCGACAGCACCCCGGTGAGCAACAAGACTTATCTTGCAACTGATGCTAGTGGAAGCATCGAGCAGTCCAATGGATATGCCTCTTCCAATTCAACATATGTCCGAGTGGGCAGTCTGTTTACCTTCAGTGACTCCGTGGTAATCTCTCGCGTTGGTATATCATGGTTATCTACCTCTCGAGCTTGCAGCAATGTCAACACAGAAATTCCCAAGAACACAGACTTCTCCACCGTTGTCGATGACACTAAGTCGACATGGAATACCGAAGTGCTATCCAAAGTTACCACTTCCGCCACCAACTCTACCACCATTGAATTGCTGTACAGCTCGCTGTACTACATGCACCTCATTCCGACTAACCAGACAGGCGAAAATCCGACCTGGACATCCAATGAACCTTATTACCAAGACATTTTCACTTTCTGGGTATGCAGCATATATTATTTCCCCTATATTTATTTCTCTTTCCAGCTAACATCCAAGCTTCTGTAGGATCTATTCCGCTGTGGCACTGCATTGATGCAAGTTCTTCAACCAGTGTCGTACGAAGAACAAATCCGCTCGCTCATCGATATCTGGCGGAACGAAGGCTACATGCCCGACGCCCGTTCATCGAACTACAACGGCCGCACCCAGGGAGGCTCCAATTGTGATGTCGTCCTTGCAGATGCCTTCGTAAAGGGCGTTCGCGGGCAAGTCAACTGGACAGATGGATATGCAGCTATGGTCAAGGACGCCGAAGTACCGCCCAACAACACCGTACCTCCAGACCCAGAAGCGCCCGACTCATCAACAAAGGAAGGCCGTGGCGCTCTTCCCGACTGGAAGGAGTACGGCTTCATTACGCCAACCTTCAGCCGCGCTGTCTCCCGCGCTGTGGAATACGCCTACGACGATTTCGGTCTCTACCAAGTCGCCTCTGGTCTCGGCATAGCAGACGACGCCTCCAAATACCTGAACAGGTCCCGTAACTGGCGGAACCACTGGAATCCAGACGTCACATCATCTGGGTTCTCGGGCTTTGTGGTCCCTCGTAATCTGACCGGTTTTGAGGACATTGATATCCTGAATGCGGGTGGTTATTGGGGCGATCCGTGTTATGAGGCTAGTCCCTGGGCGTACTCGTTCAGTGATGTCCATGATGCAGAACACATGATTGAGTTGATGGGTGGTGTGGAATTGTTCGAGAAGCGTCTGAACGCCACGTTCGCTGATGGCATGTTTGATCCCACCAATGAGCCGTGAGTTTCTGATACATCCAATGGCGAGACTAGAATAAAAGCTAACCACAGGAGAGGCATAGCATGTTTGCTGTCCCATATCTATACAACTTTATCAACCGCCCAGACCTCACCGTCCTGCACGCCCGCAGCACCGCCAAAACATACTATAACACCGGCGTAGACGGACTTCCAGGTGCCAGCGACGCCGGAGCTATGCAGACATGGCTGCTCTGGAATATGATTGGGCTGTACCCAATTACAGGGCAAACCACATTCCTCATTCACTCGCCATGGTTCGACTGGCTGGCGATTGATCTTGGAGACTCGAAAAGCATCAACATCTCCTCTGCGGGCGGCGACAATAATGGCGACAGCGACTATTTCGTGCAGTCTGTCAAAGTTAATGGTGCCCAGTGGAATCAGGGCTGGCTCACTTGGGATGATGTCTTTGCAAATGGAGGCACAGTCGAGTTTGAGCTGGGAAGTCAGCCTGTACAGTGGGCGAAGGGGCCGGTGCCTCCAAGTCCGGCATCGTAGTCTATCTGGCTTTATCGGTAGATACGTTTCAATGCGACAACAAGTATGCAGAAGGTACATGATACGAAATGTAATCATCAAATGAAAATAACAAGATTGGTCTTGTTGAGCAGGATAGCGAGAAAGCAACTGAAGTCTATGAACGGCTGAAAATGAAAGTCTATGTGTATGACAGCGAATAATAACCATATGAAACCAAACAATGCCGACAAATGCGAAGATTAGGTAGTAATTCCTTCATGTAGCACCCCTCCTTATTGGCCCATTGCTCTCTACTTTGGAGCGACGGCGTTTCGGTCGATGAGATGTAAAACTCGAAGGTGCTCCTTTTTCAGAGCTTGAAACTCGTCGTCAAGCTTATTGTGCCATGGATATAGAACGAAGACTTGGAACGCCAATGCTGAGGAAGCGACAGTGAAATTGACCAGGGATATTCCGCGTGTTATCCACATAGTGTGCGTATTTGTATATAAATGGGTGCAGATTTGAGGAGAGCAGAGCTATACTGACTCCTGCTTGTCAGCTTTCTGGCCTGTACCGGTTTAACAATGGTTAGCAAACTCACACGCAGAGAGTCTGCTATGAAAAAAATCAGCGTTATGCTTCTTCTTTTCTTTTTTTATGTGTCAAAAGTCCAGCCAAGCTGCGTGCAAAGGAGCGAATGGGGCGAGGACCTGGAACTACAAGGGACAAGAATCAACAGCAAGAAGAAGAAAGGTCAAATTTCGGCAAAACCCGTAGTTCGATGGATGCTTTGAACGCTCAAGATGTGCAAAACTAAGTAGTATTTGATGCATGTGAAGTTGACTTGACGCTGGACGAGCACCGGCGATGTCTCGGTATTTGCCCGGGGAACTCTCGGCAAGTTTATTTTGGCAATTTTCGTTCTGATAACTAGTGAGGGATTTGTCATCATCATATCCTTGAAGATTTAACTAACTAGTTAACTTAACTAGTTGACTAACTATAAGTGCTTCAACTAAGAAAATCAATATTCATCGGTCTTCTGGCCGAGTTGGCTGAAAGTGTTGTCAACTACTCCAGCGGCAACGAATCAATACCATACGGAATATGCCGAAAGTCCAAGATATACCTTAAGTCAATCAGAATTGTATTCAAGTGAGTCACTGAGCCGGGTCTTCTGCAGCCATCTACTCGGGACTCCGTATTTGCGTAGTCAGGATTCAAATTTTAACATACCATAGATCTATATCTGGCCAGGATATTTTGCCAATCAAAAATATGCGAGGAATTAGCATTAGTATGGGTCCCCCTAACCAAACTGGGGTGACCGAGTTTTCTCCGGGGCAGATCAATGCTGTGTACCGTACTCCCAATTATAACTGACACTGATATCTTCTATGCTCTTTCTTCTTCTATAAACATTTCCCTCCATGTTGCCTGCACTACAAGCCCGCCACCTCAGACATCTACTCTTCCATACCCCTGGCAGATTCTCCATTTCAACTATGGTTGGCCGACGTCTATTTCCGCAGTACAACGTTGAACCTGTCCCAAGCGACTTGATCCCCAGTCTTAGTCGGTCAGAGCCACAAGTCTTATGGCTTGGGTGTTCTGATAGCGGATATGAGGAAACAACAATATTAGACCTCATCCCAGAGGAGATGATTGTGGTTAGGAACTGTGGTAATATGGCCCTCACAAACGACCTGGGCTGGTCAAGTGCTGTGCATCATGCGGTAAACAATCTCCAAGGTACCCATTTTCTTTCCCTTCTCCTTTCCTTTCAAGTGACTGACCCTATGAAAGTGAATCATATCATCGTCTGTGGGCATCACGGATGCCAGCTTGTGAAGCCAGACCCAGTTGCTCCCATCTCAGAATATCCCTGGCAAAGGTAAGATAAAATATACACCCAATCGCTTGTCCTGACGGAATTAAACTGACCTTTTCAAAAGGAAACTAAGTAGTTTGCAAGTGTTGCACCAACACCAACTGGAGTTCCAGGACACTCAGAATCGCAACCGCTATATGGTGCAGGCGAACGTCGTCGAACAAATGCACCTTGTGAGAGAAGTGCTAGGATCTATCAACCCTGAGGCACAGCGACGGATAGCAATTCATGGTTTTATCTACGATCGCATGCAGCATCGGGCAGAGAGGATTCTGATAGACCATTGACGGGGTTTCTATGGCAAGCTATTCACAAATGTAATGATGATACCAATGACACTTCATAGGAAGTGCCCTCTTTTCTTTTTTTTTTTTTTTCCTTCCGGTTTAATCTTAATGACCACCTTAGATACAAGTGGTTAACTAATTTGTACTCCTGGTGATATGACTAATTAGACTAGTATATTTCGCCATTTTCTTCTTCCGGCCCGGGTAAAGATATATGTAAGGAATAGCGCAAACCCCGCTTACCATCGCTCCTAAACAAGAATATACAAGGCACTTTCATATTGCCATGGGCTCTATACAGGAACCGAAGCTTCCAACCTATTTCATTGGACACGGTATGCTTTTTGTGTTATGCGATGTAGCTTCTTCTCGCTGACCGATTGTCTTTTCTTCAGGCGGTGTCAGTATCCTCTTCAAGCCCCAACATGAGCTCGTGCGACGGAACTTGCGCGAGCTTGGGAAAGAAATAAAGTCCTTGAACTTTGACGCCATTGTTCTCACCTGTGGAGAGTTTCCGGGAGAAAGTGATACCATTCAAGGCAAGTAGGCCGGTTTTCTGCGGAATATCTTTTGACTGAGTCTGACTACCGCGTAGTGAACTTGAAAGAACCAACCAAGGTGTGGCATGATTTGGGCCCTTCCTGGCACAAGACATTCCCGCATGTTTTTGACTACCAATATGCACATAAGTCATCCAGGGCACTAGGACAAAAAGTGCTAGACCATCTACTGGCCCAAGGAATCAAGGCCGAGGGAGTCGAGAGAGATCTAGACCATGGCGTGTGAGGGCTCCTACCATCTACCATTCACCGAGCAAGAAACAAGCCGTTGACTTTTATTAGATGGGTTCCATTCAAGTTGATGTTTCCAGAAGGAGAGGACGATCTGGACGTGCCAATCTTACAAATTTCGACATACGCTGGAAATGACCTAGACGCCCATATCAAACTCGGCCAAGCTCTTTCTTCTCTGTATAGCGGCGCCCTCCCCCCACCAACAAAGCTGTATACAAACCACCGACTAACAAAAATTAGTGAAGGTCGTATTCTTCTTATCGGCTCGGGAATGCTGTGTCATAACTTGAGGGCCACTCGAGAAGCAACCACCGATACAAGCATCGCCAAGGCCATAGAAGCAGCCGCCACTAAAGCTCTCAAGGCACCAACTGCAGAAGAAAGAAATGTGCAATTTCTGGCATTGCAGAAGCGTGCGGATTGGATCGACGCCCACCCGACTGAGGAGCATGTCTTGCCGTTGTACATGACTCTGGGTGCTGGGCAGGACTTAGAGGGCTACAAGGTGTGGAATGACGATAAATGTATCATCGGGCAGTCTTATTATAGCTTCCGACTGGGAGCTATTGCTTAGGAGCGCGAGTAAGCTTAATGCTAAATACCCAGTGAAGTTGATGAAGAGTAATTTGGTGCGAGGTTAAGTTTATTCAATTCTCGAAGCACGTCTCTACCTAAACAGTCCTGATATTGCGAATCGCAGTACCTTCCAAATTCCAGTGGCCAGATAAACTACCACAAATGGGTATTTTATTACCTATTCTTGCTGATAGTATTAGATACTTCTGTATATATGCTAGCATTCATTCATTTCTAAGCAGATGAGTCATAAACGCAGATTGTACCCCATCCATCCATGACGCATGCAGCAATGAATATGGAAACTAGGGCTAGCACAAATCACGGTGACATGATACTTAAATGTATGCAAGAGAATATCAGCTATCTAAATAGATGGACGCGCTACGAAGGATTGCAAAGCACGGCGTTTACTTGTTAATAGTTACTGTGGTTCTTGGCCAGGTTGACGGGTGATCACTTATATTGTAGGACTGTGTATGGAGTACCTCGGATCAAAGTAATAAATAGTCTAGCCCCGAATCAATACTCAGCGAGCTGCAGCTTCTTGCCCACCGGCCGTCTTATTTCAGGATTCTCAACCCGATGTCGATCAGTTTGCACGCCCTTGAGAGCGTGTAGGAGCATTCCCGCATCGAAAAAGCCATCTACAAACGACAAAGTTAGCATGAATGCACGTACGCACTAATTTTTCAATGCAGTAGATTCGCAAAACTTACAGCCGCCCATTCCATCATCCTCTACATCACCACTGTCCGTAGTTGGCGTCTCGGTGCCACCACGAACATGGCTTGTATCCTGACGAATAAGCCGTCCTCGCTTGTTCTCCAGCCGCTCCGACAATATCTCCATATCCCTGGCGCGACTGGTGCGCGGACTCGTTGTTTTACGACTCGTAGCTCTAATCAGCTTGCGGATTTCCAGCAAATACGATTCCAGTGTATCCATCAATCGTGATGTTTGTCGATGCTTTGATGACGCACATATCGATATTGAGTCTTCCTTGATGATATATCCAATGCCAAACCCATCGCCGGACGTCGGTCCAAACCCAAAATGGCGCAGGGCCGGGTTTCCGCAGTTCGAAGTGGATAGTATCGTATTGTTAGTTTTGTCCCAGCCTGCATCGTTGAAAATAGAGGGGATTGTCGGGGTTGAGCGCGGCCCTGTTCGCATGCTACTACTGCTGGCAAAGCTACTAGAATATTCCAGTTCTCCTAATTCGTCGGAAGACGAGAACGACTCTCTATCCGGCGGGGTAGGACTTGACGGCTGCTCATCAACACTGCCACCGTCGTTCAATGACGATGCACCGTCGAATGACCGCTGCCAAACGCAAAACAGAGCATAGAGATGTCTATCCTGCCCTTGCGCTTTTGCGCATTCCTTGGTTATGGCAACGTGTTTCTCGGTCGCCTTCTTGAGCGAGTCCACTTTGCGGTCCGGCGGATTGTCGCCCCAGAACGTTTTGACAAAGTCAATAGATTCCCTGGTGACGGGACGGATAGCTTCCGTACGACCATGCAAAAACATCTTCGTCATAGCTGGCTCATATGTATTTTCGACACGCCCGTAGAGACCATAATAAGCAGCCTGAAATGCCATTTGCACGAATGCATCCGGGGAGAACCCGGCAGAAGTTATGAAGCTCTTCCCATATCCGTCAAAGTCAAGCACCTGAAACTCATGCTGATGCAGCAGATCTGCCAGATGCGATTCGGCGAATCGAAGAGCGATACTGAGCTCAGGCATCATGTCCCACTGCAGCTTGCGAGGAGTGGTGCTAACATTGCCGAAGCTCCGGGGATCCCTTTTGGATGGGTCGGGACTGTTGGTTGCCCACAATGAAGGTGCCTGACCGTTGATTGTCTTTGCATATCGAAGAATTGTGTCGGTGTATACGTCACTTGCAAACCGCAGCACTGTGTGACCGTCCACGCCTGTATGCTCAAAGTTGATGCCGGCGCTACCATTCTGACAAACGATAATTTGAAGTTTGTCATACCAGCGGTTAATGCAAGTCCCAATCTGCACTCCTCTGACTATTTCATTCGTGCCGCACAGCATATTACCGCATAGATCTGCGGTGCTAGACGGCTCCATATGGTCTAGACAGAGGACAAAGATGGCACTGTCGACAATGTGGAGGCAGTCGGCATTATTTGAGGTGGGATCCTTGGTGAGCAGTTCTCTCAAGCCAGACCATACTTTCCGATTTTCCGTGCTCAAGATACCAAGAGCGCCCTTTGCGGCTTCTTGGATTGGTGTTTGTTGAGCGTCTTCTAGAATAACCTGCAAGTTAATAGTTATATCTTTCTCGCTCATGATGAGATCATTGTTATCGTCTAGCACGTCGAACCAATAAAACTGGCCGCGGCATAGGACTACAATATGTTTGGCCGTAGCATTTTGGCCAATGATGCACCCATTTTCTGTGGGCACTCGCGCAGTACCAAACAGCCGGGAATATTGATACATGCACAATGGTGTACCCTTTACAGTATCAGGCGGGAGTTCCTCTCGACGAACTGCACGAACAAAGGAGAGCGCAGAGGAGACCAACGAAGCAGCACGTGTAGCCTGGTTAGTCCTTGCCGGAGTTGGGTCATCTTCCAAGAGGAAAAAGGGGTTTAAGTTGAGAACGACGGCTAGATTGGTCAGTCTCATACGAGAAACAGAATTTAGGCGGCATGTTCTTACAGTTGTCAAAATTCAAGTATGAGTCGTACCCTATAAGCAGAAGAATAGTTTAGACAGTGCCACAAAGCAAAGAAGCCAAGACAAACTTACAGAACTGTTCAATATAGCTAGTCTTAGAGGAAGCATATTTCTTCAACTTCTCTTGGAGCTCCGGGCCGTCTGATTTCAGAAAGTCGCGGACAGCAGCTTTTGTCTCTTCGTGTTCTCTGAATGTCTGTAGAGGGGCAAGAGATTCGATATACTTGCGACAGGTACCTTCGAGGTCCGGAATAGGCAGTTTGGGAAGCGAGTCTTGGTTCGCGAAAGTGACTCCTTTTCTCTGGCTGGATGAGGACGAACCACTCTCACGTTTAATGGAATCTAGATTGCGACCAAGGTCAAAATTGATGGAAGACAGTCGTTGTGGTTGTGGTTGTGGTTGTTGTTGGTCTCCGGAGGGTGAAGAAATTTGCATGGCCGAGGGCAGGATTGCCTCGCTTCCCGGTGAGGTCATGTTGAAAACTTTTACTGCAAGACGTGAGTAAGACATTTGTTCTTTTCTTCTTGTACCTTCGACTGAAGTGTTTGTCGAATAAAGGGGAATCAAGTATATAAGGAGGCAAGGAAGGTTGGAATGGACAAAAGACGCAAAGCACTGCGATAGAAATAGTGGCAGTCTTGGAGGCAGTACGAAGGCATAACCCGCGAAAGTAGACTATGATGGAAAGAAAAAAGAACCAGTGATAGCTATATTAAAGAGAAAAGAAAGAAGTGCACTGTTCAACTTTCCTCGTCGGTGTACATAGACGAGTTGAGTTGCATGAAATAAAAGCAGAAGAGAGAGCGAAAACATACGAATTAAGATAAAATAGCGACTGCGGGGAGGTCGAAACACTTACAGTTGAAATATAGATACGAAGGATCAGAAAATGATAAGAACCCTCAATCCACCCGCAGCCCCGGTGGATGCGGGGATGAAAGGAGTCCGGGGGAACGGAACTAACACGCTGTCTGTATGTTTAGTCGGGGTGGTGCGCCACAGATCTGTGGGCCAACGGAGAGGAAAGAAACTAACTAGCTTAGGTACTGCTGTAGCAGCAGGAAAGTCGCAGTAGTGAGTTGTAGTGCCAGCCCGGAGCACCAACTAGTGATGATGGTGTTGATGGTGATAATGCGGCAATTAGATATAGGCATATGTATATTCTTCAAGAAGAAACGACTTCACTGCAGTTCTGGAAGCAAAACATAAAAAACATGGACATAGCCTGGCGCAACAAAGTAGTTGTTTGCCGAAAGAGACCACTGATGAATGGGGGATGCGGCGCAAGAGTCAAAGCGAACAACCTCGGACAAAACAAGAGTCCTTCATAGGGTTAGTTATAAGAAAAGCCGGAATTGCTCAGTCGTTTTCGTTGTCGCCAATGTTGCCAATGTCCGTATTACTTTGCGGCGGTCAGCACGCAAGCTAGTTGGCTGGCAGCCTGGTGCTGGTATTAGCCTAGATCAAACTGCAAGGACTGATTGGCCGTTCACCTGCGACCCGGGGAATCAGAGATCAGATGAGTCGTTTACCAGATGGCAGAAACAGGGCAACGATAACACATGAACAGCCGGCAACCGGGTCTCATGCTATAGACTGGGGTGCCAGACAAGCGAGCCAGCCAGCCAGTCAGTCGCTTATACCGAGTTTCGGCATAGTTTGGACGAGGGATAGTATTCTATTGTCATGGATGACGACTCGGTCGAAGGGAGATCGGTGGCCCTAGGCTGGTGCCAACGTCTAGTCTAGTGAACTGCAGAGGGGAAAACCTAAAGGCGGTTTTTATGGGGAGGCAGCATCCCCGCATTACGTCACGTGGGAGACGTTGCTCGCACCTGATTCGCTGTCCAACAACAAGTACGTGAATACAAGTCTGGATATGTATTATTTTCTTAACGCTTTGGAAAGGAAAATTGGCTGTAAATATCGTAGAAAAGACGGAATGGAAAACCGAGATTAGATCGCCTCAAAGAGTGCTCTCCAAGGCAAAGACTAGCGCTGATCTCGTCGGAATGTAGACATGCAGATAGTTCTTGCGCCCATTCCATGGCATGTCCGTTGTAAAGAAACGAGTGTCCTTTTGGTTGCGGCCATGTCCACCAAAACCAACATCATCAGTATCAAGCACAATGCGGTATGTGCCCTCTTGCTCGACGCCAACCCGGTAGTCGGCGAAGCTCTGCGTGGGGTGGAAGTTGAACACCCACAGCAACCCTGCACGCTCAAAGACAAGTACCTTGTCACTCTCATTTTTCAGACTCACATATGCCTGGGGCGAGTGTAGCCAGCCATATTTCGCCTCGGTGATTTGCATGGCGCGATCAAAATCATTCAAGAATCGGTACCGCAGAAGATGGTCCTCGGTCAGATGCAGCAGACGCCGCGCATACCAGAAAGAATTCTTGTTTCCGGCACGAGGAAAGTCCAGCCATTCGGGATGGCCAAATTCGTTTCCTTCAAAGTTAAGCCAGCCTTCACCACCCAAGCCATGCGTCACAAGCCGAATTATCTTGTGAAGAGCCATGCCACGATCGATGATTGGGGTTAGTTCAGTCAGAACCGACATGTTGGTATACATCTCTTTGTCGCACAGCCACATCATGAGGCTCTTGTCACCAACAAGCCTATTGATTTCAGTTAGCGCTCAGTTGCCTTCGTTTCGTTCAGAAGACGGGGTTTGGTTTACGCTTGATCGTGACTCTCTGCATACGCAATCGTCTTCTCACCATGTCGACGGTTGGTCAGAGTAAAGGCGAGGTTGCCCATATCCCATTCGTCATCCTGTTTCTCTTTGAGCCATTTAATGTACAAATCCGGAACGGCCATAGCAAGGCGGTAGTCAAATCCCACCCCTCCCAACGATAGCGGCAAACATAGTGCCGGCATGCCTGAAACATCTTCTGCGACTGTGATTGCATCCGGGTAGAGCTGGTGGATCATCTCATTGGCAATCTGTAGGTACATCACGCTGTCGGCGTCAACAGCGGGGCCGAAATACTCGTGATAGCCGCCGGAAAATCCCCTAAAATAAAGATCAGCACTTGTCCTCTTATACATAAATACATACATAGATGTAGATATTCATCTATTGACCGAGAAATAACTTGACAGGCACGTACGTTCCGATACCATGGTGGGTATAGAGCATGCTTGTGACGCCATCGAACCTAAAACCGTCGAATCTATACTCTTCCATCCAGAAGCGAAGATTACTGAGGAGAAATCGAAGAACCTCATGGTTTCCATAATTAAACAACCGACTGTCCCACAGTTCGTGTTGGCCTTTGCTTCCAGAGTGAAAATAGAGGTGGTCGCTTCCATCAAACATATTAAGCCCATCCAGCACGTTCTTCGAGGCATGACTGTGGACGACGTCAAGCAAGACCACAAGACCCATGCTATGGGCGGTATCAATCAATTCCTTCAGGTCTTCAGGGAGTCCATAGCGACTACTTGCAGCAAAGAAGTTGTTGACTTGGTAGCCAAAACTAGCATAGTATGCGTGTTCCATAACCGCCATCAATTGAATGGCATTGTATCCTAAATACTTAATTCGTGGCAGCATTTTTGTTGTAAAGTTCCTATATGTCGCAACCTTTGTCTCAGGCGAAGAAATGCCGACGTGGGCTTCGTAAATACGGAGGCTGGCTGGCTTCTTCGGGCGATCATGACGGAATGTGTATCTTTCGTTTGGAGGAGGATACCAGAAGACGGCGTCATAAACCGGGGAAACATCAAGGTCCTGGGTGACGCGTTTGATCCAGGCGGGAATTCTGTCAATCATTTCACCGGCACGGGTGACCATGGTTATCTGGCTGCTCAGTCAACGGCATTCGACGAGCGCGGAATCGAACGTGGCACCTTGACTTTGCTCCCATGAGATATCACGGGAACACCGTCCTTAGCAGGAAGGTTAATCTCCCAGACACCAAAGGAATCCACCTTCATAGAATGGGCCTTTCTGTCCCAGTTATCTGCGACTTGTCAATCGTCGGCAGCACAGCAAGCGGGTAGCCATTGCTTACTGAAATCACCAATGAGATGGGCCTCAATCGCACTGGGTGCCCATTCCCGGTATGTGATATCGCCCTTGTCGTTGACATTGAAGCCGAATTTTTCATATCCCTGTGCAATGAATGGTCAACCTCTCAGTATTCAGCGCGGTCAGGTCAGGTGGGTCAGGAAGGAGCTCACGAACCCTGCTAAATTTCTCAAGGCCGCCTTCAGACTCATGGATCCGTTGGATCCAATGCTGGGCGTAGGCGAATCGTGATTTGAGGGCATCTTTGAATGGCTCGAGCCAAGGGTCGAGTTGAAGGACACCTGAAAGCTGTGAGCAGAGCAATGCAAGGGAAAGGGGTCGTTGGGGCAGCACAGACCAGTGCCGTCGGGCTGCTCTGAAGCAGCAGTAGCAGCCATCATGCAGAACGACAATTGATGATTGTAGATGGAGAGGGAAACTAAAGGAGAGGGAGTAATTTCACTGGCAAAAATCTTGGATGGGAAGTTGGCCAGCGCGGAAGGCCCGCACGGGTCTGGGGAGGGACTCCACCCCCGCTGCTTGGCTACATGACATCACACGTACTACGTACTAACATAAGGTACCTAGTCAATAACAACCATCAACTTCTTCCACCATGTATCCCGCAGCGGTGGCGGCCGTTCAGCAGCAACGATCTCATCCAGTCCAGTCTGCAAATCGACATCCTCAGGCCTCCACGCCCACGGATCCCTCCAAAACACAATGCGATGACCAAAGTACAACAGCAGAAACGCGGGGATTCCAATGTATGCAGTGAAGAAGCTGCTGACGGACCACTTGGAGGGGAAGAAAACGGTGAATCCGTTGATCAGAGTGAGAAGCACACAGCCCACGAGACCAACGTATGCCCCGTAGGGCTGCAGTCTGGATTGATACGGGCGCTCTATGCCCTGGGTCTCGGTGGCTTTACGGAATCGAAAGTACACAATACAACAGCAGATCCATGAAATAAAGCCGGATGAGTTGGTGAAATTGACGAACCAGTTGAATACAATCGAGCTGGATGTGCCCACGGAGAGATAGGCCAGTAACGAAAAGAGAGCAGAGCACGTTACAGCTATCCATGGTATACCCCATCGATTGCAGGTCTTGATAATGCTGGGCGCATTGCCGGACATGGCCAGTCCGTACAGTGATCTTGACGACATGTACAGGAACGAGTTCCCAGATGACCATGCAGAGGTTAACACTGCAGCGTTGACGATGCTATCCAAAACGGGAATTCCGGCATTCTTGATGCCCACGACAAACGGAGACGAGCCTGCACCGGCTCCGCCATTCGTTAAGCGACTGTCATTAGACGGACAGATCACACCGATGGCTAGTACAGCAAAAACGTAGAAAAACACCAGTCGGTAGATGTATCGACGGGCAGCACGAGGCACGTTGCGACGCGGGGACTCCATTTCACCGCCGGAAATAACAATCAACTCCGGGGCGAAGATAAAGGCAATGGCACTAGAAATCATACACTGCAGCAAAGCGACAAATCGACCGGCTCCGCCGCCGACAATGTACGTATTGAAGGCACCAGGGTCTTTCCAGTAATGGAAACCCAAACGCTGGCGATTCGGACCGCCTCCCCAGAAGAGGATAAAGCTGAGGATCAGAAGGCCTACCAAAGTAATGACTTTCACACCAGCAAACCAGAACTCCGACTCACCGTAGAACTTGACCGGCAGGAAATTCAACGCAACGATAATGACCAACATGATGGTAATCCACACGGCGACGTTCACACCCGGATTCCAATAGTTTATAACCAGAGACGCAGCAGTAATTTCATAGGGCACCAGAATCCCCAGAGAGTACCAATATAAGTAACCCATTGCAAAACCGAGACTGCGCGACACATAGCGGAAGCCATGGTAGCTCATAGTGCCGCCGTGCACAGGCATGTAGGCGCCTATTTCGGCTATAGCAGTGACCAGACAGTAAACCAGGCCGGAGATGAAGATGTAGGCCAGCAGAAGCGAAGCCGGGCCGCCTATAGCGAGAGACTGGCCTGAGCCAACGAATAGGCCGGTTCCAATCGTACCGCCGAGCGCCATCATTTGCACATGGCGACTGCGTAGGCCACGTTCAGTTTTTGCGTAGCGATCGTCTAGCAGGTCGGCCTCGACGAGGGCGCGCACCGTGCTGTGTTTCTCGCGTGCCTCGTCATTCCCATAGGCTGTTGCTGCTGCTGCTGTAGTCTCAATGCCATGAGACGCAGACATCTTTCGTATGTGAGTGAAGAAGACTGCCAGTCATTCCAATAATGACAGATTGATTGATGTGAAGCGGATAGTGAAGTTACATCCATGATGCTTGGGCCGTCCAAACGACGAGTGCAGATCAAGAGCACTAACCAATTGTACTTAGCTTGAAAATACTATAACACATGCTGGAACAGCCATAGCGTTCATGCCACACAATCTTGTTTGCCCATGAGGTGGTCCTGTGATGCAATTTAGGTACATTCTCTTGCCTCCAACAGGTCACCAGTCTGTCTATGTCCTACTACCACATATACGTCGTCTCATACGTCTATAGAAGCTAAAGCCGATCAAAACCTACCATACAATCTTAAGACACCCCGCAAAATCGGACGAATCAGGCGCTTCAGACTATATACTTCGACTAGCGTTTTTTAACTACGCAGAAAGCACGCACAAGCAAACAAACAAACAATAACTACTTACTCGCCGATAACCGGCAGTATGTAAGCGTGTCCGGGCCGGTACTGTGCAAATGGCTACGATGTTATGCTCAACTTGCACAAGAATCATTAATCTACACATCGTCAAGGCTCTATCCGAAAGTATCCGTTCGTCTTTTGCGTGGAAACGAACTTACTCAAGGTTGGCGAGAACCATGGTTGCGATCTTGAATTTATGTCACTTGTAGCTAGCTGGAGCAAATATGAATTATTAGCATACATTGTCAACAATAATTGAAAATTCATGAATAATGGGTATCCGAGAGTAATAGCCAAGGCAAAGGATGGGACAATAATTGTTATTTATTTTTTATTTTTTATTTTGGCTGCATCTAATAATGTACTCCGTAGGCGGGTTGTTGTGTGTGCGTGCGTGACGGTGAGACGGGAGAGGAAAAAATTACACGATGGGTCGTTAAGGATGTAGCTTGTAAATGAACAGATAAAAGAAGAAAATAAAAAATAAAAACAAAAAATAGGCGGGCGAAAGTAGGCCGCGCCATCCGAAGCTTCCCTCTTGCTGCTCCTCTTTGCTTTTTGGCCTGCGGATGTGGATGGATGAGAGTGGGATGAAAGAGAGGACAAGGAAGGCAGAGGTATATAGGTATAGACTGGCGTCAAAAAAAAAATCGGGAAAGACATGATTGGGACGAGGAGAGGAATTGCGGCGTTTTTGGTGGTGTGCCATGTGGTCTGTCGGTAGAAGAGAGTCATTGCATCGATCCCATTCATCCTCGTACATTTGGGTAGTTGTAAAAGCTGTCAATCCATCCACCGATCCGTCCATCCATGCCGATAACGATACACTATCTATTGAACAATTGCTGTCGTGGTCGGTCGTCACTGACAGTCTGGAAGTAAAACAACAAGGACACATTTAGTAGAAACTCGAAACAAGTCTGGCTATCAATTGGCCAGTTTGAGATGGGTCATCAATGAACATCGTGAATCACGTAGGTGAAGAATGTATAACAATGGAGAAATGTAAAAAGAAAAAGTAAATGAAAATGAAATAAACGCCCAGATCATGCAGTCATCATTCGGATACAAGTCACAGGGAGGAAGATTTGAGTAGTGACGTGGAAAAGTTTGTGTGTGAGACGGGGGAGACGGGGGAGGGTAAGCGAGAAGACGGTGGAAATGGTAGACGGAGTCAAGTCCGTGTCAAATAAAGAGTCGACGAGGTCAAGGGCTGAGGGCATCGCAAAGATCTTCCGTAGTATCCATACCAAACCCAGCCATGTCAACCGAGTGAAGGGATCCGGGACCCCGCCCTAGAGAGAGTTCAGAGGAGGCGTAGTCATGTTTAAGTCGTTCGTGAGGCCCAAAGAACGGTCGGTTTTCCTCTATAGGCGTTGTTCCGTCACCGGCTGGAGCCCAAGGCCCGTGTTGCCAGAATCGAGTATTGGCTTGTTGGTCTCCGAAAAGGTCGTGATGGTCTGAGAGATGTCGAGGAACAATAGAGGAATCATGATCCCCATGACTGTTGAAGTCATGCGGTGATGGGAAACCGACCAAGTGAGGGCGACTGAAGCTAGACGCCGGTGAGTCGGCATGTAGTGGGAAATCCAAGCGATCGAGCCGATCTAACCGATCCATGCCATTCATCGGCAAATCATCGACAGCGGTGATGTCGATGGTCGGATTGTCGTTCTGTTGGGCAAGAACTGTCGACAGGCGGAAATTCGACGTCGAACTCTGCCGGCTGTGGCTGGGCGGTCGTTCCACAATGCGTTCCTGCACCCAGCTGCCACAGGCCTTGACGATTTTTTCCTGGTCGGCCGGTGATAACGACGCGAAATAGTCGTTGGCCAGCGACGGTTTGGAGGCCGGCTCCTCTTCGACAAGATTGTATTCCTTCTTGGCCCATTCCGACACTCCAAAGGGCGACTCGTATGGGGATCGATACACGGTCGGCGTCTGGGCCTGTTGTTGCTCCAGATACGCGTACCTCCCAGCCACCCGACCGGCGGCGTAGTTCGGGCGATCGAATGGCTCTTGTTTGGGGTAGTCGGACTCTCGCTTGGGAATAACGTCGAGGCGTTCGCGATGGCTGACAATGGAGAAGCGTAGCATTTGCAGTAAGCGGGTGACCTCTTCCGACCGCATGTTGAGCGGTTGAGGCGGCAGCAGGGTGCCATCCAGGGCCCTCGGCTGGACACGTTGCTGGGCCATGGCCAATTCCAATTTTTCCATGGCGTTTGGAGGCGGCACAGAGCCCATGGGTCCCAAGAGGGTTTCCACGACCAGCTCGGGGCTGACGATTCTGTACCCGGCGAAAACATTTGCGTGCTCGGTGATTTGCGCCAGGCGGCGGCGAGCGATCAACTCGCGCACATTGGCAAAGGTATTCGTCGGCGGGTCGGGCTGGGGCTTCTGGAAGCCAGCATAGGGGTTGGCGCGCACGGCATTGGCAGGGAAGAAATGAGCGGTGGAATTGGCATTTGTGGTGTGATGGTGCGGCAGGTGTCGGTAGGCAGGAGTCATTGCAGTGTTTGGGGAGCGGCGCTGCAATGACGAAGAAGAACGAGGAAGCGTTGTGTTTGGAGGGGCATGGAGGTGGTGGGGGGGAGCAGTGCCCGAGGAGGAGGGGGGCAGGCGAAAGCGGCCCGCGCTAGCCTTTGCGCTCTCCAAGAAATTCGACCGCGGATTGTGGACCGTCACACTAGGGTTGTGCGTGAACTGTGCCCTACATTCCGTCGACGACTCTCCCAGATAATACCACAGCTGCTCGGCCCTGCCGCCGGCAATGTCGACCGGCACGCCAATCGCCTCGCGCGGCAGCGGTGCTGCCTCGAATTCCGCCCACTGGAAGCGCGCGTTGGCGTCGCCAAACGGAGTGCCCGGCAACGGCGCCGTCCCTGACGGATCCCGGCGCGTCTCAGCTTTGCGCACCAGGTGCGCAGGCAATGGCTGCGTGCCTGGAGGCAGCGGTGCGAAGTTGGTCTTGCGGACGACGAGAATCCACCGGTACGGCAGCTCGAGGATGTCGCCGCGGGGAAGCACCTTGAGCCTCAGCATGCGCTCGACAGGCCGGTTTTCCAGCACGATGGCGCCGTTGATCTCCTTGTCTGCTTGGAACTGCAGCAGGTCGCCCATCGACAGCCGACTGGCCGCCTGGAGCACCTTGCGGCTTTCGTCAGGCGTCTCCGACGGACCAAGCCGCTTCTGCCGGTGATATTTACACTTCAGGTCAACGCTAGGCACATAGTACTGCTGGCCACTGTCTGCGATCACCAGGATTGACCCAAACTCAACCTGCACTCCAGCCAGAAGGGCACAGGTGGGGTGGTACGCCCGCGTACAGTTCCCGAAGTTGCACTGGAAGCACGCCCCGCGCACTTCGCGGCAGAACAAGCACTTAAGGCCCAGGCGGGCTTTAGGGATCCTGTCAATGTCACAAACAACTTCCCGTCCAGACTCATCGCGGAGAATCGTCGTTTCTTCAATGTAAGTGGCACACCGTCTGTGTGCATGCGATTTGCCATCTTCTGTGGGCAGCAGATCTTCATAATCCATATCATTAGGGCACAGAACACAGGGAATCTTTCGAACGTCGTGGTTCTGGATGCGGACACGCTTCGAGCGCGGTTCACCACCCTCCAGCTTGCGCTTCCTACCACGACCAGATTTCTCGGGCACACTACGAGGCGGAGTGAGAAGATCAGAGGCACCATCGAGCTCACTGAGATAACTATCAATGTCATCGTCATCATAGTAGTTCGGTGTGGGCTCGCCTCGCAGCTTCCGCTCAATATCTGCAATGTCAATCCAGACGCTGTCGGACTCGCAGTTGCATTTCTTCGCCATGCGTCCATAGTCCAGCCACTTTTCAGTGGCAAAATTGACCGACTCAGCGCAATTATACCCCAGGTTAAACCCAGAATGATATCCGTATGGATACGTGATCATAAACTCGCCCTCATAGTGAACAACTTTGTTTACGGAGATGCCAAATCGGGACTTCAGAATGCTGGGGGAAACCAAGTATGTCTTGTGGCGGAGGAATTGGTCGCAATTCTTCGCATCACTTGGCCAAAAACTCTTCATGGCCGCTTCAAACCGTGGAGCATCCTCCTGAGAAATGCTGTACCACTGTTTCGGGGCACCAAAATGAATATAGTTGATACTGTATAAATCCACGTCCTCCAGATGCCAGGCAAAGGTCGCTTTCCACATCCCGAGATATAGATAGGCCGTGTTGACACCAGGCACTTTCTGGCCCAAAACGTCGAGCAAATTGGGCAGCTTTGCTACGTTCCAAGACGTGGTTGATTCGTCGAAGAGCGATCCAGGCATATCGGCCCCGTACATAGGGTTATTGAACATTAGCGATTTCCAGTAGGCAGTCTCCAACTCATCGCATCTCTCGGCGGTGTATTCATCGTTATCGTGAATGCGGTAATCAAAGTCCTTGAAAGCCTCTTCGTCAATTTGATCCATGGCCTCGCCATGGTTGTGCTTCCTTCGCGACGATACGGATTTCGGCTGTCTCCCTTTACGTTTCGCAGCCGGAAGCTCCTCTCCGTCACTGAGATCCTCCGTTTTAGTCTCGATTGGGTTTGATTCTGGGGATACCGGCGTCGGCGGGCCTTCTAATCGTGATCTCTCCGACCGATCCTCCGCAGGCGATTCTTCTTTAATCTTGGGCTCTTTCGCTCTTTTCGGTGGACGACCTGGTCCGCGCTTTTGGGAGGTTGACCGAACGGTTTGAGACTTGACAATGGCGGGGCGAGGAACTTTCTCTTGGTTGCGGCGACGCTCGCCTCGTCTTGCAGGGGGCTGGTGGCTACCGTCCTCGCACAAGGCTTTCCATTGTGGGAGGTTATATGATCGCTGCTTCTCGATGTTGGCCTGAGTGTAGGTACCGTGGGCGCCATGGAATTCCTGCATAATTGGATTCTTGACCCGAATGCTCTTGACAGCTTCATCAAGTGCTGGGAGAGAATCCCTCCTTCAAAAGACGTTAGCGATACACCATGGGCAACGATCCTAAATAAAAGGAAGAGACAGTGCATACCATTCTTGCGGCGGGATCACTTTGACTATACCGGACTTCATGCCGTACTTGTCAATTTTCTGAACATAAGCCTGGAAGTCGCGAAATTGATCCATAGTCTTTTAGGGAATGCCGGTCAGTTCTGAATTCCTTATCGAAGCATATGAAGTGCCTGTGATCACGACTCACCGGCTTGAAGACGGGTATTCTTCCTCCCTCGTAGAAGTAATCCGGCTCGATGTCCTGTTCAACAGCCTCCACAGATGGCGCTGCTGCATTATGGTCCAAGTCGAGGTCCGACAATTCTGAGGGAACACCTTCGGAAGCATTTTTCTTACCATCGGCGCTGTTTGGGGGTGTGATGTTTGTTTCGACCGAGTGAAGGGAGTTCAGCGCGGACGCCTTCTGGTTCTCAGCGTTCGCCATGTTTCGGTTTATGTCGCTAAACTGCAGCGATTTCTCTTTTTCGTAATGCGCTGCCGTCGGACTTTCGTGACCGCTGCTCGACGGCGAATGAGCGTATACCCCCCAGCGGTCGGGGACTGGAAAGGTAGGTTGAAACTTGAGGCTGACGGCGGATAAGGATTTACGCAACAGCCGATAGGTCGTAACCGCGTCGTTGGGTGAGAAATGATGTCAAGCTGCAACGAAGGACTCTGCTGTTTGGATGATGACCGTATATGGATAACATCAACAGCCCCTCTTCAAAACTAGAAAGTGAAAAAAGGATGAAGCGGACGTAGTCCTGCAGGAAGGGCGGCTGATTGGACGTGGCAGTGGAAAAAACGTATTTGCACTGTTGCAGTAAGAGCACTGGGGGGGGGGGGG